AAATTGACTTATCTACCGTCGTATCGCCGCGCTTCCGGGTCTGCAAGTCTGCAATTCCTCTATGGACAATGCAATATTAACTGACACGAAACACTTGGCGGCCAAGCTTCTCACTCAGATATGTATTCCTTCCGCGCGCCTTCATAAAATAAACGAAAGACCGAGGTGTGAAAGTTCATGAGGAGATGAGGAGACTATTCGTAACCCAGTAGATACCTGCCTACCTACCCAGTAGAATTGCTTGGTATTGAAACCGGTTGACCGTCTACCGACTGATGGTTTGCTTATTGCTCCTTCAGGATGCCTAATCGTATACGTCGACCAACTGACAGTTGCTGAAGTTTCGCCGCATCCGGCACTTTCGATCGTCGACCTACCTGATTCCCAATCGCGCCGCGCCCATGATCGACCAAGAACGAGGATTTATTCGCCAATGTACAAGCTGTATAGCCGTTTCGCCAAGCAGATTCGTAAACGCCTACGCATACAGATACACGAGATCGACTTATTAGAAACAACTACGATTCGATTTGCCAAGGGCCAAGGCGGCGGCACCGCTGCTGAAATGTTTGTCGTAGGAAGCATTCCACCGCGGTAGTCGAAACTCCCACTTAGCTAGCTGCCCAAGCTATGTAACGCCGACGACGTGTAAATTGTACCATACGTACTACCTGACGTTAGAGTACATGGGCTGGCCTCTTGGGCTCTTTTGGTTCTAGCAAGGCTTCGGAATGTCCCGCGATTCCCGAATACAATGACCGACTTACACCACAGTTGAACCCGCATAGAGGTAGGCTCATGTGCCAAGACAAGAGATGCGCAGCTGTGAATCAGATCCTAAAATAATATGCATAGGTGAGATGCGCGTAGTAGGGAATACCCTTCCAAGCTTCACACATTCGTCAGAAATCAAAACCGAGCTCGGTAGACCTTAAACCACAGACTAGCATTTACTGGCTCGGCTGTCTCGATTTGGTTTGAACTGAAAAACTGAAATGATGAAAGCCACCAAAAATAAAAAGAAACAAAAAATAAGAATAAACCGTCTGGCAACCGTAAACGGGTCTCTTATTCCGACATAGGCAAAGGTAGCCGTAGAAGTTGACAGACAACCGGTAGCTGCTGGCACTAGCTCGAGCAGCTATGTATGTACGTACTATGATATACATATTATCATAGCTTATTACAGTAAACCTTGGCCATAACGATTGCCAAAAAACACCACTCTTATATCGCTATAGTAAATTATCGTTGTGGTAGATTTCCTAAAACAGTAAGGTGTGCTACGCATTGACATAAAATGAGAGGTCTAGCCGAAAAGGTATAGGGTGGGGTTAATATGAGGGCTGAAATAGGTTAAAATATTACTAAAAGTAGTAATTTATGGGGCTATTAATCCCTTAAAATACCCTTACCATAACGATTTAGGTGGTAATTTTTTTAAGAATAACGATATTTCGTTATGGTAAAAATATCGTTATTTTACATATAAATTCGCACCGTTTCCTACAAAATATCGCTATATAAAATTATCGCTATGCACTATAATCGCTATGGCCAAGGTTTACTGTAGTGAAGAATAATGAAATAGTGTTGCATAATAGCTTGTAGTTATGGGTAGTTATGGGTAGGTTATGTACCCTTAGCTAGCTTCATCTCACTCCGTGCGTCTGCAACGGAACGTTTTCTATTCCATCGCGGCATGGGAACCCTGTCCGTAGAACCTGTAGGTGATCCCGCCCTTGGCGGACTTTCGCCTACTATCCTCCCCCCAGTCTATTCCCCCTACCTATCCTTTCACAAATCGAAGCTAAGGAAGTAGGGGTAGGCAAGGTTGGCACGGTAGGCTGAGAAGCGCACCTCGCGGTTGGCTGGTCCGGCGTGGGTGAAAAGGTCCCTCTTCCCAACACCGATGTAAATGCCCAGAGATTCTTGGTTGTCTTGGGGGGGGGAAAAATAATCCATGGATCTACCATCATCTACCTACGAATTCGCAAGCCATAGCCGCGGAATATGTTGTACATAGGCTCAGTTCACTACCTACTTTACTTACACTAGGGAGATAGTGTATGTACAATACAATACATACATCCATACAATAATACCTACACTTACACTACGCTACGCTACGCAGTAATCAAGAAGTTTCGTTTGCGCGCCCACCCCCGGTTTTTTTATTATTATTTTTCTTTTGCCCTTTTCCTACTTGAGTATTACCGTGCTTCACCATCTGGATTCTAAGAGGACCCTATTCAGGCCAAAGCAGGCGGGTAGTTCAGTGACCCCCCAGCCAATCCACAAGCACCGTCATTGTTAGCATACCTGGGGCGCCATTAGCCCGTGATGACATCCATCTACATGTATATTCCCGGCTAGGTTTGCTGTAGAAGGACTAAGTACATTTCCTTCGCTTTGGGCTTCTACTTTCAATGCTCGCAAAGGCCTACTCTGTTCACTCTTCCCTCTCCCATCGCCCATCTCTCTCTCGCATCCCACCAGGTAAATGATAAGCCAACCCACCCGTACCTTACCAAGTCCATCCTTGAGTTGAAGTCTTTAAACCTCCCACGTTCCCCCTTCCCGTGCCGAGTGCTTCCGTTTATCTCGTCGACTTCTCATACTAAACCAAACCAAACCCTACCGCCATACGGGAGTTTAACTCTAAACTCCTACTATACATCCATACATATTACGAAGTATATAGTATACAGTATATACTTTTGTTTTCGAAGCTAGCCAGCCTCAAGTTGAGCTCAGCTTTGGTACCTAGCGGCTATACGATAACAACAACCACAATAATAATATCAACCACAATAACAGCAACAGCAGCAACAACAGCAACGATAACTTGGAACTGACGGGATCGGTTTAACTCAACTTCTCAACAGCAACTGCTTAACTGACCAACTGACCAACTACGTAATTTGCAACTATCACTTAACAAGTAGGTTACTTTTGCGCCTGGAGGTATTCTGTTAAGAAACACGACTTACACCTAACTTAGCCATCCATCTCCGATAGTCTCCATCAAAGGCAGGGCCTTTTCCCGGTCAGATTCTATTAGCCGCATAGCACCGCCGAGAGGTATTCGAGCTGCACTGTGCGATCTAGTGCCAGCCTTTTCAAGCGCTTTTGAGCCCTTGAGCCCTTGGTGTGCATTTTGGTGCCGACGGGTGATCACCGCGCAAATCGAAAAAATAATAATAATAATAGATCAACCACTGAAACTCAATTCGCTTCCATTTTTTTGCGGCTCCTCGACGGGGTACCTTAGGAAGAAGAAGAAGAAGAAGAACAGAAAATCAAACCCAGAGACCAGTCACCAGTCAAACAAGAGTTTCTAAAACCACAATCGCCTCAAGAGCTAAAAAAAGGAATTTTCCAAGCGAAAATCCGAAAAATCTCCACTCAAACAATCACCATTTGTCTCTTCCTGGACAAGAGAACTCCTTTCATCTATTTGTCTATTTCTCTAAGTTCTTTTTCACTTCCATTGTCGCGAAAGCGATCTCCGGTCTAGCCTCGGTCATAGTTGGAACCTGGAAATCTGGAAATAATACATCCATCCATCAGGTCCATCCATCAGGTCCATCACTCCGTTACCCGTATCCGTACCTTACCTTACCTTGCCTTACCTTCAAGGTTACCTACTACTTACTACTCTTACTCGTTCCGGCTGGCCTACTTTTTTTATTATTATCCAACTCTCACGCACTTCTCACCTCTCTTACAGCATTAAAGCATACATACAACATTACAACATTACAGCATTACTCTACAGACTGACCTAAAACCCTTGGAGATGCGTGCATGAGGATTTGGTTACGTACCTTAACCATCTTAACCACCTTAACCAGCAAGCGTATTCTCACATCTTTCCGTCCCCCGGTCCGCTGCAACGCAACGCAACCTCGACGTACATTGTACTAAGCTTATTAGCTACCAATTCGTTACTCGGGCCTTTGTTTGTCTACCCCCTTGACATTTGGGACCTTGACGCCCACGTTCCAGCGCAGCAGCCTCGAATTCATTGTCACTGTCCTGTTGTCACTGCACCACCAAAAAAAATAAATCCACCAGAATCCGAGCGCACCAACCGCTCCTTTGAAACCCGCGACCCTCGACCATTGACCATTGACCATCGACTATCGAAACTGGTTTATTGAATGTCAATCGTTTTTCACGTACCGAACATTCCCGATCAACCTCTCCCTTCTCTTCCCTCTCTCTACCCTCTCAGAAGATCCTGATCGCAACCGCACAATGTTGATCGACGGCGAGAAATACGCATGCGAAGCTTGTGTAAGAGGTCATAGGGTTAGCAATTGTCAACATTCAGGTGAGTTTTGAACTTTTTGAACCTTTGCGATCCAATGATTACCGCATTGGCCGTTTTCCAAGTCAACCCAGTCACCAATTCACCCCTCTACCATTTTTGGTCTCTTTGCTTTTTCTTCCCCTTGCCGCCGAGAACTCGACCCGGCTGCCCCGCGGTGGTAGCAATAAGGCACCAAACCATTAAGCCTTCAGGGGAAGGGGAAGAGAGAAAAATACAGTTGGAGCTGAAGCTGAATGTTCAGGTTTATTCAGCTTGGAGACGCAGCTTTTGGAGATCTTCAATGTACTCCAACATTAACCAATTTACCTATTTTACCTATTTTTACTTATTTTACCAAACTATTTACCTATCATATCTACCAATTCGTTACCAATTTAAGAGAGCAATTGACTTACACATGTTTGCGCAAACCCCTTTTAGATCGACCGTTACAGCACATCAACAAAAAAGGCCGTCCAGTGTCGCAATGTCAGCACTGTCGCGCCATGCGCAAGTCGCGATCGTCTCACGTCAAATGCGACTGCGGCGAGAAGACGCATAAATGCGCCCATCTAAAGCAGACGCTTGAAGGACATAAGGGTGAGCGCCAAACTTCCCCCCTATTCAAAAAGGAGCGCATGAACAATCATCACCATCACCACCATCATCACATACAACCACAATTATATATCTATATCTACTATGCACAATGAAAAAAAAGAAAAGAAAACGCCCAAGACTCTGACCTGAAATCTTCTGTTCCCCCCGTTCCAGACAGCTGCTGTTGCAACCACGGCGGCCGATGCACATGCTCGCACAAGAAAGAGCCCTCGCTCGACACGGTGCCCGAATCCGACCTGTCCGACGACGCCTCCGCCGAACCGCAACTCGCCACCTCCGCGAAGCCGAAACCCGCCCCCCGCCGACGGCGCACCAACACCGCGCACTCCGAACCCATCCTCTCCTTCGACGAGAACGGCCACCACCGCCCGGCCCCGCGCCACGCCAAGGCTTCTCAGAAGAGCGGCCCCTACGCCGCCCTCGCCCGCGGCACCTCCATGCACCGCACCGCCAGCGCCAGCAGCCTCGGCGCAAAGTCCCGCACAACCGGCTCCTCCTCCCCCGAACGCATCGCCAAATCCGCCCACGCCTCCCCCTCCATCGACAGCAACAGCACCACCAGCTCCTCCTTCGCACACCTCAACGGACAACTCCCACCCCTGGATCTCAGCGGGATCCGGTACCAGGAGTACTCGACCTCGACGTCGTCCTCCACAACGACCTTCGACCTCTTCAGCGGCGTCAGCGCAGACTACGAACCCCCCATGTTCAGCGCGGGCCTCAGCGCCGCCTCCGTCGACTGGGCGCAGTACGACGGTCTCGAGCTAAAAGGCGACTCGAACGTCACGCCCTCGAGCTACGACCAGACACAATCCTACCTCGGGGGTCTGGACTTCGGGGGCTCCACCGAGCCCACCCTGACCTCGAACTCCGGCGACGTAAGCGAGACAGAGGACTTCGCGTCCGCGTTCAGCGAGCCGCAATTCGACGGCTTCCGCGCGAACTACCTGGGCAACATGTCGCAGTCGAGCATGCTGACGGGCGCGTCCGCGAGCGGCGACCTGGGGAACCTCGACTTCGACCAGTTCAAAGCGAGCAAGCTGCTGTCGACGCAGTCGTCGTTCGATGAGGGGAGCTCGGTGTTCCCCTGGGTCGACGACGAGGCCTGCTGGGGCATGAATAATTTCACAGACGGCATCACGCATTCGCCTGACCCCGTTGCTTCGGGGTTGTGGGATACGGCTTAGATGTTCGCACGGCGCACGCACGTGCCTACATCATACCTATACCCTGCCTACACCCTGCCTACACCTCTAAAATGCAATGCAATGCGATGCGATGCGCAAAACAGGGGAGGAAGCACGGATTGCTCGAGCGCGCGCGCGTTGAAAACAAAACATAGATTTGCGTTGTGCTGTGCTGTGTTGACGTGAACTTTTTTCTTCTTTTCCAGCGTTCTTGACGTCCATGCGCTGCGCTGCATCGTCGCTTCGATCATGATACCACGCGCCTTATGACTGACATATATCACACAACATCAACATCAAACATATACACATATACATATATATACTAAAACATCGTATACCCCCTTGGGGAGAAGAAAAGAAAATCTTTTTTTAAGTTTTCTCTTCTCTCTCTTCACATATACTTCCCCCGTCCTCTGGTATTTCGAGTGGTATATTTTTCCCTACCTATATATTCCTTTACCTTGCTTTTCTGCTCTCGTCGTTGTTATTTAAAGTCTCAAAGAAAGATGGTTCATCAAACGGTTTATGGCGCGCGGATTGCGGAAAAAAACTTTTTTTATTATTCCTGTGTGGTTATATTCCTGTTTTATCTTTGTCTTGTCTCGTCTCGTCTTGTCTGGGAGTGGGGAGAAGAAACTGGCATTTGAATATATCTTGGGTGGCAGAGCTTTATGAACAACTTATCGGGTTCTTCGGATCAGGCGTTTCTTGTTCTGGGGGCAATATTTGATTTTTTCTGCTGCTTGAAATTCATCATCGTATATCAACATCATCATCATCAACATCATCTCTTCCATCCAATGTCTTCATGTTTTTTCTCTCACTCTGTCTCTCTTCATTCCTGTCTCGTAACCGGGGAAGGGCGGAAAGAGCTCGCGCTGACGTCATGAAAAAAAAACCTGTCTTTTCCAAAGTCGTACATATTACTCCTTATTTTTCTCCTAACCCTTACCAGAGTTCTAGAAAAAAATATTTATCCCCCCCAGACCCTCAACGGGCTGAGGATAGGTGTGATGAGAGGCGGTCTGTTTCAAAGAAAAAATAAACCCCACGCATACACGCGAAAAACTACCTTGTTCCTGCACATAGATTAGACAGTAGAGAGCGCACACACAGCGAGATACGAGAAAGCCTATCAAGAGGCGTTGATACATCGGTTAGAAAAGGCAGAAAAAAGGAAAGCGAGGAAGGGGGTGAGGAGCAGAAGGAGGAGGGGGGAAAAGACAAATCGGAGTCGCTCGCTGCGGGATAATCTCACGATTTCTTTTTCTTTTTTCTTTTTCCTCTTCGCTACTTTTTTTTCCCTCGTGTATCTTTGTCTTGGCCTGTGGTACGGTATATACTTGCCTCTTTCGGTATATTATTTTTTTGGTCGCCTTCGCAGATGTAGCTCAATGCTATTATAACAGCCTTGCTTATTACCATTCATTCCTCCTCTTCTTCTTTTTATCGCAACAAGCGCCGAACGCTTTCTTCCCATGCGTCGATCAGCTGACAACAAGCTTCGCGACTTGGACCGGGGGGAGGGAAAGGGAATTGGTTGTGCTGCATTAAACTCTCCCACCCCTCGGTAGCCGCGGTGAAGAGGCTCCGTAAGTAAGCTGGTAAGGAGATAGGTTAGAGGTTTTGGGATGGGGATGGGAATGGGGTGTGGTCCCGCGCGAGCTCCAGTCAGGGGGGGGCCACTCGGGACTAGGGATGACAAATCCCAGCGCATCCCACTTTGCGACGTACATTACATACCAACCTAGCTACGCACGTATGTACGTGCAGGTTCGCAGTGCAGTAAGTTAAGGCAAGTTAAGAGATGAGCCGGTCCACACTGGCGCGTCCTCGTGGTCCTCAAGAAATTTAGGAAATTTTTCGTTCCTGCAGCCGATGTCGCGAGAGAGCGGGTCGCGCCGAAAACCTCCCCAGCGGTCATAATTTTTCTTCCCTTTTCCTTCCCCCTTCACTCCCTGTCCCATGCCGTGTCTTGTCTATTAAAAGAAATAGGGTCCGGGCCTGCTCAAAGCTCAATCCGTCTCCGCGGGGATCCATTACGAGAACAGGTTCGGCGCTGAACCGGTCGTTGCAAATGGCCGGTCTAGGAAACCGTAGATGAACAATTGGGGGCCTTTTGCCAACATTCTTGTCCTTGTCCTTTTCTATAATATCCCCGAGACGGTGAGGCCGGGGAATACCTATGGCACCTATGGGCACCTGTGATAGGAGTGCGACGGTGGGAACATGACGGCTTCCAAGAACGAACCAAGAGATTTAAAATAAAAAAATACCGCCGAGAGATGGGGAGGGGGAAGCTGATATTTATGTATGGGGCAAAAAAGAAATAGATCGAGCAAAAGGATGAATTACATAAATACCTTACTACCTTACTCAAATCACGCTTAACAGACGTAACCGATCATAAGAAAAGAAAAGAAAAGATAATAAAGGGAGAGGGAAATAGGGGGAATATGGAAAGAGAGAGAGAGAAAAAGTCTCACGAGTGACGACATGATGGTACCATCCTGATTTGATAGTTTTCGAAGTCGAATGATGGGAGGAGGCGGCTTGGCCTTGATTCGCCCTCAAATTCTCTCAAGAGGCGCTGCCGATGGAGACGGGATCGGCAGACTCTGAAACCGCTTTTAGGCAAATGAGAATTTAATTGCTCTCTGTTTATGCCTCTTGTTTCTGTCCTACGCAGCTACGATAATGTTCCCTATCGAGGGTACAGTAAGGGGGTATCACCAAGAGGGACAAAATATACAGGAAAGTAACGCTTATATCGGATTCTTAGGTGTCCCTACATTGCTTGGCTGCGCGCTTGATTTTCGTATCTGATCTGATCTTCGATGCTACCATATTTGTGGATTATAGTTCTGATGCTAGGCTTATTACATGGTATGCTAGGTCGGCCATATTTTTTTCGCTACGAAACTCCCGCGGGGCTCGGCGGCTTCGAAGTAACGAGTTCATGCTTCATCACGCAAGGAGACGATGGAGGCACTAAAAACGAAACACTCCACCTGTGTTACCAATTACCTAAAACTTGGGCCACGTAGTTTGTCTAGGCCAGTAGGTAGGTAGGTAAATTTGCATCTCCATAGCCTTGGAACCGAGGGTCATACAGCAGTACAGTATGATACGCATACCAACCCCGTCGTGTGCTTTATCGACGCGGCAAGGTGTTTCTGCATATTGCTTGAGGAGTCTCGTGCTGTTGTTAGGTACCTTTATACCCCCATTCTCAACATGCCAGGAAACCCCTAATGTTGAGAGTACATTAGTAGTAGGTATCGTCTTGAGGCCATCCATAAAATTTAACGAGCAAGCCAGTTGAGACCTACTAAAAGTAAGCTTACCTACTGCAAGCCCTTCCTGCAGCGTCGAAGGGCAACCCGGTAAAACATATTACAGAGATGTTCGCGAAACGGAATCTACCTATTCGGTCACGGACTTTCTTGGGGGCATCCGAATACTGCGCGTCGCAGCACCGAGAAAAATGGTTCCTACTTGCATCCATCTCAATGTACACATATTTACAGTATGAGGTGGCTTAAGCGATTCCTTGATTTCTACTATTGCCATGGGGCGCCTCGATCGGATGAGCTAGTCGCAAGGTAAGCACTCAAATCTCGGTTTGTTCGGAAGCCAGCTCGAACTCCTGAGCAGTGAGATGACTTCGACATCCACACACACGTAATTCCGACTATTTCCAACACATCTCGCTATTCTAAGAGCAACATCTCTTGACCGTACCGTGCATGCATCAATTCTTTACACGTGTACCTGTATTCACCTTCCAGCTGTACGTATTTACACCCCGGGTTGGAGACCCAAGTTCTACATCGGCATTGCAGGCTGTGACATACGACCACTTACCCTTTTTGGCATTTACCAGAACATGATTGGTGCGCCGAATATGCAAGCATATTTCATTATGCAGGTTCTTGTTTCCCAGTCGCGCATCGAATTTCTATGGATTTTTAAGCTTAAAATCGAATTTGGAGGTTATTCTCAAGTAGCCTCCAATATTTCTGTGATGCTAGGTTAAATGGAGAATGGCTATGGCTAGGTAGTGATCATTAAGATTAATTACTCTAATTCTACGATCACGCACATGTGGCTAAGTTGCAGTGTGTTGTGAGACGGGATTTTATTAAAGACTAACTTGGAGGCAGCTTCATGTACTAGCTAGGCTAGGTAGATAGCTACTCCAGTACAACTTTGCGATTCTTTATGGTCGCATTGATACACGCCTTTTTTGTAGCATACGCTACCAACCATGAGAAGTTAAACCTATCGGACTTCTCCTGCAGGCGTCACCTCACTCCGTTTGATTTCCAACAATAGTCCAAAAGTCTACAGGGCGTACGACCTCAGTGTTCTCTGCCGTAGCTACCTGGATATTTGGCGAACTTGTGATGAGCAGACCGTAGGCAGTCCGCTCCAAGCATAGAAAGAGCTTGGTGACTAATCACTCGTTGATTTGCCCTCGTAATGTCATACGTCAATGCTCATTTAACGTTATTCATTGCATAGGGTATGGGGGATGGTGGTAGAACATGTAGTACTCTGGGGCCTCCGGTTGGCTGGCTATTTGGTGCATCTCACCATATGATGGCGCAGCCTGTTGTGGCGAGCTTAGAATTATGTGCTGATCCGGCATCATGCTATCCTATCGCGTATGGATACCAGCCAAGACATTTAAGTAGCCATTTCGGGTCAGCGTGCGAGGATCAAACCCAACATCGCTATAACAATCACTTGTCCTGAGAGACGTGGGCTCTAGACTTTTGTCAGGCTTGGCGGTATCCATTTCTGTTGCCGTAGCTAGGTCAGCAAGGTGCTGCAGGCTTTGGTTCGCTGCGGCTTGAGCAGTCGAGGGTCGAAGATGATCTGAGATGCGATCTCGAATAACTCCATCCCAAGTGGACGGAGCAAGATTCGCGTCAACGAGCTGCCTTAAGAGGCCCGTAGCCTCATCTCGCGTCTTCTCGACTTTAGCGAGCTCGATTAGAGATAGGGTTGTAAGGCAGAAGAAGTGATGGTTCAAGGGGCTAAGCAGCTGCGTATTTGTAAGTAATAGAGTCACGGCCTCCTTGCAAGGCCATAGGATATCAGCAGATTTCGCATTGGTCTGAAAGAGATACGCAAGTAATCTGCAATGCCAGTAGACCATATGTAATATCGGGTGAGTCGTAGGGGAGATACTCTGAGGAAGAATCTCTCGGAACAGCTCGATGGATAAGTTGAAAAAGGAGCTTAGAATTGGACCGGCTCCAGACTCTGGGGAGAGAACCTTTGGAGAAGCCAGGGAAACCGGTGCGAAGTGCCCGAGGATATTTGACAATCCTATACATAATTAGTACTGGCCACATGATATGGTAATGAAGTTACTTACGCGCTAGATGGTACACATTTTCACCTAGTACCGAGTTTAGGCTAGGCAGAATAACCACGCTGTCGTTCGGGATGAACAGAGGGCTCGCAGTTGAGATGGCATTCCACCGATCTAACATGATCAGTGTCCACCAAGCTCGAATTGAGATATTCTCGGTTGAATCCGGCTCCAACTGGCCATCGAGAGTTGTTTCAAGGCCTGAAACATGCAGTCTCATCGTATAAGCGAGACCCACAGCCCGCCCAAGAATGGATGCTTTAGATGGGCCTCCGTGCTCTCCCTTCAACGACGGCACGTCGTAATTGTCGGTCATCAGAGCTGTCAGGATCAGTGTTTGAAGATGCACAAGATTCATGACCGGTGTTCGTGAGGTCGGGTCGGACTCCCATTCCGCGATCATGCGTGTGACAGAGCCGATGTCAGTAGTAGTGTAGAGGCCAGGAACCGAGACATACGACTGCATACTAAGATATAACGCCTCAATAAATGCATCGCGGAGGGGGGGTGGGCATTGCGCCAACTGCCCTTCGACTCGTGCCTTGCCTGCTGCGAGCAGGGGGAAACAAGGATGGACAACATTAAGGTAGGCACTAAAAGCAGCCTCGTCTAGCTCGCGAGTTGAGCCGTTGTGATTAAGGTCGAGTGGCACATTATCTCCGGCAGTGGCTGGACGTGACACCACTGTTGAATCGGGCTTGGATAATGGTTGAGGTGCTAATCCATTAGCAGAGTATGGAGTCCTAAAACTTCCAGATGGGGTCTGGTAAGGTTGGATTGGTCGTGGTTCAGAACTCCATGTAGCTTGTCGTGAACTATTAGGTGTCGCAAACTCGCCACCAGATATACTAGAATATGGCCTCTTACGACTACTATCCTCTGCCTGTCCAGTAGGACTGAAAATATCCATCGAGTCTCTCCTAGCACCACTTAAGAGCTCGGTTAGAGTATCCATGTTACTCCTATCCCCATTACCCCCATCGCTTGCTAACTTTCCTTCGATGTGGTTTATTCGATCAGCAAGCTCTTTAATGTATCCCTTGCTAGGCCCACGCTTTTGAGGGATTCTACTGAAGAGACATCGGATCGAGGAACGTCGGCAGTTTGAACAGGGATCTTCGCCGCTCTCCAAAGCAGCATCGCACTTCACCTTCTTTCTCCTACACTCGTCGCAAGCGCGTGAAACTTTGGACCTCTTTCTCGGTGGAATATCTGGTATCCCCGAAGCTTGTGCGGCATAGTGTTGAACGAGTTGCTCCATCGTGCCCTGAGACTGTAAGTGTGCAGGATGTTGTTGCATATGCGGCTGTTGCGGTGCTATATGCATATGCTGGTGTTCCTGGGGGTGGTGACCGGGTATATAGTGGTGTTGTGGCTGTTGATCATGTTGGACAACAGACGGATCGTGGGCATTCATAGATGAGTCATCATGGGGTATATGCTCAGTATGTTGCTCATGTACATGATTGTTATGTTCCGGTATAGGATCTCGCGATATTCCATCATGTTGCTGTTGCTGTTGCTGTTGCTGTTGCTGCTGCTGTTGCTGCTGCTGCTGCTGCTGCTGCTGTTGTTGTTGTTGTTGTTGCTGTTGTTGTTGCAACTGAGCATCGTGCGACGCGGACTGCAGCAGTGCATTTCTAAGGTTGGACTCCTCGTGGGATTCAATAGGAACGGCGGGCATGCCTTGGCTCATTTCTTGGCTCAACTGAGCAGCTAGTCGCAGTTCTTCGTTGCTTGTAATGGATGGTCGGACATCTTGGTGGAGGGTTGTGGAGGCTTCGAGATCTTCAGGTTGGGTGGGCTGTTGGTCAGGATGTAGATTCGACGTTATTCCGTCGTCTTGTTCATCTGCAGTAGGCATGGGGTACTGCTGTTGCGTGTCAACAACATCATTTTGCACGCCAGGCTCATTCTTAGCGCCTTCGAGCATGGGATCTAGGTCAGGCATGACGGAATTTGCTCATATGTTAGACGGGTTGAGTGTTACACAGTCGGCAACGATGCAGGAGCTTGATACAGTCCTTCACGTAATGAAATATTAATTACGCGATAATTGACACGCGAATTAACGCGATTTTAACAATATTGTTGCTCCTTGCCACTTCTCTCCGAGCTTGGGTTGTGTTGATGCACTTGCGACTCTGTGCAGTACGGCAAATCTGGATTGTCTCGTCACCCGCGACTAGGTAAAGAAAACATTAGAATCACACGGCGACAACAATGATGATAAAAGCGACAATGAAGGAATATGCGCTTCATGGTTCAATCAAGTACCATTCAAGCCTATATAAACCATTGGCATATGGCAGCGCCAACAAGAGCGCGACGGGTATTGGTAGCTCCATTTCTACTAGTGAATGCGACCAAAAGTTGTGAAAGGGAAAATTGTTTATACAAAATAGAAATCAGACATACCTTGTGACGATTTTCTCAATAATATGGGGATGGAAAATAGATGAACGAGTTCCGGATTTGCCCAGAAAACGGAGGAGGAAGAACTTGAATAGCCGATGAGCTTTGGGACTTTTAACCCAGCAAGCTATTTTTTTGGCCGGTGCTGGATTTTTCCAAGCTTTGCAATCCGCAATCCGTAATCCGAATCAATCCCAATTCTCGGAGACGGGAAAAAGTTTCTCGTTGAAGATGATCAAATCAGGTGTGGCGGCGTAAAAGAGGGAGTTGGAAAAAGAATTTTGCGGGATGGATCAGCGAAATTTTACATTTTAGTTAATACACAGATACGTTCTGCACAAATAGACAAGCTCTCTTCCCTTTCTTCTTCATAACACGCTAGCGTTAGTGTTAGCCCCACTCTACAAACACCCACGGAAATTCAAAATTGAGAAGGCAGGTACGGAATACATCGGTACTTACCTCTTCGCACGTGCCACATACATCCATGTGCATGACGTTTTTTCAAATTGCACCAAACTGGGTTAGGTTAGATCAAATATTTGAGTCCTATACCTAAATACTTCGAAAGTTGACCGGAGTATCTCATCATCTCCATCTCAACGAAGAAATTAAAACATTGCCGTCGTCGAATACTTATAACATACAACATATTCGCTCAAGCTCGACCTTTGTCAGTAAATACTGTCGATCTATATGGAATAGGGGAGTCTAATTTCATTATGATTACCATCCATCCATCAGGCTAACACCACACCTACGTTGTCTTTGGAGTTTCAAATGCGGACTCAACGAGGCACTTCTGCTGCAATAGCTCCATCCTTCTTGACTCTAAGTTCGCTATATCATCTAGTTGCCAAGATAGGATTTTCAAGCATACGGAGCATATACTCGGATTTAATAATACATCTCGGACGACGACATGTCCTTCTAATCATTTGTTCGTTTATCTAATATTACCGAGTTGACAAGCCTTAAAATAAACTTGTATAGATCCATTTAGTTTCCATAATTCTTCGTCAAGTTCGGTCGGCTTGATGATATTCTCTCTTCGGCTTCAACTAGATACCTACCTCCTCATAATACCAATCTAGCGAAACATCTCATCTATCGGAGATACGATGATGGGTAGAGGATGAGTTTTATTCATTCCTAATTACTGCGTGTAAGATGACACAGACATTGATCGCCCACTTGACAGAAAGAAGGTCAATGATGATCAAGTACCTTCAAGCTCGCTAACATTAACCAACAAACTTGATATCCCGATTTATTGATCCAAGTAGATCGCAGAAGGGTATCTTTTCAATCATAGTACACCAATGTCACCTTCGAATTCGCCATCATCTTGATGCTCGTCTCTCCTTTTACTCCAGAACCCCTTTCCGTAGCTAACGAGTATCTCCTCGCCCTTCCCAATCCCCGCCCCAGCCTTTTTTCCGGCGTTCTTCCCAGCGGGAAGAACAAAGACAGCCATACATCTCTCGCCACGTCTCGAATCCCAGCACTCTTTGAATTCGCTGTTTGGTCGCGCAGCGATACCCCTATAGTCATTTACGAAGCGAGCCTCGTTGCCTGCTTTCTCCGCATCAACAGCAAGTGCACCGTCGCGGTCTAACCAGAGGTCGTAATCCGACTGTTCATATGCTGTACAGTACGGAGGTAAGGAAGAATGAACTACACCGTAGTAAGGCAAAATGAGAGAGCCCGGTGGGAGCTGTCTCGCGGCGAACAAGCCGGCCTGCCCCTTTGCGGGATGCGAAGGGTCGGTGATAGGCACAATCCTCGCGAGAACCGAGGGACCTCGTAGGAAACCACGCGGAATCTCGGTTATAATATCGCTGGATCGAGACCTTATGATTTCATGTTGTGATCTCGTTATGTGAGGGGCATAGGAGGGTTGTAAGAGATATGGTATCACTGACGGCCAATTTCTAGGTGTCGCATCTTTCCCCATTTGAAGACGAAGACTACCTAGTACCTAGGTAATGTTAGCCACTCTCGTCGCTTTTCCTTAGGGGATTAAGTGAGTTTAGGCCTATTTACCTAGCAATTACTTGTTCGTGGGTGATCTGATGACGAAATTAAAGAGATATATTTTATTGAAAAGATCTTGTGAATACCTACTATCTAGTGGGCGAATCCGGGGTAACCCCACAGAGGTCGGGTCCCACTTATACTGCATTGTTTAACTTGGTTCGGCTTCACCCAGGAGGATTACCTACCAGGACCTACTACTTCCAAGGTTATCACATAAACTTCACAGCATTCGTACCCATGGTTCACATAATGGTCCAGAGGTCAGTTGGAAGACATTAAATTGAAACTCGTGTAAGTAATTGCGATTGAGATTACCAAAACATAGAAACTAAAGGCTGAAATATCTATCTACGAAGCTTGGGAGATAATGGGTACTTAACCTGTGGGTGTTCCGCTTTCGCGAAAAGTAGTACATAGATCCTTACCTATCAGTATCATCTTTTTCTGAATGTAATCTTGATACTTTGAATTTCCTTTATGGAATGTATGAATATTCCATCTTTAAGACCTTCCGAGAGCTTTTGACGCTCGGCTTCTGGGAGACTTGAGGAGGTTACGTGTGTTATACCTCTGCCATCGAAGGACGTCTGAGGGATTGTACCCTCCTTGCGGGTTTTCCTGGCCGGAGGAGGGGCCACATTGTCTTCTTCGTCGTCCATTTCATCAGCTTTTCTCTTACGGTTTCTCCTACCGTTTGCATTGCCCTTTTCATTATTCTGATCATGCACTCCGAACATGCTGACGTCTTCAGGGCTGGGCGACTTCTTAGGCTCGTCAATTTGCATTTTATCATCATCACTTGAACTCGTAGAAGTTGCCATTAGATATTTAGGCCCCCCAGCTGCCTTACGTCTAAAGGCGCGCGTCTTCATCGTGTGGATGGACTGCATGTCGTATTGATGGAGGATATAGATTATTGGATGAAAGTATGCAATCTTACCTGTGGGTGACTTACTCGATCAAGACCTCTAGATGTCGATGATTTTGATTGAGTCTGCAGATTATAATCATCGTGGAATCATGTTGATATATATACTAGGTATGATAGAAGTTCTACTCTTTCACAAAGTCATTGTTGGTTGTGACCAAATACTCGATACTTCATCTATGTCATCAAAGAATGATAAAGAGTTCGATAGCCCTTCAAAGTCAATGTTTTTTTCGTCAGCATAAAGATATTGTTTGAATCGTGAATCTGGAGAGTACCTAGTATATTTGAAAATTATCACAACGTAGAGATTGATCTTGGATTCCAATGTCCACCTCATCTTCTATGTAGGTAAGGAGGTATTTATGTACCTAATTTCCTTGATAATTCCTCATTTATCCAATCGGCATGCGTCCATCTAACCATGTATCGAGGTATGACGTCAACGACATCTAGTATCAATGCGGGTAAAAACCCGAATCTTGTGTTAGTTTGTTTCTAAAATGTACCCAGACCTTGCTAGTCGACAGATCTTGCTTTACACGCTTCATGCATTGGTACCTACCTATACTTAGTATTCGTCTGGTATCTACATGGCATGTATGTAAGTACCGTCTACGTGGTGATCTACATTTGTTGATATGTATTATTCTGATGACACTTCCATCTCCATACCTTACATTTATTCCCTCCATCGCACATGGTCTGTATACTAAATAAAGATCTATGGGTATTAGGTGTGGTACGTTACCAACTAATGCCTCTAGGGCTCCCCTGCATATTGCTACTCTGTACATGCAGAACCCTGGGAATACAGCGTGCTCACCTCAGGTACGTACCCAGGTAGTACAAATCTAAAGCGCCTACATAATGTAGATGCTCTAGTATGATCTTCAATGTTGATCTAGAGCTAGTGGTGGCGACTCCCGTGTGATTCTCCTGTGTTACTTCCATTTCCATTGTTAAGTTAGGTACTACTAGTAGGCAACCCCACTAGAGGCGACTGCTATTCTAAGTTTCCCATCCTCGATACTTTACCTGCTTACACATAAATTCTACACTCATATCTTCCCAATTGTCTCTCTTTCGACCACGATTCCAAGTTCTATTTGCACTGGTCTCTGCTTTTTTCTTGTCCTGTTAGCCTTCCGACCAGTAGGTGCTCCGCATACCATTTCTGAAATCTTAATATACCTTGATACCTAGCACCCAATACTCAACAAAGAATTTGGGTATCGTCGCAATCGGAAGCCCTTGTTTGGGCAGGATACAGACTACTAAATTACTCATGGGAAACTAAGAGCCCTGAGGTCAACTGGTAAATCGAGGTGGTTGTGGTTGCGATCAATCGAGCTCGACTTTTAGGTCGTTTCTATTGGTCTTACAGGAGGAGCATGGAGTCAAATTACAAACCGGCCATTGAAACCCAGCACGAGCCTGACCGTGCTGCTAACGAGTCTTCTCGACATGGAGCGCAACCTGTAGCTTACGTAGCAACCCCTTCCCGATCTCCAGATAATGTCGGTAATCAAAAGGAATTTACGGAAAACCTTACGCCCGCTACTTCAATATCGACTATCGCTGGACTACCTGGACCGATAAATACCGATGTTGCATACGATCGAACTTCGAGCATATCTTTATCGTATAGTGCGAGCTCGGATCGCCAGCCTGGTCACCGCCCAAGCATTAGCGATGCCACAGATCCTGCTGATAGGGTTTTCCCCATCCGATCTACAATAAGCGTGGATAGTTCACAGCCGGCTCCCGCGACACCCTCGACGCCAATACGGAATCCAGGGGATCATAACTATTTAACTCGCCAAGGGACGACTTGGGATGGCCGTCGGCGACAGAGCAATTCGCATGCTTCGATCGAAATTCATGGGGATCCACAACGAGTCAGGAACGGCTCAATTACTCTTACATCGCCGCCTGCTGGATCACCAAATGAAAGAAATGCCGGAAGAACTCTGAATAGAAAAGGGGATATTTCTAATTCTATGAGGAGTCCGCCACCAAAATCAGAAAGAGCAGCTTCCGAGGGGCCGCTACTCTTCAGCTATGCGTCTTCAGATAATTCCGATAGAACGAGAGAAAGCACATCTACGAGGGCGGGGGAAAGCCATTTCGCAGATTCTTCCGGGCCTAAGTCTCCCGGAGAGCTTAACGATACGAATGACAACTTAGTGACAGTGCGCTTTCGCCATGTGGTGACTGAGGAAGGTCACGCTGTTATTACAGGCCGAGATGGAGCCCTAGAAAGGTGCGAAGATGAACCAATTCATGCTCCCGGGGCTATCCAGCCATTTGGCCTCCTTGTCGCCTTCACAGAGGAGACGGATGGTAGGCTTATTGTTCGCTGCGTGAGTGAAAATTCGAAGAGGATTATAGGGTTTTCGCCCCAAGAATTATTTCAACTGGAAAGTTTCACAGAAATCTTCACCGAGGAACAAGCCGATAATCTTCTCGACCATGTAGATTTCATCCGAGATGAAGAGGCGGATCCAGCTACTAATGGACCTGACGTGTTTAGTATATCTGTACGGCCACCTCAGAGAAGGACGGTCAAACTCTGGTGTGCCATACATGTCAACAATAGCCACCCAGATTTGATTATATGCGAGTTTGAGCTGGAGGAGGACGCTGAGCACCCTCTTCGACCGCCCGGTGAACTAACTCCAGACGAACCTGAGGACACGCTTTATCAGAATCCGTCAATGGAAGAGTTGCATGAAAGTACTGAAATCACCAGTAGACCTCTCAGGATACTTAGAAGCGCACGTCAGAGACGAGGTGAAGCTGGTGCAATGCAAGTTTTCGATATCATGTCTCAAGTCCAAGAGCAGTTAGCATCCGCACCAAACTTGGACAGATTCCTTAAAATATTAGTGGGAATCGTCAAAGAGCTTACGGGATTTCATCGAGTTATGATCTATCAGTTCGATGCGGCATTCAACGGGAAAGTCGTGACTGAACTTGTTGACCCTGCGAAGACTCGCGATCTCTATTACGGATTGCATTTTCCGGCTTCTGATATTCCGAAACAGGCGCGTGACCTCTACAAAGTCAACAAAGTACGGTTACTTTATGATCGAGATTTAGAGTCTGCAAGGCTTGTTTGTCGGTCTGCAAAGGACCTAGAACGACCTCTTGATCTTAGCCATTCTTACCTCCGCGCAATGTCTCCCATTCATCTTAAATATCTCGGTAATATGGCAGTCCGATCCTCTATGTCTATATCAATCAATGCGTTCAACGAGCTATGGGGACTTATCGCGTGTCATAGCTATGGTTCTAAGGGGATGCGAGTCCCATTCCCTATTAGAAAGCTCTGCCGACTTGTTGGAGATACAGCGTCGCGCAACATAGAGCGCCTCTCCTATGCATCGCGTCTACAAGCTAGGAAACTTATCAACACTATGCCGACCGACAAGAACCCATCTGGCTATATCACAGCCTCTTCTTCGGATTTAATAAAGCTTTTTGACGCTGATTTTGGTATGTTGTCTATACGAGGCGAGACTAAGATATTAGGGAAGATCGAGCAAACCCAGGAGCCTCTGGCTATGTTGGAGTATTTGCGTCTGAGGAGTTTTACTTCTGTTCTGACATCGCAGGATATCCGCGAAGATTTTCCCGATCTCCGTTATCCTCCTGGATTTTCTGTCGTCGCTGGCCTATTGTATGTTCCCTTAAGTGTAGGTGGGAACGATTTCATCGTCTTTTTCCGCAAGGGCCAAGTCAGAGAGGTTAGATGGGCAGGCAATCCATATGAGAAGGTTGTCAAAGAAGGTACCTCGAGTTTTCTGGAACCGCGATCGAGTTTCAAGGCATGGCACGAGATTGTCATTGGCAAATGTAGGGAATGGAATGAGGAACAGGTGGAGACCGCAGCAGTATTATGCTTAGTTTATGGTGCGTATTTGGGTTATATCAAAGCTTTATTCGTAGACAAGGGTATTTGCTTACACTACCTTAGGCAAGTTCATCGAGGTTTGGAGACAAAAGGAGGCAGCCTTGCAAAGTAGCCGACTGACTCGACTCCTACTGGCGAATTCGGCACATGAGGTTCGCACACCATTAAACGCCATAATTAACTGTTTAGAGATTGCTATGGAAGGGCCACTCGACCACGAAACCCGCGAAAATTTAGCACGGTCTCATTCGGCGTCCAAATCGCTCATTTATGTAATCAATGACCTCCTCGACCTTACTAACATGGAAGAAGGCCAGAATTTGATCAAAGACGAGGTCTTGGACTTACTAGGATGTATTCATGAGGCCACGGAGCCTTTTAAGGTAGACGCCAAACGAAAATCTTTATCGTACGAAGTCATCGATCATCCTGGCCTTCCTCGATACGTACATGGCGATTTTCGCCGGGTACGACAGGCTGTTGCAAACGTAACAGCGAATGCTATAAAACATACAAGCAAGGGTTCGGTAGTTGTTGAATCGTACGTCACTGAAGTCCTTGAGACCCGCGTCAAAGTTGAAATTGTTGTCCAAGATACAGGCAATGGTATGAGTAATGAAAAGTTGGATAATCTGTTCCGAGACTTGGAACAGGTAAGCGCGGATGTGGATGACTCTACGCCTGTTGAAAATATCGAGAAGCCGGGCGAGGGCCGAACTTTGGGATTAGGCCTTGCAGTGGTTGCAAGAATAGTGCGAAATATGAATGGTCAGCTTCGGTTAAAGTCTGAAGAGGGAAAAGGATCAAGATTTGTAATTCAACTTCCCTTCGACTTGCCAACAGAAGAGTCACTTGACAAGCTCGGTGCTAAACGCGCATCTGTCAACCCTAAGGTAATATCGAGCACTGCTTCTATCACTAAGGCCATGCCATCGATGGATATGGACGAAGTTATGCTTATTGATAAGGGAAGCACGAACCCAGTCAATGCTCAGAGGCGTGGGAGCACCGAAAGGAGGAGCTTTGATGAGACAAAAAGTATATCTAGCGCAAGGAGCGCTGCTAGCAACAGTGGCCAGAGCAACAAAAGTGATGCCGATCGTTTGATTGACGCTATTCAAACACCTCTAACTATCGGAGGACTTGATGAAAAGACGGGCAGTATAAAACATATAAGCCCTAAAGAACGACAAGACTCGCATCACACTATGGTTAATCCACCCACTACCGAGAGGAATAGTCTAGAACGACCAAGTACCTTGCAGCGATCAAATTCAGCAATGTCGGATGGTTCCTACCCTATCACAGATACCAAAACGTCACTCAAACCTGTCAAGGTGCCAGATGAATTCTTCGATCGTCCGCTAAGATCGACAGCTAGCCAAGCACCTAAGATACCATATGAAATTGCCGGAGTCACTAAACCTGACGGAGGACAAACTAACGCACATATGCTAGCCCCCCCTCCACCCCATCTCAATAACCTGAAGGTGCTTGTGGCAGAAGATGATCCGATCAACATGAAGATTCTTCAGAAGCGCCTAGAGAAAGCCGGACACGAAGTCTACCATGCTGTTAATGGCGAAGACTGCGCAGCCGTTTATAGGGAAAGACCCGGTGCTTTCGATGTCATTCTTATGGACATGCAGGTAAGTGACCATGTCCAAAGGTGTACGGTACCTACCGTAGGCACTCGATATAGCTAACTCTCAAACATCAGATGCCTATCGTCGATGGCCTTAGTAGTACGAAGATGATACGAGCGTTTGAAAAGGCCGAAAAATGCCTAGAGCTCTCAACTTTGGCTGCCGCTCACAAGAGAACCCCGATCTTTGCTGTGTCAGCTTCTCTTTTGGAACGGGACAGCCCAACTTATATGGCGGCCGGATTTGATGGTTGGATTCTTAAACCGGTCGATTTCAAGCGACTCAACATTATACTCGATGGGATTTCCAAGGAAGATATTCGGACAGGGTGCTTTTACGTCCCTGGCCAATGGGAGAAAGGCGGATGGTTCGAAAGGGAATCGACGAGCGAGGGAGGGGTGGCTTAACGAAGTAAAACGTCGCGACCTATAGAAACACGACCGGCGGCTCTATAGCCACACTCTTCTCGCAGCACCTCGAAAGCGAGTGTTACATTGGGCTAATAATATTAACAATGATGCGTCGTGATAGACTTCGGAGGCTCCTAAAGGGAGCGAGACTCGAATCATGTTTTCATGAAGCTGGATACCATAGAAACGGCCGATAAATCTAATCTAATTCAAGCAAGAAAACCGACGATATGCTCACGCATCTTCATACGTTTAGAGGATTACGGATGGGTCCGGCAACATTCAGATCTATTTCATATCTGCTATAGAAGGGTCCAAGAGCGGGTCTCTTCGTCTTGCGGTTTCCTTAACGGTTACACAAAAGGGGGTTACCATGAAAGTACACGCATTGCATGGAGTTCAGAAGGTCACTCATATACACGGATCGGGATCTTGCACGGTTTTCATGCTATATCGGGGTTTTCTAGGTACGCACCGTGATGTTGCTTGAGTTTTGTGGTTACTTATTGTTAGCTATTGAACGATGTTGAGATCTTGGTTTTTGGCTTTGGAATTGAATGTATATTGGTTTGAAGACTACAAGATGTAGTGCATATCTGCGCATGTACCTGTTCAGGATGTAAGGATGTGCTATAGCGTATTGAAGTAGCTGGTGAATTACGAGTACTTCGTAGAGGTATTCAATTTGCGATAATGCACCAGACTTAGAGCGATAGTGACGAATGGTAAATCGAAGACTAGTAGAAAATCACATAAAACATCGCTAACGGAATGCGACAAGTACTATTTATTCTTTCATTCAATTCGAAAAGTTTCATTATCCAGAGGACTGCCTTTTCGAGCCCTTTCGTTCCCATCTATGTTAACCCTGAATCCCGTTCTACATATTGGCGTCATCCCATAATATGACTTCGTTACACGGCGTTTCCCTCATTCGGTTTTCCCCGACCGTTACAGCAGACACCCACCCCTCCTCATAGATGTCCAAAGCTGCCTACCTGCCTACCTACCTTTACCTTAAATTTAGGTATGTACGTAGGTAGGTGTATGGTGATAAGATGAGAGAGAATATTCATTCGACCCCCTTCCCAACCCTTAGATAAATAATAATCCCAAATTCGAAAAAAAATAAAAACAAAACATTAACATGATGCTTGCGCCTGTCTGATCCGATGCCCGTTTTCTGTCTGTCTATTGTGGTACATGTGATGATGTGATAAGGATGTGATGGGGAGGTAATTCGTAAATGCCGTGATAGATATATGTGCATGTGAACAAATAAAGTGATAAATGATAAAACATTCGTTCCGCCCGACCTTGGAGATGGGGATGGTGGTGGGTGGTTGGAGATAATATGGTTGCTTTAATGGTGTTGGTGATGGTGATGGTAATGGCGGCGGCGGTACTGGTAGTGGTGGTTGGAAAATGCTCGACCTGCGATTGTTGGTCGATGTCCGCGCTGCCCTTACTTAATAAGTAGTAGGTAGCAGACAAGTCCGAAGGAAGGTGCGATACCTCCGCACTTTACTTGGTCTCGCGGACGGCGCTATTAGATGGGCAGGTATGTGTGGCCGCCGCACGAGACCGGGTCCCCGGAGCGGGAGGGGCGAGATAAGAGTCGACTTCAGCACCATCCACAGCGTTAGCTAACTGTCAACGACCTTGCTTTCGTAGCTGAGATGGTGGGAGTTGGGATTATTCATCTCCTAAACCAGTCGACCTTGACTCGCTTTCTTCGGAGATGGTGCCTTGTGTCCGGGCCATGTGGACTAGTCTGTAGATTCCAAAGGCGATGAGGGCTAGGACGATGAAGAGCACGATAATGATGATAGCGATGACGTCGTTTTCTTTAACCATCTTGGCGGTTTTAGTTTAGAGCGAAGGGTGGAGGATGAGTTGACGGAGGAATGCGGAGGTCTCGAAAATTGTGAGACAGAATGATAGAGGATATTCGTCTCTATTTCTTCCCGGAAGTAATCGATAATGGTTATCGGAGTATCAAATGGCGTTCTTGAGAGCAATAGGTAGATGGTAGATCGATGTTGAAGAAATAGCGATGCGATTCTCTTGAACAATTCGCAGGATCAAAGGATCAGAGATCAGACAAAGGTATCTTTCGAATTGCAGCACAAGATCGATAATGATAATGATAAGGTTGCAAAAGAGGAAGCAAGAGACATGGCGAATGGAATGCGTGAGTGCCAGGAATCGGAAGGTACAAATACTGGTGGTTGCCCCGCCATTTTGGTCGTGTAAATAGCGAGGCTGGGTCCAGAAAATACGCAAGGCGGGAGTTTTTTGTCAAAGGGAGCAGGGGTAGCTGGGCTTAGCTAGGGTAGCTTCTATCGCGGTGGTTGGCAGGAGCTTTTTTCAAGGTTATTTTGCAGGGGTTTTAGGCGTCGAAACGCGCTGGATGCTTGGGTGGTCCAAGCTTCTGGCCTGTTAGCGTTGTTCCCAACCTCCTTCCGACTCTACCAAATGATTCGAAAGGTGGTAAGGTTTTACACGTGTAGTTGGCAGTTGCATGTCGATACGATATCGTAGGCACTAAGCACTGCGATCTCGTTAATTTATGCAAATATCAATTCGTAGAATTACTCTTTTTTTCCGAGCAAAGGGAATAAATCAGATAAGATGAGGATGAGTGCAAAGCCTTACCAACGCCAATGTCATCAAGACCTCTGGTTAGTAGTAGGCATGGAAAGCTGCCCCTTTTCCCCGGCGCCCCGAGCAATTTGAGCCGAAGTAATCTGACTTCGGATCTGAGGCTTAAATACATATACAGTGTTCTCAAGTTCGCAATGTTCTCTGCTTCGCCCATGTTTTGTCCCATTCGACTATCTCATCGTAATCGCCATTCAGTATGCGGGCCAAGACTCCCCAAGTCCATATTCCTGTAAATAGGTATAGACCAAATCTCTGCATGATGTAGTAGTTCCGATTTAACCGACACCTCTAGCTAGGTAGGTACTATTGTTGTAGTGCGGTATTACTCGTCCTTCAGGCCGCTTTCCGACGACATAACGATTTTAACGTGTCGTTCATAGAATTGAAGCATCTAAAATCATGTATAAGTAATGAAGCATATAGGAAAAACCAAGCTAATATTGTGAACATACCTTCTGCGGGCAGCGCTGGTAGACGACCTTGGTATCGTGCTGGGTCTTTTGGCCATTCTTCCACGTAAGGTAGACGATCAATTTACCTGTATTCTCGTCGTGACAGGCATCGATAGATTCTACCTCGTCTTCCCAGGAACCTACTGGTACCCTCCAGCCTTTTCCGCTAGCAGGTGGCGTTGCAGAATCGGGATGATCTCCATTTCGTCGTCGCTTCGTGCCGTTGGTAGGAGTTCCCGATGCTGGCCTTCCACGCTTCTTCGTCTTGAGCGCCGTCTTCGCATCATCCATGATCTGCTCTCGTCCGCCTACGCTTCGAAGGTACTCCTCTAGGACGTCGGACGCATTTTCCCTAATCGAAGGGTTGTCAGTACAGGAACAGGCGCATAGACGAGACTGGGTGTCGTATGATAGCTAATAAATAGAGGACCGTCGCGCTTACTTGAGGTTCTCATCATCTTCCCATGTCTGATCTGATTTCTTCTCATAGCCTTCCCATTTGACTTTGAATTTTAACGCGCCCTACACAAATTTTTAGTAAGCTGAAGACGAAATGAAGCGCTCGCGTGAAGCTTACGTCAGGTTCGACGACGTGACCGAGGATCTTTTCGACGATGAATCTATATGCTAGTTAGCACTAGCTACTGCCCGTTTATATAGGTGATAGTGCGCACTCGTCTTCGTCTAGGTCCTCTGCGACTTCTTCCTCGTCCCCTTCATCATCTTGGTTGTCATCTCCGTTCTCAACGTCGGCCTTAACAATATCTTGCATTTCGTCATCATCGTTTTCCTCTATCTTCGTAGATGCCCTTTTTGTGCGTTTCGAGGTTAAGGAAACAGTCAATTCGCCATGGTCGGACGCTTCTTCGTCGCTAATTGCTATAGAAACCGTAGTTAGCTTCGGGGTTTCCACGGCGAAGTATTATTGGGTTGCGCGGGAAATCAGTAGGTATGAAACTTCGTGACAAGTTGGTGTCAAAGGTCCAAATAACGTACCTGGAGGCATATTGAATATGTTGGAAGCGCGCAGCGTGATGAATTCGGGATACTCGAGATGAATTGATCGGGGCGAAAACAGTAAGTAAATAATTTACAGAGCGTACCGAAGTTAGACAAGTTCTTGCGACAAATCAAGTTGGAGTTGGTCGCGATGTATCAACGAATTAAGTTGTTATGTGGTCCGAGCGCAGTTACTGCCGGGTTTATTAATCAGCTGCAAACAGTTGACGAGTACAAACGATATAAAGGTATTGTTTTTTATATGCATACATATGTATAAAGAGAGTATCAAATGGGAGGCTACCATCTTAAGAGAACTATGCATTTATATAGTGTTTCAAGGCCAACGAAGCTAAATATTGTACATTTGATCTGCCAGCTGAAGACCCGTAAACCCCGGTACAATCCTTGCTCCACGACGATGATCCCGGACAAAAGCTTCAGTTTCCGTACTTTCTCGCAAGCGTACCTTAGAAAGCTCGCATCTGTATTGTACAGTACGAATGCAGTCGCTTCATCTGTCTAGTGTTAACAGCGATTTATTCACAAGAGCGATTGACACCTACTAGGTAGAAAACAAGACAATCGAAAAAGATCCTTCAAGTTCACTGAATTTCAATGATGCATAGCGTCTGGACAGCACTGGGCTAACTTATCACTGCAGGTCCTAGGTAAGCCCGTATGGTAAACTAAACCCGAATAGGAATATCGAAGTTTACTAAACCCCCTAAACCAGTTGGCGCTAACAGGTACGTACAGAGTAACCCCTGGACCCCCTGAGCAGAAAATCCCCCAGAAAAAAAAGGACCCAAAGTCTAAAGATTGAACATTGAACATTTACATTCTCATGTTCATCCTTAAGAAACATTAAGAAACATTAAGAAACAAGAACAGGAAACAAATACATCGCAACGTCGGAAACAAAAACACACCAATTCCCTCGTCGAATTGTCATTCTCGGAAATAAATGGTCAAGGCATTACAATTCCTTTCGTCGACTCTTAAGATCCGTCTTAGGAGCTTCTCCCTGGATGAGATCCGAATGGGGGACGCTCCTTAGGGGCAAGCTGCTGATTATATACAGTATCTTTTCCTGAGCCTCACCTCACCTTACCTCACCTCCCTACACCATCTTATTCACCCCTTTCTTACCATCCATTCGTTATTCTACTTATACAATCATAACTTCTCTCGTTTAACCCATAAGCCAACCTAATTCATCATACACAACCTATTTGACAATGTCCGAAGCAGCCAGCACCGGTGCCGCCGCCGATTCTCCGGGCGGTACCAAGGCGAGTGCGCCAAAAGATAGGAACTGTCCTTACTGCGGTCAAGCCTTCACCTCGTCGTCCCTCGGAAGACATCTAGACTTGTATATTAAAGAAAAGAACCCCAAGGCCCCAGATGGCATCCACGATGTCGACGCTATTCGGAAGATGCGAGGAAGTATCACCCGTAGGCAGCCAAGAGGCTCGCTTGCTCGACGAGACACCTCCACCCCCGGCACACCGACAGCCTCGAGAAAAAGCCCTGTGTTCGACATCGGTACCAAAATGCCTTCCATACCGAAAGAAGGCCAGTTCGTTGTAGATAATCAGTTACCCAAGTATCCTTTCCAGCCTACCTGGGAGGCTACCGGCGTGATAAACGATATTCCGGCGAGGAATGGCGAGTTAAAGAATAGTCCGGATGATAGCAACGGCCAGGACTCGAGGCGGCTTCCCATGCAGCGCGCACCGAGCCGACCTTTACAAAAGTCTCAACTAGATGTGAGGCAGAGGCTCGCAGATGCTATGGACACCGCGAGAGCTGCCGAGCTGGCACTCAGAGAATTGCTCAGCTCGTTCAGAGCCGCTAAGTAAGGGACACCCCCAGGCAACACCCAACACCGCTCTAATTGCGTTACTAACTGCGTCACATCGAACAGGCAACAGATTGATATGGACTCCCTTCCCTTCGACTTTGATCCTCTTTCTCTCGATTTCCCTGCTCTGACGCTCCAATGTCTCCAAGCGCCTCCGACCCTATTTTCCTCTACACCGCATCCGACCTCTTCGTCTTGGTCTATACAACCTCCTGCCCAGAAACAATACGAAGCACTTCGGGCATTTTTCCAAGAAGAATTCAGGAAATGGAGGATTGCTTGTTCTATGGCAACTACAGCGTCGAATGAAGATCTGATATACCCGCCATCAAACATAAATGCACCTCATGATGTGCGCGAAGGAGTGAGGAAAGCGGAAGAGGCAGCTGCCGCGCTTGAAGCCCAGGTCAATGAACATCTACAATCAACCTACCATGTTTGGGAACAGCTTCCCCAGCAGAGAAAAACTGAGCTCTGGGGTCTCGAGTTGGCGAGGAGCGTAGGGAGAAGGCAGAAGGATGTGGAGAAGCTGAAGGAGGTTCAGTTTACCGCGAAGCAGGAGAATGCAAACCTCAAGTTACAGATCGATCAACTAAATCGCCTGCAACATCCAAGAGAGTTCAGGGTAGTACCACCAGCTACGATCCCTATCGAGCAATCCCTGCTCACGTATCTCGGGGATCTAGCCCATAAAGGCCGTCGGGGAATCGGACTTGACATCGAAGATCGGCACGTGGACCTCGATGCTATGGTTTCTCGTGCCATCGATCGATGGAAGACTGTTATCGTATCGACTAGGGGACCTGGCATGGCGGGACAGAGGTCTCTCGAGCAGTCAACACCAACTCCGACAAGTCTTACCCCTACCTCCGTGACCGCGCCTCCGCCTCAAATACCCGCTCAGCAACAGCAAACATCTATGCCTGCCACATCTAACGCGCAAGTAGTCCAGCCACAATCCACAACAGCTGCCGTGACTGCGTCAATGGTCGCCGCCTCGCACGTAGACGTTTCCAATGACGATAATAGCGATCAAGATGCCGACGCGGAAATGGAAGACGATGACAATTTCACTCCTATCACTCCCGTAGTCGCAAAACCGCCACAAATGCAGCAAACCCATCAGCAGTTGGAAATATCGCGGACTAGGGGCCACGACCAGCGAGTACAGATGACCACGGATGCACGGTTTACAGTCAACGGCACGGTACCCAGTCGGGGCCTCGACGCGCAGACGATGCAGAATATGAGCGCCGCTGTCTCGATACCAGGGCGTATGCACGGACATGCTATAATGAATAATGGCGATTACGGGACGATTGTTCAAGGCGTTAGCGGTGGCGAGCCAATGTATATGGATTCATAGAGAGAAACTACCACGGCGGTTCCGGCGTTCAAAAATAAGCACAAGTCATTTTTACTTCCCTCCCTTTTTTTTTCCATCACCACCATCATCAACATCATCATCATCATCCTGTTTCCCCGGCGATAGTGTCTATTCATCAGGTGGATCTTTTTAAAAGAAAATCGAGATTCTTTTTTTTCTATTTATATATAGCTTACCCGCGGATCTTACCCTTCTAACCTTACTAGATACGCGCATGGCATGGCGGCATCGAGCGTATGAGATTGCCCTAATAAATACTCCACCTAGATGTGTTGATACATAGATGCTGCTGCTGATTGCTCCGGGGGTGGGCGTGTGTCAAATAGGTACCCTATACAAATATTCGACCGCCCGCACTCGCTTTGAAATTGCGGGCGTAAAATGGAACCGGGGCTTCTTTTTTTATTTATCGGTGTTCGATAATGCCCGGTTTTTTTGGTGGTGGCTTTTTTTTTCTACTGGTCGTCTATGTCGTGCGGCTTGATGAATCAATCATATTTATCCTAGGTACCTATATGCTAGGTATATATATACTCGAATTCCGGTTGGTTGTTGTTGTCGTTGTCGTTGTTTCCCGTGGATCTTGTTTGGCTCTGAAATGTTTATAGTATGCTTGCTCGTAGAATTAGGTACCTTTTTTTTATTATTGATTTATCTCGTAACTACTACAGTACTTATTGAGCCCTGAAATTGTAACTGTTCTGACGATACCTGGTTTTTGTTACAATAGGTACCTATCTGCTTATCTAGGTACACCCCTAGGTATCTCTTAATCCTCGACAATGTCTCACAATACGCACGTAGATCACTAATGCACCCCCCGATACTCCCCCCCACAATCCCCCAGCCTCTCGTAAAGCGCCAGACTCCTTTCCCCCCGGACCCCTAGCGCCACGGCGTCGATGGCGGATACGTCGGCCTCGTCGAGCGTAAACTCGAATACTCGCTCGTTCTCGGATACGTGGGTTGAGACGCCTAATCGTGTCCCGACTATCACGGCGCCGACGCTCGGTTTTTGTAGTACCCATCTCGTGGCGATGTTCGAGATGCTGACGTTGTGTTTGGAGGCGATGGTGGAGAGAATGGTGAGCAGGGCTTGGAAGAGCGGCCAGGGGCCCCAGGTTTGGATCATGTCGAAGTACTGCGGTGTTCGGAGGGTTAGTTGAGGGAGGTAGGTGGTAGTAAGGGATGCGTAGGTACCTTGCGCTGCGAAGGCGTGAGCTGGTTCGATTCGAGATATACTTCCGGTGCGGGCTGGCCGAGCCATTGCGAGGAGAGGAAGCCTCCGCACTGTGGTGGTATATGTCAGTATAGCCAGTTGTTTGAAAGGGGGAGGAGAGCCTTACGAATGATCCGTATGTGAGCAGTTTCAATCCGTACTTCTCACATACGTGCACCATCTTGTGCAGTGGGCGCGAGTCGACAAGCGAGAACTATGGATTGGGTTTAGCGATGCGCGGACTTGGCCTCCTACCTGTGGATGGTTGGGATATTTACGGCATACTTACCTGTACCTGGTTCGACACAATTCCGACCTCTCCAGTCTTAGCGAGAAGATACTCGCAACATTCCTCCGTATGTTCGGAGTCGAAGTTGCAGAGCCCGATCGTGGACACAAGCTCCGGATGCGATTTCGTGATGCGGATAAGTTCGACGAGGATATCTAGGTATTGTTTGGATTCGTACTAGACTGGATGAGATGGGTAGACTTTCCCAGAGGAAAAGATGGGATACGTACGTCTTGCCAGTGGAATTGGAGGAGCTCGACTCGTCCCCTTAGACGTCGACATCGTTCACGCACTGCGTCGAGTACGAGCAACGTGGTTATTGGCGTTGAAATCGGCGAGAAGACGCACTGGGGCACTTGTCAATAAGTGTCACATATGAGGCAAAAGGGGAAGAACCCCTCGATATACCTACCCATTTCGTCGCAGCAAACACCGTATCCCGGACTCCAGGAACCAACGATATCCTAAAATCGCCAAATATCAACTCCGCATCGCCCTAACATCTCGATCAGAAATAGTTCAGCACCTGCTTATATCAAGGCAGTTAGTCGACATCGAAGCGCACGCACATAATGATCCGCCATATCCGCCGCCGTCAACCCGCACGCAACCGCATCCACCAGCGCCTTCTCCTGCGCCCTCCCACCCGCAGCCCCCCACGACGGCGACGACATCTGCCACAAGCCATTGAACAGCCTCGGCACGCGAAACGGACCCAGTTCGAACGTCTCCACTTTACTCGCGTCGACGACCACGGCTAGCCCTTCCGATTCCCGCGCGGTCTCCGGGCCCGGATGGGAGGGGAATAGGATCTGTATCACGTCGCGGAGCTGTCGGAGGGCGCGCGTGAATGTGAAGGGTAGTGGGCTGGGGCCATGGCAGTAGTTGCGACAGTCTTCTATGCTGGTTACCAGGTTTTGCAGCAAGGTTAGTAGTTCTGGAGTCGCTTCCGGACGCGACTCTTTGAGGGCTTGGACGGCTTGGACGATGTCGCCGTCGAAGTTTTGGAGCGTTTGGCATAGCGCGCTTGTTTCTGTCCACTAGAGGTTGTGAGGTGAGTCTTGTTCCTACGTTTTGAGGTCTGATTTGGGTTTTGAGGAGTCTGGAGGTGTGTTGTGTCACGCGAGTTGGTGTAAAGGGGCTGGTAGTACACAGTTGTGAAATATAGGTACTTACTTTAACGCCGGATTGCGGTATGGCTTTCATGAAATGGTCTAGGCTATGATTGTTAGATTGGATGGCATATATACAATTCTAGAAGCATGGGTCTTACTATGGGAGTGATTCCTGGGCTAGCTTGCACGAGAAGATGCATCTTGTCTGCGCGAGGTATGCCAAACACTCAGAGGTAACAACATCATCATCGGAGAACAATCTCTCTGGAGGCTCGAATTTAGGCGGGCTTTCAAAGAATTTGGTGCGAATATGTTCAACGAAGGGTCGTTGTGTGCTAGAACCCTGTGAGACGAGGAGGCGGAGAGCCGATCTCAGAGTAGCTGGCGGTACTACATTTTTCGGTTAGGATGGAATATGAAGGTTTGATTAAGTAGGTTATATGATAATAATATCGACGAACAGTTTGATATCAGACAGTCGTCCATCATATTTCTTAAATATGTGAGTATATCACTAGTAGGATGCCATTAGAATGCTTACACGTGCCCAGCCATTGCGAAAGTTCTTAGGTTCAATTCTAAAGCTACTTGTTAAGTACAATAACCACTTGGAAATATTAAATCAGATTTACTATGTAGTAGATAGGTAGGGATACCGATGATTCTACAAATTTGAACGTATTATAGTAGGTAGGTGATGGTGATGTTATCCGTTGTAGAGTAGGACACATCCGACATTCGACCCCAGTCCCGATAGAAGTTTAGTGAGCTATAGTTAGTCATACTAGGGTATTATGTAGGTACCTAGGTAGTATTATCACAGGCATATAAATAGTAAGCGGCGCGGAGATCGGGATCCCTACCTGGGTATCTCTCAAGGTGCCATACATAAATACTAGTAGGGGTCCAACTTACAACCCCCACTCCTCTCCGTCTGCGCAGAGTCGTCATATGCAATTTTCTACCATTAATGTAGAACTCGCAACCACTTTCCCTCTACTTAACCATATAAAATAAATATTAAAGTCTTTACGGCTGAGTAGAGCGGATATGCATGTTTCAATATTTTTACTTACCCCTATATAAGGTGACTGGCAGGCTGGAGTAGGGATATACCTTCTGTTAGCCCCTATTTCTAGAACCGTACGAAGGCAAGCGTCTATCACGAGTCGCTTTACCTAATGGGATTAGTTCGATCGACTGCCTAAACTTGGGGTAACAATAGTTCAACCGGCTAAATGTGATAGTTCCTTGTTCGGGACATCATTGCTGAGTCCTGCCGAAGCCGAAGCCAAGAAGCAGATTCCCAAGCGTCATCGTCAAGTATAACTTTCCCTCAAAAACAGGGACCTACCTAACCCATTGAATACATGCTCGTTCTCTTCCTTCAGACTTTACGAGAAAGCTATTTCACTCTTTCATCGCCATTATGCCTCTAATTCGCAATCCAATACTGCCAGGGTTTAACGCCGACCCTTCTATACTCCGGGTCGGTAGCGATTATTACATCGCGACATCTACGTTCGAGTGGTATCCGGGGGTGCAGATTCACCACTCCAAAGACCTGGCAAACTGGGAATTGGTCACGCGCCCCCTGAGCCGCAAGTCTCAATTGGATATGCGCGGTGACCCCGATAGTTGCGGCGTGTGGGCTCCTTGTCTTACACACGATGGCGAGAAGTTCTGGCTGGTGTATACGGACGTGAAGCGGAAAGACGGTTCTTTCAAGGATACCCACAATTACATCGTGAACGCTCCGTCGATAGAGGGGCCTTGGTCCGACCCCGTATACGCCAATTCTTCGGGATTCGATCCTTCGCTATTTCATGATGACGACGGCAAGAAATGGTTCGTAAACATGTTGCAGGACCACCGCCGTCGACCTCGCTCATTTGCGGGTATTGTCCTACAAGAATTCGATCCTGCGGCGGGAAAGCTCGTCGGCCCAAAGAAGAATATCTTCCTTGGAACGGAGTTGGATCTTGTCGAGGGGCCACATCTATATAAGAGGAATGGGTGGTATTATCTCCTGACGGCCGAAGGTGGTACAGCCTATCACCATGCTTGCACATTGGCTCGTTCTCGCGATATCTGGGGTCCGTACGAAGTGCATCCTGAGAAACATATCCTCACCTCAAAGGACGCCCCGCTTGCAGCTCTACAGAGAGCTGGTCATGGTGATATAGTAGAGACTCCCGAGGGGAAAACTTATCTAGTACATCTAACAGGCCGTCCGACTAACCAGGAACGTCGCTGTGTACTTGGCCGTGAAACCGCCATCCAAGAGGCTTTCTGGAAGGACGGTTGGCTTTTCGTGAAGGACGGTCCTGTCCCTTCGCTCTATGTCGACGTTCCCGGAACTCGCGACGACAGCAAATATTGGGCAGAGCAGAGATACACTTTCGGAGATGGCCTACACAAAGACTTTCAATGGCTGAGAACGCCCGAAACCGAGCGCATCTTTACTACACAAGACGGCAAACTCACATTATTCGGCCGGGAGAGCATCGGTTCGTGGTTTGAACAAGCACTAGTCGCGAGGAGACAGACTCATTTCTCCTATGATGCGGAGACGGTGATCGACTTTTCTCCGACAGATGAGAGACAGTTCGCTGGGCTTGCTGCATACTATTGCAGATACAACTTTTTCTACTTAACCGTGACGGCTCATTCCGATGGCCAACGCGAGCTCCTTATTCTGAGCTCGGAGGTATCCTGGCCCGACGGAAACCTCACCACGCCGCTCGCGGACCCAGTGCAGATACCTAACGAGGGGAAGGTCAAGCTGGCATTGACGATCCGTGGTCGCGAACTACAGTTCTCTTACGCCTTGGATGGCGACGAATTGAAGAAAATTGGGCCAGTCTACGACGCTTCTATTCTATCTGACGAATGCGGCGGTCATCAGGCTCATGGAAGCTTCACAGGGGCGTTTGTGGGAATGGCTGCCTCTGATATCAATGGGACTGCGCTGCCTGCAACTTTTGACTATTTCGTCTATAGGCCCGTTCAACACCATACTGATAGATATGACATATGAATTGCTCTCTGGTAATTTAAATGTTGCCTAGCATGTATGATCGAAATGCATAGCTCTTGCACTAGCCAGCGTCCCTATGGAGACGCGGCTTCTAATATCACCTACCCAACGAAATAAATAAAGACGCACCTTCCTTACTTGCATTGTATGATTCTCTTATCTTGAATAATCTAGATCCATCCATGACTTTGAGCCCTTTGACTAGCCCGCAGCTACATTATCTACTTTGATAGATCTAGACACTCCTTTTATCCTCTTTTTTTGCCCGCCCTTGTGCTTTTGCCGAAGACGAACATTTAGGAGGACTTAACTTCCAAGAGATCCTATTTAATTAACCATTTTTAATATGGCTATAGAAATAGGTAATAGGACTAGGGTGATGGCTGTAGTAATCACAACAGCGACAAAGAATTGTTCTGCGATAAGGAGCCAAATTCTGCGTCGAGTGATTTTATAGAACGCTTCCAAGACTAAGACGAAGATGAGGCTTAGAAGATACATGGTAGCTATGGACTTAAGATAGATCAATATCATCGTATATGGGTTAATATTAGAGAATAGGGTTCGAGGGTGTAGCACCTGGAGATAATTAAAAAATGACATTGTGTGTGTGTGTTTGCTGTTATTAAGAAGCAAGTTTTAATGGTATTTAGGTAAGTTAGAAGAGAGCAAGCTTGCCTTATATGCTTCTATTTATCTTCAATCATTATATACTGTTCTAGTTGCCAGTAAGTTCTCTTTGGGTTGGTGTACAACAAAGGTGTTCACCCATCATACTCAACAGTCCCCTTGCTACCTACCAATTGGGTTCATACCTAATTGTCAAAACTATTTCTTTTTACTTCTGGAATCGTTGACCTGCGGTCTGTAAAGATCATCATTTAAACATGATACTCAAATAAAAATAAGATGTTCATGCCTTAAACCTCGTATTGGAAGTGTTACAGGATAAGACGGTCAACTCGAATTGGTTTAGTCATCGAATGAATAGGGGTAATCGCCACCTTTGTTGTAAATATAACTAGAATAATCTCGATATTAATCGTACGATCTGTGAATGTGTGTTTGAGTTACGTGATAATCATATACAAAAGGTCGTATAGTTGAGTTATGGGTCTTGATCGTGATAGGGGAGGAAGGATTCTTTTACCAGTAGTTCGACAAGCTACTGGCCTAAATATAGTCTGTTTAATATTCTTAGGTAATAATGACCGAAATATTGTATTTTGGACGCCGCATTAGCTTAATGACATGAATTTAGCTCCTTCTTTCACCGTATCTTCCTTCAGTTGGGCCGATCACACCTTACTTACACGCATCCCACATGAATTGCTACTTAGCCACTAAAGAACAATACATTAATTCCTCGGAGGATTCGTAGTTAATATATTCAATACCACTTGAGAATTGAGAGCTGAATATTAGTCTCTCGATCGCTGTCGACTAAGCTCTATTCGAAGATATTATGCTGTTGTAAAATGTATAAAAGAATTAAACAATTCCCTTGCTTTCCCCCTTAACTCTCAGCCAACCAACAACCCAATAACTCGTCTCAAATTACTTGGCACTCCTAAGTTGCAATTTCCAACCCAAATCACAACATGCAAGTCTCACTTCTCAGTGTTATTACCATCGTAGCATTCGCTATGAACGTCGCTGCTGGCCCCGTGCCGGATGAGCTTCTCCCACGAAAATGCGTGAGTAACTACCTAAACAACACAATGGCTAGATGAATACGTATTGACATACTATGTAGTCTGGTATCGGTACATGCGGAAATCTCATCTGCAAGGTGAAGAGTGGTTGCACCTGCTCCAACGCAGGCTGTCTCAAGGAGTCAAGCCGAATCTGCACTTGCGCTTAGGTCATGATACAATGAGGGATTGCAGGGAATGGTCCATTGGGTCGAAAACATGCCTTGGTATAATGTACATTACCTCCGCTAAATAGAACTCGGACAGCAATATTCCCTCTTCTCCTAGCTCAGGTGTTCTGGGGGGGCTAGCATCTTCTTCGCTCTTGTGCAATGCGCGGGAATATAACCTAACGGAATTGACCTATCCTGTACCAACCTTACACATCATGAACCTGCTTTTTCAAAACATACCAGGTGCCTATCTAGATATGTACCGTGACATGGGGCAGATCTTATGTAGATAACTGTAGTTGAAGATAACGTATATTAACCTATACAAAGCTAGTCATAACGTCGCGCCATGTTCTGCCAACATTCGGATGACCCTACGATTTGCATAATGACTATCATGAGCTATTGATAACAAACCCTTATTTTCGTTGTCTCTAACCGTGGTATCGGCGCCTGAGGCGAGTAGGAAACGCACTACGCCCAAAGATCCCACTGCCGCTGCGTGCATCAACGGCGTCCAGTTCTCGCTATCTCGATAATCTATTGCGGCACCATGCTCGACCAGTAAGCGGGTTATGACCTCGTTTCCTCTTTCCGCCGCTGTAATTAAAGGGCTCCTGAGAGAAGTAGGAGTAGGGCGGCCCTCGGCATTGGCGCCTCTATTTAGGAGTAGTTTGACGATAGCTTCATAGCGATGATGCACTGCCGTATGTAACGGAGTCGTGGGAATGTCATGATTTCCGATTACATTACCACTGCCTTCGATATTTGCCCCTCGGTCGAGTAATAATTTGACAACAGTATCGTATCCTCCGTGTGCCGCGACATATAATGGGGTTTCAAACGTTTGGCTACGGCCTTCTATCTCGGCGCCCCAGTCTAGCAATAGCTGGACGATAACTTCGTACCCTTTTTGGGCTGCAACCATCAACGGGCTCTGGAAAGAGCGGCCGCCCTCGACATTGGCACCTTTACTCAGTAGTAATTTCACGCAAGTTTCTTGGCGACCTGTTGCTGCTGCTAATAATGGATTCTTGTCGTCTCCATTGCCTTCGATCCTAGCCCCCCGATCGAGCAACAGTTCGACAATAGACTCGTGTCCATTCACTGCTGCCATATATAACGGAGTTTCCCATTCGCCCTTGGCATCGACGCTTGCTCCCCGGTCAAGCAGTATTTTGACGATAGCTTCATGCCCATTCTCCGCCGCCATTAATAATGGAGTTTCCCATAGACCTCTACCGTCGATCTCTGCGCCATGATCAATCAATAGCTGGACGACATCTTCGTGTCCATTTTCCGCTGCTACGTGTAATGGAGTCGTGCACCTATCGTTGCCTTCGATATCGGCGCCCCGGTCGAGCAATAATTGGGTAACAGCTTTATGCCCGTACACTGCTGCCATGTATAACGGAGTTTCTTTTACATTGTCACCGCCTTCGATGTTAACGCCTTGGTTGAGAAGTAGCTGGATGACATCTCCATATCCGCCCCTTGCAGCATTTAACCAATTTAATCTCTTATGATAGTCATTTCTGAGAGTGATGGAGGGGTCACGATCGAATACTAATTCGAGGATGGCTGGATTTCCATGGTTTATCCCATGCCGGAGTAGAGATAACAATGTAGGTGTGTTGAAATCGATGCCGTCGACTCTGTCAAGTAGTAACTGGATTATACCGTTGTACCCATTATGGAGTGCGATTGAGAGTCGATTGTTGACATCGCTGACCTCGACACCCTTGTCAAGCAGTATATAGGCCATTGATAGAAAACCATTGTCCAGCGCGTAAGTCATGGGGTTTCCTCGATAAATCTCAGGGTCTTCCCTACAAAATTTACCCCCGAGAAAAATGCCCCTGTCAAGTAAAAACATGATAATCGAGCTGTGGCCGTGATATGCTGCTAAGCTTAATGCGCCTTTTTCATAACCGGGTGGGTAGGGGTCGGCACTGTTGTCGAATAATAACCTAGTAATGGCCTCGTTTCCTTTCTTTATAGCAAATAAAATGGCGGGTCTTTTGATCCATTTATTCGGGTCGGCGCCGTGATGAAGTAAAACCTGTACAAGAGATGTATTTTCCAAGTCTACTGCTATTTCGAGGGGTGTCACACATTCATCCCCAATCCCTTTTGTAAGATCAACCTTTTCAGTGGCAAGGAATACATCTACTATCGCAGGATCCGTTTCTTGTATCAAAAGGGAAACTATAGTTTTCTTCATAAATACGAAGCCGCGGCTCAACGTACTTAGTTTCTGTTTGATGCTGACAAACCCATTGCATGGGTTATGGAAGGTAGAGCCCATTGGTAAATTTTTAACTTGCATCTGTAATAACGCTTCGACAGCTTCGTTACTTTGAGTGATGAGGGCAGCAAATATTGGGATACCGTAACGCGCCTTCTCCACAGCAAAACATGATTGAGGGGGATTTATTCTTCGAATGAGATTTGGCAAGTTGTTCTCGGCTAGCACATAATAGAGGCTCTCTGTCGATGTGTATCGGCGTATCTGATGTGGTTCGAATATGTTATTTATCAATTTCCAATCTTGTAGTCCGAATGTGGACAGGAAGTCCTGTTGGTAGATACCGTCCCTTGTTGAAGCTTTGTCTGCATGATAAAAAATGTTCTGGCGGGCATATTCGAGGAACGGATATTTGCCAGTAACGCGGTACCGAAGATTTGTAGCTTCTGGGCTTGATGCATTTGGAAGTGGCTTTGAGAGGTTTAAATCATGTATGAGTTTGTCGTTTAGGTATGTGAGGCAACACTGTCTCAACCTGTCATGACTTTTCCCTTCAAGGTTGGACTTAAGCTCAGGCCATATTTTCTGGAGTCCATTTTCTTTGAGGAGAAAATCTCGAATTGATTCATGGATGAACTGGATCGTAGGTGTCTCGGTGTTTGTTTGTTCCGCAAGCCCTTTCGAATTTGTGAGGATATATTTATACACCCTGTCGCGATGCGCACCCCTCTCTCGATGCGCACCCCTCTCTCGATGGCACTCGAATACCCTGTCTGGCTCAATCCCAGAAAGAATTGCGAAATACAATTCTTTGGGAGTAAGTGGGCGCCTTGAAAAGAGCATCCACTGGATGCAGAGTAGAAGGGCATTCATATTCTTGCAGTCTCGAGTTAGTATGTCGTAAATAAGATCGTGGAGATCTCTAGGGATATCCTGAAGCCTGTCGCGAAGACAGTGCTTGCGCCCACCGTCGCACTCCTCATTTAGGATGTCCACTACCAGGACCACCCATAAGAACACCCCACTCGATTTCGCCAGTATTTCGGAGTGTATCTGGTCAGCAAGGCAGTCGTCTTCGCCTTCGTGAATAACTAATATGTCCGTCAGATAGTCAGCTATGTCTTGTTGATGCTCTTGTCTCCGTTCAATTACTAACTCAAGCCCCCTTTTAATAGCAATATGTGGATAGTGTCTACTCGCAAGGCAAACACGCAATTGAGTTTCTGCTGTGGCTGCTTTTTTGCTAACACTCGATAGAAATGATAATAGGTCCCGAATTTGTTGTTGTTCACACTCGTCCAATGCATCTATAAATAATATGAGTGAAGCTTTCTCCATCGCACATACGACTTCCTCGAATAGATCTTTCAGGGATTCAATGTTCCACTGGTGTCCTAGTCTAATGGAGTCGAGGATATATCGAAGATCCGGCCTCTCTTCGAATAGCTGCAATAATAATGACCTGTAGAGACCACTCGTAGATTTTTCCAATTCTTCTCCTCGTGCATTGAAGAAGAAGGAGAGGACAATGTTCCCCTTCCTCGTCAGAGTTCGGTTGGTATGCAAAAGTGTGAACTTCATTAATATTGATTTTCCCGCCCCAGGTTTACCCTTGATCCATAACAGACCACCATGTTTATCAAAATTGCTGGTATCGAGCCATTCGACGTACTGTGGAGTATCTAAAAACCATTTACAAGTTTTCGCATGTGCCCTTTTGATGGTCGTTCGGCGCGAATCGATTTGGGAAAAGTTAAGAGATTCGAGTAAGTTGCGGCGTTGCCTCTCTGTGCTAGCTGTGGTGTCGTGGTCATTTGAGCTCTGCACGAAGGTCTGGAAAACGTTGTGGTGTGAACCTAAGAGTTAGGTATTAGTCCAGCCTTGAGGTCTCTCGTGGGGGTAGTAGTTGTACTGGTATAGTTTCCAGTAATGCGAACATCTCCGCTGGAGGTATTCTGGATCCCTTCACCAGAATGCTGAGTGAAACCTTGACTTTCGCCTGGGCGGCAAGGATTCTTGCCATGCCCATCAATGTTAGAGCTTGTAGATTCCTCTTGCCGCTCATAATACTCATTCGGTTTGAATCTCTTGGTCTGGCGCATCATCCTCCATCCAACCCATAAACGAGACGCGGCTTTCAATGCTCATCAGAAAGCTTCGGTTAAATAAATTATAGTAAAGTGTGTTTCAATGAGGATTTATGACCATAATACATTATAGGTGATGTTAGGCTGCTTGACATAATTCGGGTAGCAAGGATTATAATATTTAACTAGGTAGGTACTTTCGATGCGTAAAGCTTTATAGCTGGGCCGCGACGTAGCATTAGAATGGACCCCTATGATATTTAGCTGTGAGCAATGTCTCTGCTAAAGCACTAGACGATGAACTTACATGACGGACGTAGTATTTCAGACCAAATTAAGAACCAACCGCTCTGCCTGTCAGCCCTGTTTGATTGGTCCCGGAGAGCAGATGGTAAGGTAGAATGGACTGGACAACTTTGTACTGTACCATAAAAACTTACCTAAATTCAACCTCGCACCATCCCCTTTATACACTTGAAGCCTTTTACCTGAATAATACGACCATGTGTATGAATGGCTGACCTGAGACCTCAAGATTATTCCATCATATGGATTGCGCCGCTAGAAATCGAGGCACAAGCAGCCATACACATGTTAGACCGTAGACATAATGGTAGGTTTCCGGTGAGCCGCGGTGATGATTATGTGTTTCAAGCTGGAGAAATGTGCGGACATAACATTGTGATCGCGACTCTTCCAGCGGGCCAAGAATACGGAACGGGGTCAGCCGCAGCACTTGCTAGCCAAGCGAAAAAGTTCTTCCCAAATTTTTGGTTCGGTCTTCTCGTGGGTGTGGTGAGTAATACTTTCAAATGATCTTAAAATGCTTACTTACTCAGATATATTCTAGGCTGCTGGTCTCCCTAACCTTCAACGAAGTCCACCGCGAGATATACGACTAGGTGATGTTCTTGTCAGCGTCCCTAATGTCAATCGCTCGGGGACCGTGGCCTACGCCTTGGGCAGAGAGACAGGAGAAGAAGAGCTCGAGCTACTACGTCAGGGTCATGTTCTAGCCCAAACAGAGCCTGTGGTGAGAGCTGCAATTGGAAGCATCAAGCTAAATTCGCCGAATGATTCCGAGCTATTTCTTCCATATTACGAAACCATGAAGAATAAACTGCATCCGAATAGGACTTTCGATGACCCTGGACAGGAACATGACAGACTTTATCAGCATGGTGATGATGGGGTTGAAAGTCTTGTAGAGAGACAACCGCGCCCCGACTCTCAACGAACTCTTGTGTGGTATGGATCTATAGGGTCTGGCGATAAGCTCATGAAGAATGCTGCAAGACGAGACGAATTGAGAGATAAGTACGACATCATTGGCCTAGAGATGGAAGCAGCAGGGACCATGAATCGGATCCCCGTCGGGGTAATCAGAGCTGCTTGCGACTATGGGGATAAACATAAGAACAAGAAGTGGCAGCCATACGCAGCAGCCATGGCGGCTGCATACGCCAAAGCCATCTTGTCTCAGATTCCCCCGACGCCTAGGCCTGACAGACGAGATGGGCAAGGACGGAGCAGATGTCGTGCAAGAGACTCAACAGACTCCGATTCAGACTCAGATGAAGATAGTAGGAATAAACGACCCAAATTAGATAGTACGACTGGGTCCACATCTAGAAGAGATCGTATCATCTTTAGAGGTCAAGGAAACCAGAACGTAGGCTCCGGGAGTATCTCGATTGGTGGGGGGCAGTATTTTCATTGAAAAAAAGAAAAGCAAAAGCCCATCTCCTGTATTTTGTATGGAGAGTTTACTCTTTGTCCGGACCGTCCCGCGATCTTACCCCTGTTGTTCCTAAGATTAGTGGCTGTAGCGGGGTTCTCGAAATGTACTGTCTACTTTCACAATACTATACAATTGAGTGATTTTAATCATCTTCTGTCATCTTCCGCAAGTATATAGTACAAACTACTAGACGGCAGAAGGTTCAGCTTTTTATGGGTTCCAAGGTGAAAATCACGGAGATCTTTTTACCTACCGTAGGTACCTGTCGAACATACATACTTCACTCGAAAGACACTTTTACCCTCCTGTAATAAAGTTTATTTATTCCTTACGAGGTAATTAACAACCATTACGACTCGATGGTGCGTCATGAAGCCGTCTTGCGGGCCGGTGCATACCGCGTCGGTGCTACGGGACTCCGACTCTCCAGCAGCTTCTTACGCACCCTTCAGCGCACCTGAAGGGTGCGTGTATATATTGATGGGATATGCGGCATCTCCATGTTGAAGTTACCAAACCAACCTTATAATCTATTCTTCATAAAATAATCCCATACCAAGATGTCCATCACCGTCGGAATAGCTGGAATTACGGGAAGGTTTGCTCGCGAGCTCACCTCAATCCTCTTGAAAAACCCGAACGTCACTATTAAGGGGTACTGCCGCGACCCTTCCAAAGTTCCACAGTCGTTTTCCAATGTATCGCTCGTGAAGGGAGATGCCTACGACGAGCCCGCTATCCAGTCCTTCGTCACTGGCTGCGATGTTGTGGTTTGTTGCTACCTCGGTGACCCCAAACTGATGGTCGAGGGACAGAAACTCCTCATTGACGCCTGCGCCGCCCAAGGCGTTCCACGCTATGTCGCCTCGGACTGGTGTGTAGACTATACCAAGCTCAAGCTGGGACAACTCTTCCCCAAAGACCCTATGATTCATATCAAGGCATACTTAGACGCGCAGGATAAGGTCAAGGGGGTCCATATTCTAGTTGGAATGTTCACTAATGGCTTTTTCGGCGCACATTTTGGCATTTACGATGCTGTCACTACCACGTTCAAGTACTGGGGCACAGGCAACGAGATCTGGGAGGGAACTACCTACCGGAACGCAGCTGAGTACACCGCTGCAGTCTGCTTAGACAAGGATGCCGTGGGTATTCTCAAACGTGAGTTATTCCTAAATACGATGTGACTGTAAACAGCAGCTCGCACAAAACTTATCTAACTACCTACCTATAGTTGTCGGCGGGCGATCCACAATCCATGAGATAGCGACATCATTCGAACGAGTCTATGGCGTGAAGCCTAACGTTGAGTGCCAAGGCTCATTGGACGATTTATTCAAGCTCATGAACGAGCAAAGAGAAAAGGACCCGAAGGACCTCTTCTCGTACATGTTCTTGTAAGTGAAGAGCATCTATTTATATATACACCCATTCGGCTCCATACTTACACTACCATAGACTCTTTCATTATTACATGATCAACGGAACGACCGAAATTGGACCTCAATATGATAATGACAAATATCCTCAGGTGAAACCTGTAACTTGGGAAGACTATCTCAGAAATGTGTCCCAAGATCAACTACCCAACGCAATGAGCGTCGTCGGTCAGAATGTCTAGGGCCGTAATAAAAAGATTGAGCCATCCATGAGACTAGCAACATGCGTACACCTAGGTACCTACCTATTTAGTATAACTACCAAGAAAATACTAGCATCACTATACCAAACTACTTACATACAAACCTACCTACATAATACCTAATATACACCAAAATCCCCAAACCCAACTCCACTCTTCTTCACCACCACACCATCATCTACACCCTCTCCCTCGGCCAAAACCGCACCTTCACACCCGTCATAATCGCCACATACGTGAAACTCCTCATCATGCCCACATCCGGCCTCTCCACAACCTCGACCTCGAACTCCCTCAACACGCCCGCCACGATCTTCGCAAGCAGAAGCTCCGCCAAGTTGCGGCCGGGACAAGTATGCGCGCCACCACCCCACGCCAAACTCACGCGCTCAAGCATCCGCCACGCCTCCTCGCTCTCCAGCCACCTCTCGGGCCTGAACTGCGCCGCGTCCGCGCCGAAGATCGTCGGGTTCACCTGCATGGCCGGGACGTTGACCCCGACCGTTGTTCCGGGCGGAAACGTGTATCCATGGATCCTCAACGGCGCGCCCGCGGGTACTTTCCGCCACAACGCGAGAGCTGTGACGGGGTGGATGCGGAGCGTTTCTTTTATCGCGGCTTGCAGGTACCGGCATTTATCGAAGTCGCCGTTGTGTTCGTCGAGCTCGGCTTGGATGCGCGATTGCACGCCGGTGGAAGTGCTGATGGCGGAGAGGGCGGAGGCGGCGATCGAGGTCGTGGTTTCGTGCCCCGCGACGAAGTTGAAACTTGCCATCGTGGAGGCGTAGTGCACTTTCCAGTTCGGCTTTGTGGTTGTGGCGGCGAGGAGCTCCGATAGCATGTCTGGGGCTGCGGCTTCGGCTTCTGCGTCGGTGTGGGCGGGGTGGAGTTGTTTCTCCGAGGAGACGAAGGCGGCGGTGCGGGCTTTTATGATTTCGAGGGCTCGCTGTTGTGCGGGTTAGAGAATCGTGCTGTGGAAGGAGCGTTTTTGGAATAGGGGGTCTGAGGAGGTACGTACTGGCTCAAATGGCACATAACTCGCAGGTAACTTGATATCAACTCCGAAGAGCTTAGCGACCCTGGATCGAAGCGAAGGCCATTTTTGGACAATAATAAGCCACGATTGTAAGGAGCCGAAAGCGGTGATCTGCCGCCATTGCTTGATGCTCTTGGCGAGGAATCCGTGGTCACTTTCATCCTTGATGAACCCGGGAGACCAGTTTAGAGTGATGGCACAAAGACACTCGACAACGGCGAGATGCATCCATTCGGCAAGGTCCAGTTCCTCTCCTTCCTGCGTCTTTAACTTGGCAATGAAACGATCCACCACCTCATCGATACGATCGCTATATTTCTTAAGAGAGGCTGTGGTGTACGTGCCCGTGATGCTCTTTCTATGGCTCTTGTAGCGCTGCATATCAAGCTCTCCATTAAAGGCGAAGGCGTCGCCTGGGTGTCGACGAAATCGCCAGTCTATCGTTCCCGGGTTGCCACTTAGGGCCCCTATTTGATGTAAGCTCGTAGTCCAGGGAGAGGGGTACTCAGGTATCCATACAGTAAAAGTCACCCTTTTCAATATAGTGGCTTCCAGCTAATCACAGCGTTAATAATCCATGCTCATATCCAAGACTTGGGGAGAGCACATACTATAAATTGCCTGGAAAGCCTCTCTGGAATCGAATGAGACTTCATTCGGACTTATCCGAACCACTGGTCCATACTTCTTATGCAAGTTCTTGCTAAGGGCCGCCACTGAGACAATATTAGTAACAGCTAGAAGGTCTAGGGAGTATTGAAAGTTGTACTCACTCCGGCCTTGCTTTACCTGGTATACATACCATAGACTTGTGATGGCGGCGAGTCTCGGTCCTGGTATCTTCGCAAGCGGATGTAGGAATAAGCGATATACGAATAGGGATAAGGGGAGTAATGAGAAATACGCTGCCAGAAACAGGTAGGGATGTGTAAGTATGAAAGCCATGATATCAGACGTTCGTACGACTCAGTCGTAATCTTGATCGTTTGTGAACCCAACGGAAGAGTCTACGAAGCTGAGTTGTACAGGAATTCAAGTCGAAGAAGGTGCTTATAAGAGAGTAAGCTCTAGTGGAGTAGTGCTTCCGATGGGAGAACGGGAATGCCCATCACTCAATAACATGGAAGATGATAGAACATGTGAAAGCGGGTAGTTAGGCAGGTACACTGTGGTTCTAATACATCCCTGCCTACTTCTACGATCCATGTAGCCACGCGGATGGTTTACCAGTGCTGTGTAACTGGATCCGACATTCTCCGCTGAACTGCCGTGCTTGAGACTCACATATTATCTGGTAGAATGTTTCCGGTTCGCCGCTAGGTCATACAGACCACTTGTGACGATCAACTGGTCATCAGAATTCCACCGGTATGGATAGGTAGGTACCGACGTGTTGGTGCCCAGCTGGGTATCCGCTAGGGCTGGTAAAGTAAGACAGTTCAATGTACCGAAGCGAGGGTTTGCTATAGGTAGAGGCTCTACATATGCCGTGTATACGTCACTGACTGGCGTTCTAGGCTGCATCGATGTGATCTACCTGTTGGTTAAGTTAAAGTCCTACCCTGCAGTAGCCTATCGGAGTGATAGAACATGAAGTTTTAACCACGTTTATGTCCAGGTGAGATTATAGTATAAGTGTAGGGATCTCCCCGGACCGAAACTACTGAGTACCCTTACCAATGATATTGCGGGCCAGCCTATAGGCTAGTAGCGCTTTGTCATCTTTGCAAGTTGATCGCCGTCACTCATACTCATCCACCGTGTTTCATCCACTCAGGAGCCCTGGAGGCGCCAAATCAGAAGCATCAGCACGTTGAAGCTGAAGTCAAATGATTGATTCCGAGAAAAGTATTGGTCGACTTGCCGCGAGTCTCGCGCCGAGACGCGAAACTAAGAGCGGTCTTAATTCTTCAGCTCTGATCTTAGGTCATTCGCTGATAGTTAGGCTAATATGGTCCGTGTCGTATCACACGCCTATGGTAGATCTTAAAATCGGGAAGGATGTTGATAGGTTTATTCTAGTTCGGATGTCAGATCCATGCCAAGATGTATAATACAATGTGATATGTGCAGAGATGTGACTTTATGATGATGGCCCCATTTTGTCTATGCAAACCCAGTATGAGTCAATGAAATGCCTCCCCACCAGCCTCGCAGCTAGCGTTCCGTCCTTTCGTTTATGGATGCTTACTTATCCTTCGCCTTAAGCGGTGTAAGTCCTAGTTATGTCCGAGGATGTTTCGTCATGTGTTATCGAGATATTACGAACTTCCGTTTGTGTCGGGTTTACCGTCGGTCTTCTCTAAGTAGGCGACAAGATCTGCGATCGTGCAGACCTTGATTCCCCATTTTCTTGCGAACGCAATGCATCCATCACCTCTCATCATGCCAGGTCCTTCCCGTATGGCTTGTCCGCTAACCTCCTCGCCGTCTTCAACGATCTCGCAGATGACGGCAACTTCAGGTTTTCCTGCCAGCCTACAAAAGTCTACACCAGCCTCGGTGTGACCCGGCCGAACCCTAACTCCGCCTGGTCGCGCACGTAACGGAAGCACATGTCCTGGCCGTCGGAAGGTGGTGGGGGTAGAATTAGGATTCGCGAGATGTCGGACAGTTAGAGCGCGATCGTGGGCGCTAATTCCGGTTGTCACGGCGGGGTCGGCGGCGTCAATGGTTATAGTATAAGCGGTGCCGCGGGGATCTTCGCTGTTTTCGACCATCTGAGGTAACTTAAGAGATTCGGTAAGGGCGGGTGTTATGGGAGCACAGACGTATCCTGACGAGTGTCGGATCATGAAAGCCATTTGCTCGGTCGTTATATTCTCGGCAGAAATGATTAGGTCGCCTTCGTTTTCGCGGCCTTCATCGTCCATAACAACTATGAATTCGCCATTTCCTACCCCACCATATATCTGTTAGTCTACAATGGCGCAATAACGCAGTAACTACCTTTGTCGTTGGGAATCTAGAAACAAGGGCGCATACGGAAAGCAGCAATCGCGTCCGGTATAGAGTCGAATCGATTATGATCAACAAGTGCGGAAGGCATGATGGGCAAATCGCTTGGTATGAAAAAAATGAGGGATATTATAGTCCTGTCACACCCTAATCGGCGTAGAAGTAAGTCGCTACGGGATCGATTATTGCTTGATTCTATATGGAATGATGCGAATCAAGTAGCCGCTGTAGATTGTGGAGTTAAGAGGCGGGAGGATAGGTAGTAAATCGTAGTGTGTCAGCAACCAATTTAGATGTCGCTTCGAGAAATAGCCCGCAATGTTTTATGTCAGCGCGAATTTAATAGCGAAATGGCGAAATAGTGAAGTTAGAAAGACAGCAGACAAATAAGTAATATCGAGAAGTTATTACTCATCATAAGATTTAAAGACTAAAAGAATGCGATCGTTCTTTCAAATGCTGACTGATTGCCCCGATTATTAGGGACTCCGAGGACTTTTCCTCGGCGGGGTCGGCTTCGTCGGTGAGGGGCGCTGTTTCCCAGGATCAGGATCTAGAATTACATCACACCATAAAATAACTGGCTCTAATTGGCCAATTCTAGCAAGTGGGCCAAGCCGGCACATGCCGCGACCTCGCCTGCATCTCATCTTAGCTCTTTACCCAATCTGGAACTTTTCAATCTTTACTGATCTTTATCGACCTTCAGTCTTGTTACTTCACATGACAACGAGGGATAGTAAAATAACGTACTTAATGGACGAATGCTACAGCTAGAAACCTTACAACATGCCACCGCGCTCGAAAGCCACGTCTCTCCTCCGGCGCCTCCGCAACCCTACCACCAGTTCGCGCTCTGCACAATGCGCATTCAGCTCACCTAGACGGAGTTTCTCTTCACCCTCAAACCCAAACCCGACCGACACCACATACACAAGCGTCTCTCCCGAAGAGGTATCCCACTTCAATGCCCTCGCATCCTCATGGTGGGATCCGCAAGGACCCTCCCGCATCCTCCACCTCATGAACCCTCTCCGCCACGACTTCATCCGCACCTGTCGCTCCTCCGTTCCCAACGACCCTCCCCCACCATCCACCGGCCTCAAATACCTCGACATCGGCTGCGGCGGCGGCATATTCGCCGAGTCCGCCGCGCGCCTCCCCACAACCGCCTCCGTCACAGCCGTAGACCCCAGCCCCGAGGTCCTCTCCATCGCCAAAGCGCACGCGAAGCGGGACCCCGCGCTGCGGTCGAAGCTCGTATACATAAACACCCCCATCGAGCTCCTCCCCGCCCCCAAAACACCGGAAGATGGATACGACGTGGTATCGATATTCGAAGTCATAGAACACGTAGAGAACCCAGCGCAGTTCCTCGACCGGTGCACGCCGTTCGTGAAGCCGGGCGGGTGGCTTGTGCTTAGCACGATTGCGCGGACGTGGATGAGTTGGTTCACGACGAATCTCGTCGCGGAGGATTTGCTGCGGATAGTGCCGAGGGGGACGCATGATTGGCGGAAGTATATTAATGAGGGGGAGTTGAGGAATCATTTCCTTCTGAAGAGGACGGAGTGGACGGAGCCGAGGTGTATGGGTGTGGTTTATGTCCCGGGGCTGGGCTGGAGGGAGGTGCGTGGTAGTGAGAAGGTTGGGAATTACTTCTTTGGTGTGAGGAGGGTGGCTGAAGCGACGTGATGAGTCTACGTAAAAATGAAATGTATTATAATGAGACACGGCCGATGTTTTCTCTGTAATTGGAAAAGCTTCAGTCCATTAGCTTGTTATCACCAATCATCAATACCCTTAAGGTGGGAAGTCCACTGGTGGGAGTCGAGACTTAAGATGATAGCACTAGTCTCCCAAGAAACAGTACGGTTTACGAAGGCCTCCATGATTGGAATCTAATATGAAAAAAGCACTCTTAACATACAGCAGTATTAACTCTACTAGGTAGGTACATGGGTATATCTCGTCATAACGGAACGTACAGAACTCGCATACACCTTTCTTTCACCACTGCTGCCAGACATTTTTTGGTAATACGGTCCTCATGACAGCCCAATGACCAAGGGCGCTCTGATCATGCCACTTCACTAGCTTCTCGGTCTCGTTCACTCTGAGAATTCCGGCATCCGCAGCAGTAGCTGAGAAGGACGATTCATCCACTTCGTGCTTAGGGAAGAGGTATGCTTTCCTGGATAGACTACCAAGGAAGTCGGCATCGGTGGGCTTCCGGAAGGTAACTTTCTCATCCGTCTTGGTGCAGAAGACGATGACATTGTCGAAGTCGCGTCCTGCTTCCTCGACTGTCTCTGCCGAAGGTGGTTCTCCTTCTCGGAAGATTCGGCATGATGGGAAGACTGATTTGATCGTATTCATGACGATGCCGAGAGGTGGGAGTGTGAAGTCACCAGCGTAATTCTATACATGTAAATATTAACATCTACCATGAGTAGTTGGCTGGTAATGGGGCAACACTTACAATAGCTATCACGCCGTTGGGCTTCAACATGTGTTTTAGACCTGACAGGAATTCTTCTGTAAATAGTGGGATTGGTTCTGCGCCGCCTGTAAATACGTCATGGATGATGTAGTCGTAGTTTTCGTGGAGCTCATCCTTATTGGATTGACTCCAGGAAATGGCGTCTTGAATGACCGCCGTGTGATTTGATGGCAACCCAAAATATTTCTTAGCGAAGTCATAGACCATGGGGTCGATTTCGACAATAGTGGTGTCGATACCATGAGCTATCAAAGCTGACGGTGAAGTCCCGATCCCAAGACCACTAACACATTATTAGTGCAAATACTGGTCAGCAAAGATAGGAACACCTACATATTCAGAGCCTTTGCTTCATTGTCAGTTACTTTATTCGGAGTTTGGACGAGGCGCACAGCTTCAAGTTGAGTGAAGACGCTATAGATTGGCTCTGCAACTATCTTGCGCTCAAATTTGGTCCATTCGCCGCCGAGTAGACTATGGTCACATCGCATAGCTCGAAACCCATCCTTGTGATTATCCAAAACCGAGATGTACCCTGTGGTTGACTCTGCCCGGTCAACCAGTGACCATCCGCTAGCATGAAGTGTTGAATTTAGAGAATTTGTAGCCATAGGCGTCATGAGATGTGTGTTGTAAAACGCCGTGTGTAGAAGCGCCGGAATAGCCCAAACTATGAGTTTCGATCGGGCTAAAACACTATACGCTGATGCTAGGACGAGCTCTAAACCTATGCGAGTCTGGAAGACTGATTTGCCGATCTGCGCTATCAATTGTTGCATCGATTTGTTTTCTATGTATTTGAGAGCAGCATATGAACCTAGACCAGGCGCAGAGCCCGCAATGGATTTCGGCAAGCGGCTTAGATCAGCACCTTCGAGGACATCCGCAAGGCAGGCTGTACTGAGCATAGCTAGAGGGAATAATGTAAAGGCTTCAGTAATAGCCGGTCCTAGCTTTGCGCCAAAGCTTTCGCTCGCTTGGAAGAGGAGGAATTGCGCCAAGGGGATATACGCGGCCACCAGGGGTAACAGCGTGATGGTCTTCACCGGTAAGGCTCGCCTTAGAGCTAGATTTCCTCCCCATCCTACAAACAGGGCTGACCAAACAACCCTCTCATGTAACCTGGTCGCGGCAATTTGACCATATACAGGCGATAAAGTCAGTAGGGAGACATTGGCGTAGACAGCCATGAGCGTAATGAGCGACAGGGCTTTGCCATAGACGATACCCTGCTGAATTGCCCAATTGGACCAGGTATCATCCTTTGATTGGCCGGCCATTAACTTGAGCTCCTCCTCGAAATCTTCCTTCGTTTCCGACATCTTCGCATGAGATGGCCCCTTTTTGGGGACTTGTTTCCGTGGTGGCATGATGAAAGAAATGAACGAATCTGTCCAACTAGCTACAAAACACGTGCCTGAAGTACCTAGTATGACAAGAAGCAAAGTAGTGAATGTAAATTGGTAATTTGGCTCTCAACAGCCAGCTGCTGGAGTTATCATATCATTTACTTGTTAGTGATAGAATTATTTACAGGCTAAAGAGGATTCAACTGAACAGATGTCTTGATAATTCAATACATAACACGGAGTTGCGGCGCAACCTTCGGTGGATTTGCGGTGGGTCATATGTGGCAGCTGTGGCTAATGAGACGGTAGATCCACTGTAATGGAACCATTTTAGATCTTCTCTGGGGCAGTTGGGGGGCTAAGACAAATCTGGTTTAGTGAAGACGGATGCCTGGGAACCGTTTAAGTGAACCAAGTGTGACCCAATTCATCTTCCGTCGTCGTCGTCGAAAGCTTCCGTGTTTCCATGTTTCCAAGTTTTATTGTGAACATGAAGTATCTTAAACATGGACGATGATGATTTTGGCGCGGATGCAGATTTTCTTTCTGCTCTCGCCTCTTCGGCACCTTCGATAGGAAATAAATCCAGTCAAGCAAGATCGCAACCAACATCACAACCGGCAAGCCGCATTCAGCAGCCAATTCCTCAGAAAGTCCAACCAACTCCAAGAATACAACAACCCGCGCCTCAACGATTAGACAAACCACCACCGACGTCTTCTACCTCTACTTCTGCCTCTGCCTCCACTGGGCCGAAGATTGTTCAACCGACACCTCAAGCCCTCCCACAACGCTCTTCCGGCTCCTCAATCCTAGTGTCACCACGTCAGAAAGGGAATCCGGTACTGGCATCCCTACGTTCAGTGCCATGGGAATATAGTGACATACCAGCCGATTACGGGCTGGGTTTGACAACATGTGCCTTATTTTTAAGTCTCAAATATCATAGGCTGCATCCCGAATACATTTATACGCGAATTCGCAACCTACAAGGGAAATTCAATCTGCGCATCCTCTTGACTATGGTCGACATCCCTAACCACGAAGACTCGTTGCGCGAACTTTCTAAGACCTCATTGATTAACAATGTCACCATTATATTATGCTGGTCTGCGGCCGAAGCGGGCAGATACCTCGAATTATACAAATCCTACGAGCACGCAAACTTCAGTGCTATAAAGGGACAGCAAGCTACGAGTTACGCTGAGAAACTTGTGGAATTCGTCACGGTGCCTAGAGGAATCAATAAAGCTGATGCGATCACTCTTGTTAGTGCTTTCGGTAGCTTGAAAAATGCAATCAATGCCGATTCGGAGCAGGTCGCTATCATCGGCGGCTGGGGAGAAAAGAAAGTTAAAAGATGGTGTAGCGTTGTGGAAGAACCGTTTCGAGTACAACATGCCGCCAAGAGGCGCATTGTAGAGAGAGAGGATAGTAATAGTGCTGCCGACAAGGCTATCCCACTAAGTCGAGTGCCACTTAGAGATATGCCAAGTTTATCGGCAAGTCGGTCCCGAGACGGCGCAACTCCGCAATCAGAGCAAAGATCGTCTGCGTCGGCAAAGCTGAAGGCGGACCACCGTAGTGGGGATGCGCCCGTCGATGAATATGACGAAGAAGCAATGCTGGCGGCAGCAATCGAGGAGTCAAAGAAGTCGATGGCGCAAGAACAACCATCCGGCTCGACTTCCAAACCTCGTGAGGAAGAGAAATTGAGTGATGGGATTGCTGCCGCGCTGGCCAGACTCCGGGATAAAGGATAGAAGAGGATGATGATACCTGCCTAGTTCGGGCGGACTAGGCGGAACACTCGGTGCATCCCGGGCATATGTTACGTTTTTTTTAATTGAATGCACGACTTCGAAGCCTTTCCAGGGGAGGTTCTTCTCGCCTACCGGGCGGCGGGCAACATGGCGTCGATGACGGATATCCAAGTAAGGAGCAATTGGTTCACGATGCATGTTCCCGTATGATCATGCACGGACCACATATTTCCGGCACCACCAATTAATGTGAACCGTCCCAGAGCCGGGGTTGATAGGCGCTTAGGTACAGCTAGGCTTGCTAGCTTATTTCTCCGGTAATCTTGGACGATGCGGTATGACCGCTACAATCTAGATTTTTCTTTTCTGGTTTGCCTGAAGGTCTTGTTACCTCGAGATGTCCCCGCAGAGACCTACGAACGTGTTCCAGGTAACGGATCCTTTAATATAATCTTGGCTATTCCCAGGGAAGATCTTAGATATTTCCGATCCCACCTGCTGAGCAAGATGCTGTGGGACGTTTCTCTACATATTCAAGCTCCACCTGTAGGGAGCTATCACGAGGAACGCAATGCCCAAACAACTACGGACGGGTCGGTCGGCCAAAGAGTTAGCGCTATGGTAAAGCACGGATAGGGATGAAGAGTCACTACCTGATGCTGGCTCACCTCCACGATGCATATACGATACGTCGTGCGGATGTCGTCTTGTTGGTCTATTGACCTCCAAGTTATCAGCTTATCTATATCATATGTGTACCGATGTAGGTATCAGTCATACCCGACGGTGAAAGAATTAAAAAAAAAAAAAAAAGGAAAAAAAGAATTAGCTACCCTAGGTGAAGAAAGCATCGTCGATTCTCTGCTAGTAGCCGAAGCTTCAATTTCGGTGCTTTTCATTTCTCACATGGATTCCCCGCACAATAAGCTTAGATAAGACTGCGTTAATTCTTACTTCCCGAGCTCTAGGCTTTAGTTCTAAGATTGGGGTAAGGTACCGGAACTTAAATCATATTAGTTGGGTATTAGGGGGCATTAGTTGGGGTCGTGTGGCGCGGGGGGAAAGTGGGAAAGTCAAGGCTCAGGAACTTAGCCAGTAACGTTTGATCATATATCCTACAAGGTTCCTAGGTTCTGCCCTGCGTCCCTCCTTGGCCCCCCTTTTTATTTTAGCATCATACAATGCACTTCTTGTTATGCTTGGTATCCTACCAAACATTTCCAAAATTACCTGCATTCCTTACCTTAGCTTGGTAAACAAGGCATAAGGCTCACGTTGGCATTCCGCACCTACCGAGTACGTACATTTACGCACAGTTACGCAGTGCGTGCCTTGGTAGGTGCACATCCTTACCCTTACCTCATAGTACAGAAATAGTCTAGGCTTCGTCCAATCCATACCGTCCATATTATCTACCGGGGAAACTATCGAGTCCAAGCCTGCCTTGTCTCCTTGTGTCTTGGTCACAAGACATTGTATCTTGGAAACTCGGATTTCATTCTATGTAACTCATATCTCATACCTCTGTCATTTTATTTTGGCCCGCTATTCACCGACACCCCCTCCTCTCATATCCTGCTTCTTTGGATAAGTATCTATCTTGCTTCTGCTGATCTCCTTCTCCTTTCGGAAGGTCATACACCCACTATTTATCGCTATCCGTCGACTTGTCTACATATTGCTTCGATGAACTCGACTAGTGGATATCCTCCTGGGGAAATCGGCTTGTAACGTTTCCCCCCTTCGCTGGACGAGCTTTAGTTCTTGCCCAAGACTCATCCAGGACTCATCTAGAGTTCATCATATGAGCTATTATCGCCTTCGTGATGTGCTATCCGAGCCACATGGCCTTGTCCCGGGTGAGGTTTTAGGACCCGCGTGCTTTGGCTCTGTGATCATCAGAGTTGCATTGCAGCGACCCTTAGCTTACCTCTATGTCTTGTTCAACGGATGTACGCGCCAGAGATATGGTCCGCACCCCCCAATAAAACCGGCGAGCCGCAACGACCACTTGCCATATTGACAGCCTGCAAGCCAAGGGTTAGGCTGTTAGTTTAAGCTACCCATGCCACACATACCCATCCCGGCATTAGAACCCCTGCTACATCGATAGATCATGAATTCGGTTTGTTCGGCGGAAGATGAGCTAGCCTATGCGAGTGATAGGGAGATAATAATCTACCTTCTGTAGATTGTCACCGGGGTCACATACCACAGGTAACGCATGGACTCGGTTCTATAAGACTCGGGCCTACTCCCAATGATTCTCTTTTTCTTTTTCCCTTTCCACGCTCAGCCCTTTTAAGTTTCATAAGGCTCGGTCAGCAGGTAGTCCTCGTCCTGTTGTCTTCTCTCAAGGTGGCTTTTGGTAGCTAAACCACTGCACATCAGTAAATCATGGTGAACTCCAAATGGGCTGCCGCCATTCTAGGCGGTGCCTCGCAGGTTTTGGCTCAGTCCTACCAAAGCACGCCCTCCTACGTGTCTCATCCTGATAGAGCCGACGCCGTGAAGGCGACCTTCCAACGTGCTTGGGATGGATATTATCAATACGCGTTTCCCAACGACACCCTGCTGCCTATCGCAAAGTCTTATCAGAACGATAGGTGTGTAAAATATTGCAATGGATTCTTATGGTATGTACTAATTAGGATAATAGGAACGGATGGGGAGCCAGCGCAGTTGATGCCATCTCTACTGCTCTAGTTATGGAGAACCAGGATGTTATCAACCAGATCGTTGATCATATCGGGTCCATCAACTTCAACGCCACCGCACCGGAATCCACGAGTGTTTCTCTATTCGAGACAACAATCCGTTACCTCGGAGGTCTTCTCTCAGGTGAGCTTGACGAAAAATACCCTTATCGTCACCTTTAACTCATTTAATTTTCTAGCATATGATTTCTTGACTGGGCCCCTGAAGAGTTACGCAAAGGACCAGGCTTCCGTAGACAAGATTCTCCAGCAAGCAATCAACCTTGCTGATATCCTCAGCGTGACATTCGATACTCCTAGCGGAATTCCCATCAACACGCTCAACTACCGCTCAGGCGGATATCAAGTCGGAGGCGACACTACAAACGGCATCGCCACTATTGGTACCTTAGTGCTCGAATGGACTCACTTGAGTGACATCACCGGAGACGACAAGTACGCGCAGTTGACCCAAAAAGCCGAAGAATACCTCCTCAACGTGAGAAACCCCGACGTTGGAGAGCCGTACCCGGGATTACTCGGAACCAGTGTGAATGTTGCGGACGGCACCTTCGCAGATTCTAGCGGTGGCTGGAACGGTGGAACCGACTCGTTCTACGAGTATCTGATCAAGATGTACGTTTACGACCAGGACCGTTTCGGCCTCTACAAGGACCGCTGGATCGCCGCTGTCGACTCCAGCATCAAGTACCTCGCATCCCACCCCACCACGCGCCCCGACTTAACATTCCTCGCCGCCTACAACGGCGTCAACAACCTCGAATTCGTATCCACCCACCTCGCCTGCTTCGACGGCGGCAACTTCATCCTCGGCGGCCTCACGCTCGACAACAGCGAGTACCTGCAATTTGGACTCGACCTCGTCGCCGCATGCCACGCAACCTACACCGCGACCGTAACCGGGATCGGGCCCGAGGTCTTCTTCTGGCAAGACGGCAAGCTGCCCACGAACGCCAGCAACAACGGGGGTCCGCCCTCGGACTCGACGGACTTCTACACCAAAGCCGGGTTCTGGATCCCGTCGGGCGACGGCTCGTACGTGCTGCGCCCGGAGGTCATGGAGAGCTTCTACTACGCGTACCGCGCGACCGGCGACTCCAAGTACCAGGACTGGGCGTGGGAGGCCTTCCTCAACATCAACGCCACCTGCGCCGCTGGCGTCGGGTACAGCTCCATCACGAATGTCAATGCGCCTGGAGGTGGCAGCTTCGATGACTTCCAGGAGAGCTTCTGGTTCGCGGAGGTGCTGAAGTATAGTTATCTCATCCAGGCTGATGATGCGGTTTGGCAGGTCAATGCGGGGCATGATAATACGTGGGTTTTTAACACCGAGGCTCATCCGTTCTTGGTTAAGGGGAAGCCGATTTAGTTTGGTTGTTGGGGTCTGGCGACGAGATCATCTTGCATAGAGTCGGCGTTTGTGTCTTGGGCGGGTCTTGGTTATTCTATGTTCATTGTATATACTTCGGGGCTTGAATATCCTCATATTTACGGGCCTTTTTGGCTACGGTTTTTACCTTAAGGTTTTAATGCGGCTGAATGCTGCTACTGTTTTACCGGGCTTGGTGTTGAAGTATAATACGGGTGAATGTCGCTACCACAACGACGTCACACTCAACGTGGTAACATCGGTGATAGACTCGATACATTGAATTAAGGTATGTTACCCATTATGTCTCGAAACCACTAATTTCCGTTGAAATGTTCGGTTTGATGGGTGTTCGTACCTGGCATGTGACGAACGGCTAGTGCTGATTTCTCCAGGTCTCATGCCAGGTGCCGAGACACTTATATCAGCTGGGCATACTCCACTATCATCAGATGCTTCCGCTTTATTGCTCTTGTGATCTTTATAGGGTACTCATTTTAGGTTATTGGAATTGGAGATATAGGTCTTCCTCAGAAAATTCTTGGAGATGGGGCATCTGAAGTGCTTCAGTCAGCTCAGAATAATAGATTCAATATTCTCACTATTGGCGGAGACTGGATTCATACCTACCTAGGTACCTAGACATTATAATGCTTACCGCTTTCTAGCCAATATTTAGGGCTGTGTTACGCCAGCGCAACGCCTAAGTCCGCTGCCTTCAGCCCCCACGCCATAGACGCTTGGCTTCTCGTCCACAGCGTCATAACCCCCACCCCCTCCCATGACGCACTGTTACACGTCTCCAGCGCCAATCCATAAACAAACGCTCTCTTCCGTATCGACTTGTCAATTGATGAGATCGGTCTTCTCCACTTCATCCGGTAGTGTTGTGAGGAGACTCGTCGCCTTACATGAATTGATGATAATTACAAGATTCGGGGGTTATTTGCCCTAGAAAGATCTTGCCCTAGAAAGATCTAATTTGGGTGTCAAACATCTACTCCCTACTTGCGCCCAAGAGGAAACGGTAGGCATACGCTGCATATTTGCTAGAAGGATATCTATAGGTACAATTAATCATGGTCAACTGAAGCATATGGGGCGGGTCCTCCAAGAAACCCTTTACTGCTTCTAGGCGGTAGGCAGTTCAGCCCCATGGAATCACCCCGCAGCTGAAAAGGTAGGGCGTTGATTGATGGATGGATGCAATCCGTTGAGTATATTTTGAATCTCTTTCACGAAGTCATATGGGTCACTTATTTCTTAAGTATGGGAGTGACTATCTCAATATTTGTTTTTATATGGAAGTTATAAAATGGTTTCAAAGGGATTTGGATATACGGCGCTTGACTCAAGCCTCCGGGAGATTCGAGTTCTCACTGTTCTACCAGGTAGTTTCAACGAGCCTCTTCGGGTTACTTTAGATACTCTGAGTCTCGGCTCTAAACCTATCTACAATGCCCTATCGTACGTATGGGGCGATGCTTCCAGTGCCAACACTCCAGGAAACACGATAAATATCGACGGCCATGATTTTCCTGTAACGACAAATTTACTCTCAGCTCTGCGCCATCTGCGCTCTGTTCTTGGAGCGGTCGATCAGATTACACTATGGGTGGATGCCGTATGTATTAATCAGGCGGATCTAGACGAACGAGCACAGCAAGTGTCGATGATGCGTGATATCTATGCATCTGCCGAACAAGTGATCATATGGCTCGGAGAGGAGGACAACGAGAGTGACGCTGCTTTCGATTCAATCCCAGTGCTCGCAGCGCAAAGCCACACCAACCAAGATGAAGGAATTTTGGATACGGCGCGCTTATATAGCCGCTTCCTTATTGGATTGGCAGAGCAGCGTCCCTGGCTTTCGCGAGTCTGGATTATCCAAGAGCTAGCGATGGCTAGAAACGACCCTTTAGTTGTATGCGGGCACAAGTCCGTACCCTGGTCAACCTTTATGAAGGCATCGGAATTCGTTTCTAGAAAGATGTTTACTGAAATTGGTATGGTAAAGCATAACAAGCCTGGTAGTGATGGTCAGAGCACTCCAGGGGAAAACTCGACGGAAAAGGTCGGAGAGGAAGACATTGAGATTACTGCAAAGTGGAAAATTGATGTCCTCGATGATCTCTACAAATCGATGAGATCCAAGGGCGGAGATAGCTTGCGGAACTTGTTGTTCATCTCAAGGACTTCCGAAGCCACGGACCCAAGGGATAGGGTTTACGCTCTCCTTGGCCTCCTAAAAGCCGATTCACCTAACCCCCAAAGTCCCGACAATTTGGTCGAAGTAGATTATCGCAAACCAACTGCCGCTGTCTATACGGATGCGATGGCTCATATTTTTGCTCAGGGAGATGGCCCTTACTTCCTCTCATGCATGTTCCTGCCAGGGATTTCAGCCGCTGCTCCTCAAATCCCTGACTTACCAACGACCATTCCACAACCTACTCTCCCATCCTGGGTTCTAGATTTCTCTAAGCAGACCTTCCCAAAAGCAACACAGCTCAGATCGACATCATTTCACCCACCGGCGGGTATCACTGCTTCTGGGGCTGGTGCAAATTGCAATAACGGGAAGCGATTAGATGACAAAAGAACACTGCAAGTAGAAGGCCTGTTCGTCGACACCATTGAGGATGTCATCGCCTTCGGGTCGTCCCTTGATTCCCACATCAATCAATTGGCTCAAATCGAATCTCTTGCCAAAACTGCCAAAGAGCGGCCTTGCATGCTTGAGCCCGCCGTGAGGCCCTACATAGAACAATTTAAGAATAAAGAACCCTTATGGAGAGCGTTGGTATCAAACAAGCGATTCAACTCCGGATATGACCCGGCTCCGATATCTTATGAGGCAATGCACCAAGATATCTTAAAGAGTCTTGCTGAGGGTCACGACTGGAAGATTGAAACGGGTCATGACCAAGAAAACGAATACATAAAATGTCTAAAGCCGAATGTAGGGATGAAGTCATTCTTCACGACGACAAGTGGTTTTGTTGGTACTTGTGTCCCTGATAGCCGCAAGGGAGATGTCATCGCTATTCTCTTCGGGTCTCCCGTTCCATTCGTGTTACGCCCAGGGCCGGAGACTATACAATTGGATAATAGAGAAAGACCTACGCATTTTCTCATAGGTGCATCGTACGTGAGCGGTATCATGGACGGTGAGATGGTAGACGAGCTATATTGCGAGGATATAATGGATTCCACAACTTTCTTCATTCGATAAAAGTCTATTTATAGCTGGTAATAAGGCGTCGTAGATATGTTAGCTTTGTGAAACAACATATATATATCACGATATCAATAAAATGAATGCTGAGGACTTATAATTGAAGGCAAACATTTTCAAAAGGGATTGTGTATCGAAAAAAGAGCTTCGATACGATAACACATAGCTGCAAAAGCATGCTTCAAAGTAAGGGCATGTAGATTGTTATACAAGTATATGAAGTCAATGCGTACCTGGATTTTTCAATGGGAAGGCATTATATGCAAATCGACCGCTCTACTTGATGATTCTCCTGGCCTTGGCCTCATCTTCTATTTCTGAACACCGAGTGAACTAGTTCTAAAACCATCATCGAAAATGTCACTAAACGCTTCACTCGATGCTGCCATGACCGCAGCTTACACTATCGCTGCAAATGTGAGTCCGGATTTATCGGGTTTTGAACGGATACTGACACCACGAATAGGGTGTCCTGGTAGCCTTGAAACCATTTACGATTGCGCAAGAGACCTTGGATAAAAAGCTTTTATACTACTTTGCGTGGCCTTGACAGCTTCTGCTCTTCGAATATCCACCACGAGTCTCTTGAGTAAAAAAAGGAATCGAACGAAAGCGGCTAGAGTTCATGTTCATTAGAGAAGCCCTAGACGAAGAGTGATATACATTCAAAGAGGAACTATACTAGATTAATCGCATATGGCACATTCTATACACTAATCAGAACACATAACTCATCCGGGTATATATACAGTGTCAAAATATCCATCACCCAAGCCTTACAGTCTTCCATATCCGCAGACACTCCTGTAAATCCAGAGATAGCGTGCCCTCATGAGCCGTAACGGTATCCCTAACTAATGCAACCAAAAGACTAGCTAAAGCGAAGAGTTCCTGCTTATCACGTAGGGCCTCCAAGTCAGACCTTCTCATGCCGCCATTTTCCGCCCAGGCTTTCCACAGATCCAGTATCTTGCAGATTGAGGAGGCAAACTCTCCATCGAGAACCATTCGGTGTAGTAGCATGCCGACAATGTCTCTAACTGCCAGTGAAGCGCCGATATTCACGCCGACAGTGGAGGGTTCTTTTCTCTCCCGGAGCCAGCGTAGATTATGCTGAGAAACCAGCTTGGTATCCCACTTGGGACTTTGAAGCGCCTCGGACATCCTGGTTTCGCGGCGTTGGTATTCCCGTCGCTGACGGTCGCGCGCTATTGACAAGTCAGCATCATCATGTAATCTAAAAGCTCCTTATGATTAACTCACTGTCTTGCATCCTCTGGTTTATCTCCCTGTGCATCCTATCTCGAACAGCCGCGTCTCTCTGAGCCGGTTGCATCCGTGATTCAGATACAAAAGCTTCGTGTCGTTCATTGCTACGTCTAATGAATAGCTCGCGCTCCTCTTCCGCGGCGTCGTAGCTCGTGGCCCATTCGGGTGTCTGCGAATCATCCACCACATCCAAAACCGCTAGGACGCCGCACGGGACGGTATCCCTCCTAGCGAAGTTGAGAATCTCGTCGGGGATCTTGTAGTTCCATAGCACGGTCTGGCTGGTGGTTCCGTACGCGGTCGCTATGCTTGCGAACCATACACCGTCGTTCTTACTAGCACGGACCCGGAGGTGCTCGATGTAGAGACTCTGTACGTCTGCTGACGAGAAGATGGCTCCCTCTTCTTGGCTCATGGCGGAGATTAGGCCATCTACAGATATCTGGCATGTGATGGTCGCTCTATCATTCTTCTCTGCTTGCTTTTGAACCGAATCCAGGGATTGCTTTCGTAAGCTACTTTTCTCTTTCTGCTCAAGACCTTTTTCTACATCATCCACATGGGGCTCGTCTGCAGAGGTAGAACTTCCTTCCGCGGGTTCGACAGGTTCAATGGTTTCCGTCACGGTGGGCTCTATTATTGGCGGAGGAGGAAGCCTTATCCAGTAGGGAGGCAGCGAGGAAAAGTCTCGTGTTGTCCAATCCGACGACCATTTCGCTTTTAGGGATAGATGTCCGTCGGAATCATCTAAGGGGGCTATAGTCAAAGCATCATGGTATCCATCGGGAGATTTCATCAATGAGCAACCTGTCGGAGTCCATAACCCGGTTGAACGCAACAGTTTCCAGCCATGGGCTTCCGGAAGCGCACCTAGGTCGAGGAGATAGGCAACAAGCTGGTCAAATGCAACATCAACTTGAGGCTGGCGGAGTTGATCGGCATATTCGACACGCTGGGTCTTGGCACCGATGGCGCGAGCCTGCCAGTTAAAAGTCGTCCACGAACCTCCGGGGATGGAACTCGGTTGTCGCGCGAGCTTCCAATATAGCTCCGTTTCCGCGAAGCGATCACATGGAGTGACAGCGTATCGCGGTAGCTCTACCTCGATAACCCGATTCACGACATCGCTTCGAGTCAGAGCAGTCAGACGACCATGACGAAGCATGCGCTTGATCTTAGACAGCGCAGCTAGCGTGGCGATGGTATTGTACAGAATCGGCAGCACGCCAAGCACCGCTAGAGGCACACCAATATAGGTGATGATGTCGGTGGCTGAGTAGCCTGAATCTGTCGATGACATTTTGCTACCTTTCACAGGACACACGCCCTAAGGACGAGGAAATATTCTCTGAAAATTCCTTTAGAAACTAGAATATTGCAGGAATTCGAGAAATAGTTTGGGAAGGTATCGCCAATTTCGGTCGACGCTCAGCCCCAGCCGAGCTGAAGGGTTAGCGCACACCAATGCATGTCGTCGCGTTAGCCCGTCCTCTTTAAGGAGGGTCCACTGGTTTCGGTGAGATGTTCATCACTGAGAGATACTGTGCAGTATACCAACCGTAATTAAGAATAGTTATGAATATGATATTAAACTCCTTTGAAAGATCATGTCGTCGAAGTTGAAAAGTTTAGATCTCACGAGTATCTTGATTTTCTTTATAACAATTATCCTGTTATCCCTATAGGAAACATACATCTATGCAGTATAATGATATAAAAGAGGGTACTTAATGCAAGGTACCCGGCACTAGCGCATTATCGAGGATGGCGTTCCACTCCAATCTCCACTTCAATGTGCTATCGTGAGCGTCGAACTTCCCTAATACATCATACCTAGAAGACAATTGACTACTTGAATTGGTTTTTATATCTGCTTAACAAAGTGCTTATAATATTGCTTTTTGCCTCGTATTAGCTCTCACAGCTCAAAGTAGCCTTGTCCTCCACTTCAGGGCCAGGCGCCAGTCGCAACAAAGAATGATGACCGTCAAACGGCGACAATGCGACTAAACTGCATCAATGCAGGTCTAGTTGCTGCTACAACATTATTACGCTTCGCCAGTGGACAATTTCCGAATGCGACCTCCCAGTATCTGAACTTGACGACAATTACTTCTCCGATTGATCCCAATATAAAGATCAGTTATAAAGTGCCTCATGGTGCTTGCAACACCGCGTTCGAGTCGCAAACCCAGTACACTGGCTGGGTAAGCGTTCCTGGCGACTTCCCCACCAATACATTCTTCTGGTTTGTCGGCGCACGAGATCAGCAGGCAAACTCTAGCCTGACTATCTGGCTCAATGGAGGACCAGGATCAAGTTCTATGTTCGGCTTCTTCAGCGAAACGGGACCTTGTGAAGTGGTCGACGATGGCACGGACGAGTTCACGACTATAGCGCGAGAGTGGGGTTGGGATAGAGCCTCGAATATGTTATTCATCGACCAGCCGAACCAAGTCGGTTTTTCATACGACGTGCTTACGAACGGCTCCCTTAATTTACTTACCAATGATATCTATATTCCGCCCTCAGACAGACCGAACTCTATCCCACGTACCGCCTTTCTAAATGGCACCTTCAGCTCCATGAATACTAATAATACCGCGAACACGACCGAGACGGCAGCTGTTGCTATATGGCATATGCTGCAGGGGTTCCTAAGCACTTTCCCAGAGCTCAACCCCCCGAAGGACAATATCCTAGGCGTCAACTTATTCTCCGAGTCCTACGGAGGGAAATATGGTCCGGCGTTCGCGAGCAAGTGGAAGGAGATGAATACCGCCCGAGGTAACGGCACCATGTCCAATGCCACTACCGTAGAGATCCGCCTTGCATCTCTGGGTATCGTAAATGGATGCGTCGACGATCTAATCCAGGCGCCATATTATCCCATCATGGCAACCGATAATTCGTACGGGTTCAGAGCCATCAACTCAGTCAGAGCTCAACAGGCCAACGCCAGCTTCTACGCCAACAACGGCTGTCGCGACCTAATTAACCAATGTCGCGCCGCCGTCAGCGGCAAGGACCCGAACAACACCGGATCGGACCCAGATGTAAACAGCATCTGCGAATCTGCCTACACCAGTTGCACTAAGAATGTAATGGACCCGTACTCCGACGCCGGCCGCAGCGTCTACGACATCTCCGCCGTGCTCCCGGACTCGTTCCCGCCCCGCCGCTACCTCGAATATGTGAACACGGCCTCCTTCCAATCCGCCATCGGCACGAGCCTCAACTACACCGAGACCAACACACAAGTAGCCGCAGTCTTCGCCTCAACCGGCGACTACGAGCGGGAAGCCATGGTCCCCAAGTTAGCCTCCCTCCTCAACGCCGGCGTGCGCGTCGGCCTAATCTACGGCGACCGGGACTACATCTGCAACTGGCTCGGCGGGGAAGCCATCTCCCTGGCCCTCGCCTCCTCCTCCCCCACATACACCTCCGCCTTCCCCGCCGCGGGCTACGCCCCAATCATCGTAAACGACAGCTACATCGGCGGCGTAGTCCGACAATTCGGCAACCTCTCCTTCAGCCGGGTCTACCAAGCAGGCCACTTCGTACCAGCCTACCAACCCGCGACCGCCTTCCAGATCTTCGCGCGCGTCATCCGAGGCCACAGCATCTCCACCGGCGAAAACATCGATCTGTCAAACTACAACACCACCGGCCCATCCAACGCCACCAGCTCCCTAGCTCTCCCGCCGAGCCCAGAACAAACCTGCTGGCTCCGCGATATCCCCGGCTCCTGCAGCGACGAGCAGCAGAGCGTTATTCTGAATAATAAGGGCTTTACTATCAATGGTGCCCTGCAGACCGGTGCTACGGCTACCACACCCCCTCCTGTTGCGACTGTCGTTGCCACGTCGACGAGTTCGGTTCCGCTTACGGGTTTATTCACTGCTACGGCTACGCCGTCGAGTGCCGCGCGGGGGTTCGATGTCGTCGATTTGAGGTTGGCGGTTGGCGGTGGTGCCGTGGCTGCTATGCTGGTTATGTAGAAGTTGTATTTTTACGATGAGTATGATGCTAATGTTTGGTAGGGTAGGGTTGTAGACACCTGAGACTCGGGTGGTTTGTAATTATGGGATCCTGTCTGTTGTCCGGACTAGTAAATACCTGTACCTGTACCTAAGTAGCGACCAGCGAGGTATTGGTAGTTTTGAGATGCATTCGACTTTGGTATTGTAATCATAGCACTAGCCAAAAGAAATAGGAGCTCTGCTCGTTGTTATGAATATATATTGCTTGTTACTATGCAGATGCTATTTACGCTAGGGTGAACGTGAAGATTAAGACTATGAATTGATTATAGCTTCTCAAGAAACGACCAAGATCACCATATCAGATATTCTCCAATATTGACGATTCTAACATGACCAATATATCCACTAAGGAAGAACTTACCTGGATACCTACCTCTTACTCACCAAATATCGTGTCTTGAAACGGACAATATATAGGCAGATGGCTGTGTTCATGACATCCTATATTCTTTATAGCGAGTTAGCGCACTGTAGGACCACGAGTAAATCAAGAATAAGGTCGAAGATCCTATTTCAGATCGAATGCCTTGTCAAAGGCAGTATCATCAAAGCTATGTCGAGCTATGTTGACCGTCGTGATAATTAAATCATCATTGTAGGGAATAGGGAATTGACTGATGGCTGGGAGCATCTTACCTTGTAATCCTTAGGGATATGTTTATATGAATGGGCAAATTCAGAAGTGGCCACTGGTTCAGCTAATTAGCTGAGGCACTATTTGGACGGAAAATATTGGAAAGATCTTGTCCAACTGCAGTCAGACATGACTATTGTCATCAACGCCGTGAAGCTCTGACATATGCTTGTCAATTTTTATGTCAAATCATCATATTGCAGTATGATCATGATCTTCCAAGACTGAAAATGGTACTAACCATATACGCACGGATAGCGATGTACCGTGTTAGAAATTAACTGTAATAGCTGTTAGAAAGGGAACGAAACCACATAGGCTAACAGTAAGGATAGATTTTGTAATCAGAAAATGCATGAATGGTAGTAAATAAGGTTGTCTACAACGGAAACCCGAATCAGACTCGTCATCTGTGCTCATCAGGTACATGTTGGCTTGTGATATGAAATTAAAAATTTTGCTTACCTTGACTTCAAGTGTCATATTCACCCAACTGCATCCGATGTATAATCAGAAGATTAATATACCAATACTATTCCCGAAATCCAACATTAGCGAGGGCGCCGTCGAATGAAGCGAAATGTTTGAGGTATGCAACAAGTAATCAGTGGACGAGGTTTTCTAGGCCTGCCACAAATGGCTTATCGACTCATATAGAAGTATTCGGAGCCCAGTGCCGTTTCATCATTTAGGCATGATATAGGTTTCGTTCGAAGAGATGGTACCATACCCTTTGGAAATTGACCATAGTCACTATGTAATATTAGCAGCTGCAATAACGTTGCGTTCACAAACATCGAGCAATTGTAAATATTATCAGACAACAGCCAATTTTTTTTCGTCAAGCGCATTTGCTTCAGACGGTAATTTCCAGCTATGCAAATGCATAGAAGAATCATCATAAAATCAAGGGAAGATGGGAAGGTACGAGGATGAGCATACCGATTATGATTGCGCCGGAGGAACGGCTATTAAGCCATGACTATATCATGTTGCATTCATGCCTCTTAGGCGAAGAATCTAGCTTTGGGTTAGCATAATGAAGCTGTATAATAGTTCGATAAATGCGTATCCAAAGTTTTCTGGTCAGACTGACGTGCAAAAACTGTCGTTTCATTCCAATTGGTCAAAGACTCTAGTTTGTAATTGGTTTGATTTGTCATCATGGAAAGGAAGATGCAGGAAATTTCTGCAGACTTACATTTGCGTTCAAAAGCACATCGTTTTGTTGAAGTGAGGAAGAGGAAATTTGTAGTAGATGTTGACAAGAAAAAAAATTGTTTTAGATCCCAAGCTTCGCGCGGAGTGGGGCATATCTGCAGGTCCAATACCCCGGTGCCCTGACGGAAGGGACAAACTTATAATCCGAAAAACGGATAAATTCCGGCTCAGATCCAGGATCTTGGTAATTTGTCTGTCTGTCTTTGCTCAAGTGGTCCTAGCTTTGAAGCTCCCCTTTACCCCTCATCTACATCATTTCTATGTCACTTCTCTTCTTTGTTACCTCATTTTTTCCACAGCTGCCTTTCATCCAATCATCTTTAAGTATTACTTCACGTCTCAGTTTGGATTCTTCAGCTTCATCCGACACCTTGGAGCCTAGCATCAAAAACACAGCCGGGCAATAGTAAATCTGCTGTGTCACATGGACATGGAGAGCCCGAGATAAATCAACCAGCCCGGGTTTCCTTAGCTAGTAGTTGCTCACAAGACCACAAGATCATAAAACCCGAATCAAGGTCTTGGTGACGTTTTCCGCCCGAGGTCGCCGGCATCTCCCGTCTCGGTATAATCGATGGCGGCTTAAATACCATGACCCGAAAAATCCTCTTTTATATCCCACCCAGCTTTTCCCTAACCCACATTTCCCCTCGGCCGGCTATGGGGCTTTGGATCTGGATCTAGATTGGCTCCTCGGAATCTTGCCGCTTGATGCCGTATGTCATAGTGCTGTTGATACCCGCAACACCGAGCAAACCCAGCAAACCCAATAAACCCAGTTAGAAGAAGTAGGTGTAAGGATGTGCAGAATGTGCAGGATTGTCTAAAGTCCATATGTGGAGACGGACAAAGATACTTGAGACACACCTCAGCTCTTTATAAGCTTCCAGCTACCCCCTCGGCATATATTTCTACCACCACCAATGCTTGTCCGACATTGCTCACGATAACTTGCCGGAGGTTAGCTCATTGATACATCCATACCTAGGTATCCTTATCATATCACCTGCCTCATTACCTGGGTACTCAGTAAGGTACTCACAGACCATCTCCTCTCCGTTTCCCCGTAATTATAAAAGTAAATCTACCTAACCGCCTTTCTTCCTCCTACCTACTTTTTCTACTTCTTCTTTTCTACCAATGCCTAGTTCTCCTGTAAGATCTCCAGACATCATGGCGTCAAACGGTAATAGTAACGACACACCTTCTGGAGAGTCGGCGACAATCAACACAAACATTGTCACCTTAACTCGTTTCCTCACAGAAGAGCAGGTAAAGCACAAAGAAGCAACCGGTGACTTCACGTAAGTCTGGCTTTCCGATGCGGTGTAGAGAAAAGACGACTAATACCGCCTTAACCAGATTATTATGTCATGCCCTCCAATTCTCTTTCAAAGCCATCTCCCACTACATTCGACGAGCCACGCTTGTAAACCTAACTGGTCTCGCCGGCCAATCTAATGCGACGGGTGACGACCAAAAGAAGCTCGACGTAATCGGCAATGATCTTTTCATAGCGGCTATGCGATCTTCGGGGAAGTGTGCACTCTTGGTATCAGAGGAAGAAGAGGAAGTCATATACTTCAAGGACCACACTGGGGCGCGGTATGCAGTAGCTTGCGATCCGATCGACGGTAGCTCCAACTTGGACGCAGGTGTATCCGTTGGAACAATTTTTGGTGTTCACAAATTGGCCGACGACTCAACTGGTACAAAGGAGGATATCCTAAAACCGGGAACTGAGCTGCTAGCTGCAGGATTCACCATGTACGGTGCATCGGCCCAACTCGTTATCACGATGAAAGGCGGTACCGTCAACGGCTTCACGTTAGATAACTCGTTCGGCGAGTTTATCTTAACCCACCCCAACATGCGCATTCCAAGAAAGAGAGCCATTTACTCCGTCAACGAAGGTAATTCGTTATACTGGGAAGACCACACGAAAGAATACTTCAATTCTCTCAAGTACCCGCAAGACAATGGAAAGCCCTACAGCGCTAGATATATCGGTAGCATGGTTGCTGATGCGTATCGAACGCTGTTATATGGCGGTATCTTTGCTTATCCGGCGGATAAGAAGAGCCCCAAGGGCAAGCTGCGAATCTTATACGAATGCGCCCCCATGGCTATGGTTTTCGAAAATGGTAAGTTCATAACTTCATGTTTATTTTTCGTACATAACTAACACCTCTTTAGCTGGTGGTCAAGCTCTTGACAGCCACATGAACCGCATGCTTGAAGTCATACCAGAACACATCCACGATCGATCCGGTATCTTTTTGGGTAGCTACGACGAAGTCGAGAAAGTCAAGGGCTTCTACAAATGATTGATGAGATCATAATATGTTGCCGCTGCAGTCAGATTATGGATCTGCTTGGCAATGAGGCATGGGTAATGGAGCAATAGGCGCATCCTAATAAAATACTCCGATTTTGATATTCTCGGTATCATTACCTACGCAATAACAATCCGTGAAACCTGCACATCTATTCATATCTATTTTATAGTGACTTCCGTGATCTGGTTTAGCTATGTCGTATTTGTGTTATGCTTCGTGTATTCCTAGAAGAGCTTGGGGAAGAACTTGGGAGTATTCTGCTTCCACTCCTGGTAATCCTTGCGATGACCATACTTGGCATTATACTTTTTCTCGCTCAGAGGCACACCCGTCACCTTCAACAGCAGGAAGCTAACGAATGCCGGGCTCACGAACGAAAGCGCCAAAGAGAATGCCTTGCCCACCAAACCACCCGAGAATCCAAGCCCAACCTGAACCGGGCGCGTTAAAAGCACACCGGCAGCTGTAGTAGCAATACCCGTCCATAGCGTACACTCTCCGAAATAATTCGGAAATTGGCTATTCTTAAGTTAGTTTCCAACCCAACCACCATCATCCTCAAAAATTCAATTGAAAATGAATACACTCACCTCCGGCTCCACAACCCCTCGGTCATGAACGGCTCATCATGCAACTTGTCCTTCCGTCGACTCAACCAACGGCCTTTCTGCCGATCAGCAATAATCTCAAAAGCGAACCCGCCGACAAATAGCGCAAGCCCGAGAACATCAGTTGCTCTTAGCGAAACGGCCGCAAGAGCCGCTGGAGGCACTGCGTTGATGGCGATTACGGGCGCCAGACACAGCGATACCCAAGTCGCCTGGCCGACGAAGGCGCCGGCGAACTTAGCGGGCTCGCCACGGATCTTATCGAAACGCGAATCGGTGCCTTCGTGCAAGATTCTGCGGAAGAGGTATGATCCCACTTGTAACCCGTGTTAGTCTATTAACTCGTATGTTGTATTTACTTTACCCTTCTATCATATAATTACGGCATCAAATGGCATGGGATACGAGTGATACGAATTACGTGAAACACAGAAAGAGATAGAGCTCGTACATCGAACAGACCAAAAGACAGCAGCCGCACTCAGTACCACCTGCCGCCAATGAAAGCCCCCAGCGCCTCCCGTAAATGCATTGAGCAAGCTAGGCAACGGCGGCTTAGGTAGGCCGGCTAAAGAAGCAGCGGCGCGGGTGCGCAAACTAGGCAGGTACAAGCTCAGCAAAGTGACGGATAGAAACGTCACGGACCCGGAGGCGTCGTAGAAGCGCTCGGACTGGGCGAGGATGGAAGGAACCGCCACGGCGGTCTGCAGCGCGAACGCAGCTGCGACGCCGGGGACTGCGGTCCGTAGGTAGGGACTGCGGAAGTTGGTTAGGTGGAGGAGCTTCTGCAGCAGACCTGATGCCATCGTGAGTAAGTAAATATAAGATCGATCGATATTGTGTGAATGAGTTGAGTGTATTGATGAAATGGAACTACGTGTTATATACTCCTACATCGCGGGTAACGCTCCGGAGTCAGACATGTTTCCATGAAGTCGTGACGTAGATGGAATTCTTAGCTGGGACACGAAGAATTGGTTTAGGGCGGGAAGTAGGCGGGAAGCCCCGCATTTACGGGCTTTACAGGGGGGTTGGGGGGCTCCGTTAAGGGAAGCCACGATCTCTTCTGTGAGGCGCTTCCCCCAAGATCTTGTGAATAATTCTGGGATTTAAGATTTTTATCAGATTCAATCGCTCAATTGACGCACATCTGAGTAGACTTGACATTCATGGATTTAATTTCGAAAGAAAACGGTTCAAATTCTGTCCGTCATCTTGTACAACCAAACCACCAAATACTTGAATTTGTTACCTCCCGTAACAAACGAGATTGGTTGCCCCGGTTACTTTCAGCAGGTAACGAAAGTCTATGAAATCAATATTAAACTGTAAATTTATCCACGTTAACTGATATTGGGTCCAATTCTGAATCGGATACACGATTAGGTACTAGGTAGTGAGGAGGAGCTGACTCAAATCATATATGTTCGGATGGATGAGGCCATATATTCAAACGAAAGCAAATGTCTATCATGCCTCACAGGAATTTATGCCTCAATACATGTACAGTGACTACCTACCTACATGTTCATGATGGAGAATAGAATAAAGTCAGGACTCATGCTGCTTTTCAAAAGAATATTTAAAGAGGCTGTTCCTCCAGGTTCAAACTCTCATCCCCAACATCACAATTGCAACATCTCACCACTAAAAAAGAATAATACAGTTATACGAACACAAAATGTCGGTGCCAGCTTCGAACCAGTACTGCGTGAAGGAGGTGTTACTTAACCGGTTAGAAGATCCACACCTAACGGATATTGCCTCTTGGATCTCAAGCAACACCGGATTCAACCCTCATGATCAGATCCGCAGATCATTGCTTCCCGGCTCTATGCCGTATACACCGTTTATTCCGGGCCAAACGACGGAATTTGATATCGAGAGTGTTAAGCAAGTGATAATGAAGGAAAAGGAGGATAGGAGAGTCCACCTCCTGGTAGTGACTGAGCGGGATAACTCTAATGTATACGGCTTCGCCTGGCTAAGCATATGGAATAATCGCCTACTCGGCGAACCTGCTAATGAGGAGTTCATGGACCCAAGCCGAGACCATAACGACTACATAAACACGATTCTCCGCCACGAGACCCCGTACGCAACCCATCGTCGCCAGGGGTATTATATCGAGACGGCGAAAGCGTTAAGGAACAGGCGGTTCGGCCAATACCCAGGCAACGTCATCCGTAAGTCTTCCCTGACAAGAATCACGTATTAACAACTCCTATATACTAACAAGCCATCTACCAACAGAGCTGCGGGACGTAATCCTATCAGCAAAGCAGCCAAACGCGGACGTCCTAAGGCTCCTAATTAAGAGCTCTATCGAGGTAGCTCATACCCTAAGGGCGCCCCTAATCACGACACTGCCTAGGCTATACCTAGAAATCAACCACGAGCTAGACAAACAAGGGGTTCGCGTGGTTGACACGGAGAAATATCCGTTCTTGTCTCTTACCAGTCATGGGATGAGGCTGGCGGAGACGCGCTTCCCTCACGAGGACTTGAAGGAGCTGGCGATGTTCCTTAGACAGGTCCCCGTCGATGTCATGCTGAGGGTCTACGACAAGGGAGCTTCGCCGGAGGCGAAGGTTCAGTTGGCTCAGTTGGGCCTTTGAATACCTCCACTACTCAGCACCTACCTATACTATAAAAACACTGGGTAGAATTGAAGCGATCTCGGGAGGCAGACTTGATTTCGTTGATTATCATCAGCGGATTTTGTACTATATATGAAGCACCTCAGTTATGGAACTAAGGGTCGAATGGGACCTTCAACATTGAATAGGTATATTATAGGTGCGGCGTTGTTAGATACCTACTGTCATCTTAATTACAGGCACTTGGTAATAACATATACTATATTCATGAACCTCTATCTAGATTCCTATACCATACGGTAGATACCTACCTATAAAGATGAATTTTGCATACCTAATAGGTATACTTGAATAAATAACACACTCCAAACCACCAAACCACCAAACCACCATTACCACCCCCCACACCTCCCAACTCCAACCCCCAAACCCATTTAACCCACGCAATCGATACCTCCTCAAACCCCCCAAATCCTCCTCCCCCCAAACCACGTCTCCACCACCCTCGCATCAAGCAACCTCCGCCCATCCCCATCCCACTGCACATCCCAAACCGTCAAATCCGCCACCTTCCCGCACTCCAAACTCCCCAACCTCCCATCCCAAAACACGCTCCTCGCCGACCCATAACTCGCCGCGACCACCGCCTCACACACTCCCAACCTGAAATCATAGTTCACGACCTCGGCGTACGCGATATTCCGGTACGACTTCCGCGTCGCGGCGACGTAGACATTCGCCATGATGGCCCATGGCGAGGTCGGGCTGTCGCTGCCGAGCGCGAGCGGCGCCCCGCTGTCGGAGAACTCCCGGTACGGGAAGGCGCGCGTACACCGGTGGCCGAGGAGGTTCGGCCAGGCTCGGAGGATCCAGGGGTCGGCGTGGACGGGTTGGATTGAGGCGGTGCTGGGTTGGGTTAGCATCTAGCTAGGTACATAGGTACTCCATGTACATCTTCAGAAGTTGGGTAAGGAGAGGGGCACTCACATCCCGAATTCACCCAACCGCTTCGCGTCCCGCGCGGACGCAAGTTCTAGATGTTCCATCCGATGCCGGTTTAGAGGTGAGCATGTGGATAGGGCGTCGAGACACATGGTGATTGCCGCGTCTCCGATGGCGTGGAGCGCGATCTGCAGACCGGCGGCGTCGGCTTTGCGTACAGCCGCGTTGACAATCTCCGGCTCCCAGAACGGCTTACCGCTAGAAAGCTTGGAAACATCGGTTCCTTTGAGGTAGGGTTCGGATAGGTAGGCTGTGCAGGCGTCGATGATACCGTCGGTAATGAGCTTGATGCCGACGACGTGGAGGTCGGGGGATTCCTCGGCGCTGAGCTGCTTATGTACTTCGATGACTCGGTCGACTTGGGCCAGGCAGTCGGCTTCTGAGGTTGTGGGTGTTAAGAGCCAGTAAGCGGCAAGTCGGAGGGGTAGGGGTTTGTTTGGTTGTTCCTTGCGTATGTTGAGTAACGTAGTCCACGCTTGTTCGTCCATCGCCATATCTATAGCGCCGGTGTATCCGGACTCATTGTATGCTTGTACCGCAGCCCGGATCCATTCTTCGCGATCTTTCTCCGTAGCTACGTCGGAAAGGAAAGGCCATATCATGGTGAACACAGCAGCTTCTTCAAAGGCGCCCGTAGGCTTCCCATCAGCATCACGTATAATCTTCCCTCCTTCCGGGTCTTTCAAGTTTTCCGCATCAAGCTCCTTAAGCGCGGAGGTGCTACACCAGGTGGTGTGAAGATCCTTAGAATCTATGTAGATAGGACGTGGATCGAGATCATCGATCAGGCTTGCCAGGGGCTTCGACATATGCCTCATCCACCCCTTACAAAGGATCCGCGGTTCGTCCGGGTAGGCGAGTGCATGTTCTTTAATAGCCTTTCGAACATCTTCCACATTCTCACAATGATCAAGGGCAGCTTTGCTTAGCGATTGTCCCAGCTTTAGTAAATGGATGTGGCCGTCGGTGAAGCCTGGAAGAACTGTTCGGCCTTTCAAGTCGTGGATGACAGCACCGGCAGCCCGGGACTGGACGATCGCATCATCATCTTCAAACCCAACATGTTCGATGGTCCCATCGCGGATGAAGATAGCATTCCCGAATTGAGGCTCGGCTTCAAGTCCGGGCTGATCGGCATGCAGGAAGACCTTTCCGCCGATAAAAAGATCTCCAGCAGGGGATCCCATTTGGATATCTTCACGTCAATTTCTATCTATATTTGGAGTTTATCAGTTAATAAGAGAAATGGATGCCTTGATGTAATGTTGAAGAAAACCAAAGCGATGAGCCGGATTCCTCTTGTCATGAGATATCCCTCGGTATAGGACCGCTTTCGGCGTAGGATTTGGAGCTCGTAACGCCCCTTAATACACCCCGCGCGATCCACCATCTATCATTAGTTCAGCTGAGAAGCCTCTAACGTAGGGGTCCGGTCTTGGTCCGCGGTATGTAGCCTCATATACAACCGAGTTGGTATATTATATCGTTTATTGTGGCTTGCGTAGAGATGGAAGATTTGATAAGTGACATGTAGTATAATTACCTACCAATGCAAAGTTGTCGTGCTTTCTCTATCACCTGTTATTAGAGCACTTGCATTTCCAGTTTCCTTACCTGGTACCTAGTAGGTACCTTGCCATGTCCAAAGCCGTTAGAAAGATAGGACATGGCGTTATTTAGTCTCGATGATTGAGGTAAGTTTTCTCGCAGATTGCTACTATACCATAGTAGCTCGCTTGGAATTGCCAATAGGATCATGGAAGTTTTGCCTCTTGGTGCCTTCTGATGTTCAGGTGATGGCGCTGAGTTCAATCCCCCTGCAATGAAATGTGATTTTTAGAATTTACGTAGTTGAGTCACGTGGTACAATGATTGATCAGATAAGATAAAAAAGCCACTAGGTTAGCGTTCCTCTTCATCCTATTGGCGCTTTCTGGTCTGTATTTCCCCGCCTACACAAAATAGAGAGTCTAAAGATCAGATTAAACCATAACACTGCGTAGCAAGCTCGCCATTCTATTAGCTGCTTGGCGACCAATAGCGGATGAAGTCGTACTCAGTCATGATATCTTTCTTATACGATGAACTCTATCTTCATTATAAGACTTTTCTGGCCTAAACATCCCAACATATCTAAAGAAATCTACGGATGTACGAGATGCCCACTGACGTTATTTAGAGCTTCACATCTAAAGCCTAAGGTTCTCAAGGTGCTTATCATATTCATACGACGTCTTAAATACCTACACTCACCAGCATACTTAGATAACAGGGGTTGACTAATGTCAGAAACAAGACTGTAACCGGCAGGTATTAAAAACCTCAATATCCGACCCTAACCAAGCTACGTATAATGCGACCCCCCATCCACAATCTGCGTCTGCCCCGTAACATAATCGCTATCCGAACTCGCCAAAAAGCTAACCAACTTCGCCACATCCTCACCAGTCCCGGGTCTCGACAACGCAACCTCGTCCTCAATCCTCCTCCTCATGACCTCTCCCTGCGACAACCCCTTCCGCTTCGCCATATGCGAATCGATCAGCTCCCACATATCCGTGTCGATGATCCCCGGCCCGTACGCGTTCGCCGTGATGTGGTGCTGCGCCATGTACATCGCGTAGCAGTGCATGAGCCCGCGCACCGCGAATTTGGTGGATGTGTAGTGCGGCAGCATGTCGAAGGGCTTGAACCCCGCTACCGACGATGCCGCGATTAGTTTTCCTGGCCGATCAGGCTTGCAGGTCCCTTGCGCGATCATCTGTGCTGCGGCTTCCGCGAAGCAGTTCTGCACCCCGAACACGTTGACTGCGAACATGTGCTCGAATTCTTCGGTGCTGAGCTCCAGCACGCTTTTTACTTGGCAGATTCCTGCGTTGGCGATCCTGGGGGGTATTAGTGATAAGTTGAAATAAAAACTCCGGATCGAAATATGGGGATCCGATGGTGGTTTGATGGATGGGAGGTAGGTACGTGGATGGTAAGTGACTTACATCGTATCCAAAGGCCCTAATTCCTTGATGCTCGTCTGCACCATCTCCTTCACCTGATCCCGTTTCGACACATCCGCGATCGCGGTAACCGACTTTCTGCCCATTTTCTGGATTTCCTTGACGACCTCATCGCAGCCGGCTTGGTTCGCGGGTACATCGTTTATACAGACATCGTACCCGTCTGCAGCGAGACGCAACGCGATAGCTTTCCCTATCCCTCGACTCGAACCCGTCACGATGACGGTTCTCCTCTCGCCCTGGCTGCGGGAAAGCGAGGCGTATCCAGCCCTTAGACATTTTATCCCCACGGTTAAACGACCGGAGTTGTTGGCCAAACCCCCTGATGCTGATCTAACGAGACGAAGACATCCCCATGTCGTAAAGCTCGCCGTGCGTGGACCTAGAAACATGATTACTATTAATTAACCGTAGGTCAAAAAACACCTAGGAGGTAGATTCTATCAGAGGTAATGCATTTCCCGCTCGATGCCATCTTAACGTACTCCCCCGCGTTATAAAAGCCAGGTCATGTCGACAGGCAGCGAGACCGGGCGTGGGCGACGGGGTAAAGGATCAATAGACGTTGTGTGACATCGGTTGATCGTCCTGTTCCCCTCTAAACACTTGCATAGGATGGAGTGCGGAGGGGCCGGCCTTGGAGACTTCTGGGGATATCGTCTACCGACCTGAGGTCCCGTGCCCGCATTCGGTCTTGGAGTATTCCGGGCTTCGTATGGGATATATACTCTCTATAAATGTACCTAGGTAGGTAGAAAATTGGTTAGTCGGAATTCCTGAGGTTCGATTAGGTTTTATAGACGTTTGTAGTCAATTAACTACCTGATCTATATAGCTCTTTGGTATATTCATTGATATCATTGCTTAAATACTACTTGTACAGCTAATATCTACCTACCTACTATTCGTGGTGGGGGTAGGCTTTGAACTGTCTGTTAACTTTATACCGAGCAATTGCAGTTTAAGCCGGCCAATAACATTCACATACGTTTCCAAACTAGATAAAATTGGAACACGTGAGTTCCTTTTCTGGACGAATACAGTTTATTATTGGGTTCAGTGTAAAGGAGTTCCCATTTGATAGGTAACTTATATCCCAGTATTGATCCATGGATAGCTTGCCAATGATCGTGTAGCCGGCAACAATATCAGACCACAGTCAACGTTGTGGTTACCGTAGTATCAACCTGATATTCTCATTTCATTACCTTAGTCTTTTAACTACCTAGGTACCTAATGTACGTAGCCGCATACTAAACAATGTTGTTAAACTATTATAAAGCACTTGATAATAGGTAACCTTGGAAAGGAATCGTGGAATATATCAACCACGTTGTCGACCCCTAGTACCACTAACAGGAATTGGCATATCCACTTTTGGAGATCCCCTCAACCCCAACGGAAAGGAACACTAGCAATTCTTCATTGAGAACCGGATGACCTCTTTAGGCTAGCGAAGCGGGTGAGGAGTATGAGGGGAAGCCAAGCTAGCTACCTAGCTACGTGAGTTGGATATTTTCAGCCATTACACGAGGTTCTACGGTACCTAGGCAGGTAATCTCCAGCTCACTCACACTACGCAAAAGCCCGAGCCCGCTAGAAGATAATGTGGTATTTTATACTAAACCTAGGTAACTTATATCGGGACTTAGGCATTCATCTATCTTATACAATAAAGGTTTTTTTGCGAGGGCGCCACATAGCGAATTCGGGTTTGGAATCAGCCATCAACCATCTTATACAATTATCGTGAATATGTACTGAAGACCCCGAGAGAACCCATGAGACCCGAAACTCCCGTCATGCCGCCCATTCCATTGATGCTATGATGCGCGTCCGTCCGCTGCTTGTCGACTTTCGCCCGGTGATAGACGCGTGCTTCCAATCACTCGATCCGACCTACCGACCGGTGTTGGCAAACGCGCTCTTCACGTCGGCGCGAGGCCACTCAAATAGTACGTCGCCGCTGTATACATTTGCCGTGATGGTGGAAATCCGAATTTCTAAATCTCCGTAAAACTTCTCGCATTCGCGCAGGACCCGATTGACCAAACTACGGCTCAGGGTTGGGTCGTCCGCGTCGCCAAAATGCTTCTCGACTCTTTTCTTCAATGCTTCGACACCCTTGCGCACTTCGCGGCCGTCGTAGCTACTCAGCGTCTTATTGAACGTACCCTTGGCATTGCTGGGCTGTGCCGCAATGATCGCGGGGTTCTTTCCTGTCGCAAGTTGTGCCTCGATATTTTCGAGGTATTCGAGCAATTTACCCAATGGTCGGCGCATCACTGCGTTTAGGTATAGGCCCAAATGTTCGGCCATTTCGTTAGCCGCAGCTTCCTTCCAATCTTCGAGAATTTCTAAACCGTGAGTATCGAGCTCCTCAAGGAAGTGGTTCATGTTTTCGATAAGTAAGATATGGTAGTTTAGAGCTTCCTTATCTTCAGGATCGGCGCCGCTGTTTGTAAGCGTTACGGGATTCTCGCGTGCAATGACCTTAAGCGAATCAAACATGGTCTTGATAATACGGTCGTACTCTCGGTCTACGGTTCTTCGTACGGAAGAGCCCGTGTCGACCGCCGAGAGCATATTCTCTACCGCATTAGAGAAATGCGGGAAGACTCGCATGAAGGAGATGACACCTTTACGTTTCTTGATCTTGACTTTCGTTTCCTCAATCGCGCGCAATTGACTTTCAACAAATTTCGAGAAACGAGTTTCGAGGTTACTATGAAGTTTTTGTAACACGTTGTTCAAGAAATCTTGATTGGACTGTATAATTTCCAGGTGTTTCCGCTCGAGTGTTGCCAGGATACCAACTCCTTGCCTGTTTATTTATTAGCCAAAAGAAACTGCGATGAGATTAATCTGACAAGGCACTTACAGCGGATCTTGTGACAAAACCCAATCGACCGTGAGTTGTAAGTCTTGTTCCAAGAATGAAAATATCGCCTCCATAGCTCGTGTAACCCTTCTGGCCAATTCACGATCCGGTTCCATGAGTCTATGTCGTTTCAAATCACCACCGCGTCGATCCCGTGGTTTTGTCGCGGTTACGAGGTCGGAGAAATCGGCTGTCTCCAAGGTGGTTGCATGGAAGAAGTCGACGATGAAATTTTGCTCAATTTCGACAAGAGGAACCAGATCGTCCATCATGCCGGCGAATACTTCATACGGAAGGTTGCGACCGTCGGAAATCTTGTCGAGGCTTGTCTTACTGCCCTCGCCAAGAGGACTGCGTAGAGTTCTAGCTAAAGTCTGACTTCGCTTGACAGTAAGCTTCCTGGCAGTGGCCATGGTGCCCTCCTGCTGTCGCTCTATCTCGGCGGTGAAAAGAAGCTCTAATTCGTCACCCGTAGGTTTCCTTGCATTCCGTCTCCATGAATCGAGTATATCCTTGAATCTAAACTTATAGAGTGGAAGATTCTTCTCTTGGTACACTTGTAAGCACCGGTTCCAGCCTTCGAGGTCTACTTCTCGAGCATAGAGAATAAGAGGGCTGTAGCGCCAGAGCAAATCCCGACCGACGTCGTGATGAGCAGGGTCGACCTTTTTGGACAACGCCCCATCTACGGTGGCCCTAACCTCTTGGGATGCTTTATCAAATTGTCGAGACATAAATGCGCCAAAGCGTTGTAAGAATGCAGTGCTCTCCGTGCTGTACATCTCTCTTTTTTCTTGAACGATACGCATTTTACCATAGTCGGTGTTGAGGGTAGATTGCTGACCGCCTGAACCTCCATCTTCGCTTTTCCGGAGTTCTGAACCAGCAGCTGAGGAATCAATTTTCATCATGGCCTTGTACAAGGTAACGAGTGCGGTTTCAACCTCTTCAAGACCTGAAGTAGTTTCGAGCGGTGCCACTGTAAGAGCTCGCAAGTCATCGGAGGTAATCGCACAGGTATCAAGCAGCGATTCTACCTCTTTCCTAAGAAGCTTCTGGTTAGCTGCCTGCACCTGCAGACCTTGCCCTTGCGCTTCTATGTATGCGATATCGTCGGATAAGGTCTAAACCGTGATTAGTAATACGAATCCAATAGTCTTAATCCACACTCACAGATAATTCTACGCTGTACAAAGTGAGGAGGTTGTCCAGTTCATCACACTCGGCCAGGGCAACATCAAGGCCCTTTTTGATTGCTTCGACTCGGTCATCCTCCTCCTGAAAGCGTACAACCCAGCCCCCGGCCTGTGCTTTGTTAAGTTCACGGTCAATGTCGAGTTTCATCTCTTCGAAATTACGACCTCGCATTTGTTCGCCAGGTACCCAGCCGAAATGATCCAACCATCTTGCAAACTCTGAGGACGTATCGGCCATAAGAGATATATCGATACCTAGTGTAGACAAGTACTTTGTATCATTACCAGTAATCGTTAAGGGTCGAGGAGTATCATCTTGTCGCGCCGCCTCCAGACTCTTCCTCTGGCTTTCTTTGATAGAGGCCTGCAGGCTAGAAGGCCTGCTGGAATTAGGTACTGTAACTTTCACTTCGGGGACAATGGGAGCCTTGTCTACGGATTTCCTCTCAGGCTCGACAGGTTTTGGTAACTCGGGCTTCGGTTCTGGGCGTGGCGGCGCTGGAACAACGCTTGTTATCCCATCTGGTCCTTCAGTTGACTTGAGGGCCGCCTCTCGCAATCGTTCTCCGGCTCCGCCTGGTCGTGGTTTGAAAGCGGTCGCAGCCGACGCGGCCTTCCATAGAGCCCCAGCTAGATCGCGCTGAGACTTCGCCTTAATCATAGGACCTAATCCTGGGCGAGTCTCCACATCTGCTGATTTCTCTGCCGCTGGTGGTGTAGATGCCGGATTTTCTGCAGCTGCAGCAGCTGCAGTACCGTTTGGACTAGGTGTTAGAGCGGGAGGTGTATCGGAGATTACGGGAACTGCAGGCACTGGCTCTGCCGCTGGGGCTAGTGGTGATTTATCGGCGGGTGAGCCATTCTCAAATCGTTTCCCAATAGAATTCTTTCCAGGCGACATGCGTTCAGTACTCCGTGGCGGTGGTTCTTTTCGACCTCCTTGGCTCATCAACGGCGCCGGAACGAGACCGTTATCTGTAGTTTCTTTCGGCCGGGTTGGATCCATTGGTGGTCTTTTCCTGTCAGGTAAATCTACCTGTGAAGGTGATTCCGAGCGATCGGCGAATCTACCAAATGCGCCGGGTCCTGGCATTCCCCCTCTAGAACGGGGAGGAAGACTTGCAGAATCATCACTTCTCGTCGTCGATATAGAGGCTGCTATGGAGTCTTGGCTCTTGTTATTCCCAGCCAACCTACGTAGAGCAGCTGCCTGATTCCCTGCCCGAGCTGAATCAGCACCAGATACTGACGCTGGAGACGAAGATCCATTAGGAGGTGCGAGGTTACGACCCGGAGAACTAGGGGATTGGTTAGGGCGATAAGGCTGGATTCCGGGTGCGGAAGCAAAAGGGCTAGGGGATTTGTTTGGGATAGGCACAGCGTCAGACTGAGATGGTAAGAAATCGGGTCTAGGTGGTCTAGCGTCTACTCTCGGCGGTGTCGCAGCACTTCTCGAAGGAGGGGGGGTAGGTCCGGTTCGTAATGAGGGAGTAGAGTCGGAAGGGGATCCTCGATTCTGGTTCGGATTCGGTGGGATCCTTCGTGAACCAAGCACTTGATCAAGTTCGCGTGGATCGAAACCTTTTAGTTCAGGTACACTTCCGCCAGTATACTTCCCGTATATTTTAACCAAACTAGCAATAAAAAACTTCTTTTCCTTGTCAGCCTGAGCTTGCCAGTAGTACGGCTTTCCAAGGTTCACGATAAATCCGGTATCACCGGCCCAGTCTCGTTTTTGGGGGTCGGCATTAGGGGAGGTAAAGGACTCGATGACACTCAAGTCATTCAGATCCCAAGTCTTGCCAATAGAGAATGAGCCATTTGCATTTTCTTTGGACTTGTGCATGCGCACTCGACCAGATTTTCGCACTGCTACGATGATAACTCTCGGTTTTTCTGATTGGGATCGCGCCTCAGGAGGCGGCGGAGAAGTCGGGTGTGAGGAGTATTCTGTGATTCTAATATGGGTGATATAGGTTTCAAGTACTACAGGGAAACACATTGTACGTCAGCCACTGTGGTAGTCAGTCAACACAAGCGAAACATGAAGCAATCTTACTGGATCCATCAACATCTTTTTTATTGAAGCAGCTCTCCACGATGCGCCTCTTTTCCTCCTCGAACCGCTCAGCTCTATTATATTCACGACCCATGCCGGATCCACCATTTTGTCGCGGTTGATCCATTGCTTAGAACGGGGTATGAATCCTGTGACAAATTCATGAATGGAGGTGGTCGTGGACAATTCGCGGAGGTTCAGTGATCATCTTCGCCTCCGTTCAATCAATGAGCAACAGGGCGATAATACTGCGTTTAAGCTTCGAACTCTGCCTACCTCGTAATCGGGACGTTTCGGAGTGCTGAGAAACAATCTAAAGGGCGCAAAGATGGCGATGACAGGATGAATGAGTATGGTAAATGCTAAATGAGGGAACGTTGGTGATGTACAATGTGATGTCTCAGGGAGTTTGAGGCCAAAGCGTCGGAGTGTAGCTTCTTGGCATTTTTTAGGTGTTCGAAAATGTACCTCGCTACTTCCTAGTTTTCAATCTGCCTTATGTAATCACAGCTAATTCTCCCCAATTCAAACCAACAAATTGAAAATTTAAGTTTTGTCATAAGTACCAGGTACTTACTGAGCGCCACATATAAGCCACTACGTTTCATTTAATTAATTGTGACGTCGCTTCCACGGCACGGAACACATGCACCCTCAATTCCATCCACTGATTTTATTCTTTCTGACATTTATCAACATTGAAGGCGGGATAAACTTGCACCCAGTTCGATATTCAAGCGTACCGCTCCATGATATCTTTGACCTTCTCAAGAGGAAGTGCCTCGATTCTATGGCCCTGATTTCCTACCATCGTCTCGGCCATGCATAGACAATTGTATATCGACTCTTCCGTGGCGTCTGCTGTGGCCTCAAATAATGCATTAATAGTTGCATCATCAACCACGTCAACAGTGATAGGCCTTGTCTTGAATCGGTCCACTTCTTGTTGAACCGGAATCTCATTGCCTGTCGAAAAGGCTAAAAAGACATCGCCAGAGGGATTGTGCCCGTAACCACCAACTTTCGCCAATCCCACTGTCGCCCTCTTAGCAAGTCTTTGGAGTTGTGTAGGGTGTAGGGGTGCATCCGTCGCGATGATGACAATGATACTCCCGTCCTTCCTATCTTTCTCCTTTTCAAGGTTTTCTCTTGCCAGTTTTATTGCCATACTACTTTCGGCAGCTTTATCGGCTTCCTTGGCTAGAATACTTCCAACCGGTACACCCGCGATGCGGAAGTGGTGTGGCCTGCCGTAGTTGGCTTGCACAAGCACACCGACTGTGTAATTCTTGGGCTCGCCTTTGGTATCGAATCCGTCGACCATTCTGCTGCTGCTACCAGTACCACCCTTGAAAAAATGGCAGATCACTACAGTGATTTAGTTAGCATGTATCGCAATTTAGAAAAGGATGCAGAGGTTACTTACTTCCAGTCCCACCACCGACATTACCTTCCCTGACACGGTCACTCGAGACACTCTCAAGACCCTTGACGATGTGTTCCGGCTTAACCGCGAATTGAGTGAGGTCGTTTAGGTACCCGTCAAAGGTTTCTGCCACCACAGGTAACAGAAACCAGTCGACATTCCCCTTCGTCACCCCTTGAGCTTTGATGGTGTACTCGTATATTCCCTGGTAGGCGGCACCCACAGCGAAAGAGTTGGTGATAACAATAGGGGAGTATAGGAGGCCAGTTTCATTGATCCAATGGCTACCAGTCATTTCACCGGAGCCATTGAAGCTAAACATCCCCGCGTAACAGGCTTTATGAAACCATTCTTCTCGAGGCAAGATACTCGTGACGCCAGTGTTCACGGCGCCATCGTCAGCAAAGATTTCCTGAGTATGAACCCGAACACCAGGAACATCCGTAAGGGAATTCAGGGGGCCGGGTTTCCAACCACCTAATTGTAAGTTAGGCAGAAGATCTCTGAGTCGCATTCGAGGCTCATTGCCTGTGGTTGTGGTTGTGCCTGACTCCGACGACATAGTAAAATGAATGAGAATTAAAGTAAGGTAATTGGTATTTTGGTATCTGCACCCCTTTCATTCCCAATGCTAACTTGTAGTACCAAGACTACATTTATACCGAGATACTCATCATGTGATATTGATACGCATGTATGTATACTACAACAATCATTACCTCTCTGCTGACTCATACCGATGTGTTGACGAATCAAGACCATCTGGAAGGATGGTCTTGTCTCAATTTGGGAGGTGAATGGTGATATGCATCTCAAAAGCATTTGAATTGCTGATAGCCAATTGGTTTAGATTGTAGATTTGTTCCCAACCCCATATCTTGAGATGGGTATAGGGTTTCATTGTGAACAACAATCTTACATGACAAGGTTCAATTGAACTAGCTCGCTGTAAGTTGAGATAGAAGAGAGGGAATTCGCCTTTTAGTAAATGGTGGCTTACCAGGCAAGGGCTACAAGGTGGGTAGGTACCTACTAGCCTTCTAAACCGAATATTCGGCCTCTAACTATTCCCTAATACGCGGAGATGTTTATCACCGGCTCAAGAGCCGGCAGAAGGCGCAATTCCCCCACAGCGGGACAGTTGCTACCCCACATTATTCTTTCCTTCCCTTTGTTTTACCTAGGTCCTATGAGGTAGGGATGTTGGGGATCTCACTCATTGCTCCTGGCGGCTTAAGATTCTATCCTAATTCATCTACGTCACATTGAGAATCAACTAGGGAACATCATTTCCTTCTGCCTAGGTGCCTGTTCCTAAATAGTAGTTGAGCTGTTGTATAAGTGGTGTACGTCTTTGAAATTGGTAATCCCGATTTTCGGCAGATTATAAATCCCCAAGATGGTTGCCGCGGTTCGAGTGGCACCCACTGTGAGTTTCAAGATCCTATCATCGAATTGGACATTTCACTAATATTAGAAAAAACATCAGGCTGCTTCAAGAGCAGTCAGTTTATTGCGAACTGTCCAGTACGCTCATCCACCAAATTGTCCATGCCACTCAAATCCGGGCCATCACCATCATCATGCGAGACCTCACATTGACGCATATGCTCAGCATACCCAGCAACTAACTGGAAGACGCGGGTTTGCTTCTCCTATAGATCCTTCTCAGCAGAAAGAGTATGCGTTCGAGATGGCCGCCTCGTCAATCCGATTTGGACCTGGCGTGACTCAAGAAGTTGGTATGGACTTCAAAAATATGGGTGCAAAACGCGTCTGCGTCGTGACCGACTCAACTGTGCGAAAACTCACTGCTGTAAAGCAAGTCGAAGAGGCCCTATCAAGAGAAGGTATCAAATATGAAATATTTGATAAAGTCCGCGTCGAGCCCAAGGATAGTTCGTGAGTAACTGCTAGAATCTGTAAGATATATGAAATCTTAGCTTAATCTGGTTCAGCATTAAGGAGGCTATTGCTTTCGCCAAACCGTATCAGCCGGATGCATTCTTAGCAGTTGGAGGAGGCTCAGTCATCGACACGGCCAAGTTAATGAATCTTTATACCGAGTACCCCGACGCTGATTTCCTGGATTTCGTCAACGCTCCTTTAGGCAATGGGCGGCCGATTGAGAAGAAACTTAAACCCCTTGTCGCCATCCCCACCACAGCCGGCACCGGCAGTGAGACTACCGGAACGGCAATCTTCGATCTGGTGGCGAAGAGAGCCAAGACCGGAATTGCACACCGTAACTTAAAGCCCACCCTCGGCATTTGCGATCCACTCAACACGAGGACGATGCCTTCGGCAGTGAAAGCTAGTTCCGGATTAGATGTTCTGTGTCACTCACTCGAATCGTGGACAGCGCTTCCCTTCAACGAGAGGGTGCCTAGACCGTCTAACCCTATCCTAAGACCCGCTTACCAAGGTGCAAATCCAATCAGCGACATTTTTTCACTGAGTGCCCTGAGAAGTACTGTTAAGTATCTTCCAAGATCCGTAAAGGATCCTGAAGATCATGAAGCCCAAAGTGAGATGCTACTCGCTGCCACGCTAGCCGGTGTTGGTTTTGGTAATGCGGGGGTTCATCTCTGTCATGGTACGAAAAAGAATTAACCGGAGGTCTGGGAACGAGAATTTCAAACTAACGAATTACCTTAGGAATGTCATACCCCATCTCCGGTCAAAACCCGGGCTACAAGCACGCGGGCTACGAAATAGAATCACCCATCATCCCTCACGGCGTCTCAGTCGCCGTATCCGCACCCGCAGTCTTCCGATTCACCGGCCCCTCGAACCCCGATCGCCACCTTGCCGCCGCCGAATGTTTCGGCGTAGACATCACGAACGTAAAGCGCGAAGACGCAGGCCGGGTTCTAGCTGACGCTATCACGGAATTCCTCGCGGACTTAGGCGATCAGCCCAAGGGGTTAAAGGAGCTGGGATTTGACTCGAGCCATATCGAGGCCTTGGTTGAAGGTACGATACCCCAGGCCAGAGTCCTGATGCTGGCGCCTGGTCTGGCGAAGGAGCTTGAGCGGGAGAGGGATCAGTTGAGGAGGTTGTTTGAGGAGGCCTTGGTGCATTGACGAGGGCTGGTTAGGCTGTATATAAGCGATTAACTAGATATTTTATCTAAGTACCTACTCAGCATGTAGATAGTTTGAGCTATAACTGGAACTATGAGCTCTGATCAAAGCCAAGCTAATATTTCAAGCTCTTCAGCTCATACATAACATAATTCGAAAAATCAGTACGAACTGTTTAACAGTTTTCGTAGCCATGCAATTTTATAAAATAGAAACGTACAAATTTAGAGGTAGTTTAGGAACATTGCGGTGGTGAGACATAGGTACCAAGATGGTCAGTTATAATTGTAAGGGGGCCGGGTTGGCCTCCGAATAATAGCGAATGCAGGTGCTAACCAACCCCCACGTTTTAGTGAGCGTTAGGCGGGCAGCCTTTGTTTCCTGCCTCTTCAACTTTCTATGCTTAAGAGAAGAATAAACGTGACTCTTTAGATATACATATTGATTATACTTCGTATTATAATACGAATCCCGTATTCGGGATATATCTTACGAATGAGCCCTAAGTCTCGCTTAGAATATTAATATGTGCATGTTAATAAATCTGACAGATCTCATAGAACTCCCGACATGAACTTGCAGCATATCGGGGCCAATTCCGAAAATAAAGAGTCGAAAGAGACGAACAGCTTCGGTCCGAAGGCATCGGGCCTACAAATCTCCAGAAGCATCTAAGTAGATATCCAACGCAGAAAAAATGAGATAACAAAAACCTCAATCGCGACTGCGACTCGTGAGACTCGTCGCTCTCGCATGGCAATCCGGTTCGCGTTCCGGACTCCACAGGACGTAATGGCCCACACGAAGCTACCACGATCCAATATTCTGGGGCCAATTCGGCCGATAGCCACCGCGAGATGTGGAGAGATCGAAGAGCCTCACTCCGCAGGTCGATATGAGACTTCGCCGCGATACTCGAAAAAACGGCCATGGCCCAGGCTTCTGGGAATTCCACCTCGAAGCCCGTTTCTCAGCTGCAGCGTCCAACCACCAACACCCGTATCGCCTCACTATCCCGTCGTAGGCGCCGGGGTGCCAGCTGAGCCCTACGTACCTATAATCCCACCAATCGCACCCCGGTGGGATGCAGAGCCCTCTGTCCCAATATCCCTAGATTGCGGCACTACCCTCGCCGTAGCATTCGACTCGAAAACTCCCTAGCACGTGCCGGTCCTATTACCCTTGCCGGTTCGCGATAAGTGCTTACGATCCTCGCTGTGGACGCGAGCCCTACCTACATACCTACTCGCCCTCTGCCTCGGACTGCCAAGGCCCTGGGATGCGAGCCGTGCTTGGCGTCTGGACCTCGACGTCGCACGCGTGCTACCCCGGCCTAATCGCGCTGGTGGGTTCACTAACGGGAGATGTATGTAGGTATGGTCTGGTATGGTATGGGCTTACGGCTTATTCCAGCAGCGCCAGCGGCCGTTTCGGGACGTCGGAGGGATTTGGCCCGCCTCCCTTTTTCGGGATTTGTGTGGTTTGGGGAAAGCTGGGGTAGCGCCGTTGGGATGTTGGGGGTGCGCGAAATGGGTAAATTGAATAAGATTCTCGCAGCGCCCGTGCGATTCGAGAGGAGCGCTTGGGGACTTGGTTCTTTTTTTGTGCTGTTCATATCTTGGTAGGTAGGAACTGATTGCTGAATTCGGTTTGTTTCTAGTGATAGGTACGGTCATTATGGAAGAGAAAGAAATTAATGTCGCCGGTGTGTTGGTGTCCCAGGAACATGTCGCTGTGAATGAGGATCATGGCGCGACGACGAGTTCGCCTCGTGAGAAGGCTAAGGTGGTTCATAATGTGAGTTTTTTCGACTTGGGCGCAGATGGGTGATGGAGTTTTCGTTCTACGCGCCCGCTGGATGAAGTTTCTAACCGGTTTACAGGCAGAGCTCTACGCAGCTATCCAGGAAACCAAGATCGATTACAAGAGCAGAAATTCGATACATCTCTACTGTAAATGACCCAGGCGAAATTATCGATCTCTTACTCCCGGAGCGATACTGATTATGAATAGTTTCGGTCCTCGTTGCGTTTTGTTGCGCCTGTGCCAATGGATATGATGGTGAGATTCAACCTCGATTCCCTCTAATTAGTGGCTTACAGGCGCTGACGGGATCAATGGTTCAGGGTCACTTCTTACCGGCATTGTCGCCATGAACCATTTCCAAGATACCTTCCACAGCGGAAAAACTGGCACCATTGTCGCTATCATGTTCTCTCTTTACACGGTGTTAGTCTTCCGCAGACATTCCCTTCTACGTGTCTTAGACTGATCTAAAACTGAACGATAGTGGCGCTATGGTCGGCAGTCCTTTCGGAGCTATCCTGTCCGATAAATATGGCCGCAGGGTGGGCATGTTCAGCGGCTGCATAGTTATCATCGTCGGTATGGTTATTGCGTCGACAGCCTATACGATCCCGCAATTTGTCGTTGGTCGTTTCGTCCTTGGTTTTGGCATTTCTATCGTAACCGTTGCCGCTCCGGCTTACGCCGTCGAGATCCCACCTCCGCATTGGCGAGGTCGAGCTACCGGTAAGCAGGAATTCCTAAGGGGTTATAATCAACCAAAATTCAATATCCTAATAGTATCGCAATAGGCTTTTATAACTGTGGTTGGTTCGGCGGTTCCATCCCTGCCGCTGCTGTTGTTTACGGCTGCAACAAGATAGACAGCAACTACTCCTGGAGAATCCCGTTGATCATTCAGGCATTCGCCTGTGTCGTCGTCATCTTTGGTGTTTGGTTCATTCCCGAGTCACCTCGATTTCTCATGGCGAATGGCCGTGAGGAAGAGGCTATTGCTTTCCTAGCCAAGTACCATGGTAACGGCGACCCCAATTCCAAGCTTGTTCAGCTTGAGGTAGCGGAGATGAAGGAGGGTATTCGGCAGGACGGTATTGACAAACGACCATTGGATTGTAAGATTTACATTTTTTACCCCTTAAATGGCTCGTATAAACAAGACTAACGCTTGTTCATAGATCGGCCATTCCTCTTTACCCACAGTGGTCGCTGGCGAATTCTCCAGGTTCTTATGATTTCCATCTTCGGTCAATTCTCCGGCAACGGACTCGGTTACTTCAACACAACTATCTTCGAGATCATTGGCGTTTCATCTATTGAGCAACAATTAGCATACAACCTGCTTAACTCTGTCCTCTCCGCAGTTGGCGCCTTGACCGCCGTCGCCTATACCGACACCATGCCTCGACGTATGGTGTTGATTTATGGAACGTTAGGTGAGTTATCTATTTCCTAAACGAATACTTATCAGTGATATTATTTCATATACTAACAACTTGTGCTCCTATAAAGCGTGCGTTGCAGCCCTAGCTACCAACTCCGGTCTTTCCGCTGCTCTCGATGCCCAAGGCGAAAACATCCAAGAGTCCTACGCGAAGGGTGCTTTGGCATCTTACTTCCTATTCAACATCATCTTTTCATTCACCTACACTCCTCTTCAAGGTGTGATCCCTACGGAGGCTCTTGAAACGACTACGCGAGCCAAAGGTCTTGCGTTTTCCAGTGTCATCGTCTATGCGATGGGGTTCATAAATCAATTTGCCGGTCCTATTGCCCTAGGAAACATCAAGTATAAATATATTTATGTATGTCACCAACATCACCGCTTTTAAGTAGGGTACAGCTAACTCAATTTGAAATAGGTGTTCGTTGGATGGGACTTGATCGAAGCGATACTCTGGTACTTCTTTGGGTTCGTACCACCTAACTTGATACCCCTATTAGTCATCACTAATAATTATCGCAGTGTCGAGTCGCAAGGCCGTACTCTCGAGCAGCTCGAATGGGTCTACAACCAACCTAATCCTGTCAAGGCATCCCTCAAGGTCGATAGGGTCATCGTTGAGGAGGATGGCAGAGTTAAGGAGAAGGTCGTAACGGGTAACGCGTAAATGTCACATATTACTATATTGGCTGGTAGACATTAAAGGGCATAGAACTTCTTGTTTGATTTATCGGATCTCTATATCTCGAGTGACATATCGATAATACGTGGGCATATATCGATTTGGTAGCTGAGAAGGGGGCAATGGGATTTCGGGGATCGGGATTCATTGATATACCTATAGCAGGTTATTATTGTCAAAATTACAAGATTTTGGCTTGAGCATAATGTTTGAGACTGATAAAAACCCACATGCTACGCGCAATTTGCATATACTTGCGGTGAAATAGAACTGCTATCTTCTTTTGTATCATTCTTTACAACTAAAGTCGCCGCTTGGTAGAGAGTATGTATCTTGTAACGCTATTTGCTAGGTAGGTAGGGAGGTATTTTGTTGGCTTTATGTGATTGGATCTAGGTAATGTAGTGGTGATCTTGGGTTTGTCTCTTCGTCTGCCCAGTTCATTTGCCTAGGAAGCCATATTGTCAATAGGTATTTTCTGGGTTACAAACTCAGGTAGATAGAGATATCAAGAGTGAAATCTAGGTAGGTATGGGGTTTTGTCTCACTAGATATCCCATTATGTAGTACACAGGATCTCTGGATACTCCTGGTGCTACTTTTCCAGTACCTTCTAGTAGTTGTGTTGATGCTGTATATTCCTTGACATCTTAGGATAGGGGATGATACTTAGTGTCTTTATGAACCTGAATGGTCGTTAACGCAGCACAATCAGCTGAGTCTACAATTTTAATGACGTCTAAACTAAGTTCTTAAAGCATGATGGATTGCACAAACCCAATCTAGAAATCGTAATTCGGGATAGGCAAGTGGTGGTTACTCCCTTGGTATAGAATTGGGAGATCATTGTTGCACAGCATTAACGTGTGTGTCATCATCAGCAATTATACTGGTAGATTTCAATAAAGAAAGGAATAAGGATCCACGCTTTCCTATCGTCTATTCCCCATCATGAAAAGATCCGGTGATATCTGCCATTGACGTCTTAATTTTGAATCTTCTTGTTACACCGAACGGATGTCAGTTCCCCTATGAGGTAAAAGATTCCCATATTGAGTGATGTGACATCTGGGGCTTGTGTTTTCATTATTTACTAGGTACTAGGTACCTGCCTATGTTACCTCTCCATGAATTGGAAAGTAATGAAAAGTTGATATCGCTACAACAGATCTTCATATTCAGTGGGTATTTCTTCCCTGCCTCTAAGGTACTTTCTACTAGATCATCAATGAATACTTGTGAAAACCCAAGGTAGGAGATGTAGAATGAAGAATAATTCATACAAATTGATGGGCATGACCAGCCTGTCAGATCTAATTTATTATGAATTGGCAAATAAATTATTGTCAACCATGTTTTGAGTTGTTACTGCGCTTTTAGTTGACCACGGACCATAACCAGGACATGAAAATTTCTTTCCAGGGAGCAATTACCAGCCCTACCAATATGAGTCAGGCTGATATTGTGAACTATTATTTTCTTGAAAATAGTCTTTATCTGTAGGTCTTTCTTCTAAGCGAACAGCGTGATGGAAACAAAGTGCCATATTCTATGGTTAGCCCCTGACCATGGATTAGCTACACTTTGGCCCCCAATAGGACTCTTTATGCTGGAAAAACTGCTTTTTTGGATGCCCAGGCTGCTAGGTGATGATAAGAAAATCTTCTCAAACCGTGAGGTGAAAGGAGTCGCCAAGTCTCAATCGTTACAATCTTGAACTCGGTTAAGACAAATTAGAGGGTCTTCACGCACTAGGGGAATGTGAGGCTCTGGGAATAGCGGTCTGCCTTGATTTCACAACATGAATTTTGATTAGCTCATATACGCTTCGCTTCGATGTGACACGTAAGTTGGCATTTTGAACCAAAGACAACGATAATTGATGCCATAACCTGGGGCAAATCCACCCCTGATCCAATATTACCGTTTCTGCTGTCTCAGAGCCTCATCCAGGTTATGAAATAAGATAGTCTGGAACAGCCCATAAGACTCCTAGGCTATGGTCACGAGACAGATACCTGGTATTTGGGCGCGAATGATACAGGGAGATAATGACATTTCCAACGGCATGGTTCAGTATACACGGGTACAACCTCCGGTTTCCGGAGTCATCAGATATTTTCCCTGTAATCGATGAAGGACTGTGAGAAGGGGTCCTGTATACTTGAGATGGAGGATTGGTGCATAAAATATTGGAAGTGTTCCAGAAAGCGCTGATCCATTACCGTTATGCAACGGAATCCGTCCTGATAATGCAAAGTCTACCTGGTATCACAATGGCCAGACCATTTGGACACTCCTTCCCTTACAAAACTAGCATAACACGTGGGAACCATGAGTTTTGAGCTCCTATGGGATGAACTTTTGAGCATCAAAGCAGGTAGTGTTCACGCACGAAAGCCATTACCAATTCATGTCTTCTTGTCCAGTCTTTCTAATATCACCCGCAAATTCTAACCCATTCCGTACTCTCTTAAGGCCACCTACATAGAGAACGAGATGTATAATTGAACGAGAACTATTTCATTGGCTAGCCTGTCAATACTATGTAGACAATAAAGCTTTGCTTTTATCCTGTCCCATGTCAGTGGTTTCCAAGGTAAGATCGATGACAAAGATTGCGTCCGGGTAAGAATTATTCCCCAGAACATTAGTCATATTCTCGCGCCAGCATCTCACCCCCACACTGTCTGCCTGCAGATGATATTATTTATTATCTTGATATGCTTTATGCGTTAAACCACACCGACACCCTTTTAGTCTGGTCCCTTTGGCGAGCGTACTGGGTAGGCTCAAGGGTTCATCCACCTTGAAGTTGCCTCGGCTTGGGTTCTAATCTACTGGTCCCTAGAAAGACTTTTATCTTGAATACTTGGAAAAGTCTAGACCTTTGGTATGCTGCATGTTCGATATATTCCCGTCTTACTTTGGAGTCATACGAGGGTCTTCTATGGTTAGATCAACCGACTTTAGATGCAAGACGGCTCTCCGGGTTCACCCCCAGGAGGTATGTTTATGAACGGGGGCATGATCAAGACATGCTCATGACATGTAGTTATTCACATATTGATTATATCGTTGAAAGGAGAGATGCAACTATGGTGATATTGGGAATGACATCCTTGAGTAGATTGATAGGCAGCTGAAGTCATGGATGGACTCAACCTGTAAAGGACTTCATATATCCATTTCATTTAGAAATTAGACGTTGTAACATAGCTACCTACTCTGTACCTAGGTAGCTAAGTTGCCACAGAGAAGTTATGTAATAAACCAAGAGTTTCGATGATGCTGGTAACAAAAAGGGGCTTCAACTTGCGTGTTGCTTTTCCATTATTCTGATCGACAGGACTGTGCCCCCCTTTTGCTATTTAAAAAGTACAGCTTTATATTTACAGTAAAATGCAACAAGTCTCACCAATGTTCATTAGTGTGGTAACGAAAGATCCATGATGACCCTTCATGCTTAATATTCTACCTGTACAATACCATAGATTTCACTAGCTGGACTTTTCGGACTTTAGAGGATATAGTGTCTTTACGCAACTCGGGAGAGACGGCACGATTGAATATAATCGTTCGATAGAAAGAAGAAATAGGCCTTGTTAGAAGTTAAGATAGGCAGTTGTTAGCGATTGTTCCATGTTAAAACTGATCGATGAAACTATCACGGTTGATTCCGAGTAAACGGCGACAAAGAACCCCGATGCTGTATCTAGACAGTTAAGGTAGCATTCCAGCTGGAGGATATACGAAAGGGTATTGCGGACACTTCAAACCCACATCCCACATTCGAAATGGAAGATGACCGGGGACATAACCGAGCTTAATACGACATAGGCCCCACAACCTGCGGGAATCGCAGAAGTCCGGGTCATCAACTATCCGTGAATTTTCCATCCCCGTTATCGAAGGCGGAAGGACTCTCAGCAATGTATGTATGTCAGCTGAACTAAGATCAAAACAACCGCCAAGATCTTCATCTCATATTTTCTTCGCGGATAAGACTTTTTAGGCGGTTATCTCCAGTCGAGTATGCAGATATTCACCAATCTCCGGGACATGATCGCTCTCGTCTACCATATTTAGTAGGTCGTTAAGAGCTGAAGATTAGTAATTATCTACCTACTAGTTGCCAAGGTACCTACTTAGACCTACATATCATCATTATAATAGGTACCAATTGCCATAATAGGTACAGTACCTAGGTGGGTAGGAAGGTAAGGAGGTAGAGTAGAACATTGTAGGGTGAAGATAAGAGCTGAGTTCCAGGTTACCAGCAATAGATTTCGAGAGATGACTAATAATGGGCTCTTAAGGATCCGTATATGATTACAACTACCCCGCGAACGATGATCTACGTACTGTTTGGTATTTAGGGGACCTTTGCGGAAAATTAACTGTTCCTTTTGTCCTGGTCGTGTAGCAAACATCGTGGGATGAAAAAGCGGGAGGCGTAGCAAAACCTTAGCTACCTACGTTAGAGTCGTTAGATTATCTATAAGCGGCATCGCGCGTGCGTATAAGCATTTCGGCAGTAGTGGACCCCTGGATGGATCAATAAGATGGCGCTGCGACGCGCGAACGGCATTCTCGGATGTGTAGCTAATCAGCATTCTGGTATGGTGATGGTATGGTGGTGAAGAGGCAAAGAGGATTGCTGTGCCCGACGATCGACAAGTGAATTGCACTATGACATACCTGGAAGTTTAGCGGGTTACAGCTAGTGATAGCTAGCATCAATGCTAAACACGAGGCGACAGGGCGCGTCAACAGATCTACCACTAGAGATTGAATGCTACCTCATCTTACCTCAGCTCTTCACTTGATTTGGTGAACGAAGCCCCGCAGAATCGTACTCCAGTTCTTAGAACCCCCCGTCTACGTACGGGTCAGTGGGATTGTAGGAACAGAAATAGCCCCGATAAGACCAGTTTCTTTATCCTGGAGGACATTCGGGAACGTGGGAGAGTTTATTGGTTGCCTTACCCATGCCTGCTTTCACCCAGCACCTAGCACCTAGGTACAAGCACCTACCTAATATTTAGCGCACTTAACACCTAGCACCTAGCATCTAGCACCTAGCACTCAACACCTACATCCACATAACACTAAGCATTAGCGAAGGCTACCGTACCTAGCCACCAAGCTAAGGATGCCGCCGGTGTCCCACTCTGTCCACTGTAGTGGGAATAGACGGCGGGACGGGTATCCAATCAACTAAGCTGCATGTGATAGTTTAGTACCCGTCCACCCACGCAGCCCACGCAGCCCACGTACCGCTAGGCCGTCTTTTTGCGGAAATACCGCTGCCTGACATGCATAGCGCAATCTTGTTACCAGATCCTACAAAACAGGCGAGAGGGCCGCTTCCACTGAACTTTTTAACTTAGGGCTCCTACGACGCAATTGCGCAGAACCTTTCCATTCCTACCTCCACATCCAACTGGGATCTTTTGCTTTCCCTCCTTCTATATTCAGCGCTCTACAAAGTTCCCTTTTGAAGCTATTTTGGCCCGCACCGGAGCCTGTGGCCCCTCCCACCACGCGGCTGTCCACATGAAACGTGCGCACTGAGTAGGAACTGCGGCATTCTATCTTTTACGCTAGTATTTAGTGTTTGTTTTAATATAATTGCCTGGTGATTATATGTGAAGTTTTATAGAATAGGGCTAAATTGTCAAAGCCGTATCAGACGCTAGATTAGGTACCTAGAAGCCTACTTGGTAACGACAACCCGGTAGATTGCTGTACAACTACCTACTTCAATAGGTGTCCAGGAGCATATCTGTTGTTCTCCAGATTATGTCGATCATTAAGGAACTATACTAGCTCCCAAGGAAGCGATAATAACTGCCAGTTTAAGGTGTATCGAATATTAAAACCCCCATATTAAATCACATCATCAATATACGAAGATATCAGGAGTTTGTTTACAAGTCTGCAAGCTAAAATCTAAGCTAAGCTAAGCCAACGGGATATGCGCAAACTATTAATCACGTGATCTGAAACCGGATAGGGGGCTGGTTTTTAAAAAAGCAAAAAAAGACGACGATCACTCCCGAATCGGATCTCTCGCTTGTTCGCCTGTAAAGCTTGGTCAGCAAAAATAGAGTGTGTACATGAGAGCTTAGGCACAGTCAGCCATTAGCTGAGGATATCGGGTTCTTAAAGGATTGATGGAATCAATCTGTCGAATATTGCACATCCCGATATCCAGTACCTAAGGCACGAGAACTGAGGCATTCGGTAACCGGGGTGTAGATAGACGCAGGGTAGGCTAATGGGGGGGTTGCAGTTTGTAATCTCTTTGAGATCAACGTATTCTAGAATAACAACAACACATGTGCATGAGTTAGAGATGTGTGGCGGGTAAAAAAAAAGTACATTGACGAAGTAGGATCGCGGCTGAATAGAGGCTCTCTATTGGATGCAGGGCGGGTAGGATTTCTTTCTATAACAATGACGACCAGGACGACGTCTGGAGTAAACGTGGTCTATACCTAGTCATTATGGGGGATCCCCAAGCTTGATAGGAGATCGTCGACCTCGACACAAGTTTGGACGGCCGATTTTATGCATGTCGAGTAGTTTGGTTCACGAAATCCTCGTTTGTTCACGTTTTTCACGGTCCCGAGAATTCGCGCCACATGATCGCATGTTTGCAGATGCTTGAATTGACCTTGATCCGCCCCTCGGCAAACTTCCCGAGTCAGTTACGGAGTTAGAGCTATGTATGTTTGATGCACTCCTTGATCTTAGGTTGAGTGTTGGTTGGATTAAGGCGTCGGTAATGATGAGTATGACGATATGATATCCCCGAGTCGACATATTTGAAACCTTCCCACGGTTAAATCCGGTCCTCCTCCAGTTCCTCTTGTAGTAATATGATGATATCCTTCTGGCATTCTTAGAGGAGAGAATTTACGAATTTAGAAATAGCATCATCGTTGTCCATGTCGCCCATATGCCTTCGCTAATCACCACCTAAAGGGGGCTTCTGGACCAAACATTCACAATTCTGGGTCATGCGATCGGATCCGGGGAACGCAATTCTAGGCCGACTTCGCGACCTGCGACTCTCCTCATCGACCGGTTTGGAATATCGGCAACTCCACCGATGATCATCGTGTCGAGTTACGCGTTTAAGCCATTAACACCATCTCTTATGCTTCATCGCTGGGTCTTCACGGAAATCGCGGAGATTTTGTGTTTCCCATCTTTATGGCGTTTTGATCCACCTAAAGTGAGGTTTTCGTTCAAGTACGAATTATCGTAGACCTATTTGCCGTTGCCGAAGCGAACAGACCTTCTGCCTTTTCAGATATTCTCTCAACACGCGATTTGTGTAGATGATGGGACGACGCCTCACGATACACGTACGCATTCTTTGTTAGTGGATATAGCGAGTGGGTACCTGCAGAAGTGTGCAGTGTGCAGTCGCTGCAGTGTGTAGTAGGATTTCTATCTGATCGGTTTCGAGAATCTTTTGAGAAGAATCCTATTGCAACCAAACAGAGGATCTTAATGGCCGATTCAGACTGAATACCTTGTCGTCTGAATCTTTTTTGGCAGCTGCTAAAGCTGAATCACATGAAGCCTTGTTGAATCAGCTGGGATCAACCATGATGGACGGGTTGGTCTCAAGACTAAACACTGTCTAAGGGCCATCTTAAATCCTTCATGACACTATTCACTGGGACGACTCGTAAATGTAAGGTTTAAGCGTCGTATCAGAATATATGGACGACAATAAATACATAAAAGCTGTATAAGGTAAGTTGAAGTGTAATGTATGATGTATAAAATATGATGGGATAAATTATTCCCTAGGAACTATTTTTAGTTATTTTTAGAGCACGACCCAGTACCCAGTAGCCGTAATAACGTGTAACAGACTAATATTAAGCTTGAATTTTAACTTTCCTTAGACCCCGTTACCGTGCTATTATCCGCATGTGCATAGCTTAAAAGACCTATTATTTGCAAGTCTCCAATTGTAGATTAAAGAGGAGTGAGTCTATGAAGGAAATGAAAGAATGGTGTGGTGATCTGACGGTACAACGACATGGTAGACACAGTAGATCTAATGTTACTTAATACAGATTACATTGGTAGCTACCTACCGTCCAGGTCGTTGCGGGAGCGGATTGGGTATTAATGGAAGATCACTGAGGTTTGGACCTATCGCAACACTGTAAGCTCTATGTGCGTAAGTAAGATATTTTTAACGAGATAGGCCATTGGTGCTGGCTATCCGAGCTGGGGTGATGCTTCCTAGGCTCCCTAAGCCTGGTAAGTGCTGGCTGCTGGCTGGGTGACGGGTGGTGGGTGATGAGTGCTAGTGATGGGCTATGATAAAAAAAAGTGGCCGTACATTTAGTTGATTTCCAATGCTGCGGCTTTAGGGCTTCAAGGACTACGAACCTTAGCTTACTATTCTTAAACGCCGATTTCTTTACATAAGTGTAAATACGAATGAGGTGTATGGTAAACGCTGCCTATCGAACTTGCGGCATCTGATAATCCTTCAGAATTTTATTCATGCTTGGGTCTTCAGTTCTGGGTCTTCAGTTTTGAACAGAATCCAGATAACCAAACAGTGGAGGAAGCATTGATAAGCTCGCCGCAGCAAACAGTTTTTAGCAGTTTTAGCACCTTTTCCTCCCTGCCGGTCTCAAGTCTGCGCCAGTCTCAGGGTCTCTAGTCTGTTCAGGGTCCATGTTCTACCCATGTCTGTGCCTGCTGACTGCAGGCCGGTGATACACGCGGCGCCATACCCAAACTGAACAAGCTGCACAGGGGGGCCTTGCAATTCCATATGTACCATGTAGCTGTGTGTATTCCACTAGGGACAGGGGTTGGTTCTCTAAGCCGTCCGTAAGATATCTTATATATGGGATGCATCTCAATCTTCAGAATTTACACCTACGAAGATCACAGCATGCAGAACCAATTCTCAAACAAAATCACAATGGGTATGACACCAACTAGCCGGGCAACTGCCCAAAGTCCAGGTGAGTACGATGCCAAGGAGAACCATGAGAATCATGGGAATCTCACTACTCGGCATATGAGTAGAGCTAACGCACTAGTGAATAGTCTCAGGTCGCTCAACGCCAAGGAGGGAACACAAAGCCAAGCGTCGCGCACCCAATACCTTGGTATGGACGCAGCCGCGAACGATTCCTCCAGATATGCAAAGGAGTCAAATGGCAGCGAGATCTCAGAGCCCTGTAACAGTAGCACATGAACCAATACATCACGACACTCAAAAACAACAACCACAACCACAAATAACACAACAATTAACGCCACCAAGCATATTATCGCGGGCCAGCATGTCACCATGGGACAGCGATACGATGCATGTCGATCTGGGGGATACGACAGACTTAACAGATGATTTTTGTCTACCAGATCTCATGCAATCTCCTGCATTATCCAAAACATCATGTCTACCGAGAGCGTTATTATCAAATACACCATTATCATTAACGATGGATGATTTAGGAGGGATGGAGGGAATAGATGCCAGTAAATGGACACCCCCAGCCTCTGAGAGAGATTCTAGCTTAGAACCTGCGGATGTCAAAGGTTTCAACGCAGTGCACCTAGCTGCCTACTACGGACAACACTCGATCATGCGACTCCTATTATCAGCCTGCCCAGAAGACACCGACGCTGTCAACGATAAGGGCCAATCAGCATTACACATCGCGGCTGCTGAAGGCCACACGGAAGTGGTACGCGAACTTCTCGACCTAGGCGCGAATGCCTTCTTACAAGACATCGACGGCCAAACCGTATTGCACGCTGCGGCTTCATCTGGCTCCATACAAACGGTATTAATACTACTTGATCGAGATCCGGGGATGATAAGGGTACCAGATAGCACTGGACATACTCCATTGCACAGGGCGGTTATGCAAGGAAATGAAGAGGTTATACGGTCGCTGTTAAAAAGAGGAGCCGACCCACGAACCACGATAGCATGAGATGAGATGATGTACAACATTTTTTCTACGATGCCGCCTAATCACTGTATATTTGCGGAGTCTTGTCATTTATTAGATTCGGGCGGGCGGCATTTAGGTCACGAGCTCATAAACGAGATAGCACGGCATGGGGTTTTATAAACGGCATGACCTGGTAAAAAGGCGCCCGAGAGAATCCAACACGAACATAAAGAATCAATATACCCAGAAATTCAGATTTCAATGCAAATTTACTTCAAAACCTTTCGATGAACCTGTATTCTTTTGCGTGACATGTCACATTTTCGTATCTCAATTGTTGACTTTCACAATTCACGATTTCACTATCACCACCAACCCCCTGGCAATAATACATGGTATAATACTTGAGCTAACCTCGATTTTGGATGACAGACATTAGATCTGATATCATATTGTATCATATCAGAGAAGGAAGCTTTCTTACAACGGCATCTAAAAGCGGTACCGAGATGACGTGAGAAGCAATAAAATTCATATAGCGGTATGAAATTTCGCTATCGACGCCGAGAGCGAAAGCTCGCAGTAGCCTGCTTGGAGGAATATAAATAAGCGGCATGATTCGTTGCCGATGATGTGGGAGGCGTTGGAGGCGTTCTGGAACCTTGACGTATCGAGATATGAATACAACTATATGCTGTACGCTGTACGCTGTATGCATAATTAATTAAACGCGTGCTTGGCTTCTTGGGTAGCATCCAACCCCAAAACACCACATGCTGCACATGAAGCTGATCGGACTTTTTTCGTTAAAGTTTCGAAAAGAAATTAAGTTATGACTGAATCAGCCCTCGAACGCCACATTATCTTAGCATCAGTACCTGGGATGAGGATATCAGGCTATCAAGAAAGCAGTCAGGGCAGCATGGCAGGGTAAGCTACATGATTTGATCATAGTACATAGTACGTAAAAGTACAGGATACGGGTTAGTGTGTTCTAATAAATAACCCTTGAGGGGTTGTCGGCCAAGCCGAACGACACCAATGTAGCTTTCGTCTGTTCCCGGCAGCTGGGGGCCAGAAAAAGCCACACAAAGTCCAACCGTCGTTCTCGGCAAGGAAAGTTCTCAAACCAAAGGCGGTCAAGGTCATGGCATCATCATCCAATCCCACAATAACAAGCACCGGAAACTATTGGCAGAAGCTTAAATCTACCTACCGTCAATCTACCGGCACTTCTTGGTATCACCGGCATTACATTCTCACCACCTGGGCAAGCAGCCAAGCAGCTAAACCACCACCACCTGCATTACCTCGACGGGGCTGGGAGGAATTGTCTTAGTTTCTCGACTATTGCTCCTTGGCCCCAAGACTTAGCTAGATAGTTAAGCATCGTTAAGCATTGCTAAGCATTCGCCAATCTTTTCTATCTAACCCGTCCGTGTCACCATCCTATGGAAGTAAAACCCACACCCAACTACGGATCGCGCAGAAGTGCGGCGCTGTATTCGAGTGAAAAGACTTGATACCCGCCATAGAAGCGGGTCTCTCTACGTAAGTCTATCCCGAATCGCTCTAGAGGCAGTGGGGGCCTAGATATGTGCCTAGGCTGCTAGGTTAATTGTTTGGGTCACGATGAGGGGGAATTTCGAAGGATTCTTGCGGCGCTTTTATTACCTAAGGTGATCGTCCATCCGTGATGCACCACCTGCCTACTACGGTACGGTGCGGTTCGCCGCATCTGCGTGTCTCATTTCTCTAATTCATACAAACTCCTCTCCTTAGCGAGAACGAACGACGCAAAACAACGCAAACCCTCTAAACTGAATACAGCTGACAACTTGGAACCTTCCATCTACCAATGTTAATTTCTTTTCGCTCTAAATTGTGACATTCAACACAGAGTACTCCACAAAGGTTATCCGTACACCCCCAAAATTGACCTAGCAGTGCCTTGTACAATGTAAATCTCATGATGAAAAAAAAATCTATGTTTCCCCCATTCCCGTTCCGTAAAACGCCCGGAGCTCACGCATCCCACCCGCTGAGAACCTTCCACTTGACAAACATGCCGTGCTTGGGACGGCCGGAGAAGCCTCCGTTCGAGGTCTTCATGTTGCTCTCGTCGCGCAGCTCCTCGTCGACCAAGTCGAACTCGAAGCGCCCGACCCAGGCCGCAAGAACACACGCCATCTCCGCTTTCGCGAAGCCCATCGCCACGCAGCTGCGAACGCCCTGCATGAACGACAGGTTGGCGTACTTCGACACCGCGCCGCCGGTCGAGTTGAACGAGCCGTCGGCGTTGAGCCATCGTCGCGGGTTGAAGACGTTGGCGTCGGGTCCCCACGCGTCCTCGTGACGGTGGATCCCCTTGATGGGAATGACGATCGATATCCCCTTCGGCAGCAGCTGCCCGCAGACGACGGTGTCCTGCAGCGGCTCGCGCAGCGTCTGTGGGATCGGCGGGTACCAGCGCAGAACCTCGGCGATGAAAGCCTGCATCAGCGGCATCTGCTCGACGTCGGCGCTCGTCACCTTCTTGTCGCTCGCCGCGTCGTTGCTGCCGGTGGGGTCCGGGAAGTGGGCTCGCGCTTCGGCGCGAAGCAGCTCTTGCCACTCTGGGTGCAGACACATCATGTATACTGCCCAGGTGATCCCCACGGAGATCGTCTCGTGTCCGGCTGCCATGAATGTGGAGAGTTGGTCGATCAGCTCCTCCTCGTCGGCGTCTGCGACTTCCTCGTAGTGGAAACATAAGCTGAGTAGATCTTTGCCCTTTTCGCGTGTCTTGTCCGCGACTTCGAGACGCTTCTTGTTGAGAAGATCGCGACATACGCCTCGGAAGACGGGCACGTATTCGCGTAGACTGCGGTTCCATTTGTTGGGGATTCCGTCAATCAACCAGGGCGGGAACCAGAGCTTGAGAAGGGCTTGGAAGAGGTAGCCGCGGGTAGGCTCTAGTGCGAGACGGTAGGTCTTGGCGAGCTTGGAGTTTTCGTCTTGGATGGCGCCGAAGTTCGCGCCGAGAGTCGCCATGGTGACGATGTCGAGGGCGGCGCGAGACGACCAGTGGCCGACTTCGAAGACCGATTCGCCGGTGCGCGACTGCGAAGTCACGATACCGGCTAGCTTCTGCGTAACTTCGCATGTCTTGTCCCAGAAGATGGGGTACATCTCACGAACGTGACGTGGGGCGAAGATGGGCAGAAAGGCGCGGCGCTGACGTCGGTGGTGTTGGCCCTCAGCCAACACCAGACCGATGCCGAGAAGTTTCTCGGCGAGCCATAGGATGAACTTGGGCTTGATGAACTCGTCCGCACGAGTGCAGAGTTCTTGGATCACCTTGGGAGACGTGGCAATGACACGAGGCGTGTTTAAGATGTGCAGGTAGTAGATGAATCCATCGTTAGGAATGGTGCGAATCCTAGAATCCAATTAGTCAAAAGCACGTTAGGTACCTAGATAAATGAGAAGAAAAAAAAAGATTTGCGTGACTTACCACCCCGCCTCAGTCTCACCCGTTCCAACCGAGAAGCATTGCAAGAAGTGACCATTCCACCAAGTCCCACCTGTCGGCTTTGGTAATCTGTTGAGGGGACTCAGCCACTTGGGGTGGATTATCCACGAGTATAGAATCCATCCGACCAGAATGATGGAGTAGAGGGCAACGAATGTTTTGAAATGGCTGGCGTTGGAAAGAAAGGTTCCCTCGGGTAGAGGTCTATAGCGCACGAGAGCATATGTGCCAGCTCCGGCTGTGGCCTGGAGCAATAGCCAGGAAGGTATCGCCATCGTGAGAGCTTAGTCACCAGTGCCGATCTATCTGAGTAGAAGGTCTAGGTACTATGTATATATGTAATGAATGCACGGTGAAAGGTGGGCTTGGTTACAAAAGTTCTGTGACATTGTCGGTGGTAAAGAGCGTTCATTTAGTCTATCACTCGCGCCTCACGATTTGTGGGGGCCGACGACGACCATACGGGAGAGGATAGATCTGGATAGACTGGACTAAGAGAAAATGGCTGGGATTTCCTAATGAGGAAATAGTTGGCTATTACCCTTTTCGGCAGGTTCCACTTTGGGCCATAGGGCTGATGGAATCCTTTGACATTTCGAACGAAAACACGCCAGAGCTAACGTTCTATTCATCGTTCGATTGAAAAACCGAAGTTGGAATGCCTTGGATTTTTGCTTGGGATATTATAATCTTTCTTGTCGAGATAGCCTCACCGCACGGCCCAAAAACGTGCGATTGGGATTGGACTAAAGGGGTAATGTGGTAGTGGTGGGTTGTGTAATTGCCGGCTTACGGTATGCAGCCCGTGCCAAGAGATGCCGTTTCCGTGTAATTACGGGGGACCGAATAGGAGATGCAGTCCAACTGTAAGCTGAGTTCCGCTCGACTAGATTTGCTTCAGATAACACGGCTCGGTTTTGGACCACTTTAGTCAATAAACTACTTTCTCTTTAGGAACCGATCGTCGTTATGTCGAGGAAACTTGGACGAACGAAACTCAAGTGCAGGTATTTTTAGAAAGCCACTATAATCCTTTTCCCCCTGAGGGTATTTAGTGAAACCCAAAATAGAAAGTTGATAGGGAATATCGTCTAATCAGAGAACTGTGAGTGGTTCGTGATGTCATGACGAACGAAGTATGCATCAATTGAAAACAAGCGATTAGTAATGACAGGCTCGGACTCTGGTTTCAAGTCCCCCAGATCTGCGGGATAAGCTGAGCCCAAACAGTTCGCCTCAAGTTTGGTTCCGCTGAAGTGATTGGTGTAAGTAGACTTCATTCCTTCTATCTCGAGACAATCATAAATGCTATTGGCAAATAATGTTAAATCGTAATCTTGAGATTTGTATGTAATCATGATACGCCAGACGTAAGAATATCATCACGAGAAATAAGAGTAGGTAATAAAATATTGGCTTCTAATGTTTATATTTTTGAAACGGTAAAATAAATACAGAAGTAACCGTGAATCAGCGAAACCGGCATCCTTGGTGTAAACACAAACAACCAATGCTAGGAATCTATCGTATCTACCTACCCAAAACATCTCCAAACACCGTAAAATAACAGTTTTCGTACATCAATCAATCAACCAATCCAATCATGCAACCGAGTAAACCAACTTAGTTCCGCTGATCTCGCCCCTCCTAATCATACCAACACCGTTCAATAGACCAGGTAGACCACCCTCCTCAACACGAACCGAGTGAGGCCTAATCTTGCCACCATCCAACAAGTCCTGAATGCGACCGAACAGAGGACCAGCAAGATCCTTAAGTCTCGGTTCAGGCTCGCAGCCGTAGGGAGCAGGCCAGTGCGAACCGTCTCCGGCAATGCGGGTGGCTAGGATCCAGTCAGGGGTGATGACCTTGCGGGTAGCCAGGGTGTCGTTGAAGGGGTTCAGAGCAGTGTAGTGACCACCGGCGCGACCGAGCGCAGCGTAGCAGAACTTCATGGAGGAGTCCTCGGCGAAGCAGTCGATGGCGTACTCAAGGACGTTCTTGGTGTCGGTGCGGATCTGCTGCGCGCAGTTCGCCGACTTGTAGTCGTACACCGTGTCGGCGCCGTACGACTTCACCAGCTTGAAGTTGTGCGGCGAGCACGTCGTGATGGTGGGGAAGCCGCAGATCTTGAGGAGTTGCAGCATCATGGTTCCTGTGGATGTGCTGCCGCCGTAGACGAGGACCGTGGGCAGAGGCGAGGTGGATGTGTTGTCTAGTATGCTTAGAGGCATCCCGAGAGACCAGAATAACACCATGCTGGCTGAGGCGATGGCGGTGCCCATCGAGGCGGCGTCCTCGAAGGACATTGTCTCCGGGACCTTGAGAGTTAGGTCACCGGGTAGTGTTACGTACTCGGCGAAAGCTCCGGCTAAGGGCTTCTCCTTGTTCACTATGCATCGAGTTAGTTATCGATGCTTTGGAGTTTTTTGGCGCTAGGAATTCACTTACTGCCGCTGGCACAACCGCAAACTCGGTCGCCCACCTTCAGATCCTTCTTTACATCAGCGCCAATGGCGACGACGGTGCCTGCCAAGTCGAAGCCGAAGATGCAGCCAGGTGTGATGAAGTCACCGACGAGCTTGGTGTCGACAGGGTTCAGAGCCACGGCCTTGACCTTGACGAGGATGGAGTCCGGCTTAAGCTCCGGGACGGCGGTCTCGTTGGAAACGAGAAACTCGCCCGAAGGGCCGGCGATGACAGCCGTTTGTGTGGTGGGGATAGTGGCAGACATTGTGATAGTATAGGGTAGTACTGGGTAGATAGAGTATGGCACTGAGATTTGATGTAAGATTGAGATTTGTTTTTTTTCGTGCTGGCTGTACTCTAAATGATCATTCGACCTTTCACATCATTCGATATCTTACGACGAATATGCTAAGTAAATATGTCGAAGTTTTGATATATTGATTTCTAGATAAATCGTCCAGTACAAATCCCTTAATGCTCCTCAGCCCTACCAACTATGGTTAGCTAAGGAGCTGCCGAATCGGGTAGCGGTTTTCAAACTAAGCCTTCAAGATTTCCTAATCAGGACGCTACCCCAGAACGGCAATGAGTCGCTCACCCTATCTCCCAGGGCGAAATCCGTTAGCACTAATTAGGGCTAAAAAAGGGCAATACAGCCCAAATGGGTTTCTATCTTTAACGTCTTCCTTCGACAGTGGCGCCGATGCGACCACCTCATTATGTATATACTCAAAGCTAGGTAGTTGATAGTTGATATGATAGTTAGTCGTACGATTGAATGTGATCCGAATAAGCTCCTGAATTTTTTTGAAATTTTGTGGACATCGTCTGAGTGCTCTCTAAGCAAAGAACAATGGCGAAACGTACGACAGTCTTGTTTTTGACCAATTCGGAGTTCAGTCAGTCTTCCGTTAATTTGGCTTCGGCCGCGGCGCTCGCCATAGATGAGTCTATGGATGTTCATATCGGCTCTTTCAAGAACCTAGCACCCGTCGTTCCGGCTGGTGTCACTTTCCATGCCCTGGCCGGAAAATGCTTCAAGGACGTCGTGGTAGAGAAGGGCGGCGAGTTCCTGCCAAGACACGCGCCAGGTGTGCAAGGAGCAATCCAGTCCTACAAGGAGACTATGCCGCTGCTCCTTGCTCCATGGGACTCAGATGACTATTTCGTTATTTATGACTCCTGTGTGAACCTGATCAAGGAATTGAAGCCGGCAGCGGTGGTGCTAGACTTTTTGTTCGGCCCCGGCGCCGATGCGGTCAACACTCTCAAGCAACGGCACATCTACCTAAGCCCGGGAACTTACAAGGATCATGCCGTTCACATGCAGCCCTACCTCGGGTTTGCGTGGAAATATCCAGTGTATGTTTTTCTATGCCGGACATTAAAATCAGCAGCCAACTAACAGAAAAACAGCGTATCATCGGGATTTCGCGTCCCCTTACCTTGGTCAAGCATTTTGCCAAACATATACTTGATCTACAACCTGCTGAAGCTGAGCTACTTCATCCCGCGGGTAACAGACTTCATCAAAGCGCGCAACGCGCGGGGCATCGAGGGGAACCTCAGCACCAAGTACAACATGTTCAACTTCGACCTGCTGTACCTGACGCAAGCACGTCCGCAAACCGATTTCCCGCTCACCTACGTCCCAGACAATCTAATTGGCTGCGGGCCGATCCTGCCTCCTTTCGAGCCTCTCGAAAAGGCGGATCCGGAGCTTTACAGGTGGTTGATTGGCCGCCCCACTGTCATCATCAACATGGGCTCCCACGTCACGTACAAGGGCAACCAGATCGGCGAGGTCTTGTCCGCTATCCAGGAGATTGCCGATCGCCACCCCGAGATCCAGATCTTGTGGAAGTGCCCGAAGCCCTCAAAGGAGGAACAGGCGCCGTCTGTTGATAAGGACCTCTTTGGTGATCGCATTAAGATTATCTCGTGGTTGCCGTCGACGCCGGTCGCGGCGCTGACGGCGAGTAAGTCTATCTTGGCGTATGTGCATCATGGTGGATCGAATTCTTTCCATGAGGCTATTGGGGCGGGTGTGCCGCAGGTTGTATGTCCTGTTTGGATTGATACATATGATTTCGCGACGCGGGTTGAGATGATTGGGGTTGGTGTTAGAGGTAATGAGAAGGCTGCCCCGTATGTGAAGGCGGATGAGTTTGCGACTGCCTTGGAAAAGGTGGTGGGGGGCTCGCCTGAAGCGCTGAAGTTTAGGGAGACGGCTAAGAGGATATCGGAACAGGTGGGGTATGTAGATGGTGGGAGGACCGTTGCTGCGAGGCATATTAAGGATATTGCGTTGAAGGTGTAATGCGGGGTTGGGTTGGGTTGGTTTTACTATGGATGTAACGAGGTATCTTCTTTGTTGTAGACTAAGGTTAGCGTTTGGATTGAATTGAATCTCCGGTATATTGTATTATTCATTAAGGCTGTGCATTCTAGTCCTGTTGTGATAGAAAGGATGCGTGGGAGTAGACGATTGATGCTTAATTTGACGAATGCTGACAATGATTATGAATGATATCGTGTTGATGAGAAATTTGTAGGTGTTCAAAGTTCACATTGTAATTACCTATCTTTAGCACCTAACTATCTAAATTAAAAGCTTTAAGATATTTTACCCATTATACGATGAAATATTTGTGAAATAGTCGTCATGTATTACTTATGACAAATGAAATATCTTTTCATCCTAAATTGTATGTTGCCGTTGAATTGTGTACGAATGAATTATTAATGTTTGCTAAGTATATTTTATAGTATTCAATGGGCGTGTTCTTTATTTTATAATTGATATCGAATGAGTTTTTAGTTGATAGCATTTGCATTATTTATTATGGACTTACTTACTACAATACTTCTTGAATTTCTGTTTGTTTTCTACTCTCACCATTAGTCTCTTTAACCATTACCCTCAAAACGCACCGGAGTCCCTTCTATTTAGAGATTTGATCCTACCATGAAGGCACATCAAACAGGATAAAAGTCCGTCTTATTCAAAAAAGGACAGTTTCGCAATATCCGATCAATATTTCTATTGGCCGGATACAAGGAGTGAAACCAACCTTGGAATTCGTCCACGGAACTTCAATATTCATCCATTCACAGTCTTCTCATTTCGGACACTACCTATTAATAATCTCTTTCCTCGGAATAAGTAATGTCCACCTACTATTCATGACTCCTTCTAGTAACCACGCATGTGATTTTGTGACTTAGATGTAAAGTTGCTATATCAAGTGCCAAGATTACATATTGCCATATTAGGAAGTAGGCGGCTATAAATAACGAATCCGATTGGCTTACTTATACAGACAGGGTAAGACTTGGGGAACTCCATGCCTAAGACATCTCCAAAAACTTGTGTCACCTATTGAATTGACTTGCCTGGTATCCGTTACTGCCTGTATTCCAGTAGTTATAACGTTACTTATTCTATAACATCTGTTAACCCAGTAGCTATAATTCCCCTGGGAGAAAGGAACATGTCTTACGGATAACAACTTGGTGAATAGAAACCTTGGAAGATCATTCTTAAGAATGGGATACATAGATCTTTTATTACTTCATACCGAGGTAGTTTGCAGTGAAATATGCAACTTCTATTACAAAAATGCAAATAATATTCGTTTCATTACCTTATGTTGAGACGATGTCATTTTCATACCCCGCAGCTGTTCTAAAATTACTAAACGCAATGTCACACCCAAACAAGTTCCGGAATACAAGTCTTATATGAAACATTTTTTGAATTGGGTTGGATGCACTCGCTTAGACGATGCATTCCTGCTCAAAGACATCAGTGGAAGGTGACCGGTTTGCGCCTCAGTTTTTGCAGTGAAAATTTGCCTCTTAACTATCTATGATTAGGAGAATGAACGTTTTAGGAAACATCGATACTAGGTATTCACCGAAAACAGGACTGATATAATTTGAGGCCACTTGGATGACACTAAACGCAATTGCCTTTTATGATTGGTGCCCCGGTAGTTGAGACAGATCTTTCCATATACCGGCATGTCGATCTCGATGCGCTGGTCATCTGCGGGTAGTAAACCGAGGTAGTTGTTTATTTATGGTAAACAGACTGATGATCCTATGATCCCGATGAATGAAAATATATACTTTGGTATAAGTTCGCAACTCCCGTCCACGCATTCGCTTTCGCTAATCTATAAATTGGAAAACTGATTGGTTGGATCTAGAGGCTGTACAGATAATCTACCTCGGCACAAATTCTCACCACTCCTTCTTGTGCATCACATAATGGACGTGTCTTAAATATCATGATGACTAGTAGCCTAAATGAGATATTTGTAGTATTTGATTTCACGTATATGTACTCATGTTTCTCGGACATAGAATTTTGGATATTATCTCTATTAAAACAATCCAAAGGACTCGACATTCGCCTTGTTATCTATCTAGGTAACAACGATATACATCCTACCCATTGCGACTTGGGAAAGGAGCAACATTGAGAAGATGAAGGGAACTACAGTACCGGGAGACGCATCTGTTGTTTTGGGACTGGGCTAAAAAAGAAAAAAGATCTGAGGAAAGCCGACTTGAAGCGATGGTGGATGTCAAAGAGGTGGACTTGAGGCCTGGCGTATTATTCTCAAACTGGCGACATCTTGGACCTCTCCTGGGACGTTTACGATCGACAAACAGCGAGTCTTATATATATCACGAAACTTGACACTGTCTAGGTTGCGCTTAAGCGTAGCTGATGGGAGGCAAGCAACGGCGAGACTATCTTGGCATAGAGGACGGGTTTCGGCGGGTGAAGCCGGGCAAAATCGGGTTAAGACGATGACCGTTTGTGTGTTACCTAGAAAGAGCCTAAGAGCCAAAATGAAGAAAGGTTGAAAATCGCCAAATCGAACTACCGCCGCAACTCGACGACTAATTCCCGCAACCCTCGAACCCCTTTCGTGCTTCTCATAAACAGGAGGTTGGTAGAAGTCACGTGCATCCTTAGGACTTTACAATGATGTTAGAAAAAGGTTTGTGTTTGTGTTCTTATTCGGGGTAAAAGCAGGCTCACGGATTTGGCAATTGCTTAATTTCTGAATTACCGCCTACTAGGTACTCCACATTCTCCACTGGGAAGTGGCTGTGTCCCCAAACAAGCTTCAGACAAGCCGGGACAAGCTAGCAAGCTTAAAATTGATATCTATTATTAGCGCTTATCTAGGTACAATCGCTTATATGCAGGCCAATCCCACAATCACACAGTCCCCATTCTGGAAACTTTCCCAAACTGGTAATCTCTTTCTTTCAACAACTTACACTTCCTCTTTCGGAATCGACCAAAATCGACAAACCCACCCCAATCTTTACTCAATCTTTACTATCAACAGTGTGGCAATTATGGCCGGGGTCTCAAACAGTCACGCAAGGCTCGCTAGTCAAGGAATCGTCAAGGAACCAGGCTGACAACTACTGCTTCGAGAATACTAGACGATCCAGAGGCACGGTTCATCCTACGTTATACCTTTACGGCTGTTACGGCTGAAAGGATAGCTGTAGATGCTGACATGGCCTAGAACGAGATTAGGAAATGCCATATGGCAGTGTTCGAAATAGGTTGGATAGACCCATCTCCAGCACATCTGATATCGAGTATATGACAGCATCGTATGTTCCGCAAAAAATAATCATCTGGCAACTTATCACAAACACAAGTTGATTTGACAGCGCAACAACTACTCCTCTAACTCGAGCCATTCATTCGATCATACCCGTCCCATCAACATAACGGGTCCTACACTTCTACTTCACCATCATCAATGAACCACACTCGGACATAGCCGCTCGTCATCTCACTCAGAGAAGAACACTTGATTGGTGTCTTGTAACAGCCCACATCCCGCTGCCGTTAAACTATATCCTTTCCTTTCTTTAGATTAGATACCCCTTTAGACCAATCCCCCCCAGTACAATATTCATCATGTCGGGCTACGCCGATTACGCCGAGGAACCCATTGCTGTCATCGGCTCCGGCTGCCGCTTCCCCGGAGGCTCATCCACGCCGTCGAAGCTCTGGGACCTCCTCAAGGCTCCTCGAGATGTCGGTAGCAAGATCGACCGTTTCTCGGCCGAAGCCTTCTACCACAAGGACGGTAGCCACCACGGCACCAGCAACGTGCTCAACTCTTACCTCATCGAAGATGACACCCGTCACTTCGATGCCCAATTCTTCAGCATCCCCGGCTCTGAGGCTGAAGGCATAGATCCCCAGCAACGTCTTCTCATGGAAGTTGTCTATGAAGCCTTAGAGTCATCGGGCCACCAGATTGAGGAGCTGTCTGGCTCATCCACCGCCGTATACGTGGGTGTCATGTGCAACGACTATGCGCACATCACCTACCACGATCTTGAATCTCTCCCCAAGTATGCGGCCACAGGCACGGCTTCGAGTATCCTGTCGAACCGTGTCTCGTACTTCTTCAACTGGACGGGTCCGTCGATGACAATCGACACGGCCTGCTCGTCCTCTCTCATCGCCACGCACCAGGCTGTCCAATCGCTCCGCAAGGGCGAGTCCAACCTGGCTGTCGCGGCAGGGGCTAACCTCATCTTCGGCCCCACCAACTTTGTTGCTGAAAGTAACGTCCAAATGCTTTCGCCCACCGGTCGCAGCCGCATGTGGGACTCGGGTGCCGATGGGTACGCTCGAGGTGAGGGTGTAGCAGCTGTTATGCTCAAGCGACTCAGTGACGCTATCCGCGATGGCGACACCATCGAGTGCATTGTCCGCGAGACCGGTACCAACCAGGACGGTAGAACGACTGGTATCACAATGCCTAGCAGTGTCTCGCAGGCCGAGCTCATCCGAAAGACATACTCCAATGCCGGTCTCTCTCCCTTGACTGACCGCTGCCAATACTTCGAGGCCCACGGCACGGGTACCAAGGCTGGTGACCCACAGGAAGCCGGTGCTATCTACAGAGCCTTCTTCGGCGAGAAGGAGGAATCTAATGACCCTAATGATGTGCTATACGTCGGTGTAAGTGAAATAATATCATCATTGAATAATTCTGCAACAGTGGCTAATACAAATGGAACAGAGCATCAAGACCATCATTGGTCACACAGAAGGAACAGCAGGTGTTGCTGGCCTGCTAAAGGCATCTCTTGCTGTTCAGAATGGCATCATTCCTCCCAACATGCTATTCGAGAACCTCAACCCTGACATCAAGCCTTACTATGGTAAGCTTCAGATCTTGACGGACGCAAAGCCATGGCCTCAATTACCTGCCGGAGTGCCTCGTCGTGCCAGTGTAAACAGTTTCGGTTTCGGTGGCGCCAACGCTCATGCTATCATTGAGAGCTATGAGCCCACAATGGCCAAGCAATACCTGGAAAAGAAGGGCCTTGTGCGACACTCCACTGCCGCCATCCCCTTCGTCTTCTCAGCCAACTCCGAGAAGACTCTAGCCACTCAGATCGAAACCTACCTTGACTTCTTAGAGAACGCCACCGACAGCGATATCAACCTCCGTGATCTTGCTTGGACACTATCGCGCAGATCTGCTTTTGCCCTACGAACTCACGCCTCCGCTCTTACTCTTGAAACTCTACGAACCAAGCTCACTGCTAAGCTTGAGGCCAAGAAGAGCGACAACAAGGCTCTCGGTGTTCGTCCTGCGCACAAGACCAAGTCCATCCTAGGTGTTTTCACTGGCCAGGGTGCTCAATGGCCTCGCATGGGCTACCAGCTTATCGAGTCATCTCCCTTCGCTGCCAGCCGCTTGCAAGAGCTCGAGGATTCTCTCAACAGCCTTCCCGAGGGTGACCGCCCCGAGTGGTCTCTCAAGGAGGAGCTTTCCAAGGCTGCTGATGTCTCCCGTGTCATGGAGGGAACTTTCTCTCAACCCCTTTGCACTGCTGTGCAAGTCGTCCTTGTTGACATGCTGGCTCGTCTTGGTGTTTCATTCGACGTTGTCGTTGGTCATTCCAGTGGTGAGATTGCTGCTGCATACGCTGCTGGCTTCCTCACTGCCTCTGACGCCGTTCGCATTGCCTACTACCGTGGTCTATACGGAAAGCTGGCTGGTGGCGCCGACATTGGCCCAGGTTCTATGTTGGCTGTCGGTACCTCCATGGAGGATGCCGCTGAGCTGGCTGGGCTTTCCACCATGGCTCGCCACGGTCGTTTCACCGTTGCTGCCAGCAACTCTCCCGCTAGCGTAACGCTATCTGGTGACAAGACTGCCATCGACCGTGCTAAGTTTATCTTTGAGGATGAGAAGAAGTTCGTCCGAGCCCTCAAGGTTGACACTGCCTACCACTCTCACCACATGGAGCCTTGTGCGGAGCCGTACATGGACGCCATGGCCCGCATCGGAACTAAGGCTCTCGCCGGAAACGGCAAGTGCCGCTGGTTCTCATCGGTTCTTGGTGGTGAAGAAGTCTCAGATGCGATGGCCGATGTCCTGAAGGACTCTTACTGGCGCGACAATCTTCTACAGCCTGTGCTGTTCTCTCAGGCACTGCAGAAGGCCCTCGAGACTGTCGGCACCCCTGCTTTGGCTCTCGAAGTCGGTGCTCATGCCGCTCTCAAGGGACCTGCCAGCCAGGTTCTCGAGGAGGTCACTGGAACTGAGGTTCCTTACTCTGGTGTCCTTGCCCGAGGCTCTAACGACATCGAGGCATTCTCTGAGGGTGCTGGTGCTGTCTGGGCTCACATCGGTAACTCCGCTGTCAACATTAGCGAGATTGATGCTCTGTTTGCTTCTGTTGAAAGCGACAAGCCTGAGCTTCTGAAGACCATCCCTGGTTACGCTTGGGATCACAGCCAGGTATACTGGGCTGAATCTCGTCTATCTAAGGCTATGCGATTCCGGCCATCTAGCCAACACGAGCTTCTCGGTGTGCGCCTTGAGGCTGGTGAGAACGTTTTCCGCTGGCGCAACTTCATCAAGCCGGGTGAGCTATCCTGGCTTCGTGGTCACCAAATCCAGGGTCAGACCATCTTCCCTGGTGCCGGATTTGCCAGCATGGCTATTGAGGCATCTAGAATCCTCGCAAATGAGAACGATGAGGAGGTTTCTCAGATTGAGCTTCAGGACCTGACCATCCAGCGTGCTGTTGGGTTCATGGATGAGACCATCGGCGTCGAATCCCTCGTGTCTTTGTCCAACTTCCACCACGACCAAACAGCCCGTCTCATTACTGCTGACTTCGTCTGTGAGACCTGCCCGACCAAGGACGCAGCCCCCATTACCACTTCAACTGCTAAGGTTACTCTCCGTCTTGGATACGGCTCTGATGACACGCTGCCCCCACGAGACCCCAGCCAGGACAAGAAGAAGATGACTGATATTGACACTGAGATCTTCTACAACTCTCTCGCTAAGCTTGGATACAACTATAGCGAGATGTTTGAGGGTGTCACCTCCCTGCGACGCGCTACTGAGCAGGCATCTGGCACGATCCACATTGATGCTGCTGAGAACTACCAGACTGAGCTGGCTGTCCACCCCGCGCCTCTTGATGTTGCCTTCCAAGGCATGTTCGGCGCTATCGGTGCCCCTGGTGACGGTCAACTCTGGACTTTAATGGTCCCTACTGTCATCCGCTCAATCCGAATCAACCCGTACTTGAGCGAGAAGACTTCCTGCCTTGGAACTGACCTTCCTTTCGATGCCAGTGTTACTATTGACCCGGCTTCCCATGAGGTTGCTGGTGATATTGATGTCTTCGACTCTGAGGGTAACGCTCTTCTGCTAATTGAGGGTCTCCACGTTACCCCTGTTACCCAGGTAACGGCCCAGGCCGATACTCAGAAGATGACCGAAACTGTCTGGGGTATTGAGAAGCCTAACGCAGCCCGCAAATTCGCTGAGTTCTGGAAGGCTGGTGCTAACTGGACTGAGGATGCTGAGTTCTTTGAACGTGCTTGCTTCTACTACATGAAGAAGTTGTACGACTCCATCACTACCGAGGAGCGCGAAGAGCTTGCTTGGCACCCTAAGAAGTACCTTGCTTGGGTTGAATCAGTTATCAAGGAGGCCGCTGAAGGCACCCACGCAACTATCAAGAAGGAGTGGCTCAATGACACTGCCGATCTAGAGGAGCGCATTAACAAGTTCGCTAAGTCTAACCAGGGCTTCCGTCACCTCAAGACCCTTGGCAAGAATCTTGTCCCATTCGTGCGCGGAGAAGTCGCCCCTCTTGACACTAAGTTGATGGACCATGTGTACAGGAACAGCTTTGGTAGCACCGAGTACAACGGCTACGTCGCTGACCTTGTCAGCCAACTCGCTCACAAGTTGAGAAACATGGAGATCCTCGAGCTCGGTGCTGGAAAGGGCTTCGTTACTGAGGCCGTCATCAACGCTCTTGGCGACAGCTTTGGCTCTTACACCTACACTGACCTCACCGCCGACAACTTCGACTACGCATCTGAGGTTTTCAGAGAGCGAGCCGAGAAATTTATTTACCAGACTTTCGATGTTGAGCAGGAAGCACCGGCTCAAGGCATTATTGAGGGCGGATACGACCTTGTCATTGCTTCTAAGGGCCTTCACGCCACTGCTGAGCTTGAGAAGACGCTTTCTAACGTTCGCAAGCTCCTTAAGCCCGGTGGACAGCTTCTACTTCTTGAGTTCACCGACACTAGCGCTGTTGCACCGTCTTACATGTTCGGCACTCTAGCTGACTGGTGGGTCGGCGAGGCTGATGGAAGACTGCACCACCCTCTGGTCCCGCAACAGGGCTGGGATGCCCTTATGCGCAAGACCGGCTTCTCGGGCATTGACACTGCTACTCCCGAGACCAACTGGTACGGTGTTCCTCTGAGCATCATGCTGACCCAGGCTGTCGACGTCCAGATGAAGCTCATCCGCCAGCCTCTTGAGGCTGAAGCTGATTTGATCAAGCTGCCCAAGCTGCTCGTCGTCTCCGGCGCGAGCGAGTTCTCTGCCAAGGTGCAGGCTGATACCCTCGCCGCCATTGAGCCATATGCTTCTGAGGTTCAAATCATTGAGCGCTTCGAGAACCTCCAAGAAAGCGACTTCGGTCCCAAGCAGCTCGTGCTCGTCTTCACCGAACTTGACGAGTCTGTCTTCCACCCCTTCACTGAGGCCAAGTGGACCGCTATCCAGCTTCTCACTGAGAGAGCTCTTAACGTGCTATGGCTGACTCACGGTGCTGGTGTTTACAACGCTTTCAGCAACATGATGGTCGGTGTAGGACGATGCATGGTTCACGAGAAGCCTGACCTGCGCCTACAGTTCATCGACTATGCCGAAAGGGCTAAGGTCGATGCCAAGTATGTCGCCGAGACTCTGCTTCGAATGCATGTTGCCAGCACCTGGAAGTCTTTCGCTACTCCCTACGTCCCATCTTGGGTCATGGAGCGAGAAATCCGTGTCATTGAGGAGAAGCCGACCATCCCGCGATGCATTCCTTGCATTCGCCTGGACAACCGTTACAACTCGTCTCGTCGCACCATTCGCAACGAAGTACCTCTTAATGGTACTGTTGTCTCTGTCGAGACTCAGGCTGGTGTTTCTGAGCTGCGTGAGGTTCACACTCCTGCCTGGGCTGTTACCTCTAAGGAAGGCTATGTCGACATTAAGGTGCACCGCTCTTCTCTGGCTGCCTTGACCATCCCTTCAGTTGGTTCTCTCTACCTCATCGTCGGTCGCCTAACTGCTGGTGACAAGAAGGTTCTCGCTCTTTCTGAGACTCAGCGATCAATTGTCTCTGTTCCTAAGAGCTGGACCATCCCGGTCGATGTCTCTGATGAGCAAGACACTAGCCTCCTTGTGGCTGCTGCTAACGTCGTCTTGGGGGGCTTCATCCTATCTGGCACACCCAAGGGTACTTCTCTCCTTGCCCACGAGCCTACCAGCCTTGCCGCCGCAGTCCTTAAGGACCTTTCCGTGCGCCGCAACATTGAAGTCAGCTTCACCACCTCCAACAAGGACCACGCTGAGGGTGTTCAATACGTTCACCCCTCTGCTCAAAGGCGAACCATCCAGAGCATTATTCCTCGCACTCTTTCCAGCTACTTGTACTTCTCCGATGCCGAGGACTCCGCTCGCATTGGTGCCCGTATCGAATCGCAGCTTCCCGCCAGCGTCCGTCGCCTGAACCTCGCAAACGGTTTCAGCGACAAGGCCATCGTCGAGCCCCAATCAAGCATTGAGACATCCTCGGATCTGCTCCAGCAGGCGCGGGACTTCTTCGAGTCACACGCAGCCACGCTAGACACAACTGAGCGCGTCGAAGAGCTTGTTCTTGACCTTGTGCCCGGATATGAACGCAACGCCGAGGACTCCACTTTCGTTGTCGCCAACTGGACCTCGCAGAAGGCTGCTTCCGTCAAGCTTGCCCCGCCCGAGAACGTCGTCCAATTCCGATCTGATAAGACTTACTGGCTTGCTGGTCTTACTGGTGAGCTTGGTCTGGTCCTTGCTCGATGGATGGTCCAGCGTGGTGCTCGTCACATCGTCATGACTTCGCGAAACCCCAAGCTCAATGAGGAATGGCTCAAGAGCATGAAGGCTGCCGGTGCTAACATCGTTGCCCTTCCCATGGATATCACTTCAGCTGAGTCTGTGCTTGAGACTTATGCCATCATCAACCAGACCTGCCCTCCCATTGTCGGTGTCTGCAACGGTGCCATGGTGCTCAACGACCAGTTGCTCGCCTCTCAACCCTATGAGGACTTCAACGCTACAATCCGACCCAAGGTGGAAGGTACCCGACACTTGGACGCTCTCTTCCAGCAACCCACTCTCGACTTCTTCATTGTCTTCTCTTCCCTTGCCTGGTTGACTGGTAACATCGGTCAATCCAGTTACGCATCTGCTAACGGTTTCATGGCCGGCACTATGGAGAACCGTCGCCGCCGTGGTCTTGCCGGTTCCGTCATGAACCTTGCTGGTATCTACGGTATTGGTTACATCACTCGTCGTGAGGCCACTCTCATGGATCGTCTTGAGAAGATGGGTTACTCCAACATCTCTGAGTGGGACTACCTCCAATTCTTCGCTGAGGCCGTCCTTGCTGGCGGTGCTGATTCTCCCGCTGATACCTGCTGGGATATATCTTCCGCCGTTAAGCCTGGTGACCCAGATGCCGAGAACCCTCCCCCATGGTTGGAGGTTCCCCGATTCTCCTACTTCAAGAAGGTTAAGGCCCGCACTGCTGGTGGCGAAGAAGGTGGATCCGCCTCTGTCAGGTCGCAACTTAAGGACCAGACCACTATGGAAGGTGTTAAGACAGTACTACTTGGTAAGTTTTCCCTCATTCCTGATGCAATTAATAATTGTTCAATTACTAACATGATAATACAGCTGGTCTTATTGGCACTCTATACAAACTCTTGGGCATGCGCCCTGAGGATAACAGCATCTCGCCTAACATGTCGCTCATCGAGTTGGGTATCGACTCGCTTATGGCTGTCGACATGAGATTGTGGTTCACACGCGAATTGGATCTCGATTTGCCTGTGCTCAAGCTACTGGGTGGTGCCTCAGTCGAAGACATGATCGAGGACACCGCAGCTCGTATATCACCCGAGCTTATCCCCAACGTCATCGACGCTGGAGGCGCCAAGGAGGACGAAGACTCCAACAAGGAGGACACCGAGTCGAACGCAAGCGGAGAGAACACTCCCGACTCAGTGCTAAGCGACTCGGAGCTCGGCGTCGACTCTCTGGTAACAACACAACCACAGAGCTCGGCGGTGTCCGACAACGGAAAGAATTAAAAATATCAACAAAAACAACAAAAACAAATGGGTTAAAATTAAAGGTTTTCATGTTCTATTACGATGTAAAGTATATGTTTCTATCTATCTGGGCTATATATGGGATCGGGTCGGTTTATATCATTTCTTAAGAATTTTGTGTTTTAGATACTTCAGTTAGAGCAATCCTGATTAACAACTATACTTTGGGCTTTTCTGTGCATTGGTGATTTAATTGGTGTGGTCTTGGTAATGGTATGTCTTTGTAAAAAGGGTGTTTGTTGAGGGTTGATGTAGGTTCGAGGAGATTTTGAATTGGGTTTCTTCATTATCGCAGTGGAAAGTTCTCAGGTTGCGGGACATAAATAGGACACCCGACGTTGATAGCCACTACGAAAACCGCGCTACAGCGTGTACCGCTAGAATTGGACGGCGCGCGAAATAACACTAAACCGCTTAACCGCCAACTAATTCAAGTTTAAGAAACGGTTTCAATAGCGCTATACGCACGTCGCATTTAACCACTAAACCCCCTGTAAGAAAAAGGAACCTAGGTAGCGCCGGATAGCGTTATAATTACGACCCGGGGGCGATTGATTATAGTGAGCAATTCCTACCATTCAGCTTTGTATCTCACAATGAATTAATAATATCTCGACAACAGTTTGATCAAAACCTAATAACTGTATCTACAATATAGCATGTATAATTCATCTTACGCAATTAAAAATCCCTTTGAAAGAGTGGTTGAACGATATAAACCTTTAACAACATAGGTGCAGTTGGGATTTTTTAACCGTTGCTGAGCCATTACTTGGCTATTGTTGAATACTAAGCCCTGAACGGCGCTGATTTATAGGGGGGTTGGTGGTAGAATACAGTTTTCATATAGTGTTAGTAACTGCGAATGTTTTTTAAAGTTGAATTGTTTTAAAGGTTTTAGGCATTTCACGCACCGTAAGTTACACCCAAGGTTCCAACGTTGGTATTAAAAGCTTGACATACGTTCAAAAACGATAGACTCCCGTTATAAGTAAATGCAATAACACACCAGAGCTTCGGAATACTTTAGATTTCGTAAATATCATGTATCTGGGGTATTTTCTGCCTTTCCGAGCTATGCGTCACGGCGTATTTGACACTGGAAATGTAGCTGCTAGGCAGGTAAATAAACTCGTAACGCCGGCTCTCTATAAGATGTGCTGCGCTAGGGGTTCAATTGGTACTAGGTATGTTCTATCTACTATTTCCCCCGCTATAAAGATGTTTCCCGCCTAATGAGCCCTCATATCTCCCCCAACCTGAAATCTTTTAAGGAAGTTTAGCGGGGTAGGATACCCCCCGATCTTAACACACCTCCCCTAAACTAAGGCGCTAACATAAGCTGCATGCATCTATGGATGAATAGCGACACGCAATTTGCACTTATAGGTGAAAAGTCTAGGCAGTGAGGCTTTCATCGATATTAACGGATCGCTAAAAGAACCAATATGCTCAGACTTCAAAACTCATCTCATAAACAATTGTAAAATGCCTATAATTCGAAAATCACAAATCATAAACATAAATCGATTGGATCCATACATCTGCAAATCTCAGTGTTGAAACTCGTAAACGCCTTCTATAAGTGCTGTTCTATATACCTCTAAGGATTCTAATACAAGCCCCGAAGACAGTACACAGGATCCCCGCCGACACCGAGTCCAAGCGCTAGACCGAAAGCAAGCGCCCGACTTATCCGACCATTCCCGTACCTAACCTGGAATACCCATAAGCAGACTTCGATTTCTGATTTACAACCATCTATTCTAAGTTCCTTCCTCTCTCATCATTCTACTTACTCCTCCAAAAAGCGACCTTGCATCCATGTTCATTGCTCAAACCCATAGCCAGGTGTTCCGTCCACGGCTGGTTATCCCTCGGCTCGATGCGCTTGAACTCCTGCATCAATCGCACGATGTTGTAGCTCCCCTCGATCAGCGCGTTTTGCTGGCCTAGGCATAACCTCGGGCCTCCGTTAAACGGCTTTTCACACCCCGCGTTAGCACTCATCAATCACTTAGCAACGATTGAGGGGCAGGTAGGTAGGTACTTACCAGATACGCCCAGCCGGGCTTGACCTTCTCGTCTAACCATCTCTCGGGACGGTAGACGTCGGCGTCGGGACCCCAGAACTCGGGGAGACGGTGCATGGCCCAGACGCAGTAGAAGACGGGCGAGCCCTTGGCGACGAAGACGGGGGCAGTCTTGTCGGGGCCGCCGCCGCGGGGGAGAGTCGTGTCTTTGCGTGCGAACCGCACGTTTCTGGGGAGAGGGGGCCAGAGGCGGAGGGCTTTGGAATGGTTAGCGTTTATAAGCCACTTAAGAGGGCCATTGGATGGTTTAGTGAGTGGGTAGGTGGTTATGTCCGGGCGCACTCACTCTCGTTCAAAACAGCTCGCAGGTACTTCATCTCCTTCAGGGACTCGTAATCCGGCACACGGCCCTCAAGCGAATCAACCTCTACCATAAGCTTATTCCAAATATCTTGGTTCCTTGCCATTTCATAAAATGCGCTGCTCAATACACTCGCCGTGGAATCACGCGCAGCGAGAAGAACACCGAGGAGTTCGCTACGGAGCTTGTCCTCGTCACGGCAGGCACCGGCGATTTCAGCGAGTAGATTGTACCGGGTGCCCTTAGTGTTGCCGCGTAACGCCTCCTGGATGAAGCCGTTGGTGAAGTCCTTGATCGTCTTGCAGGCAGCGTCGAATTTCTTGTCGCGGATCAGCCAGGCGTGTTTTCCGAGCTCGCTGCGCTTCTGCAGTACTTCTTCCGCGTAGTCGAAGGCGTCGAGGAAGTTACGTGCGGGGGAGCCCGGGGCACTGGTCTGGCTGCCTACGGATGTGCCGAGGAGGAAGTCTGTCGCGCTGTCGAGGGTCATGTTGTAGAAGAGCGGCTTTAGGTCGAAGGTCACGCCGTCGGCTTTGGGGACGCGCGCGAGGAGATCTTGTGTGTGCTCTTCTAGACTGTCTAGGTCTGCGACTTGGGCTCTGGTGAATGCGGGTCGGATTAATGCCTGTTGGGGGTTAACTTATGCTCAATGAAGACTTTCGAGTGTATAAGAGGAAATACGTACTCTGGAGTGTTGCCAAGCTTCGCCATCAGAGATGAAGATACCACCAGATAGCACCGGGCCGAGGGGAACCTCACGCGGACCAAGGCCGAAGTCATTGAAGTTAGTCGCGAGCATGGCTTTCAGGTTAACGGGATCGCAAGTCACCGTGAAGTGATTGCCGGCCATAACAAGCGAACTGGTGTAACCGAGTTCCTTGGCTCGTCGAGTGGTCTCTTTTAGGGTGATACGGTCCCGGCGTTCGCGCCGGAGCCTCTTCCACGCCGCCAAACCGAGGATATGCTCGGTTTGGGGCTCACGAGGTGGCGGAAGACAGCCATGCGCCTTCTTGAACGCACGTATCTCGAGCTGGCGTGCGACAAAGCGGATGATGAGAAATAACGCACCGAGACCCAAGGCAGCGAGGAGCAACTGGTTCCTCTTGAAAGAGGATGACGTCGTCGCCTTAGTAAACTCTGTTATGGAGGCCATACTGTCGGTAATAGGTGCGTTTGGCATGACGGTCACCTCTGTTACCCAATTAAACAGTTTTATCTCCACATGGACTGAGACTTTTTTCGAGTTGGTGCCCGTGGGTAGATCCGGCAGTATATCCATTAATTGCTCCGACATCACATCTCGGCGGGCTAGACGCCTTGAAATCAGTTTTGTATATCGTACCCTCTACATTTTCCCTATATTTTCCGCATCCGTACCCGTTAAAGAGCTCTTTCTCAGCCCTGAAGTTCCCTAATCTGGTCTACAGCTTCATCGATACTGCTGACGTTGGATCCCTAGGATATAGACGAAACGTGCTACAATTGGCCGGTTTTCCAATTATAGAACATCCTATCATCCCATTTCCTAATCTGGCAATTCCTGTTTTGGCAATGCCTTCTTCGCCCACCCTTCTTTAGGAAGTCCTCAAGTAGGAATGTTTTCTAAAAGCCTTATTAATGCATTCTTGGCTGCCCACTTCTTTGACCCAATGCATCGCGAAACCAGATCAGGTCCGTAGATTCGCGAGATCGATGGATACCCTTTAAGCCCACTGTGTCCGCCCATCCGCGTATCACTTTTCAGCAGGATCGCAATCAGCTCATGCTTCTGCAACTGCGATTGCCTATTGCTGCATGCCTCAAGAGGGTAAGATAACCCCAATGAGCCCCTCCTATAGAGTTCCCGAGGCAAATGGCTACGCTGTATATCGGAGTTGCGTAAGCTGTTTGCCTACAGGATGCGATAAACTTTTGTTACAGCTATTGTGGGTATTTTCGCATCGTGCAAAGATAGCTGGTTGAACTGGGACTGGGATCCATATGCATCTCTTAGGTAAGGGTAGGCACCTGTAACACCTGGAGGGCACCGCCAATCTTTTAGTCCTGTAGGGCTTCATGCCCGCCATAAACATCTTCTGGTAGACGCTATTCAGAAGCTACGCACCCACTATAATCAACTGAAAAGACTTTTTAAATTAGTCGCAAAGAGCCGTCGGGTTTTTTTCAGTGAATAAAGCCAAACAACTTTGCAATTCATAATGCTTGTTTCAAGACCAAGGTATATAGCAAATTGACAAACAAATCCCTCATCTACTAGGTAATCATTCTTGCCCAAAATGCATCTGTCCATAGTAACGACTCCCAAGCTCAGTACCTCCTCTGCGCAGCTCCAGCACTCGGACCCGCCATCACCTTCGCCGCATTCTCCATGTCTCCCGACTTCGGCATATTGATGATCATCAAGTACAAAATAGACTATTTTCACCCATTAGCATTCCCATAGCAATGAACTAGGTAGATAGCACCAAACTCGTAGTGAATTGACATACCTCTTTTATCTTCCGCTTCCGCGGTCCTTGTTCCCTTTCGGGGTGCTTGCGCGCCTTCTTCTCGTACTTCCGGTCCTGCTTCTCGAGCTTGCGCTGGTCTTTCGCCATCCGCTTCGCTTGCTTCTCGCGGTCCTTGGCTGTGAGCTCGACTTTGGGGTCCAGGAGGCCGTTTAGTGCGCCCATGGGGTTCTTCCGCATCTGAAAGGAAGAATGTGTGTAAGTTATTGTTGATGTCGGTTGATGTGGAAAGGGAATGGGGGGGGGGTCTTACGTATTTCCTCTGTGCCTTCATGTCCCGGCGGTCTTTGAACCCTTCGAATGCTTTTCCGAGGGAGGCCATCATGCCGCCTTGTTGTTGTGGCTGCTGTTGGCCGCCCTGGCTTTGTCCGCCTTGGCTGTGGTCGTCGTGGTGCATGCTCTCGTCGTCTTCCTCGTCGGATGAGGTCTCCTCGTCTTCGGGATAGATCAGTTCTGCCGAAATGGGGAAATCAACTGATCCCATTACACCATCGTGGTTTCGGAATTTCCCATCCGGGCCTTTGGTGTTGATGTTCTGCTGGAGAGTCTTGTCCGAGTTCGGCGCGTAGGCCATGATAAGACAGTACAGCCCGTGTGGTCGGAAGAGATCGTCGTTCATCTTTGTCAGGTAGGCGTTTTGGCTGGAGGAGAAAATCGGTAAGTGAAATGGTAGAAATTGCACTTCGGGGGTGTCAACACTTACTTCTTGCGGTTCTGGACCTCTTGGTAGACACCAGCCGTCAGTTGCACGGCTATTCCGATAGGAGGTGCTATCGCTGTTGGGATCATGCCAGCTACACCACCGGCCAAGTTGATGGCGCCTAGGAATGGTGATTGTGTCAGTGCCTTGCCGAAGCCTTCGAGGAAAGCCATGAATGTGGCTTGGTCAATGCCGGCCCGCATTAGATCGGGTGCATAGGCCTTGACGAAGCCGCGGTCACGCGCCTTTGGTCGCCGTTGTGGTATGATAACGGGATATAGCAGCGGTCCAGGTGGCATAGGAGACCCTCCTCCATTTGCTAATTGCATCGCCGATCCCATTCCGGAGCCCGGCCCCGCCCTCGGGGCCATCATGGGCGGCGCATTGGGGCGCTGGTACTGCTGTTGATGGGGCTGTTGGTATGGTTGCTGATATGATTGTTGATATGGTTGCTGGTATGGCTGTTGGTTATAGTTATTGTAACCACCTTGACGTTCATTCCTCCATTGTTCCTCCTGGCCATACGGCTGCTGATACTGAGGTGGCCCTGAGTATTGCGGTGCTTGAACTCGATCAGCTTGAATCAACTTTAGATCGGGAATTGACCGGACTTACGTCTTTGATCGTAACCGCCCATGTCGGGCGGATAGCGTTGAAATTGGGAGGATTTAGACATGGTTAGGCTAAAAGTGACATAGATTGTTCTATGCTAGAAGGTGTATGTCGCCAAGAAAGGCAACAATAGCTATTATATAGGGCTGTTGACTCTGAAAGTAAAGTGGATAACTACGTCGATCTTTTTGTTCTGGGGGATTTTACGTGCACTGCCTCCTACCTACCTGGTATGTAAGGCGCTTGAGTATTGCAGTATTATGACAGCTCAGAAGGGTTTAGCTTCTCCTTGAGCGAATCACTGCCTAACTTGTCCCTGTTAGAATTCGTCACATATTAAATCCAGCTGCGTTCTATCACACCCTCGGAGTAATGCTGACACTGTTATGGCGCTTCGAGGTCCCCAATAGGTCCTTTTCAACGCGCCAAGAGGTGTGCTTCCTACCTATTTCAGCGATTATCCATCCAACTGCCGAGGCATGTTTTTAAGGTACAGGTATTAACGCAGTGAATTACCATAATTGCTTCGAATTCATATCCTGAAACTTTCGGACTCGCTTCTATCGACGTTGGGAAAAAACGATGAAAGTAACAAAGACCCCTTCTAAGTAATATTGTTAGAAGATCTATCGATTTAGCCTTTAATAACTTCGAGCATCGTGTTGAATTACGTGTTGGAGGCCTGAAGGAATACACAATTACCGAATGATATTTAAATTCCGGGCTTCGCCCCTTTATGCGCTTTGGTTGACACCACGCTACCTCGCATTCGCTTCACCAAATGCGAGATAACAATGATAGCTTGCCGTTATACGCGCGCAAACGAAAAACGCAATAATCACCAAAATTTCATTCTTTCCAATGAGCATCGCTCAAATCATCCATAATTGTTAGTAGCTGAGTAGTTCGACTACGCATTCGCTAATCACTGGCCTGATAATGTGGATGTTCGGCCGTAGGTAGGTACCTAGGTACCTAATTATGAATCAGATAAATATGTTTTAGCCTTCTACCTCTTCTATTTTACCAATCACCCATTCATTTTTGGATCTGGCACGTTCGTGATAAGTGCAGTGCGGTATAACTTCAAAGAGGTGCTAGATAGTTGGCTTCAGTTTGATGTTTAGTGGCCATCTCCCTAAAACAGTGCTAACCCATGTAGTTCGGTGTGCTTTATTTGTTACCCCGGATATAGGTTGTTTCCTCAAGTAAAAGAGACCATTATAACCTCATTCGGCTTTTGGTACGGCATATGTGAGGCTCCAACGTATAGGATTAGGCGGCTCATGCAATAATATGTTAATGATCGCTGTTATATCGAAAACTTTCCTATCGTGTTAATGACCGATGATCAACACCAAAGTGCCATGCAAACCTTGGAAAGCGTAAGGGACCTATCGTGTAACAACAGTATTCCCATCCAATTACGGTACCTATCTCGCTCAGCTATCTGCAGTTAATGTGACTCAAATTGTGACTCCTTACCTAGGTACCTAGTGAGATACGCATTACCTAGAATGTCGGTCGAAATAATAGACAGACATACCATATCGAGAGCAAACTCCTTGATCGTCATACAAGTTGAAGAAAAGAGTAATTCAACTCGTTATTCCCTAAAGCGTTGATCTCGAATATTACTTCCGTATTTCCGTGTCAAGATCTGAAGTTTGGTTCGTAGGCATATACCGCGTTAATTTTCGCAGATCAATATGATATCCCACAATGAAACCCAAATACTCCACATTGTCATCGTTCCCGTGAAATCCGAGGCGAAGCGGGTGTACGCATTATCCGCGAGGGACTTGTGCTTGTTTCCGGTAACTCCTTCGGCCGTCTCAATGCTAGCCGTAGCTCGGTCGACCCGGTAGTTGTCGGTGATGTCAAGCGGGATGGCGCGTTGTTTCGGTCCCGATATCATCGTCAGGTTGCATGCCGAGGCAGAGATGTTTACTTCCTAAGTCGAGTTGAAACAAACCAGTCACGCCATGTTTACTATGGCGCATGTACGCATAGATGATGTTGGTTTCAAGTTACTTGCCGTATCTGCGAAATCTAGGGGGCAACGCGTTGCTGGCATGGCTAATGACGCCAGACGGGACCGCCTTCTTTCCATGTTAGTGGCCGGGTGCCCATGGGGATCTGCAAAGGAATCGTCACCAACCCTGCGACGAGTGCCGACTTATGGACCATTATGTAGACTTGACATCTCCGATCTGCCCGGATGTCATCTTTCGTTGGTAGAAACAACAAAAGAATCAACTGGGGCCTCGGTAGATGTTTAGGAGATCTGATTTGGAGATTGGTCATAGATTGCCGAAGGCCATTTGCAGGGTTGCATGATCGTCAGATCGTCGAATCCTAAAGCTTCAAACCACCCTAAATTTAGCACCACTTCGCGATTTCAGGGCACCCATGCTCTGGAATAGAAGGAATCGGTAGTCCATGTCTAGTTTCAAGTCGTCTTACTCATACACTTCTTTAGGTAGTAAAGTGATTTCCTTCCTAATTAGGAATTGTTCATTAAGCTTAACAGCTTTCGTAGATCCTACACTCCTTTCGGTACTTTCTAAGAAGCCAAGACTGTATTTCCATCGCTAGCTCCCGCAAGATTTAACGAATCGGAATTGCTACCATGTCGTCGCCAAGATATCTCCTCCCACCAAGAACTCGACACCCTTGACCTTTCGAGCGGCACATCTTACAATATCTTAACTCGATTACGCCCGGTTGCGTAAATTTGGCCTTGGCACATTTTCAACAAAACTTCTCTCAAGACTCAAGATGCGTACTCTCATGCTTCACGGTCACAGCACCAGCTCCTTTATCTTCAAGGCGCAGTCAGGTGAGCATCGCCAAGAACATACCTAGTAATTATCTCGGTCCGGCTAATAGTTCGTACCAGGTCCTTTCCGATCAAAGTTGGGCAATTCGTTCCAATGGGAGTTCATCGATGGCCCCTACAGCTGCCCGCCACCTCGCGGCCTGAAAATGGTCATGTGGAAGGCCTACAAGTGGATGGAAAAGCCTGGCGTTGAGTCCATCAAGAAGTCCGTCCAGTGGCTACAGAATTACATTGACAAGCACGGTCCTTTCGACTGCGTCTGCTGCTTCTCGAAATCTTCTTCCATCGTGGTAGCTCTAATGCTCTACCATGCTCGTGAAGTCGCCAACGGCTCCCAGAAGCCGCTTCCGTTCAAGTCGGCCGTTTTCATCAACGGAAACCTCGAATGCTCTGTTTTGGAGGATCTTGGATTACCTGTGACTCAGGAAGCGAAGGAGGTCCAGACGAAGGTGGAAGATATGGTCAAGTCCAAGGTCGACGCGATGTCGAATCTCGCTAGCAGTCTTGTTAAGCCGCAGGGGCTCTGGGATGACACGAGCCAGCTTCTACACGACCCCGATGAGCTACCGGAGCCGTCCGATTGCTTCGGTTTGGACTTCACATCGTTCCCTCCCGATGCTTTCATCAGTATTCCAACCGTTCACATGTACGGTGGCAAGGACCCCATTTTCACCTCCAGCATCCAGCTAGCTTACCTCTGCGATCCTAACAAGAGAGTCATGTACGACCACCAGGGTGGTCACGATGTGCCGAGGACACCCGACGTGGTGGCTGATATGGCCTCTGCGTTCAGGAAATTGGACCAACAGATGAAGGCGACGGCTTGAAACTTATGAGTTATGTAAAGGATATGTTTTACAATTTTATTGGTGTGCTGGGACGAATAGAATAGGTATGGATAGATCATGTGTTAGATAGTCAATTTCAAGACTTGTCGGTTTTTTATCATTGGAAAGAGATGTACCCTAAGCTTATAAGCTCTAGACCCTTGTTATAAGCGAATATGTGAGAATACAAGGAGGTAAGTACCTACCCAGGCCTTGACCCTATGACTATCGCGAACTCGCGTCCGAGAGCTTACGGGGCTCTGTAAGAACTAAATCTCACCCAGAGACATGGAGATCCTTGCTAAAGTACCTAATGTCGAAATTTGCCATGACCACTGGGTTTGGTTAGATCCGATTCATCATAAGCAGCTATAGTACATACGTACAGTCCCAATGGCCAGGTTATATACCGCATTAGGATGTCAGGGGAAAAGAGCCGAGGTGGCCTGGACCAGGTCCTAGCCCACGTGGGAGTTTCGTCTCACTATGATGTTACATTTAACTCCATGGTTTAAGTACCTAAGAGTCAAATGATGATGTCACGAAGTGGAACTAAAAGGCAGGGAAACAACAACGTTGCTGCGCGAGGATCTCAGGTAAGCTACTCCCACTAAGGAGAATACGGTATATACCTACCTAGTACCTACCTACCGTACCTAGGTGCCTATACAGATGGTGCCCTTTGTCTTTCCTGCTCAGAGAGCTAGCGATCAACAGGACTCTACCTATCGATTATGATAGACCTCCATGGGCCGAGTACCAATCCCACAGACCCCTAAATACTGGTCTTCCCCTAAATCACCCAGGGGGTTTGCTACGGTAACCAACCTGTTCACTCATACTAGCCTCCGTCACAGGAATTATACGTGAAAACCATCCAGCAACCACTTAAGTCACTTAGTGTTATATTATGGGAACGTCGCCTTGTCGTCTAACTAGGGAGGATGAATAGTATCTTTACTCACGGTACAGATTTATGCTTCGCACAGCTCCTTTCAGGAAATTCACATGAGATTGGGGTTAGGGTTAGGGTTAAATGAGATAAGGAACAAAATCATAGCAAATAACAACTGTAATGCATGAAAAGGATAGGAAAATTCTTGGGGACTCCCATAAAATCTCTGTCTTTGTTTATAGGCGTTAGTGGCCCCCGTTTTCCCCATTGATATTGTTGGGGACCTATACGGGGAATGGTTGTGATAGTATATTCCGGTATATTCGCTATAGACCTATTATGTAACATATTCTCACGAACATAAAAGGGGGCCCAAGCTTTGAAGATAGGTACCTCACGAGAATGAAAGGCATTCCTTAACCATTATTTACCTACTAGTGTACCTATGGTACTAGCTAGGTAGGTACTAGGTACGACTACCTACCTGCCCAGGTGTTCTACGATCCTAAAGCGAACTAAATGCTACTACTAGCCGCATTATGATATAGTTTCCAACTATAAACTTGTCTCCCAACGAACTTCTTAAGAAACCCCACCTTAATACCTCTTACAGAAACAATCAGACTCCTAGAATACCAAAGACTGGAGTTTGCATTCTGGATATTCAATCCGCTTATCTCTATCTGGAAGTTACCTGACGTTCACTATTTTAGGAAGCCGATATTTCATATCTATCCAATCTATGACCAAATAGAGAGGCCTTTAATTATCACTTAACCTTATGTATACCAAAGAACTACGTACACTTTGAGGACTTCTACAAGATACTAAATGTAGCATACCTGCTTGCCTACATATCGAAATGTTTTAAATCAACAGTTTGTATATTCGTTCGTAAGAGATTGTCCTTGAACATATTTCAGCTTGGCTATAGATTTTCCAGTTACCTGTTGAAATTGGTAAAAGGCTTTAATAGCCGTATGTACACTTATCTAGGTACCTAATGTGAGCTAAGGTTCGTAAAAGCAAGCACACATGTTGTTATACATTAGTCTGAGGCCTCCTCCATACCAAGAGCCAACAGGAACGGTCAGAGCCCCGTCATATGCCAAAAAGTTTGATGCCATCTAGGACATTTCACACAATAGGCGTTTCTCAGGCCACCAATCTTGCTTCTAGACTTAGAACTATAGTCTTAGACGCCTAGGTTAGGGGTGCCACCCCCACTTGTCCTAGTGTTAAATGGGCCAGCCATCCAACCAACAACGTTCATATTGAGCATTTAGAGGGCAGTAGAGGCATGCGCCTCAGCTATCTCAAGGCTTTACGTTACTACCAGTGTTAGCTATGCTATCTGTAAAAAGTAAAAACGCTTAGGAACGGGTATGTGATAGCTTGAGTACTACGTACCTTGTATCAATGACCAAAAGTTTCCTATCTCCTTAGGAGGCAGAAGACACCCTGAACGCCTAATGGAATTTCGGTACAGCCAATCTAGGTCTTTACATAGTAGCCTTTAACATAACACGCCTTGGTATATCATCTTGGCAGAGTATTTCCATATATAAGCCGTGATCTTCGGAACTCTTCCGCGCCGGGGTTGACCGAAAGTCGAATGATATCGCCGTCAAATGTATCAACACGCGCCGCGACAATACCTTGGAACCAAGTTTTCTATTGAGTCGTAGTCGTAGTTTCCTTAACTCCTGGAGCGCAGTTAAGGAAGATAATGATAAACGTCCCCGGGGGTACGAGGCGTGCTGAGCTCCGGAGTTTAGAGACCGAATCTAATACGTATCCAGCAAATCTCACATAATGGAATAAGCGTTGATGAACTCGCCGTACCTAGGGTCCCTTCTAGTTGCGCTCATGTTCGACTCTGTTAATGGTTGTATAGGTAGGTACTTACAAGGTACCTAGATAGGTAACCACATAGTTACTAATCAAAGAAACTTGGCTATTCATCTTACCGTCCAACCAAGAAAGTGAAACACTACCTACTAGATTTGGCCAGCAACAGAGTCTGTCCATGTGCGTCGGCGTCTTGTAGCAGCTGTATCATCTTTGTTTCAGCCGCATGGTTCTTTTTCATGGTAGCTGGAACGCTATCAATTTCTTCAATGGGTGAGATTGGCTAAACACTTTAGGAGACTTGTCATATATCGTGTTGTATTGAAGCCTCGCCGTAACCCAATTAGTCAATCTCATTTTGGTAGGGCACCAACAGCCCTCCATTCCATTCAGCTCTGGTCATGTAGACCGCTTATTAAATCGAATGTGACGGTTATCTAGAATACCAAAGATGTATTTTGTTCGGATCTACAGCTTCCAACGGTCTATGTATTTAGCTATATTACATGCGGGTGAAATAAACCCCGACGCGGCGTGGACTCTACGTCGCAGGGCCCCGGATGTCTAACCTTTAAAAGTAGAAATTAATGAAGCATGTTTATGTGCATTTTACATGCACCACAAGGTGGTATTGAAGTTCTCCGGGTGTTATCCCCGAAAGCCTCACCCCGGGGAGCATCGTTGGGGTCAGATTCCCGCGTCGGAGAATTTCTGATAGGACCCAGGTCTCTTTATTTGTTAATCGAACCTAACCCCAAAATATAGCTCTTCTTAAGTGAAAAACATTAGACTACATGAATAACTAATTAATGCTATTGGAATGATTTGTAACTGTTGATAAAGGTTAAGGCCAGTGCTGTCTTGCGGCAGTGATTTAAGGTATCAGAGAAAAGGGGTAAGTACTTAAATCCGAGCTCATGGCTCGTGCGTCACTCCTATTTCAAGACTTCGAGTGTAGGTTCCAGGTATCCAGATACTGATTCACGGCATTTTCGCTGTTAAGCGTGATCAGATTAATATACTTATTCGCCATTCTCGAATTGGCTTACATTAGTACTAGTTGCCTAGTAACATCCCGGCAAACTATTTGGACGGCAATCCACGGCACACTGGAGCTAGATAACGTGTTGGAATGGTTAGTGATATTGAAGTCAGCCGATTAGTAATCTGGATGGAGGTGTTATTTCTATTTTCGACTCCGTCCTAACTTTCTAGGACTCAAGTATCTGCCTTGTTTTCAAATAGGTACTACCCAAGCTATTTAAGATACGGGCTGTGAAAGGATTGAACGCCTCCCCCCGCCAGTTCGTAAAGGATTCTTTCCTTCTGTGAGATTATGTCGTAAAAAACACGATACCGGTAGACCTGCTGATGTGAGCTCGACCGCTCGTCTAAGAAGATAGTGGCATGTAGGTACATAGATATGTTCTAGAAGCTCAACCCTTGGCAAGACATCGCATGTGACATTTTTGTATTTCCATATGTATCAGCTAACTTCCAGAAGAGGTCTCCCATCTCCGAAAGTGGCTTTGTTGGTGATGAAATTTACATTATTATGTCGTGTCACGTACCTATTGAAGCATGGGGATATGCCCGTAGACGAACATGTTACTGCAAAAAGTAGAAAAAAAAGGTCAGACTGTTGGTGACAGCCCCCAGTGGCAATAAATAATTTACCAATTATCGCCATCAACGTACAAGCCATCGTGAAGTGTAGGTACTTTCTAGTGTTAGTGGCTGACGAAATCAGTGGCGGTCAGTCAATTTGCGGAGTAATCGGGAACCTGACCTCGGTGAGATATGATTTGCGGATCTCCAGCTGAGTACCGAACTCTTGCAAAGGTTCGGAGTTCCAATTTGATGACGCGAGAAACGTTAAGGCTGCCAAAAGCATCTCAGAACCGACCCTTGCAGGGATTTGACCCACGCGTCAACCAGATGAGATCTAACTTTGGTATAGATTAATGAAACCATGCATATATCACAGCTGATATGCACCGGGATTTTCTGTTTAGAACGCCCTGGCGGATCCGGACACCATATTTGATCCGGCTCGTTTTTCGGTAATTTCGTCATGTAGAATATTTGGTTACACATAGTACTATGTAGATCAATAGGGCTATCGATAGAGCTGCGTCTTTACCTACGCATATTACCAAGAAGGAAAGGCAAAAGCAGGGGTCAAGTAAGCCAAGCCCAAGCCGTCGGAACTCTCGCTTAATAAGTGAGCGATTTGTAGGTAGATACGCCGAGTCCTCCCCTCCTCACCAATCCTTCTGACATGCCTTCGATGGTTCTTCTTCGCAAGCACTGACGACGCTTTCTATCAGGGTAGGTACCTAGTGGGTATCCGCTTGTATGTAACACTATCATTGGTGGCCTCCATCGCTATCATAATTCCTTGATATTATTATAATACGATAGTTTTCTTTTTATGGCATTTATCATAGTAATATGAGTTTTTAACGTCAGTTATATCAGATACACGTAATTCTTTACTTATTCACTATATTAGTATCTCCCTACCTACCTACTTAATCTTTATAAATACAGTGATGTGATTAAAAAAGAAGTTACATATGTTATACTTAGTAGTATAACACTTGACAGCTGAGATCAGAATATGAATGACCTGACATTTCTTGAATCACACTGCCCCCGGTTACCCGGACCTTTAATGTTACACAGTTCCACGCAGGTCCTACGTATGGTTCGGCGCTTAGGGCTGGACTTCGACATACTTCTCCCACGTCCGCCAAGTATTTTTATTGGTGAGTTTCATATGAAATTTAGTCAGGTGTCGTATTCCGATTACTGTAGAATGCATGTGTCAGTTTTAAGGGTTTAGATCAACCTCGCATGCCTGCCGGATTTGCTTTGCATACCTAGGTGGGTAGAACAGGAAAAGGAGATCGAGTGACTCAAGGGTATGAATAGTAAAGACAACGTTAAACCTCATAGTTTTACCTAAAAATGTTACGTTTTTTATTTTAAGACATAGCTACCTACCATCCTACTATCCATTAGCACATTAACTTACTTATAATAAGCTTTTGCCTGTGACATCGCGGGCGGGAGATCTTCCTATTTGGGACTACTATCATCTTGGAATTCGTGATTTTAATTTTATGCTGAGCTTAGAAACTCGATATAGCGCAGCGACAGTGGGGCAAAAGGACCCACCAAGATCTTTCTGGGTCTATTTTCTCTCCATCTATTTTTCCTTTATGCTCGATCCACTATATCAGTCCCAGACGAGTGTCGGGCAAGGCGCGGAGATAGTGATCCTCTATCTTATGGGAAGACGGCCTGTAACGTTAGACCCTATATACTACCAGGTAGGTAGTATACTGGTTAGGTGGTACCTAGTAGTAGTTGACGCAAGCAGTCCCGTATAGTAGCGAAGGACTGTTAATCCTAGCCTGTCTTTTCTGGGCATTGCCTACCTACCTAGTGGGGTTATACTATTAATCCTACTATCTTTCGTAGTGATAAGAGTATATTCAGCTCCTTATAATACTGAAAGGTCGGAAGGATTGTACTTAGTAACCTTGTTAAACTCGTAGTGACAAGACCGGCTCATCCTACTGTCACTCCAGATTTTGTAGGTCGACGAAATCTGGCCATCCATTGGATCCAAATCTATGTTTTCTAGAGGCCTGGCCCTTCCGAAGGATCCTTGCCAGGAGTCAGTCACGTCCATAAACAATGTACCTTTCGGAAAGGTTCCGATGACCCAAGTATGTTCGTACGGAACAGGCACTAGGTACCGGTACTTACCTCGTAACATCAGATGACACCACAGCCTCTTTTGAACCCAGAAAGGATCCCAGGTACCTGCCCTATGGTGACAGAAAGTAAATCCATATCAGATATAGAGCTCGCAAAACGCTGACTCACCGTCCTTGTTGAACCACGCGAGCCTCTCGGCTACCCGTACACTCATGCACATGTGCATAGGTGACATTCGGTTGAAGGATGCAGCCTTGATTGTAACCACATAGGCCATACTTGTGATGTCACAGCCTAGTGTTGTGTTAGTCTAAACTGCCTTGTTAGTTAGACAAGAATATCTCCACAAAGACGGATTATCTAACGGTTAGCTGTGCCTCGCGATGGTATCGAGAACTATATAGATCTCGTCTCGGGCTCTTGAGTTTACCTACCTACCTAGGTGTATATAAATCCCCTCGAACAAAAAGGACAACTGAAACGACAATTTCTGGCTCTGAATTCTCTACTCGACTTGCATTCTTCTCATAATAATCATGGCTCCCGATATTGATCACATCTGGTCGTCTACGACTGATATTAAAATTGCTCCAGCGGATGAGCGCAAGATTCTCATCAAGAGAGCACTAAACCAGAAGATTCTGGTCCCAAGCATATTGTCTTTGATGCCAGCATGGCCAAGTCAAGTCCATCCAGATGTTGATGAGGTCAATAAAGAGATAGACGAGTGGCTGTTGACGTAAGTCTAATTTCACTGTCGCGATTTCATAGTGTTCTGGTGTAAAGGGGTTCAATTCTAGACTTGACAAGGGTTCACGTGTGCTGGTGTAGAGGTCTGATCCTCACAAATTATCACATGTATAATCTTTAAGTCACTAAGAATTTATTTACTAACAGCTGATCATAGCGTCAATATTGCCGAGAAGAAGAAGGCGAAGCATCGTGCCCGAGGGAATTACACATTTTTAACGGCCGTATACTATCCTGAGTGCAAGAAGAGAGAAAGCATGCTCGTTATATCAAAATTTCTTTATTGGGTATGTTCCCCTGGCCTCAATATGAGTCTAAGCAAGCTAACAGTCTGATACAGATATTCTTCTGGGATGATGGTATGCATAACATCATGAATGAAGAATTCATAAGAGGCAGACTAACTTTCAATTAGAGATCGACACTGGAGGAGAACTGACTGAAGATAAGGAAGGTACTCGGATATGTTGCGAAGAGACCAACAAGTGTGTTGATGACTGTCTTGGACCGAACCCCAACTACACACCTCCTCCAAATATTCGGGGGACGATTGAGATGCTATACCCCATCCTAAGAGATTTCCGCGCAGGCCTTGGTCCTGCATCTACGGAGAGACTCCGACTTGAGCTTCACGACTACATCAACGGCGTCGGAAGGCAACAGCAGGTTCGCCAAGGAGAACATTTACCAGACCCATGGTATCACTTCAAGATCCGGTCAGATGACGTCGGAGTTATCCCAAGCATCACACAAAATGAATATGCTATGGAGTTTGAGCTGCCTGAGTACGTTCGCAGACACGAAGCCATGGAAAGCATCGTCCAAGAGTGCACCAAGCTCACTGTGCTACTCAATGATGTGTTGTCTCTACAAAAAGAATTTGTACGTTCTACCCCCTGAATCATAGCATGAATACAATCCACGCGACTAACAAGAAACTACAGCGCGACTCACAATTGGAGAATATTGTTCTCCTTTTCATGAACAAATACAGCCTGTCGCTTAAAGGTGCCGTCGACAAGGTTCTGGATCTGATTCGGGAGCACTACGCAATCTGCGTCGCGGCAGAGCGGAGGCTTCCGTGGAGCGAAGATGACGAGAAGTTGAATGATGACATCAGAGAATATGTCCGTGGATGCCAAAGATTGGCTACCGGTACGGCGTTCTGGAGGTACGTGCTACGACGTCGTAACGAGCCAATAATAGCAGGTCGACTAACTGTCAATAGTTACTCATGTGAGAGATACTTCAAGCAGACACAGGTAAATGATAAATGGGAGGTCTTGCTGGATTTGTCATTCGTGAACTGAAGATGACGGTGTCGTCTAACCGTCCTTGCCGGGTGCTAATTCCCATGTTATTTTCGACCCACGATGTCGATAGTAGCATCTCAGGGGGGCAATTTTGCATATTACTATACGTTAGTTAGATTGTTTTCCGCATCACGTTTCTCATAAAAGTGTGGATCTTATTTTTCCATCGGGTACTCCGGCGCTCTTCCTCGCTTGTCAGTCCTTACAAATACCAATTTTTAGATTGACACTATTTCTTTTTCAACATGTATCTATCTATAAGCGACTCAGACCATCATTACTTAGATTGAAGCAAAAATATCCTTGAATATATTGCACTATATATATTTTCCTTCCTTGACGAATGAATGCCACTACGGGTTACTTCTTTGGCTCGAGAACACCTGCTTCTAACACTTCCTCCTCAGGCCATCCCATCTTTATCGGGACCATCTCCCGCGTCTGATCAAAGTGCACGCTTCCGTACCTCAAGTACGCCGCAAAAGTGCCGTCCTCGTTATCTTTGCTGTGGTGCTCTTCCGAGTCCCACAGGTCTGCCAGGAACGAGTCCAAGGCGCCAGGGGGGCCGTGCGATAGTTTCATGGTGGCTGTGTTAGCGAGAGCATCGTGAACGAAGTTCTCCGCAGCATGCCAATTCTCGTCCTTGATAACACCGTCACCCTTGCGCTTGGTCGTGAGCAGGTTGAACTGCCTGGTACCCGACCATTCCGTTACCCGCTGAAAATAGAATGTCTCCTGAAGTGCTGAGCACAGGAACATCTTATTTGAGTAGTACTCGGGTCCGTTGAAGCCGTCTGATGGGTCAATGAGTTTCCGAAGTCGTTCGAAACTCATTATTTGAGACATGTAGTCGGTGAACTGCTCCATCACGACATTGAGCCCCTGAGGGGGTAAATTCAGCTTATCCGTAGGCGGACACAGCATTGGGAGATGTCTTAACAATGGATGCTTATGGAAACCATGAACATTTGTTACACCATTCCAGAGTTCCTTGAATATTTCCATCCAACGCTTAATGAATGGGTTACTGCGCTTAGTGGCAATGAAACCGTTTAACATGATTTCAACCCCTGGACGCATCTCAATCACGAAACCCGCCATTTCGTACGGAGACTCCGGATCCTCGATCTTCTTCCAGCAAATATCATCGACATGTCGGAATAGGAATGAACCAGCATCGATCCAGACACCCCCATAAAGCCAGAGCAAGGGGAGACGCACGAGATCCCCGGAATGCGGCCCCACTGTAGGACCATCCATCGTGTTGTTCTTGAAGCATTCGGGGAAGAACGAATCATCGACAAAATGACTAACATTCGTCTCAGACCCATCTACTCGATCAAGCAAATGGACAGTCCAATCTGGACCTAGTCTGCGAACCCAATTGATGACATTCCGTTGGACCCAGGGCGGCATATTCGCGTATCCTGTATGCCAGTACGCCCAAACATTCTTGTCCGACGTGACGGGATGGCGGGTCTGAAGCCATACCGCGATTTCCTCATCACCGCGCGGATCAAGCTTTTCACTTGGAATCAGTTTTAGGCCTGGAGGAACCCCAACATTGCTTGTATCCGCGGGCGCGACACCCGATTGTTGTTGTGGGGTAACCTCAATCGCGGAGGGAGCCATCGCAGTTCGGAGGCGGCTACGAATTAATTTATAAATATGTCGTCACCGCAGCGCTGTAACGCGAGATATGTCGCACATGCAGGCCGCACAAAAGCGCGACGGGAAAGGCAGCGTACATAAATATCCCGAAGAGAGGCAGAGGCACAAAAAAAAACCATCTTCCAACGACATCTGCGACGCCGCTAAGACATCGCCGTAATGCGGAAAATCAATGCGGAGAATAGGGGCGCGCGCGCGCGAAGATCAACCGGCTTCCTTTCGCAGTAAACGACCCCGGATGTTTCGCTTCGTACCGTAACCTCCGTAGCGGATAAGAATACGCTTCCAAGACCAAGATCAAGCCACTTAGTCACTAGCGACAAGGCCACCCCGACACCTCGTCCCCGCACGCGCGAACCATGTCAGCGAGGGATCGGATGGCGTTGAAGAGCATGCTTAGCACGTAGATTCCCGGTCATAAGAGAAAGCCTTATACGATAGGTACATACATGCTGTAGGACCTTGGAAGTAACCGTACGAGTTGCTAGGTATGTAGGGATGACAACAAGCTAAAATCGCATCGCAGATAGATACTCGATAGGGAGTTGGCGCTGAATAAGCTGCCAGGCACCGGCTTCGTGTTAGCATGTTCCTTCTAGATAGTCCTGGAGATGTCGTATCTAGGTACGATATCTATCTCGAATCCCAATTGACATCGAACCCATGCAGCCAACCTCGCGACCGGCTCTTTCCCGACCCAGGCTTACGGGTTCGCGCGAGATAACAGCGCTCCCTCGAAATCGGGGCGTAAGACGTAGCAGCAGCGGCAGCGAGACAGCGATGGTGGTGGTGGTAGTAGTGGTGGTAGTGGCGGTGGTGGGGGATCTGCTCCTGCTGATACGTGGCACGGTGCAGCGCTGCAGTCGCTGGCTGGGTCAGCGGAGGATACAGGCGATATTAGTGGCGGATTCCCACCTAAGGCATGTGACGTTGCAGCGCCGCAACGTGCTCGTCGGGGATTCCTTGCGCTGTCTAGCAGGGCGAAGAAGCCGCTACTGCACAGGCTAGTGCGTGGGATTGTCGATCCTTCCACCGACAGGGAGACCCTGAATATCCTTTCTTTGGGGGGTTTCTTTTTTGTTTTTTGTGCCTTTTCTGCTTAGGTGATATGGATATCACTGCGAGGCTTTCCCACGCGGGGTTCTTCCGATGCTTGGATCTTGGCTTGCTTATTTGTGCACACGTGGGATTGGCTTATTAGGTGGCTGTCGTATGCGTGAGTGAAGAATACGAAGGGGGGTTCTTGAGACGGGCAGCGCAGAGAGGTTGATAATTCATACTTATTACTGGGTATTAGGTATCTTTCTAGCTTCGAGTCGTCTTGGCTAGAGATGGCGTCACTTCACTTGCCGACGATATGGGTGTCCACGCTCACGGCGGCGACGATATTCGTCGTCGCCGTCATCTCGAAGTGGCTTCGAAAACCGAGGTCGTTCAATGTCCCGGTTGTAGGTGCCGAGGCTGGAGATGTCAACGTTCTCAAGAATCGATATGTGCAAGAAGCGGATGCGGTTTTACGCGAAGGATACGAAAAAGTTGAGTTTCCGATGCGGAAAGTTGGGTTTGACGTCGACGAGCTGACTGATTCATTCTAGTTCAAAGATGCAATCTTCCAAGTCGTCACTCCCGATGGACCCAGGGTTTTCCTCCCGAGAAAATATGCGCAAGATTTGAAAGATTATAGTCGGCATGAGGCGAGCGGGATGAAGGCTTTGGCTGATGTGAGTTGCCGCGGAGAAGCTCGAGTTGGGTGCCGATGGTTGACTGTCTGGCTTTTAGCGACATATCGGGCATTACACCACCATCGATCACGAAAGTGATATTATGCTGGGCGCGATCAAAATCGATCTTAACAGGAATTTGGGCACGTTCGTCGGAGATGTCGAGCAAGAAGTTGCATTCTGTTTCGAGACTCAATTTCCGGCATGTGAAGGTACAGCCCCGCCGCCTCCGCTTAAATATCTCCAAAGCAAAAATCGCTAACGGGTGCTGAAGATTGGACGCCAATTGACCTCCACGATAAACTCCTGCGTGTCGTAGCCCAGGCTTCGGCTCGGATCTTCGTCGGTTATCCGATGTGCCGAAGCGAGGAGTGGCTGGACTGCAGCACGAAATTTGCGATAGACGTCATGACAGGCGGCGAGAAGCTGAAGCAGTGGCATCCGTACCTGCGGCCCATCGCCCAGTATTTCGTACCGGAGATGACGCAGATTCGCGGCGACCACCAACGAGCCCTTGACCTGCTTTTACCTGAGCTTAATAGAAGACTCGCAGAACCCGCCGATCCAGACTCGTCACCCCACAATGACATGATCCGATGGATGCAAGAGCGCGCACGGAAAACTGGAGACAATTCCTTTAACAATAAGGAGCTCGCCAACCTGCAAATGCTCACCGCGACGGCCGCGATACATACCACGCGTCTTGCCATTATCCATGCCCTATACGACCTCGCAGCCAGACCAGAATACGTGGAGCCGCTCCGAAACGAGATACTGGAGGTGACCAAGGACAGCAAGGGTGTCCTCCAGAAGCAACATCTTACACAAATGAAAATGCTGGACAGTTTTATGAAGGAATCTCAAAGGCACAGTCCGCCCTCGGTTGGTAAGTTGATTGATTGGGTACTTAGTGGCTATTTAATACTAATGAGGCGCATACAGCTACATATCAGCGCAAAGCCATGATCCCCATTACTTTATCTAACGGCTTCCATATCCCCGCGGGCACTATCGTGCAGTGCAACACCAACATCCTAGATGAGACGCCACAAGATTGGGGAAACCCGCACGCCTTCGATGGATTCCGGTTTTATAAGCTCCGCAACCGAACGCCCGAGGATATTAACAGATTCCAGTTCGCGAGTCCGACGTACGATAGTATGCAGTTCGGATTCGGAAAAGATGCGTGCCCAGGTAGGTTTTTCGCCAGCAACCAGATCAAGATTATTCTTGCCTACATACTCTCTCATTATGATATTAAATTCGAGGATGGCGTTGTCGGGAGACCTAAGAACTTTATGTTCGAAGTTAACGTCCTGGCGGATCCCACCAAAATGGTGTTATTTAAGAAGATCCGGTAGGACTGTAGGTAGCAAGTTACATAAAATGGAATTAACACACTCAACTTTTATTTTTATCTTTAATTCGTCTTAAAAGGACCTTATTTGACTTCGATTTCTAGTAAAGGTAATTGGGTAGCGAGCTCTCCATTTATCATTGTCATTAAAGCCGTTGTGGGGATTTCTAATATATTTTTAATTCTCGGTTTATGCCTGGATCAGAGTATCTCGGTATCTTTGGAGGGACGTTTCCACATGGTTCTTTTCTAGGGTCTAATCGGAACCGAACAACCAGTAGATATCATCTTCTTCAACTGACTCGTTCGCCGCTGGCGGAAATCTATGAGAGGGAACGAGTGGAATGATGTTGAAGAAGGTTGGTGAGCGATTTGATGTGACTGGATACTGGTACTCAATGTCGGCGACCGTGGAAAAGATGGCCATCCTACCACTCCTGACCGGGACGAGCACGGCCTCGGTTGTGCCAGTACTCGTCGTCCTCCTCCTCATCTTGCGAGTCGTTATGTGAGGTCTTCATTAGGTCGACCTGACTCGCATCATCGGTGGCGGAAGAACGAAGCTTCTTAGACCCCCTCTTTGAGGGCATCGGAGCACGAATTCGATGGGGTGCTGGGTAGTGAGCGAAGCGACAATCATTGTCGCTCTTTGTGCATCTGCCCCCATCAGCCCAGAAGTGGCAGATCAATGGGTGCTTAACACCCCCGACAATGTTATCATGATAAAAAGGGCATTTGCCCTCGTCATGCTCCCGGCAGGAGTAACCCTCAGTAAACCACCAAGGGCAGATAAGCTTAGTCTCCTTAGAAGGAGCACTTTGGGTAGGTTGAGCACGGAGGGTCTGCGCAGGCTTCACTGGCTCGTCCCTAATCAAGGTCAATGAATATCCATTAGCTGTCAATGCTGACGAAGAACTTACGGAAATTCGAGGAGATCCTGGGATTGAACGGAGACCGGAGTCTCCTTTCCAGGACGGGGAAATCCAGCGGGAATCTCTCCCATCTCCACCCGCTTTACTTGGCCGTGAATAGTAGAGTTAGGCGCCGTGCTAAATCCCATGCTGCTACCCGTGTTGGAGCCTTGGTCAGCATTGAGGAGTGCCATAATCTCCTCATGGGTGGTGCTAGAAATTCGGCCAACGCCGAGTAAAATTCCCAGCCCCTAAAGGAAAAGATGTATTAGTTTTGATTTAATTAGATAGATATGTTCCAATTTTGATATATGGGCAAAACTTACAGTGAATACCTGGGCCATTCCCTTGTTTACCATATCGGAAGACATCTTGCTAGTACCTGATGATCTGGGATGAGAGTATGGTTAGTAGGAGTATTGTAAGAGAGTTATTTTGTATTTTGTAATGAAATGTAGGAATGATGTTATGTTGGAAAGGTACCTGTCAATAGATATTAATCTCTGGTACTAATGGTAATTGTCCTGGAAAAACTTGCGTGGGTTGAACGAATTGGGGTTGGGAATGCGCAAGATTAGTGGGATCAAATACCTTCTCTTAGGATTATGGATTATTTGTACCGTGTGATAATCGAGAAGCACTGAAAGTAGTGCACCTAACTGGTGGGCCTGACCGCAAAGAAAAATGTCGTTTGAATAAAATTTCCTGAGTTGCCGACTGAGAAGGGTGGTGGAAGTATTTGTGGCGAATGATCGAATGGGAAGAAATATGGTAGAATTGGTGACTTAAGAACCGAAGGCTCACCGCTGACAATGTTCAGGTGGATAGGAGGAACGTCTTACTTAGAACTTGAATATTTAACGGGATGGGGTAAGGTATGGTTAGGGCTTGGACCGATTCTATATGGCTAGGTAGTTGGTTAAAAAAACGAGGTTCTTAGGGACTCGAGAATCGGTTGTATGTTTAGAAGTCTAAGTTCTCCAGAGTGACCGTTTGTTATATAGTATTGGGTTCAGGTTTCGAATCAGCTTGGAGTGTCGAAGCTCGGACCGCTTAAATACCTGTGTTACCTAGAAAATACTTTGTCTATGTACCTTGACCCGTACATTAAACAGTAGGAGTAGTGCTGTGAACAGAACCGTACTTAGGTACTTGCTCTAATATATGAGTCGATTTACCGGTTCTTACACATGTTTGCGTGAAAAATTAAGTTTTTAGGGAAGGAGGTAGCATAAGCTTGGAGCAGTTGCCAATTGAGCACAATCGATTCAACCGGTTAAGCAACCGCAAACCCACGAAGTGGTCCGTGCAAGAAAACGTTCCTTCCTAGAACTCAAGTACCGGGGTAACGGCGTGGGTGATATGGCTTAAAAGGTACAAGTGGGAAATACAAGTAGGAAAGAACGATGATCGGATTAGAGGTAGGTACAATATATATAGTATTAGTATCTAGAAAAAGGAGGAAAACCGTAGCAATTGGCCAGTCGCCTATTGCTGAATTAGGCACGATCGACGGCGATTTCTATAATCGATTAATGAAAGAAAGATGGAAGGAAGGAAGTAGCCTCATATTTAATAGGGATGAGTCCAGTTATTCCTGTCATTTTTTATCATAAGTTTGTTCCAATATTATGAGTGTTGAAAAAATACTAGGTACATATGTAGTCATAAGCAAGTTATTTATAGGCTGTCAAATATATAAAGTTTACCTTTACCTAGGTACAGTATCAGAGTATTCATAGGTACGTACCTTCTAGGTACTTATGGTACCAGATAAATTACCTCGAAACTTCCAAGGTTCAATGAGAGCATGGAGACTTTATTGATAGGTATCTACGTACATGAATACTCCCGAGTCGTACGCAAGCCATACGAAATACTAGGTACCTAAGTATATAGAGATTATAGGATACATAGATACATGTACATGTAAGTGATGAGTCAAAATAAATCGGTGTACCTACATGTAGGTACCCAGATATGTACGTATAGTTGAAGCGTTGAATGATTGCGGGGGATGCAAATAGTCAGAGGTACCTGGGGTTACATTGTAGGGCTGTTTTTAAAACCTGAGTGCCGGAAATCTGGGGTTAACCAATCGGAAATTTCCCTCAAACCAAAAACGTCCAAACTAGGCCTAGCCCAGGAACCCCACGCGCTGCACGGCTGATCCCGCAACCCCACCCCAGTCTACTTAATTCCGCCCCGCGATTTGTTTTCTTTTCCTTTTTTCTTTCTTCTTTCCCCATACCTACATAGAAATCCAAGCTGGCCGGGTTGACCAAACTGAAAGGTTTGACTTCGCCCCAGCCTACTGGTCCCTCTGGGGCCTTTAGGTTGTTCAGTCTATAGTATCATCTCAAAGGTTGCGAGGGGAACAATTCCCTCGCGGCCATGGGGCCAATCTTTGTATTTCGCGGCTCGTGTTGCAAGGTTTTTTCCAACGCAACATGAAGGCTCTACATCGCTCATCTTTGCTATTTTTTGCTTGCATTGATGTGATGTATCCTAGGGTAGCATACACATAGAAACCGAGCTGACGAGCTCAACCTCACGTGTGTGTGTTTTACTCGGCTGCGGCGCCGATGCGTGACAGGTCTGCCCCTCCCCCGGGGCCGGCTAGCCCACTGTGCAGTCACTCGGTTCGGTTGGTAAGGGGACTCCATTACTGCCCTCGGGTTAGGTTACAGATTGTATCATATGCTGGTTCAAGAAGTTGCTGGGGGGCACACTTGGCGCATTTACAGCTGGTTTGACCCTAACCCTTCCGCGCGGTATAAATTCCCGTACATCGTCGGATATCTCCCCAGTTTTGAATTGTATGATCAGCACTGTTGGACGAGAGGAAACTGCGCGGTTCAGATATGACCATCTTGCATCTACTCACGAGATCTTCGGGTATCGTGGGGCAGTAGGTGTAGGCCAGTGTCCTCCTTGTGGATTTCCTTTCGGCGCGGTCTAGTTGGCTTGGATTTTATTATGTCTTATTTTTGGAACTCGGGTTGCGCGCGACCCATCTTTTTTTTTTTTTTCATCACAATCTTCATTCAATTGAGGACGTGGAGAAGAATGCACTTGATTACACTTACTCATTACTTATTCATTTTGCTCGGTCGCGTCTACATCTATTCTTGCGACGCGATTTCGACGACTACCTACCGGTGAGTATTGTTTACATTTGCAGGATATTATTTTGCTAAATAACCAGGTCCTAGGTTGGTATACTAACAAAGTTGACCCTCATCATGCACGTTTTATCGAGGTCGCCAAGCAAATTTAGTTCCCGCTGACGTTCCACAATTCTCCGAATCTAGTTCCCGGTTCCTTGACTAGCAGCGCAGGGTTACCCTCCTCGGCAATCTCGCCCTTCTCCATGACAACGACGCGATTGTAATCCATAATCATATCTAAGCGATGACTTACTGCGACAACCGTATACTCCTTAAACTCGACGCGAATCACTTCCTGCATCGTCTTCTCTGTCTCCCGATCGACGCTTGAGCTGACCTCGTCAAGAAGTAGAACCCCGCCCTCGGATCCGCCCCCACCGAACCCGAGGCTACGCGCACGAATGCGTCTGCGAAGAACCGCTCGGGCAAGAGAGAATAGCTGTCGCTGGCCTTGACTAAAGTTACTTACCGACATGCCCTCCTCGAGGCCACCTTTATCACGGATGAAGTTCCAGAGACCCACCGCTTCGAGAACGGCCTGAGCATCTGCGGTGGTGGAGACATTAAAAGGGTCGAGATTTTCTTGGAATGTCGATCCATCCGGGAGGAAGACGACATCCTGAGGTATGGCGATAATACGTTGGCGAAGTGTGGCGCGATCTATACGATTGAGTGGCGTATTGTCAATGTCAACACCATCGCATGTCTCCTTGATCGGATCGAGAAGTTTGAGTAGAAGGGCAACTAGGGACGATTTCCCACTTCCGGTACGTCCACAAATTGCCACTTTCTCCCCGGGGCGTATTTTAAGTTTAATATTTTTCAAGGCTAAGGTCGGCATCTCGGTTTCGACCTCGTTGCTGTACAGTTCGTCAGTTCTCAATTCAATAGAGAAGAAGAAGATCGTTCATACTCGTAACTAGCTGACACACCGTTTAGCACAATCTCACCCCGTTGTGGCCATTCCTCCGGTGGTATGATATCTTCTTCGTCCTTGACCTCCGTTTCCGCAGTTTTATCGAAAGCTTTGAGCCGGCTGATAGCACCGAGGGAAGTCTCGAGAGCCGTGTAATAAATGACTACGCCAGATAGCATTTCCCCGAATGACATCAGCGTTACCAAGGACGCGCCGGTGAACCCGGAGTTGGAACGGAGTCGGACGGCGAGCGAGGTGAGCATGACAGCGAGAATAGCGACGACAACATTAAGAACAAAGTTCAGCCATCTTTAATCTGGTGTTAGTTTCTTATAGATAGGTGGCGACAGTGGATCAATGGATGAACTGGTGAGTTGACACACGACTAGCGCACACCAGTGGTGAAAGCATTGAATATTAAGAAAACTTACTGCTGGACCATAGTCAGAAGATACGCAGGTCGCTGCGATGTATCCAAGAGGAAGACGTTCTTTGCACGATCCTCGCCGATGAACCCAAAGGCGCGAAGTGTCACGATGCCCTTCGAAGTGTCAAGGAAATGAGTGCTACACGGTGTTAGCGAAGCTGGCTATTGAATAGTGACGAGTATAATGCTGAGATTAAGCAACTTCGACTAGAAATATAGCCTGACCCTTCAGTAGGAAATGTGCCACTGGTATTTAACTTACTATAGCGGGCTCTTCGCTTCTAAGTCTAACAACCTCAACTGCCTTGAAGTTCGAAGATAAAACTTCTGAACTACATATAACATACCAAACAGGAATGGATAACTGATTGCTAGGTATGGCGATGATGAAGCGATGACGGCAGCCTGACCTATGCCAACGAATACCGTATATATAACATTTGTGAGGGCGCTAGGGAGCTCGTTATCGATGAGGCTTAGATCCTGAGAAAATAGGTTCGTGATGATGCCTTGATCAGTAGTGGTAAATAACTTGAGAGGGGCGTGTATAAGGGTTCGTAGGGCGTGGTGATGGAGGGAGACCCCGGATCGAGTAATCACATTTATGTAGAGTAAAGTGCCAAGACATAATAGTGATACGATGGCGCAAACTCCGAGTAGAGCGTAGATCCCTGCATAGTATCCGAATGAGTGCGAGGGATTGGTAGCAATGGCATCAGCTGACCAGTATGTGAGCCATATTGTCGGGAAATTGTAGAAGAAGCCGAAAAGAACCCCGAAAATGAATAATGCAACGGCGAGCATTGTTCCCATGCTTTTCACGTACACCATATATACTGATGTATCACCACTAAGTCGCGCTTCGTCGTTTCCTCCCAGTTCGGGAGTTTCCGTGTGTATTCGATCTAATAAGTTTTGTTGAGGTTCAATAGTGTCGTCAGACTCAATAATTTCGCTGGAAGCATGGCTGGTCGATGAGGGCTTGACGCCAAGACTATGGATATAGCTTTGATTAGCAAGGAGATCGCCGAAGGTCCCTTGCTCGACAACGGTACCATCTGTGCTTAGAGCGATAACGTGCGCGGCGGACGGAAGATGGCGAACGGAATGTGTGCATAAGACGGCCGTGGCTTGTCGTCGTTTCAGTATTCCATTTACCCCAAACACACGTTGAAAAACTTGGTCTTCAGTATCCGCATCTAAACCGCTGAAAATATCGTCCATTATCAAAAGGTCAGACTGTAAGTAAAGACATCTTGCTAGTGAGACACGTTGCTTCTGTCCTCCGGAAAGAGTTATGCCGTTGCTTCCAATATTAGTCCTATCTGCCTGTGGCAATGTTTCGAAGTCAGTATTAAGTAGGGTTACGTCAAGAACTTCGGCATAACGTTGCGCATCAAATGGCGAATAACCTATGATGTTATCTCTGATACTGCCGTTCGATAGGAATGGTGTTTGATCGCAATATCCAACACGTGAAAGCTTGGTAGCCATTGCTACTGTTCCTTGATTATGAGGTATCTCCCCCAGGAGCGTTCTACACAGTGTCGACTTCCCTGACGCAATCGGTCCAACAACCATCGTAAGAGAACCTCTAGGGATTTCGATATCGAGATTTTTTAGGACCATATTGTTAATCTTCCAACCGAAACTGCCGTTCTTTATCGTGACTACCGGAGACTTGTCAGATTGATCAAGGGGTGTCTTTTCCGTGTCCCTTATCGACCCAGCAGTAAAGACGCGGTAATCGTCACGTTCCTCACTCTTTAAGTATTTCTCTATACGGCTTAGGCAAGCGACTGCTGCGGCCATCAGAGGTAATGTTTCCAGTAAGTTTTTAAGGGGGTTTGACATGAGTAATAGGTAAGATAACGAAGTGAACAATTTTGTAGCATCCATGCTTCGTTGAGCCACCCCGAAGGTTATCGCTGGGGATAGGAGGAGTGGTATATAAGCAAAGACTGCGGACATCAAAATTAGCGATCGGAAATTTGACCCTGCTCGTAACTCGTCTACTCGAAGATTTTCGATGAAGCGGGCGATGGGATTCGTGAGGCCAGAGATCTTTATATTTTTCATGTTGCCGATAACACCAGAGGTAAGCCCCACACGCTTCTGAACACCGACCATCCATCTTTTTTGCGATTCGTCCATGAATCTCATGAAGGAAGATGTACCGATAACGCATACTAAAACAACCACTATGGGCGCTACAAAAGCAGCGCCGAGCAAGCCGTATAGTAACCAAGCAGCAAGAGTAACCTCAATTATATTTGACCACTAGGAGAGGAATTTGTTAGCAATGTATATTTATTTACTATGGTGAAGTTTTAGAGTGATCTCATTGGAAATTAAGACGAGGTAAGATTGAAGTTCGCATTCAACTGGCAATAGATGTGGAATTGATGTAGTACGGTAGAGGTAGGTAAAGGGATAACGAGAATGAAAATATAACGTACAAGCTCATGCATGAACTTAGACCCCCTCATTACACGTTCTATGTCAGCGCTCATCAATGTTAACGACGCGTTTTCGCCTTCATCCGCCGCACGAGCCTCTGTAGTCTTCATGTAGATAGCCGTTGCTAAACACGCGCGCATCATATATATCATCCTATGGTGGAAATACCAATACAATGATTGTGAAATAGCGATTGAGGAATAGATAAGGATGCTGGCGCCGATAAATCCATATCCGATGTTGGCAGGAACCGGTTCAGATTGTAGTAGTAATAGTAGTTGATATTAACGCCGGGGGACTGTTGCGTAATAGTTATCCTAAAGCCTTCTTAAAGGCATAATGAGCGTGCTAAGTTAAGGCTTATATTTTACGATAAAATATAAAAATTTTTAAAACTTATTTAGTAATTTATGTTCGAGGACGTGCGTCGTAGCGTTTTATGTTATATTTTTTTTTCTGTTATTTAAAGGTAGTTTTTAGTTTTTTGGTTTTTAAGGGTGTTCGTTTTGAGCGTTTTTAATTTTTATATTTAAATATTAACATTTTAATGCCGCGGTTTTTTTATAGCTTCGTTTTAGAAATTATTTTAATTTTTACGTAAAGCGTAATATAGGAAAAATAGTAGTGTTTTTAATTATATTAATTAGTAGAATTAAATTTTTATTAATTAAAATTTTTTTTTTTTTTATTTTTATTATATATTCGTAATTTATTTAACTTAATTTTTTTCGTAATGTTTTATTTTTTTTTATTTTATAATGTAAAAATGTAAATATTAATGTTTATTTTATTTTATACGTTAATAACGCGGGTATATGCGGTTATAATAATTAGTAATATATGTAAAAGTTTTAAAAACTTTTAAATTATTTATTAGTTTTATAAAATAAGTTAATTTTCCGTTATTTATAAAGTGTTATTTTAGTTTTAGGGGTTAATTATTATATAAAGCGTAAACTTTTTTATAATATATTAAGTGTTTAAAGGTTTTAAATTATTCGTAAGAATATTTTAACTTTATATTTTTATGTTTAAACTTTTTATAATATTATTTAAAGTTTTTATATTTTATATAAATTAATAAATAATGATATAATATAAGTTTAGAAAAAGTTTAAAAAAAAAAGTAATAATTTAATAAGTAGCTTAAATTTTAGCTTCGGTAACGTTTAAAAAGTTTTTTTTTTACGATGTTTTATTACGTTTTTAGGGTAATTTTTTTTGCTTTTATTATACGCGATTTCGCTTTATACGTAATGGAGATATAATTTTTATTTAATTTCGGTAATTTAAAGCTTTATTTAATTAATTTATTCGTTAATTCGTTTTTTTTAATATTATAATGTTTTAAGTATTATTTAACCGTTATATTATAAATGGTAATAATTTAATAAAACTTTCGATAAGTTTATTAAAAAAAAATTATTAAGTTATTTTTTAATTTTTATATAATTTTAATATTATTTAAATATATTTAAATTTTATTATATGTTAAGTACGGTAAATTTTAAATTAAATTTTAAAAACTTTTTTATATTTTTACGATTTTCGTATTGAAATTTATTAAATAAAAGTTTAATTTTTTTTTTTTTTATTATAGTAATTTTTTATTTTAATAAATAATAAAACCGTAACCGATTTTCGTTTTATTTTATAATTTATTAAAAAAAATTATAACATTATTTTCCGGTAAAGCGTTATATTAAGCTTAAAAAACTTTAACGGCTTTTTTTTTCGACTTTTTTTTCGTAAGGTTTATTTTAAAATTTAATATATATTTCGGTGTTTGTAAAATAAAACGTTAAATTAATTATATAAACGTAATAATTTTTTATATTTTAATTTTAAGCCGTTATAATTTTCCGGTTTTTTTTTTTTTTAAAATAAGCTTTAATTTAATTCGTTTAATAAAAAGGTAATTTTTATTTACCGTTTTTAATTTAAAAATAAATTTTTTATATATTATTTTTAAAGTAAATTTTATAATAAATATTTTCGCGTTTTTATAAAACGTATTAATTAACGTAATGCGTTATATTGGTAACGTTATTTTAATTATTATAATAAAGGTTTTTTATATTTCGGTAATATGTTACTTTATTTAAGCGTTAATTTCGTTTTTTTTTATTTATATCGCGTTTTTAAAAGGTTTTATTTTTTCGTTATATTACGTTTTCGATTCGTAAAACGTTATTGAGATTACGTACGTAATAATCGTTTTTTAAAAATCGTTTAATAATGGTTTATATACCGTATTAATTAAGTTTCGAATATATTATATTAAAATTATAACTTTTTCGACGCGTTTCGTTACGTGTCGTTTAAAAGTAAATTTTCGATTAAATTAAACGCCGAATTATTATATTATTAACATTTTTTTATTTTTTTTCGGTTTTAATATAAGTTAAATAATTAAATATTTATTAATTATAACCGGTAAATTCCCGTTATTTTTACTTTTAATTAAATATATTAGTTCGCATTTTTTAAAAATAAAAAACATTTTATTAACGTTTTTTTAACGTTTAAATTATTTAATATTTATTTTTAATAATTTAACATTTTTTTATAAAATGTATAAAACACGATATAAGTAAATATTATTAACGTAATCGAATCGTAAGTTTTTATTTTAATTTAAAACTTTAGTTAAATATAATATATATAAAATCGAAAAAAAAGAAAAGTTTTATAAAGTATCGTATTTAATATATTTAAACTTTATAATTATTTTTTTTAATCGGATTTTAATTTTTTTATTAATAAAAAACTTATTAATTAATTTAAAGTAGTTTAAGGTTTAATTTTATCGTTTTATTCGTTTTAAAAGTTTTTATTTAAATAAAACGTTAAATGCTTTTTATACGTTTAAAATAATTATAAAAATTTTATATTTATTTTTTAAGGTATATTTTATTTCGTGTATAAATAAAGTTATTAAATTTATAATTAAATGTTTAAAAAAAACTTTATAATGTTAAAAGTTTATTACGTTATAAATTAATAAAATTTAAATAATTTTTTTCGTTAAAAGTTTTTTAAATTTTTTATTAAGGTAGGAAAATAACGTTATAAAACGTTATAAACGAAGGTTTAATTTATTTTTTTTATTAATTTTAAGAATTATTATAATTTTTATTTAATGTCATTACGTAAGGAAATAAGTTTAACGTAAAAATTAATGAAAAATGTTATAAATATAATGTTTAATAATTTCTTAAAAAATTTTTAAGATTTTAATAATAATTATATTTATACTTAGGAAAATGTTAAATATTTTAATAATATATTTTTTAACTTTTTTTAAAGTAATATTTTTTTTTTAAAGTAGTTTTTGTTTCGAAAACTTTTAGTTTTTTAAAAAGTTATATTTTAAGTTATCGTTATTATTAAAACGTTCGAAGATTATTTTACGTAACGTTTCGGTTTTTTTTTCGTTATTTTCGATTTTTTTTTTATTAATTTTTAACGAAAAAAAAAAAAGTTTTATATTTAAGTTTTTTTATTTTATAAGTTTATATAGTTTTTTATTAGTATAAATTTGGTCGATAATTTCGTTTTAATATTTTTTACGAACTTTTTTTAAAATTAAATAAAAATATCGATATTTTTTCGAAATAATGAAATTTTTAGGTGGTTTATAGCGTTTAAATTTCATGTATATTTTATATATTTAAGTAATTTTTTCGTTTTATTAATTAGTTTATTTACCGAAGTTTTTTTATGGTTTTTTAACCGTTTTAATTATTTTTTTATAAATTTTAATGATTTTATTTACGTAAATATTTAATTTATAAGTTAAGTTTACTTTTTAAACGTCCGGTAAAGTAGTTATTTTAACGTTTATTAACTTTATAAGTTTTTTAAAATCGTTATTAGTTATTTTTAAGTTATATCGTTTCGGTAGTTTTAAATATTTACCCGAGATTATAATAATTTATATATAATAATCCGAATTATATTTAAGTTTTAAATTAACGATAATATTAGTAAAAAATATATTAAAAAAAATTAAGTTTATTATCGATTCGTATTTATAAATAATTTTTTCGGGTTTTTCGGTATAAGTTATTTTATTATTAATTATTTATTTTATAACGTTACGATTTTTATTCGCATTAATTTTATTAAGTTTAAAATTAAAATATTAAATATTAAAATTTTTTTTTATTAAGTAATTAACGAAAGGTTTTAAATTAATAACGTAATTAATTATAAAGTTTATTTTAAATTATTTATAAACGTTTAATATAATATAATTATTAACGTTTATTTATATTATATTTTTAATAAATATAAAGCGTTTAAGTTATATATTTAACCGATTTTTTTTTAAAGTATATATTATTATTTTAAAATAATTAGTTTTATAATTTTAAGTGTTAATTAAAATGTATTTATTATATTTAAAGTATAAAATTATTTTAATATTTTTTTTATATTATAGTTTTTAAATATATAAAATATTAATTTTTTTAACGAAATAAAGTTTTAAAAAAGCTTTATAAAAGATAACGGAATGCGTTACGTTATATTATATTATTTTTAGATTTTTAATGGGTTTTTTTTTTTTAATTTTACGACGGTTTTTTTATTTGCCGTTTTTTCGAGCTTTTTCGTGTTTTAGTATTAATTTAAAGTAAGAAAAGGTTTGTTTTAGTTTGTTTTAATAATTATAATAGTTAAGCGAGTTAAATGTGTTAATTTTATAATGGAAAGGGCCGAAGTAACGGCTTTTATGTTTATATTTTTACTACCGTTAATTTATAAAACGTTATTAAAAGTTATTCCCGTGAAGAAAGTTTCGGTTTTTTTAATAAATTTAGTAGTTTTATTTTTCGAACGTAAGTTATTTAGTTAATTTATGTTGCGATTTCGTTTTTTATCCGTTCGAGGTTTATTATTTTTATTATATTACGAAGTTATATTTTACGTTTTAATAAGTTATAAATTTATTTTAAGGTAGTTTTATTATATTTCGAGTTAAGGGTTTTAACTTTTCGTATCGTTAAAGTTTTCCGGTTTTTTCCCTTCGGGTAAGGCGAATTTATTTTTATATTTTTTAGCTTTTATTTGTTAAATTTTTAAGAGTTTTTTCTTATTAAAACGAATTATGGTTTTTTTCGATTTTTTCGGCGTTATAAAATAGTTATTATGCCTCGTTAAAAACGGGTTATAATAATTAATATATTTAAATAATTTAACGTATAATTTAAATTTATATTTATTTAACTTATTTTTATAATAATTATAACGATATTAACGTTAATATTTTTATAAATTATAATAATTTTAATATTTAAAGTTATATTTTTCGATTATTTATTTTTTTTTAAATTATTTTAAAATGTCGTTAATGTTAAAAAACTTAAAAAAACGTATCGGTTTAAAGAAAAAAATAATTTAAGTGTTTTATTTAATTTCCGGGTTCGATTTATACCGGGACGGGCGGTAATTAATTAGTTATTTATTAATTTAAGTTTTAATTTTATTATAAATAACGATGAAAATATTAATATAAGTTTTTAATTTTATATAATTTAAAAAATTATAAAGTATATTAAAAATAATGTAATTATATTAAACTTTAAAGATTTTTATCGTTTTTACGTTAAAAACTTTTTTTAATTTACGTTTATTTTTTAGTTTTAACATTTATTATTTAAATTAAAATGTAAAAAATTTAATCGTTTATTTTATATTAATAAGGTTTATATTAAAAATTTCCGAAAATTAGAGTTTTTTTTTTTTAAATTTTTTATATAATGCGGTGCGTAACGTAAACGGTTATTTACGTTAATTTTTTTAATTTTTAAATAAGCGGATAAATAGCCGAATATTTTTTTTGTTCGTTACGAAAGTTTCGGAAATTATAAAGTTAAAGTAAATAAGGGATTTTTTAATATTTATACCGTTTTTAAAGTTAAAATTAAAGTTATTTATAAGCTTTATTTTAATTACGTTTATTTATAATATTTATTTAGTTATAATAAATTTAAAAAGTTTTAAAAATAAGGTATAATATAAGTTTTTAATTTATATAAATACGTATAATATTTCGTTAAAAGTTAAAAATATTATTATATTTAAATAATTTATTAATATTTTCATAAATGATTTCGTTTAAAACTTATATTTAATTTAATGGTTTTTTTTATACGATTTAATAAATAAGTTTAAGTTTTTAACGAGGTTATTAAAAACTTATTTATTTATACGGGTTAGCCGTTTTATTTCGTTAAGTTAAAGAAATATAACCGTTAAAATAACGTTTAATTTTAATTATAAAGCATTTTTTTTAATAAGGTTAATAACGGGAAAAATTTAAACGTTAATGGGTTTTCGTTTTTTATTTTACTTCGTAAGGTTCGTAAAAATGTTAAACTTAATTAAACGAGTATATTAAATATTATCGTTAACGATTTAATATTATTATAAGATAATGTTGGTTTTTATTTTCGTAAAAAATTATTTTCTTTATATAAAAAGAACAGTTATCTCGAAAATGGGGGCCTAAAGTTTTAATATTTAAATGTGGCGGGGTTACCACTGTTAAAAAAACGAATATATTTCACGCTTTTATATTAATAGCTGTAAATGTACGAATATAAAATAGAAGGAAAGGTGCCGGTTCAGATTGTAACAAGCGGCTAGTGAGATTGTTTATGAATAGAGGCTGGCAGAAAAAGAACCTAATTGTCGCAAGCTTCGCTGGAATTGGAAGTATCATAGGGAGAAATAGAGTTTTAACCAAGACTTTCATGAGTCCGATTTCATGACCGTTACGTTTGGCTTTATTGATATGATGCGAGAAGCGTTCAGAGAGACGCTTGGCAGCCACATTTTGGTCTAGAGGATACAGGTCGCGTATTCCTAAGGCCTTATGATACCCTTCAAGGAAGAGTTTATTGAGCCAGAAGTAAACACCTAGAGTGTATATACCGCTGGTTTCTTCGGGGCTGTGGTCTTTTGAGTTCCAGGCAATCCATCTTGCTTTTCGCCGGGCCTCAAGCAAGAGCATGGCGACTTTCATAGCTAGTGCGGCCGTAAAGATAGCGGTGAAGGCAATTTCTGGTCGAGTTGAGGAAGCCAACCAATAAGTTCGAGCCTGTGCAATATCGAATAGAAGTGTAAAGAAGAGATAGGCGCTCAAGAAGATAGAAGGTCTTGGTGACTTGCTATGATCAAAGTAAGAGAGACCAATCATGCAGAGAGCTGCAGCAAGGCGAAGCACGGAGGAGATAATATCAACATTGCTAGCGCCAAAAGGGAGCACGGTGATCAAGATAAGTTGTGAAAGCTCAAGAGAGGCATACGACACGAGAGCACCCTAAGAAGTCAATGAGCGGGAACGCGAACAGGTATTAATCGGTTATATTGAGCACTCACAAGCTTGGCTAGCCGTAGCAACGGTGCACCTACGATAGTAGGCTTTCGTATGAGATAGGCAATCCGCCATGGCGACGAGAGGATGAAAATGGCCGCAGGAGCAAGTGAGAAGAACAACTGCTCAAATCTAACTGTGAAGTCAAAGTCACCTCGACAGCCCAGGACATTAGGTCCCAAAGATTGGTCATTAGCATCTGCGCATACAGAAAACAACATCCTGTTCCTCTACTCTAAGCCTGCTCACTCAAACAAGCCTATAACATTGAACAGAAAGCAATCTTTTGATTGTCACAAATCCGACATCCCACATGTGTTATTACATGGCGACCTAAATAGTTAAAAGCTATGGATCTCTACCAGGTCTATGACCAACCGAAAATGGCACAATTCCGAATACCGTATCGCACGCCATAACGACTGGCCAAGATAGACTAGCTTCATACGTAGTATGTATTAATGCAGATAGATAGGAAGAGAGGTGGTTTTGCTCTGTATCAGTTCGGTATAGCAAAGTCGAAGTCGAATTCTTGAATGGATTCAATTGAAATTGAGTCTAACACTAGCTCATAGTTCGTAGGGCTGAGTTTATGGAGAACTCGTCTTGACTTCATCGGGAGAAGTGAGTAATTTTAGAAATCGTTCGCGTTCGTCTTGGGGTGTCTGGAAAGAAAGTATTGAGCTACTACCTTATCGATACGGGCGGGATACGAATGCGATCTCGGAATACGAATTAGCGGGTCTGGTGCGACGTACGTACCTCCTTACATGTGGGATTTCCTAGAACGTGGACAAGATTCGAACTTGGAACGGCAGCGGCAGAGCTGGCTGAAGCAAGTACTAGGTATCAATTGAGGATGCAGCGGCCGCGTCTTCTACCACGTAAGGCGATATGCCTGCGTTCGGCTAGCTATCTCGGTACGACCCATAGCGCAATGCCTAATTTAAATCAATTAGGTACCGTACAACCCTCGAGAAATAGTTGTTGTTGTTGAAACCCTTTCTCGGCTGCATATCCTCAATCCAAGGTCATGGAGAACGGGGTTATACAAGATGTCCGCATGGACAAACAGACCCGTCTTCCTATTCTCCAACAAATCTCCTTTGGTGTCACTGTCTATTCCATTCAAATATTGAACACGATCGTCCATTGGTACAGAGAACGGACCACTCCTTCCAAGTTCACCCCGAACATCATTAAATATTACCAATGCCGACCATCATTGTCTGTTAGGTATGAACAATCGCGAAGAGCTTCATTCGGCGACTTTTCCACTAGTCGAGTAACCAAATCTGACAGAAAATCCACATAGAATATTCTTTCCCAAGTCGTATGATCCGAATACCTCTCAGGCACCTCTTCCCACTTTATTCAGCATTCATGGAGGGGGTTTCTGCTTCGGCGATCCAAGCAACGACGACAAATGGAATTCGAACTTCGCTAGCATGCACAATGTGCTAGTTATCTCCCTCAATTACCGCAAAGCCCCTTCTTATCCTTTTCCGACTGCTACCTATGACCTCGGGGCCCTAATGCTAGCTACGTTCGACGACGAGAGCCTTCCGATAGACAAGAGTCGTATAGCCGTTGGCGGATTCTCAGCAGGCGGGAGCTTGACGCTCAGCGTATGCCAATTACCCTCGATCCGGGAGAAAGTGAAGCCCAAGGCTGCGATACCTATATATGCTGTAGTAGATAAGAGTATACCAATGGAGATCAAGACGCAGACGCGATACTACAAGCCCGACCTAGGCTCCGGTATGCGAGCCGAATCCACTGACTACTTAGAGGCAATGTCTCCCATGTTTTTCTGGAGCTACATCAACCCGGGGACCGACCTCAAAGACCCACTGCTTTCGCCGTATTTCGCCCCTCGCGATACCCTACCCCCGCACATCTTCTTCATCTCCGCAGAGTTAGATCAACTGGTACACGAATCCTGGTGTATGGCGAGCAAGATAGCGGGACGACCAGAACCCACATTCTCAGAAAGAGCGGGTCGAGAGAAGCGATCTGCTGGGAAAGGAGAGCTCATTTTGGACGACGAGAGGTTCGCATTTGAGCATAAAGACGAGGACGGGAAGAGTAGCGTGCGGTGGTTACTAGTACCAGACCAGATCCACGGGTTTGATAAATTGCCGGAGAAGTGGCAGGGCGAAGAGGGCTTTGAGGATGCAGGGTTGAAGGAGACGGCTTATCAGAAACTCGCGGGGGAGTGGTTATATGACGTCGCATGGAAATAAATAGAGAGCACTGAGTAAGTCAGGTCTTACATTCCTGCATTCCGAATTCCAATCGAAATAGATATTAGAGTATCCACCCTTAAACCCTATTTTCTTCAACTCTTAAAGTTCCGCTAATGTACCATCCATCCGCCTAACTTTGCTGTTGGTAGAACCAGACGGTCGGGTTTCTGCAGGTGCTCCTACGTCACTCCTTACCCTTTTCTCATAACATTGAAACCTAAAAGCTTAACACTCCATTGATATTCGCATTTCTACTTCGGGAACTACGTGTGATGGAGTGCTAAGGGCTACATTGTCTCAGCCCTATGAAAAATGGTATGCATATCCTATCCCATTTCCCCAAGAACTGTTGTCATCGTGTCATTATGCCGCTTACTATCATCCTCAAGTTTCCTAATGCATCCATCATATCTACCTATAATGATTGGCAATTCGAGATTACCAACCTACTGTCGGAATACTACCAACTAAAGCATAAGCGCTGCATTATGGCGTAGTATCCGGTGCTAAGTGCATCCGGACCTTAACGCCGTCCCCCGGCATGAGCACTGTCATCCACGAGCGTTTCGCATTATTGCTTCCCGGGGACGGCTCCATTTTGTCAAAATGCATGACGAACCTGGCGACAGCGTATGATACTTGTGTAATCGAGTAACCCTCTGTATGGATAGAATTAGCTTAACACCCAAACGAAGAAACATGTTAGGTCTGAAAGTCTACTTACGGCCAACACAGACTTGAGGTCCACCGCTGAATGGTGTGAAATCCCATCCCTTTCTCCTGCCTCTCCATCGCTCGGGGCGGTATTCGTCGGCATCCTCTCCCCATAGGTCTTTTCTTCGGTGGGTATAGTAAGTTCCGAGCTGCACTCTAGCTCCTTTCCGAACCGCCACGGGACCCTTGCCATCCGGACCGCCCCCCACGGGAAGGACAGTATCCCTAATAGCCTCTCGGACATTGATAGGTCCGGCGGGGAAGAGCCTTAGAGTCTCCTGGATAACCCACTGAAGATACTCGCAGCTCTTCAATGTCTCCAACGTGAATATCTCCCGTCTATTTGTTTCAGTGCCGAATTGTTCGATAACTGCTTTCCGGAGTTTCTGGTATATATCCGGGTGTGCCCCAAGCATGCTAAATGTCCACCCTAAGGCACCAGTAGACGTATCCATCCCTGCGACGAGAAGGTGCATTACTTGGTTCACCATATCGCTCTGCGAGGCTCCCTGCGCCACCATCTCTTCAATCATATTCGAATGCATCCCGTCTTCCTTTTCCTCCTGTGTCCGTGCAGCAGCACGTTCTCGGATATCGGTTATATACGCATCAACCATAACATACAGTTCTCGGCAAACTCGTCTGAACGCTAACCCGTCGTATACCCAGTACATTTTCGATAGCTTTATTCGATGTCCCACGTAACTAGCCGCCTCTAGGAATTTATCGTCGAATCCGTCTAGGAGCGACTTGACATACATTTCGGCGGGTATCTTCCCGGCGCGGACTAATGCTGCTGTCTGCGTCTCCGCCGAAATACCGAAGAGAAACTGCGTCGCTGTATCCATCGTTAGACGATAAAGATGGTCCTGCGATTTTGTTAACATCCCACATAGAATCATGCAGACCAATACTAGTTACCAAAAGGTCCACATCGTCTGTCCAACCGTCCGCTTTCGGTTTTCCCAGGGCGGTAAACACAAGCTCCATATGCCTCTCGCTATCAGCAACATTCTGATCGAATCTTCTGCGCGTAAATTGGGGCTTGATCATGGCCCGCCAGTGGGCCCATATCGGTCTAAGAGACACCAGTCAGTAATTTCCAGGACTCAGTTATGTGGAATTCGTATATGTCTTATGTTGACATACCCATCCGTCGTGAAAAGCCCAGGCAGAAGCAAAGGCCGGGCCGCTAGAGACCTAAATTCCGGACGTTTGTAATCGTCGAAACAGGTTGCCAACACTGCTTTGATGTTCTCGGGTTCCACTGTGTTGATTCCCTTCTGCGTTCCTAGTACAGGAGAGACGATGGCGTGGGTATTGCCGTGTTTAGCGTATTTGCGCTGGAAATGCCCTTCAAATAGGTCGCCGGCTACGGAAGCCTTGTATACCTCGTACTTACGCCCGACGCTCCAGGGCAAAGGGAACGGATTCGCTGCTATGGGAACCGGCAGACATCCGCTGGCTTTGGCGAAGCGGCCGAAGTTGTAGTTGCGTAGAAGTGTCCTCGCTATCCTGTCGGCGATGATTAGCACTATGGCAAAAAGACACCATCTTCCTGCTCGCGGCCATGTCTCGTCTATTATGCAGTCGAAAATATACGAGTTGGTGGCGGGCGGTGGGAAATCTAGAACAGAGGAATTCATGTTCAGCTTGATACACCGAGCTCGCTGCTTTGAGGGCCGATCAAACACTTACAAGTCCCGAGTATCTTCACATGGAAGAGATGACACCGCTATATATGCGGCTATAGTAAAATATCTTATCTTGAATGGTGGATGTATTATCTGGTCTACGTAGCTGGACCGTCGAAGACCTGCATATACTAAGTCTCAGCCCATCGGATAACCACTCCAATGGTGATCTATCTACATACGGACCCTGCAGGAAACCGCGATATTCTCAGCCCATCTAGATCTTGGTATTGCGCTGGAAGTCCTTAAAACCCACCCTTACCTCCCCCAACAGCGATATCTCCATCCCTCATTGGACAGCACGGATCTTTTGAACGCTCCCCGATAGATACGCAGCCCTCAGGCACCGAGTACTCTGAACCGTCTCTCCGGGATGTACTAATTTGGTTTATCTGCTCTTCGACTGGCCAGCTTGGGACTTTGTAAGAAGACTACTTCGAAGCAAGGGGAGCTAAAATAGACTTCTAATCCTTAGCCATCGCATTCGCCCCACATGCGAGATCTAGGCGCAGCCCTACAGCACGCATGTCGTCTAGGATTATACGTAGGAGGAAACTATGCTGACTGTGCTAGGCAGGATATGGAAGCGTCGGTACCGTATACTGGGTATCTTGGATGTTCTTGGCTTGTCTTCCACGTGGCGAATTAGTCAGATTCACGTTATTTAAGTAGGTATTATGTATAGATGCTATGAGATAATCTGCGATATATCGTAGCGTTATCCAGGTTGCGCCAAGTTTTGTTCGGTGTATCCAATGTATAATCTGGTTCCCGCTTTCGCTGTCAATGAGCGGCTAGTGTCATTCGAATCCGTGGATGCAAGTAATACCCGCTCACCCACATAAGCGGATAGGCCTAGACAGAGGTATCCTTTCGATACTACGGAATGGTTGAATATGTCGGATACAGGTGTTGCGCTAGAGCTAAGAAGATTATTGATAGGTAATAAGTCCTATGAACGAACCACTTAGTCGATTCCGTAGGTGGTGGATGTGGCGTCTACTGATGAGACCTTGCTGAAGATAGAGTGGCATATCTCCCCTAGAAGTTATTAGCTATAGTATTGTTTTTCCTCTTGATCAGGTATTTTTTCAAATTCTTTAATGCCTTCCGTCTCGTGACGCGATTTAGTATTCCCCCTACAGATTCTGATTCCGACGAATCCGAATCATAGGTCCACGTTATTATCTTTGCACTACGATCGTCGGTCTCAGACGCCGAGTCTGCAGGACTATCTTTCTCCTCCTTATCGTCATCCGAGTCCGATGTATCAGCTCTCTCGTCCTTTACAGACCTCAATTTATGGATTTCTTGGCGTTGACTCTGTATATGTGAGAAAGTGTTCTCGTATCCATTGTGTATGGGTAGGTGGATGCTTACACTGGTGAGTGATTTTGGCAACGCGAAACAGTACCAACGTTCATGGGCAGTCTATAAAAGTAGGTTTAGTGACATATCTTAGATACTAGGGATATATGACCGCACCGTATTGCACACGATATCGATATCCGGAAACCATTCTGAGAGAAGGGCCTCGAGTTTTGACAGATCAAGCTGATATGAAGAAATCCGCTCCCAAACCAGTGATGAATCTATTATGATTTGTCGTGGCCCCAAGCTCACTGTGCTTGGTTTCGGCCGATATTCTGTGACATCGAGAGTCGAATTGACCTTATTGTCTTCCTCTGGAAAATGCAATTCTGCATCATCCGGTCTTTCGGCGTGTGCGAAGCGTTCGGTATACAGTTTTGCGGCTTCGCAATAGGCTTCATAGTCTGTGAGATATTTCTCTGCGATTTCGGGTACAAGTGGATCGTCGATATTGGGACTTGCTAGTAGGCCGCACAGGGCAACGAGGAGAGACCCCAGAGAATAGTGGTTGGTGATGTGTTCGGAGAACCAAGGAAGGGCTCGCTGGTTCGTTGCGCCGCTGGCGTCATTCAGAAGACTGGCGTCCCGCCACCAAGTAGCGTAATCGGCGCAGACCTTCCCCTGCGGATCGATGTTCGGATGGTATATTTTTGTGTGAAATTTCAACATTGGGGGTTTCGACTCGGTAATCTTGACTGTCACCCAAAATGTACCCCCTTCAAACGGTGTTCCTGGTGGCCCTTCAATGCTAGCGACTATTCTGTCCAACGTATCTCCCATTGGTGCAGCACTAATAAAGGGGATATTAGCCCGGCGAATATTGCGTAACTCGAGAAACATGCGACGGGCGAGTGGGATGCCTTCGTGGGCTCGAGCAATTAGCTTTGCGCAGTTATCGCGATAGACTTGATTATCATGGTCTCTGTTGTTTTCAAGAGCTTGGCCGTATTCAAGATCCTTTGTAGAAAATGCCAATTTCATCGTGGGATCTGTCGTTTTACCATTCATGAGTGCTGCCATCCACCTCTGATTTTGAGGCACATCTAGGGTGATATTTTGAGTTGCCGTCGTTTCAGGGGGGGGACTAGTCCCAGTGTTGATTCCTTCACCACTTCGAATTGTGGCTCGACCATGCGGCTGTGATGCTTCTGCAGCTTGTGCTTTCGACAACATAGTTTTTAGATGATCGTATCTGCCAACTTGTGACTGTTCTGTCCTTGCGGTATGATAAGATCGTGAACTCGATGTTACGTATGTTAACCTGGTACTAGCTGTATCCGAAATTGCCCGGATAGCTGGAGGCGCCGAGGCCGACGATCCGACTAATTGTAGAAGCCTTAAACTGCTGGCGTCGGAGAGAGATTCGATCTCGTCTATTAAGATCGACTGTTGTTGAGCCGATATACCAAGTGCGCTAGTAATACTTTCCAGTGCGTCAACCAACTCACGAATATTGGTTACTAAGCGCTCAAATTTCTCGTAGTCATGTATTGACCAACGAGTGACTTGCCATACGGACGCATCCTTTTGGTTCTTTTTTATCCTCGCTTTGAACCGTTCATACGAGTCGCGAAAGATTGACATACCCTTCGAATTAGAGCCGGCCCATATCTCCGAACACTCGGCAGCTCTCTCTTGTTCTTCAGAGGCATATCTACCTGTAATAGTATCTGCCTTGGATAATAAGTTTTTGAGTTGGTAAAGAGTCGTCTCGATATACGGTCGAATATCGGGTCTGTCCAGAGCGCGGTTATATGGCCTCGGGGTTCTTGCGCCAGGGGGTGGGGCAAGCCCAAGTGTTTCTCCCCATATTACCAGTCGAATCTGATGTAATGCGAGCTAATGGATGTTGTTAATTGTCAGTATTGTCATTACCATCATTGAAAAGAAATAGGTAGGTATGTACCAGAGTACAAAGTTGCTCGAACTCTTCGCTGAATTCTCTCGCACGAACTACGATGTTGAAGTTCTCGATGCAAGATGTGAAGAGTCCAGCAATCCCCAGAACGCCAACCGCTAACCCTGCGACCTCCATATAACTGAACTGTTGATCTGGGTAACAATGGCAACAATATCCTATAAGGAGGTGGATATGACAAAGCAAGCTCTTTGTAATTATTTCATCACTAGGTAAATACGTAGTATTTGGGTATAAGACGTTAAATTAAGTTGAGAAGTTATCACATCTAAACCCTGGAATTCGACGAGGCTATAGCCATACCTAATAGAATACGCGCCTGTTGCACTGCCTCGGTGGTATGCCTCGCTCCGAGGGCTGACAGCTGTCACATCACACAGCCTCCACAAAATCAATATTTTCGCTCCTAATTAGCGGCCTCCCGGGGTGCCTCCCCCCTAAATAGGACAAGCTGAGGGGTACGCATCCCTGTATGACGTCTACCAACTGGCGCTACGCGAAACTCGAGCAGGACCAAGTTATCGTTTAAATTAAAGATGAATTCCTTAATTGAATCGTTTTATTGATATTAGTTGTTACCTTTCGTATATGAGTACGCGAAGCTCCTATTTTGAAGTTTTTAGGAACAATGAATACTTTACACCCCCTAAACTGACTTGCGACTTTTACCGATTCGGAGCGCCCTTCGCCATTCGAATCAGGCCTCCTCGGCGAAAGGGAGAATCTCAATGGCGTATCCTATACACCACGATAAAATCGACGGTAGGTAATTTCATACCTATCCAACACAGTCTAGGCAATATAGCAACCTATATATACGCGAGACATAGAAACAATGTCCAATCTAGCAATCCCCCACGTGCCCCTCCCCATACCGAGTCTCCCCCGAGCACAACCACCAAAGCCCCTGTCAGCGGATTTATCGCCCAGCAGCTCAGCGGAGCTGACGAGCAGCGGGCTTGGCGAATAGGACTCCGGCAACGCGCAACGTGCTCGCTCGCCGTGCCGGGGTAACCGGACGACGGCGCAACGCCCAGCATTTACGACCTCCCCAGTTCGGCATTTTCTTACCTATTTACATGTCCAATAGGTAGAGTATGGCGTCTTGGGGGAGGGTGGAGGGGACGCCGAAGAGCAGCCAGTGGCTGAATTCCCGCTCCTTCGCCTGCCGTATGCGTTATAGTCGCGCGTGGGTCCCGGTCTAGGATAGGAGCTAGAGTCAGGTACGCGTCGAATATAAGTATTGCGTCGTAGATGTCGTGTTTATTTACTGGATGGCTGGGCATGTAGAGTGTAATCATCCCATCTTTTAGCTTTGCGCAATGAGTAGACTCCTGGCCACCGTCTCCCTGGTTGCTGGCGCCATCGGCGCTACTTTACATCACCAGCCAGTTGCTGCCGCTGTCGCTGCGTCGTCCGCTGTGAATAAAACGACTTGCAATGGCGTAAATTATGAGTACGAGGAGCTGGCTGGCTACGGATACGTTGTTACGGATGCGAAGGACAAGTTCAACGACACCCTTGGAGGACTCGGTTCATCTATACATCTAGAGCGTGGCGCGTGGAAGAAGCTTTCTAATGGGAGCTATTCTGGCGTATTGTGGTCTTTACCTGACCGTGGTTGGTGAGCATATACTTTTAAAATTGATGGAAAGTTGTTTCGTGCAGGAAATGGCGCGTTGTATATAACTACAAAAAATATTGACGATAGGCATCAGGAATACCGAAGGAACTCTGAATTTCAACCCACGAGTCCACAAGTTCAACATCATTTTCACTCCGCAGCCTAACGCAACAGTGGCCAGCCCATCAGGTCCGAACTTGTACTTCGAGTATTTGGACACGATACTTTTCTCTGGACCCGATGGGACGCCTTGCACTGGATTGGATGCTGATGCGACGGGGCACGTCTCATACCCCGGATTCCCTGATCTTCCCATTGCTACTTACACTGGCGATGGCTTCGGCAATGATGGCCCAGGCGGTAAACGCATTCCGGTCGACGCAGAAGGGTTATATGTGAACGAAGACTCGAGCTTCTGGGTGTCTGATGAATATGGCCCTTATATCTGTATGCGTATCTACCCGGTCTTGAATGTGAGTAGGGAGTCTCCGCTGACGCTAGCATTTAGATTTGTTCGGTCCCGATGGGAAAATGCTGACAGCCATTCGCCCTAATGATGCGATTGTTCCCGTCCGTAACGATAACGTCTCGTTCTCGGCTGATAGCCCTCCACGTTATGTTGATAATGGGGAAGGTAATGACGTAGACCCGGCTGATCCCGATAGTGGTCGCGATAATAATCATGGTGAGCTAAGTGATTTTCCATATACGTGGGTCTGATATACAGTAGCAGTTAATGATTATGGCATTTAGGCTTCGAGGGTCTCACTGTTTCAGACGACGGCAAATCGCTGTGGGCACTCTTGCAGGCTGCGACTGTTCAAGATGGTGTAAGTGCGACTTCTTATGAAATCACGGCTATCGACTACTGCACCATCCCCAATAGACAACATTTGCATTAGCTAAAACTGATTCTAGGGCCTGGAAAAACAAACCATGCGATATACGCGTTTGGTCAAATATGATATTTCGAATCGACTTTCACCCGTTTACGAGGGGGAGTGGGTTGTGCCCCTCCCCTTGTACAACGACCCCACGGCAAAGCCATCGAAGAATCCAAAAGCTGCGGCACAGTCTGAGATACACGCTCTAGACAACGGCCAATTCTTTGTCCTGTCTAGAGATGGAGGTGCCGGGCACGGGGCTGACAGCTCACTTTCCGTTTATCGTCAAATCGACGTGTTCGATCTCTCTAACGCAACGGACATCAAGGCTGCTGGGGGTTATGACTGTGTTGGTTGCAATGTTGCCAAAGAGAAGAGTGGAGAGTTAAAGAAGAAGATCACTGCTGCGACGTATTGCAGCTTCCTAGACTTTAACGTCAATGAACAGCTGAACCGATTTGGTGTACATAACGGTGGTGATCAAGACCAATATTTGCTGGTAGGTCATCGGATCCCAATTGCCGTGCACTTGACTTGCACATCCGATCTGGAATATGATGCTAACTTAGCGTGCTCGGTGGATAGAATGAGAAGTGGGAATCCCTCGCAATGGTTCCTGTTGAGCCCAACAAGCCGAACGGAGGGTTTTACGTCTTCAGCCTTAGCGACAACGATTTCATTACCCAGAACGGATCCATGGGTGGTGGCAAGTTACCATATGCCGACAGTAGCGGCTATAATCTAGATAGCCAGGCTCTTGTATTTAAGATCCAGATCTCGACTTGAGATGATCTCGTACGGCTACTAGTCTTATTAGTAATACAATATTGACAACCCTACATAGTAGTGAAGCGTTGTCAGTTGACCTCGTGAGAAACGGCCAATGGATGCATTCGTTCACGAAAAGGAACGATAAGAGAAGAAGGGTTCTTCCTGGTTCAAGGATCCCTGACTACTACACTAGGTAGGCAACGTAAGGCTTTGGTTGGGCAGCAGGAATTACGGGGGAGCACGTGTTTATCAAGCATAAGCTAACGTTTGAATATTTGAATGTATGTGTAAGACGGTGCAAGAGATCTAGGCCCGTGAGGCGGCGAGGGAGGCCGGGAAGGTTGTAATTCTCAATAGGATTGAGTCGTGAGAAATAAAAAATGCGGAAGGGAAAATGGAGAAATGCCATCTCGATTTCCTAGGTGCACGGACCATATCACATGGATTTTCATGGCACTAGTAAGTACATAGTACCTGGTGTAACGAAGCATTGTACTAGCAGCACGGATAAGATTCCAGTTTGAACAGCGACGTCACTCTGCATGATAGATTGGATTATGAGATCTTGGAAGTTGAAGCTTTCATCAGGAAACGCGAAATGCTAGATCGCCTTTAGCTCCATCTCTTGATCGAAATTAAAAGAAGACATCATCGTCTATCTTATTTGATACGCGTATAGCCTAGCTTACTCACCAGGGAAAACCGGCAACTACCACATTGGCGGGGAGTCTTGTGACAGTCACCGCCTGTATGATGAATATGATGAACAGATTTCTGTTCGTGCTTCCTTGGGCAAGCTGAACATGGTTGACGTTTGCCAGATGTAACTTTAATGAATCTCACCGTCGCACGGGTTATAGCCTGCATCATATCAATAGGTAGACAATCGTCCAGACTTTCGATTTGACAACCCAAAAGCTGCCCAATTGCTAACTGCTAGGGCGTTCCAGGAAGCGCCGGGCCTCGGCCACCCATATGGGTACTGGGTAGGCAGGCTTTATAATTGCTTCCTGTTAGCGCGGTATTTGATGTTGGTAGACGAATAAAAATAGTAAATCATTAAAAGTGTTTCATATGAAATTTGATATGTCTGTTGGACGAGAGGCTGAAGTTGTTAATAACATTCTAGGGGTTTACTGAAGTAAAATACTGGATCATAGACTGACAGAATACTATTAAGCACTTTTCTGTGTAGGTAGGTACCTCCTTCTCTATGGTTGATCGCCCGATCAATCATAGTAGAATACCACTGACAGCTTCTAAATGTTTCCGGGATTAGACTGGAAATTATCTAGGTTAGATGTTTTACTAACAGACTTTCCATAGAAGAAGCTTCGTTTGCTTAGCCTCAGGTCCGAAGCTGTGAACGTCCTGGTTTCCTGGCTCCCTCCCGGGGATACCTTGTAGTGTGGGTCGTTGGGTACTTAGTGGCTGTACAATGTACAATACATGGCGCTAATAGGAAGACGAGCAAGCATCACCAGTTCACTGATGTAATGTCTTAAAAGAGCACTTGCTTGCCCCTCATACTTTCAAACTCAATTCCACGCTTGAACAACTTGTCATTTCCAAAATCGATTCCAACTGAAGTTCTTTTAAGCTTAAGGTTATCTGCCACCCGATTTATAGTCGGGGGTGTTTCCATACACTCGGCGACAAGCTTCTTTTTATATACACACATACACAAGCACAAACACCCTTCTACTGACCAGCTGCCGCAAACCGATCGTACAGGGTTGTTGTGCCGCTCGTGTTTTTTGGTCAGGTTTAACAGTCAGTCCTCGACGGGTAGTGTCGCATCAAGGTCACACGCAGCAAGTTGGTGTGCGTACTTAGGTGCAAATACCCGGAACGAAAACAAACTACGAAGTACTCGAACTTGCGTCGCCAAGTTGTATTCGACTTGTGCAGCTCGTAGCGTGGTGCAACTGTCAAGCCACTCACGAAAAGTTGCCCCGCCGCACTTTCCATAGCGATCGAAATAATACGTTGGGATTCCGGAAGTTGCGTACCCCCTCCTGTCGTCATAGCTCGAAACCGGTATCCACGCTAGCCCATCGCCTATCGCCCATCGTTCGTCGCCAGTCTCCCGGTAATTAACGTTATTATCGCTGAACGCTATTCTTCCATCTTTATCCCTCTCATCATATATTCACGATATCTCTAAATTTACTTTTTTGAAACATATATATATTATACCATTCTTAGAATGGCGCACATGCGGGTAGAAGATGATTTAGCTTATGGAGAGTCGTACGGCGAAAGGTGGGACAGAGATCGCTTCGTCGTTGAGAGAGACCGCAACCGACCAGGCCCAGAGCAGAGAGATCGCTTTGAGGAACATGACCGTTACTTCACTCGCGGTCCCAAAGGTCGGGTCCGTGAGACCTCAGTCGATGAAAGATTCGAGCGAAGACCATCGCGACCGTGGGACGATGAGCCTCCGCTTGAGAAAAGGTACTACGATGACCCGCCACGTTTCAGGCGCTCTCCACCTCCCGAGATAGAGCAACGTCTCGTCATAGATCGTGAGAGGGACCGCGAACGGGAACGTGAACGCGAGTTTCGTCATCCGTCACCTCCACGGAGACCGGGTCAATTGATCCGACGTCAGTCATCTCTAGACACATTTGACAGACGCCCACCGCCACGCTTTTTCGAAAGGGAGGAACCTGAGCCAATTATTCGCCGTGCAGACTACCGCCCCGAGCCACACAAGCCCATTCCCCTTCCGCGATCCAGAGCATTACCTCCCCCGAGAATATACGCAGAACGCGACCTTGAGCGTGACTTCGAAGAAATCAAAATCTCTGAGCCCGATCGATATGGCGACGATGAATATCATGCATATCCCGAGCGTGTCCGAGAGTTGGAAATCGTCAAAGCCAGGAGACGGCGCGATAGTGGTAATTCCAGACGTGTCGAAAGCCTTCGAAGTAGAAGTACCGCATCGGATGACTCGAGCAGTAGTGGCGGTACTACCGTCACTGCTAAGAGTATGAAGAGTGCTAAGAGCATCAAGAGCGTCAAGAGCGAATATCCCAAAAAGGGAAAGACGAGAATTCCGGTTAGGCTCGTTTCCAAGGCCGCGCTGATTGATCTTGGTTATCCGTTTGTCGAAGAGGTATGTCTTGATGCAATATTCTTACAATTTATTTTGGCCATTCTAACAATCGTTCTTAGGGTAACGTCCTCATCGTACAAAAAGCGCTTGGTCAACAGAACATCGATGACCTTCTGAAGCTAAGCGAAGAATATAAGAAGTCCGAACTAGAGATCGCCGCTGCTCGGTCATCGGCCGCAGGTCTTGTGGAAGAAAGAAGAGAGGAAATATTTACTCTTCCACCGCCGCCACCGCCGCCACCGCCTATTGTTGCACCTCCCCCTCCATCAATTATTCATACTGCTGCGCCTGTCGCCCCCTCTCCGCCACCGCCTGTGGAGATGGTCAGGGAAACTTTCATCCGTGAGGCTTCACCTACTCGAAGCTATCGCAGTCATCGCAGCCATTCCACTTCTACCACCCGCACCCCGGTCATCATGGAACCACGAGAACGGGAATTTAGCGATGAGGTTGCCGTCGGACCTCTCGCATTAATTAGCGACCGACGGCGAGGTGATAGAGAAATCAAAATGGAGATCGCGCGACTCGAGGCAGAGCGTGATTTATTAAGACCCGAACGACGGCATCACCACCATCATTCGCACTCCCGTCACCGGTCCCACAGTCACAGTACCGAGCGCGAACTAGTATCGGCCGAGCGTCTGCCAACAGGTGAACTTGTCCTCTACGAGGAACAAGTGGAGAGGATTGAGGAACCACGGCGCGGGGTGCGCATCGAGAAGGACAAGAAAGGTAGGATGTCCATCAGCGTGCCTAAGTATCGCTAGGTGAAGGTGCGCTTCCTCGCATTGAATTATCGTTGATTTTAGAAGAGACTAGGCTAACATCGACTTTCTAACAGGACCCCCACCTAGTCTAATGAGAGCCATGCTTGCAACCCTCACCTAGTCGCTTCATTCTATTCAACTACCTCTCTAATTTTCAGACTATCAACCTTCGAAGCGAAACAAGCAACCGATATCAGCCTTGACGTTGGAAACTTACGATAATGCGAAATGATTTATTGAACTGCTCAGATTTAACGATTACACTAAATCGGTATTCACGAAATTATATCATAGATTGGTGTGTGGCGTTCTACACAAGCCTGTGGGCAAATTTCTGGTGTTGGCGAGGATGAAGGGGAGTTTATTGCGCACAGTTTGGTCAAAGACAGAGCCTCCATCTAGGACTCGAGTTATATATTTGATGATCTTATTCATTGTTGGTCTTGATTCAATTGTCTGCTTGTCGCCCGACTCTCGCACCGAGAGTTTGGCTTCCTTGTAGTGGAACATGATGATGATCTAATGACGTTTGATGATTTCTTCACATATACCTAATATTATTTTCATCTAATTCCATATTCTATTAATCAGATGTATGAATATGAAGATATACCTAACCTATGATTAGCGAAACTCATACCACTAGTGAACTATTTTAGCTAAGGCCGACTGCGAGACAATGTGTAGTCCACGATCCATCATCGAGTTATCCATCAAAGACATTCAGACACGACCGCTTGTTACGACAATTACTTCTTCATATCAGGGTAGGACCAATCTCTCAATTGAACAATCAGAACAAAGGCCTTTCTTCAGTCCCACAGCATTGGCGAACAATGCATTCATATCCTTTAAGCCCACACAATGCCGTTTGTCAACCTACAATATATATGAAATGCGCCCGAACCCACTTTCTTTTGATGCACGAAGGAATCTCGGTTTCATCAGCTGCGATTTCTACTAAACCCCATATTAATCACACATAACAACACACAACCCCATTCAGAAATGACGCGCTACAACAGAGGCATCGCCGGCGAAAAAGCCGCCGTGCGCGAAGAGCAGCGAGAAGCTGCGCGCCAGCTCGATGAAGATGCGTCGCGGAGGAGGCCGAGTCTGGGGGAGGTGGAAACGCCTACTAGTGCTACGGAGGAGAAGAAGACTTGGCTTCCAGGTAAGTTCATTGTGAAGAAACCTACGAAGGCGGCGTGTGGTAGACTTGTTGTGGAGAGGGAGGATGCTATGCCTTTGCGGATGGAGAGGTGTCTGGATATGGCGCCCGTGAAGAAGGGGGCGTTCTTTTATATGAGTGCGAGGTATTGCGAGGATGTGGTGGATTGGTGTCGGTTTAGTGAGGAGCAGCAGGGGGCGACGTTTTGAGGTAGGTCGGTGGGGTTGGGTTGGTTAGTTGGGTAGGGACACGCGATGGTGAGGGTTCACCTCGGCCGTAAGGAGTTCTGTTTTGGTGTACTGCGATATTGATACCAAGGTAGGTATTTTTTAATTGTTGGGATGTTTATATCCATTAATACGTAATGCATTGTTCATTTAAACAAATCATTCCGTTTTCTAGGTGACTTTAAAGTTGTTTGTTTAAGCGAAAGGGACTCGGTAGAGAAAAGGGGCAGAAATTTCTGCATCTACACCTACCTACCTATGAATACTAGGTACTCACTAGGCATAAAGTATATCTTACAATATCGTGTTGATAGAAATACCATGGCTAAATCCCCATGTGAATTCCTTTGTTACATGATCCCCTTTGATCGATGTACATTATTGTTACTCGTTGAATACATATCTTATCAACTTCCTTTCATCTTATGTATCCCGTTCAAAATAACGTACATGATATATACGCAAAATATATTAAACGATCGCCTAGTTAGCTGCGACGGCTATGCGTACCCCTTTGCTTCCAGCCTTGGGCATAGGTACGAACATGTCGTGGTCGTAAAGTATGTCATCCTCTGTTGTCTCGAAAAGGCGCGCTCGTGGAAAGACACGTAAGGTGAGCGCAGCCAGAGCTACATATATCTCACATAGCGCAAGGCTTTATGTATTCAATTAGCATAAATTTGTCCCGTATTTTCTCTAGAATTGAGTGAATAAAATGGCGACTTACTTCATTCCTAGGCAAGAACGACTCCCCTTAGAGAATGCGAACATGCCACGGTCAAGCTGTTTTCTGTTCTCGGCATCCAACCAACGTTCCGGTTTGAATGAGTAAGAGTCGGGGAAGATGTCTTCATTGTGGTGAGATATGACACATGACATGCCGATAGCATAACCTTTGGGAATAACATATTCAACGGGCTTCTTGTTCCATTCTCCACGGTATACTAGGTTCTCTTCAGTTGCGACGCGTGGTGAACGGGCTGAAACACCTATTGTGAAAGATATTAGCCATTTCAGATTTCTCTCTAGGCGAGGAAAAACAGGGGCGAATGAAGGACCGCAACTTACCATAAGAGAGGCGTAGCCCCTCTTGAATAACTCCATCAAGATAAGGCAGAGTCTCAAGAACATTCCAATTTGGCAGATGTCGGGGATCATCGATGGCATCTTCAAGTTCCTTTGTCAATTTTGCCAGCATCTCAGGCTTCGTGAGCAATACGTATGTGATGACAGAAAGAGTCCAGCTCGCAGTAATCGTCCCTGCGCCAAGAAGGGCCGCCGCTTCGTCACCTAGAACCAATGCTTCCTTCTGCTCACGTGGTAATTCTAACAAGGAACTGAATATAGTAGGTCGATCTCTCACTACGCCCGAATCGAGTTCAGCCTGCACGCTCTTGACCTGCTTTGGCACGTCGACTCTGAGCGTTCGGATGAGGAGCGCGAAGTCAGCGGGAAGGTAGTCCATGAAACTTGTGTTTGTTAGAAAGTTCGGCAAGTTAACATCATGTGAGAAAGGGGCAACGAACTAATCACCGAGACTGAACAGATGTCTGAGAACGGGGAAAAATCGAAGGGCGAATGCAGGCTTAAGTATGGCGATTTCGGGGACGTGGAAGTTAGGGTACCACCCCTCCTGGTCCAGAAAGCCGAAGCTTTCGCCAAAGCAATAAGATGAGATCGTGTCTGAAGCGAAGCAACTATAAGCCACAACAACGTCGATTGGGCTATCTCCAGATTTTAATATCTTGTCACAGAGGACTTGCGACAGCTTATGGATATCATCTTCCAGCCGTGAAATCATCCCCCGAGCGAAGAATTTGGCCACGGGTCCTCGGCGTAGTTTGTGCAAGGCATGATCCATTGTGCCAAACCCCGACTCAGTATGTGCCGAGCCACTGATAAGATGCAAGGGCTTGTTCCGCTTACGATTGCCAACAGCGTAGATCTCGTCGACGAAGTTTATATCACTGCAGTGCACCTCGTCGGGACTAATACGAACGATAGGTCCTAGCATTGTGTGTTAGTTATCTACTCATAATGAGTTAGGAAGGCTTTGGCCATTACCGTATTTTTCATGCATCTTCTGGATCCGTTTCGTATATCGGCCATACTTCATCAGATCGTAGTAGAACTCGGGCAGGTATGTTCCTCTTGAGAGCCAAGGCCCCGGAATATGGCTTAGGGGATGAAGCGGTGACAAGTTGTATAGTGTATTGAGTAGTTGATATATCATCCATATCCCCACTGAAACAGAAAGTGATAAAACTAAGTGGTGGACTGTTAATAGTTCCGCATAATCCATTTTGATGAGTAAGTCACAGCATATGGAATAAGGGGTGAGGATTGAGATGGGATACCCGGATTCTGTCTCGGCCGAGCTGTTGAGTTGGCAATAATATAGACCATGGATTTACTGTAGCATTGCGGGATTGCTCATATTTATACTCTTCCTTAATCTTGAATGCCCCAGGTCTACCTAGATTTGTAGGTATAAACCAGTCCGAAAACATCCCATGTTGCTGAATAACCCACCGTAACCCACAAAAGCTACGCTCTGATTAGTTGAGAGCATCATTTCAACTGGTACACTAGACCAGGTGAGTTGTATTCGCATGGGACTGTAATAGTAGACCTGAACTATCGAGTCAAGAAACATCGATGGGTTGGCACGAGAATACCCCTTGGCTAAAATTCGACACCTCCAAAACTCGAAAGCCGGTAGATCATGATCCGGATTTGTACTTCATTCAGCGAACTTACCCAGTAACGTAAGCAGCAAAGTAATGCAGAAGGGTCAATATCAAAACTGATTCGAGAGTGGCAATTATGCAAGTGCCTCGTGTAACAAGAAGATTAGAGCTATGATCGCGAGGTGTAGCCATGATACATAACCTCCATATTGTTGTGTTTGCTAGGTGGTTATGATGCGAAAAGCCTGTGGATTCAGTGCGGAAAGCCTCTACGGAACCGAGCGCCTTGGCTGATATTCTTTTTATTGGTTAATATCCACCTATAATATCTGCATGATATGTAATACCACGCTAAAAACAACCAATCAGAAGTATTTACCATCTACGCGGTAATACCTTGTTCCGGGATTTACCTTGTCTGGTCAGTGCACTATGTGGATCACATAGTGCACTGACCGTTTGTGGGGAATTAAAGCTTGACCCATGCCGTCACACCGTCGCTACCCACTTAAACCGATCTTGGTTGCCCCATAATATAATATTTAAATCCGGGCCAAGCCCCGTGTTTTCTCTAACACACTTACAACATCCAATTCGCTCATGCGACTTTGACCAAGATGTATTCCCGCGATGAAATTTCGAGTGCGGTCTTGAGATTATACCAAGAAGTCATACGGCACCCATATATGGACGAGAATGCACTCATTTTACCCCCTCCGAACGGCTGGGATACCGTCAGCATCGAAGGGAAAAACGAAACTGTCATGGACTTACTTCGTCATCTCCCATACCTCCGCTCGGTCAATTCATTTCGCAAACTCCTTATTCATTGGGAGACAATTCCTATTTGCTACTCTAACCCCGAAAACTACAACTTCCAAGAAGAAATTTATCCCCTCCCAGCCCATTGCGTTTATCTCACACGCAGCCACGACCGAGAAGGCACATCTTTAATCATCGACACTAACGAAGGCACCATAACTGAATACTCCAATAGCGGGACCGAAATCGTGCTTCCTTACGAGGAATTTGAAGCACTTCCCGAGGCAGAAAATTGGAGAGGGTTTCGCACAACGCCCGCCGTTGAGCTATTGGATACCTGGCGGCGAAAATATGAGAAACTCGTCTGGACGCTCGTACCGAACCCGATAGGCAGGCCGCAGACGGGTAGGTTCTATAGTCGCGCCGATTCGCGTTTTGAAGAAGAGCAGTTCCTAAACCAAGAGCGGCTGGAGCCGTGGCAGCTTCAAGATGACGTCACTCCCGACCAGGAAAGTGAATTCGATAGGATACAGCGCGAAGCGAGAACGAGAGCGAAGAAGCATGCGGGTGATGTTTATAATACATATCTCCGCTATGGATGGCCCGATCACTTCGATAAGGGGCGATGCAGAGCCGAGTTGTTGGAGATGGAGAAGAACAGAGATGCGGATGAGAGACGGCACAGGGATGCATACAATCCAGATGCGGGTCGATTTGATTGAGACAGCTAAATGGCATTGCATGGAATGTTCTCGTACTATTCACATAGATATATGTGAATTATCGACGACTATTTAACAGGAATAGGTTGTGCTTGGATTGAGCTACAGTCTAAATCTTGCCAATCATAAACCAGTTACCCGTGGTTGCGCGGGTGTTCCACGGGGGCCGCTAGAAGCAGTGGCGCTGCTCACTGGAGTAACAGCGGCTTTTAGCACTGTCTGTGTTGTTGATGCGACTGCTGTTTGAACTTGGTGGTATCCAGGCTCATCAGGCTGCACGACGCGCGCTGTTTCAATACCCAGTACCTTCATCTCCTCTTGGCAATCAGCTGAACTACATCTCAGAATACCCAGATCTTCCCTTAATTCCTCATCCGTGACACGCCGAGTGCTGTTTCCGTCGTCGAATACCCAAGCATTGGGATCTAGGTCGTGTGCCTTCCTATCTCTCTTCGTGTATCCTGGCCTAGGCTGATGGTTACCAAGTACATCTTGTGGAATGAGGCCCTTATAGTTTCTCCTGGCATACGCTTGAGCATCCTTATGTGCATCATAATACTCGTCGTCTGTGAGCAGCGCGAAACCGGGATCGTACAAGAGTGTACTCGGCCAACACGGGTTTGCTGTCAGCCCATATTGGTCGCCGGCCGGTCCTACAACACCATTATCGAAGTCGATTCTGACTGCTTTGCGGGTCGTTCGCGCGGAATAATGCATGATTCTTATCTTGTATCCTCCTTTGTTTATATCTTTGATATGACTTACACCGACTTTTTCAACGGGGAGATCGCCGTGGTCGTCGTATCCGCAGAACCTCAATCTAAAAAGGGATGAGCCGGCCCCTCCATTCTGGGATCCCGGAGCAAAGCGTATGTATTGTTTGGGAGAATTTTCCCTCCCCTGAAACTGCATAAATGCGGCAGGCGGATACTCGTCGGGCTGACAGTTCACGTTGGCGGACTGCATGAAACCGTCGTACCTAAATACTGCTTGTTAGCCATTTGACTTTGTGGATTCTTCAATATTCCTCTCACCATTCTTCATTATGATCTTGATCCCACTGATCTGCCCACGGCCGAAGTGGCCGCCAGTAGGTGTGTATAGGACACTTTAATGTCTTCCATTCGGGATGATGGTCAATCACAGAGCTGTAATGCAAACATGCCTGTTTCCACCTCGAGCCGGTGCAGACCGAAACTACCGGGGCCGGCTCGTAGGTCGTCGACGCCGTACATACGGAACTGTCCGGGCCATAACGGACAGGTTTACCGCAGTTGTCGGGAGCATCCGCTCGCTTACAGTTAGCGGAGCTCGTGGGCAGGGGGCTATGGCTGGAGGGTGCTGCCCTCGAAGAAACTGGCTTCGTCTTAGTTTCCATGGATATGGTGTGCTTCTTTCCGAACACTTTAAATTCGGCTTTCCCCTCTTTCTCGATACCTTTAACGCAGAGCTGGATGAGTTCCGGAGTCGCTGCGATCTCCGCGGCATCTGCGATCCAACCTGAATATAAGTGTGAGCAGCAAATACGCTTAGATTGCTGTTAATACGAATTCTTAAGACTTACCGATAATAGGGATAAGATCTTCCACGAGCTCTAGCGGTGCTAGGAGTGCGGGGACGGCGATTCGACAGAAGGCTTTTGCTGCGACATCGAGCGCCAACTGTTCTGCGGCCGCTTCTACTGCGTCTTTCGCCGCGTCCGCAGCTTGCTTCGCGAGGTCCGATTTTGAGGGCGGAGGTTTGAAACCTGAGCAACAGTAAGATTGCAAGCCACCGTTGCACGTTTGGTCTTTCTTTCCGCTGTGGTTGTTGGTATCGGTGACAAGTTCGGTTTCATCTGATATTAACATGTTAGTCTCATCTCGAGATTGTTAGTTATGACATACCATCTGCACAGCCAGAGATACACGATAACCCCACCCCACGATATCCGCGCCATTGGCATTTACCCATGGTAGTTCCATCATTGCAGCATAGGTTTCGATATTGTCCCTTAGGGCAACGTCCGCTATCAAGTTGTTAGCATTAAAGACGTGAGGAAAGGATCTCTACCCTATGGAGACGGAGGGGAAAGAAAGAAAAATCGCGACTTACCTGGTGGACAATTGACCAGGTTGACCATTCATCTGGGTAACCTGGTTTGTGCCCTTCTTACATTTGGCATTGCAGTCAGTAGTGTAGCATGAAAGTTTACCAGCCTGGTCAGCAGAAGATTGCTTGGCATTGTTTTGCTGGTCCTTGGTTACCCCCGAGACTAGATTGTTTGACGAAGATTGGTCTTTTTGGTCAATGGCCCAGACCATCATACCACCAAGACAGCGGTCATTCGCAAACGACTTTAGAAGAAATAGTCAGCATAGTCTAGCCGGTGGAGCTGGGAAAACTTACCTTCTTCTGTGCGAAGGTGTCATCGTCGTCATACGACACCCATTGATTACTATCCCAAGTAATCCATTTGACACCTGCAGTCTTATCCCATGATGGTTTGAGACTGTGTTGGTCAATTATATCAACGATTTCTTGATAGTCGAGAATACCGGAGGTAGCTGAACAAGGCCCAGCATCGGCACCACCGCTGAACTGGCACACACCGTTCGGTGTATTACATGAAGGGTCTTTCAGAGTGAACGAGCGACCGTACTACTGTGTCTTAGTACTCGGTATTAGGTAATTTGGCATAGAACTACTCACCCAACCTTGGCCAAGGACAACCTTTGATGAGGCTACGCCTGCACGCCATAAAAGCCCCAGGCCGAGGTCGATTTCTGTCAAGTTCGTATGGGGAGCAATATAGGCGCCGACGAATTGCGAATCAGCATCCCATGTCCCGTGTAAATCATATGACATGAGATTGAACCTGGTATTTATTAGTGACAACATATCTAAAGAAGGGAGAGCAAACGAACCAGTCGACATAATCTTGCATTGCATTGACATCAAAATGCTGCAAGTACCAATAGCTGGTTGGCAATGTCACCGTCAGGCCTTTCGAACCTAATCCCTGTTTCAACTCTTTCACCAATGTCACGAAATTGTCAGTATCTGCAGGCACACCTCCGCGGTCATCTGCACCAGGATATTCCTGCATGGCGCATTAGATTGCGGAGTATTATAATATGCGCAGAATGGTACTTACCCAGTCGATATCAAGACCATCAAATCCATAGGTGTTCATAAATGATAGGACACCCGAGATGAACTTTTGACGGTTCGCGGCGCTGCTGGCCATGTTGGAGAAAGCTTGTCTTGTTGGGCCTGGATCTGTAAACGACCATCCGCCAACGGATATCCACGTCTGAAGACCGCTGTAGGTCTGCTTCAAATCAGTGAAGCGATGATACAAAGTCGCTGAGTTTGAATCCATGGGGGAGATCTGGAACGTATCCGGATCAAAGAATGCGAATGCGAAATTCACGTGAGTGAAGCCAGCTAGATTGAGGTCCTCCGGTTGTACCTTGTCAAGGTTAGGGAAAAGAGCAGAAGTTGATGTATAGCGGACATACACTTTGACATTTGCGAGTTGAGGCCCACGACTCATAGTAGCCTATGGTACGCTTGTTCACACCCGAACTTGAACATGATGGCTTAGGTGCATCACCGCATGTGCCAAAGCCAGTTTGGCATCCTTTACCACAGAAATCTGAGGTGCTACCACAAAACCTAGGAGAGATGTAAGTGTCCAGCAACATAAGAGTAAGATTGATATATCCCATCAGAGCTTACCCGAATTCAGAACAGCAGACATTCAAAGGACATTTCTGCTGTCCGGGTTTGCCATATTGACCGCATGCTGCTTTGGCATCACAGTTAGAAGTACAACCCGTACCGCATTCGGCTGGCGAGTAGCCACAAAGGCCGTTGCTTCCACAACAGGCGCCGTTTGGACAAGGTGTGTTAGGGTTACAAGTGCCAATGGGAAGCGCTCGAGAGACAAGTGATAAGTTAGGGTTAGGTGAGCTACCGTCAATAGGGGATGCAACCGCAACTGCACTCAAAACTACCCCTAGAAGAGCCGCTTTGAAGAATTTGGCGGCCATAGTCAAAGATGGCAGTAGACTGATGACATATGCAGAAGAGAGAGAACCCGGCGATACTGAACGAGGCCAACGGGGGATGATATTGACATCAACCATCTCGGAATAGACGCTTCTGCTTCCTACCTCCTATTCCGGTATATACCGAAATAATACCCCTGGCTTGGCTTACGAGAGAGACGATCAGGAAGAGATCCCTGTAGGACTGACTCAGGGCCAGACATAGTCTAGTGCGGAGAAAAGCTTGTCTCAACGATGTCAGCCTCTCCTCCGCTCATTTAAGCGATTTACGGTGGTGTATGTCTCCATGCAATAAAACAAGCGAGCCACATGAGCCTATTGAGGAAGTCAAAGGCAGCCTGTGTAACAGCATCCTAGGGTATCTAGGACTTTTGTAATTAAATAAGTGCAGAAATAAGATGATGTAAGACTAAGGAGCGGTATTTGAAGCCAACAAGACGCATCTTCCAATATATATTCATATTCTCCAATCATTTAATAGAAACAGTTAAGGGTAACGTAAGACGCCACACTACTATACGATGTCAACTATTACCCCCTATTTCCCAGAAGGCCTAACATCTACAATCCCGGCTTGCTGAAGGGAGTCATTGAGACCGACGGTTCCGAGATAACGTTCTATCTTGTTTTCCTATACTTCAATGACCTCCCTTCTTCGAGATCTTGCGTTGGGCAGCATCTCTTGCCTCTCCTGACGCCATAGCTCACCCCAACAGCAATGGCGCTAATACGTTTGACTAGCGGCCTCTGGGCTGCACTTTTTGCTGTCAACGTTATAGCTCAAGACACCGTTTCCTTCAACATGTTTCCAGCAGTGAAATCTGCAGGTCTTGCTACTCAACTAGGGTGGAGCGAAGATTGTGTTAAAGCCATGTAAGTTGAATATGAGACGTACTTGGTTGGATTGATGTTAACGATATTTCAGGAACGCAACCTTGAAATGTGACCCAGATCTTTATCGTATGGCTGGTCAAATCGACAAGTACTTCTGGTCCATAGATAACATCACAACTCTGTGTACAGACGACTGCGTTGACGATAGCAGTACGTGGGTTGAAAACGTTGGAGATGCCTGTGTTGGCCAGACCTACAATGTCGCCAGCAAGTTAGTCCCTGTGGACTCGGTAGCTGTTCGCTACGTCGAGGGGATTACGATGGCATGTCTCAAGTCCGAGTATGTGTCTTCATACCTACATACTTTAAAATTGAGTGTAGGTAACTTACATCAGGACTAGCACGTTACAATTGAACTACACCGGCGACCCTACAGCCAACGAGGATAGTCTTGTCGGTGACGATTTTAACAACCCCAATTCCACCACCCAGACCAATTCTACCACCGGAGAAGCTATATTCGATCCAAACGATGCTGCGCCGTCTAGTAATGGGACAGATTCGCCTTCTGGCCCAGATAATATTAGTGACCCAACCGTTACCCAGTCGGAAACTATTTGGTGTTACTATGAATCTCAAAACTGGCTTGGAGCTGACGTTGATTTAGACTGCGATACTGATCCATCCAGTGTCTTCTGTACAGATCCTGACTCTATGAACAGAATGGTACTTCCCTATATCCCTAACAATGTTGTCACTATGCTAATTATTAATTAAAGGCCAATTTATATTACGATACCACTGTGAGTGAATCAATGAGACATGGAGTTCGCGCTTAGATGACTTATACCTCTATGGGTGGCCGCTTTATAAATACTGCTAATGCCACCGGTAACATGCCCCATAAAACATCTTCTAACTCCCTTAAACAGCTCTGTAGCCCATGCTTTCTCACAGTACTGTGGCACCGCATCAATTCGCTGTTCCTCCCGGATAACGACTACTCCGATTACCTTATCCAAGAATATCAAGACATCCAAGATGTCTGCCAAATTGCCATGCCGGAAAGCGTAGTCCGGGCTCTCCCGGGTTACGCAGCAGCCCCTAACGCTACGTTCCTTCCCCCGGGAACAGACCCGGCAAACAATTCCAGCGCACCCAGCGCGGGCTCCGGCAACTGCACCACCCAACTTCTATCCCCAGGTCTCTCTGGCTGCGACACCCTATCGCAAAAATACGGCGTAACAACCGGCGACCTCCAAACAGCCAGCAACTCCGACACCTGCACGATCTCCAACAGCACCTGTCTCCCAAGCGCCTGCACGCTAAAACAAGTCAGCGAAGGCGACACCTGCGATAGCCTCTCCAAGGCGCTATCAACCAGCACCCTCAACGTAACCATAACGCTCTTTCAATCCTGGAACCCGAACATAATCGGTCTATGCGACAGCCTCCTAACCGGCCAATACATCTGCTCTTCGTAAGCCTTCCCTCCCCCCCTCCCCACTTCTCCTTTTCAGGTACGTACTAGGTACCTAGCTCATGAAATCTAATCCTTCCGAGTAACGTAGCCCCCCAGGCGGCGCATTCACCCTGCCCGCCCCCATAAACGGCACCAACACCGACGCCTCGTCGCAAAACCGCGGGGGCCAAGGCCCCGTCGGCGTCGTCCCCACGACGAACAGCACGGCCGCGGCGCCGACGCAAGCCGGGATCGATAAGCAGTGTACGAAGTTCGCGTACGCGAGTAGTGGGGACACGTGCTATGGCTTCACGCAGACGTTTAAGATTAGTATGGCGAATCTGACGACGTGGAATCCCGTGCTGGGATATCCGGATGGGGCGAATTGCTCGACGCAGTTTTGGCTTGGGTGAGTACCTACCCGCTTTTTGAGGATCTTGGGATTATTGAGGTGATGTGATGTGCATGGATGGATGCGCTGACTTTTTAGGTACGATTATTGTGTTGGGGTTCCTGGCGGTAGTGGGGGTGGTAGTAGCAGCAGCAGTACTGCATCTGCATCTACGTCGTCGAAAACCCCGACGACCACGACATCGCTGCCGTTTCCGACGCAGAGCGGGATTATTGCGACTTGTAACAAGTTTAATGATGCAGAGAAAGGGGATTATTGCAGCAAGTTTGCGACTGATAATGATATCACGACTCAGCAGTTGTATGCGTGGAATCCGGTCTTAGGCGCGAATGGGGAGAATTGCAATACGCAGTTTCAGGCGGGTGTGGATTATTGTGTTGGTGTTTCTAGCACAGCGGCCGCTACGATGTCGAAGTAGCGTGGTGATATAGCGGACTTAGGCGCTAAGTTCTGCTCCCTGTAAGATCCATTTAGATGGCGGGGTAAATGGGGATTCAGGGGGCGGGGTAGTAAGCAATACGATTAAATTATCTATGATTATAGAAGGTCCATTCTTCAATCCTAACTATCCGAGTCCCTAAACCAACATGCGACAACCTGAAAGACCCATTATGTCTTTCTTGACACCAAGAAGATATCGCCGGAAATTTTGAAGGGGAAATAAGTTATAACTAGAACGCTCAGTAAGAAGAAAAGTAAATTAGTTGGGATTCCTATCAATTAAGTCGTTGGCTTCTCGAGCGAGATAATGCCGAATTGGTTCATTATCGCAAAAGGTACCGTGATTGAGAACCTCGTTCTTCAGGCACAGGACTTCATTCCGGAGACCGTAGACAGCGTCTTTCAGATCTTGATTTCTCCGCGACAGCTCCTCTTCTCTCTTCTTGAGCTCCTCGACGTTCGCCTTGGACTTCTGCCGGCACTTGTGTGCCGCCTTCCGGTTCCTTTCTTTCCTGCTCTTGGTCTGGGAACGGGAAGTGTCACTGTTGGTAAGGTGAACGGGGACGGGGTCTAGTGATCTCTGACCTTGAGAGTTGTAGACTGCAATAGTCAACAGGCTGGAACTTTTAACCCGGACAGGACTCTCGAGCTGCATTTAGTAAATACCACCCCTTTCTAAGCTCTGAGTCGCGGCTCTACGTAGTAAGAGATGGCGGGAAACAGCGGGAGAAATTGGGGAGCTCACCCATACCAGAGGAGTCGGATTCATTATATTCGTTAGAATATTCCCCAGCCTTAACGTGTTAGCCGATTTACTCTCTCGGGGGACGGTTTATGGGTTGGTTCACTTACTAAACTGGCTGCCGGCGTAAGAAGTTGATAAGGGGCTGGTGGCTGTATATCTACAGTGTTTTCGATGCTTGGTTTCTCCAGTTCCAACGGACTCACCAAGTAACCGACACCAGCAGGGTCTTGGAAGTCTTGAGATTGCATGGTCAATCTTCAATGGTAGAATCTAAGTTTTGTGGTATGAATTGAGTGTGATTGGGTTTCTAACGTATTGACATAAATTCAGTCTGGGTATATGGTTTACGCATACATTTCTCGCTCCCACGCTTATTCCCCTTCTTTTAAGTAGACACATGGGAATCAACGAGCGACCGACATGCGGAACGACAAACCATGGGCTTTACACATACACATGGATCAATCTAAATGGATAAGTTGATTCGCATGAGGGTTTGACAAATAAGGTAATTCATCAGCGCACGCGGATGCTAGGATGGTAGGTAAGCAGGTAAACTACGTGGGATAAAATTCATTGTTGAACGAGAAATATTGTATGACGAAACCACACTGAATATGTCCAGGGACCAAAGGGGCACAGAGTACCATTTATTGGGAATCACAAGTCGATCATTACTAGAGACATCAGGTCTTTTCTATTAAGGGATACTCAGGGCGCCGACCGCACGGGACTCCCCCGCGCTGGAACAAGGGCGATCTAAGCGATCCATCAGATAATATCAAGTTTCTGTTCCAACAATCAGCGACGTCTTCCGCTTCTCGCTAGAATGACGTCACTATGTGCGTATTCCTCGTGTCTCTTGTGTTTCTCGTGTCGGAGTGCAAGCCGCCCCCTTTGTGATTGGTGGCGCATCACGTACCACGAGCAAGCCGACCTTTCTGCTACCCTACTTGCATACACAGCCTAGCAACTGATGATGGTGGCTTTCGAGATTGGATCCTTTGACTAATTATATACATGTAGGGAGGAAGTGCTTTCGGTAATTGACAGGAAATGTACCTAGGTAGGTATTTTCCAATCCTGATCATGTAATTTTACCCCTCCAACTCCAACCCCTCATATCTCTCTGGTCAAATGAATCACCCCAATTTCCCCTATCCCTATCCTCCAATCTTGTGTAACCATTTCTATTCCGATTTTACCGCTCGTCGCTGATATCATCAGATCTGATCCATCTACATCTGTATCGATTTTGATATCATTCTTTCGCAATCATTTCTTCCAGAATGTTAAATCATAACCATTCCCCTTCTCTAACGCCCTCTTCCACGCGTCGCGTGACATGCACCTCTCATACCATCCCTTCAAATTTGGATATTTACTGATATCGACGTCGGAACCCCCTCTAACCCCAAAATCCACGTACCACTGCAGAATGAAATCAATCCTAGTTAACTCCGTAGTACCGTTGAAATATTGACGACCCTCGAGCTCGCTATCTAGGAACTTCAAAGCATTGTCGATTTCACCATCAATAAATGCTTTTTCCAGCGCCAATTTGAGCCCTAAAATCAGTGGCCGGACGAAAAACGGCGTCGCGTACGCAAAGCCGCCAAAGATGCTCTTAATGCTGAAGAATTGGTTAAGCGTGGTCTGGCCTACTGAGAGGAGTTGTTCTTCGCGGATCTTATCGTTGTTGACGCTATCGTGACCGGGACTACCAGATGCAGGGACTTTGAACCGCCCGGCATGGTCGTAGGTTTCAATCAGGTAATAAGCGATTGCGCTTCGCTCCGCAATGACGCGACCTGAGCCCGTCACCAATTGCGGCGCCTTCCCGAGGGGATGTGTGTTTTTGAGAGCCGGTGCGGCCCGGCCACCTTCGCGAGTGTGTAGAACTAGGTCATATTCTATCCCTAGTTCCTCGAGCAACCACAGACTCTGCTGAGATGCCGAGTTCTGCCGTCGAAGTTAGATCCGATCAAAACATGACTAATCTGACATTGAAAAGAAATATGTACCTGCATATAATGAAGTGTAGGTTTATTACTCTCCATCGCGTTCGCTGCTTAACTGTATCTAGGGAAGTTGCGAGATAACCCGGGCAGAGTTAGAGTTCGTGTGGACAAGGACTAGCTTCACTTAAATATTTTACTTTGTTTTAACTTCGGCCAACCAACAAAAGAGCAAACACTCTTAGCGTTCTTAAAATTTGAACGGCACAGCTCCTGGCTACATTATTAGTGATCCACTATATAGGTACCAACCCATTGTCTCGGCTTGTCTTTGCTGTTGATACCTAGGTAGGTAATTGAGAGGTATCCATGTTATTGCTTCTTCGTTGACTTGAGATCCATAGATGCCTCTATTTTCCGAAAAGTGGGACTTTTAGGATACCCACACGTTCACCATAGTGATTACCACCTACCAACTTCAATTCTATTAGAAATATTCTGTTCAACCTTGATTAAAGCTTCGACATGATTTTGCTTCAAAAATCTTTGAACAAGGTTATGCATTCTACAAACAACTTATCATGTTCAATCTGGATGATGACTAATCTAGAACTTGGTTAGCCTATAAACCCCCTAATCCAAGGGTTTCGATGTTTGAGGACCGTAAGAAACTATATATTGATATACTAAGTGATTATGGTAAACTTTCGAAGCGCTGAGATGTTAAGTTAATTCGTTCCCTGATTTCTAAGTCTGCTTATATTCATCATCTCATCTCATTACATTAGTCTATTAAAAGGCACGATAGTTTCATTAAAAAATGTAGTTGACCACTCTTTCAATTCTAATTGAACAGATTCTATCAGATAACTTATCTTATATCTCATCATACCCAGCTGATATATTTACCTAGGTAGGTAAGTGTCCTTATTTTATACTTGATGATTCTAGATAGGTACAGGTAGGCTGTTCTTTTATTTTTATATACCTACCTACACAAGATATTCCCCTAAATAGTTGCATAGTACCTACTTCAAGGAGAAGCACATACAGCACCTTAAAATGCATCTTCCCTATGAAATTCTTCACAACATCCTAGTTAGGGTGATACGACGCCGAGATTACAAACATGGAGTTCGACTTCGGTCGGTCAACAAACAGTGGAATGCTGTTATTGAACGAATTATCTTTGATCTTGATCTCCTTGACAACTATAGATTTTACCCCATGAGGTGCCAATACAATTTCGACAGTACCTTTCGACACTGGCAAAGATACCTAGCATACAGAGTCCTTCATAACAAAAAGCCGGTCTCCCTACGCCTACGTATGATCCGATCCACTGCCGAGTTCATAGTGGCTAGTCGATGGGGTGACATTCAGGATAACGGGAAGAAGCTGAGAGAATGTGTGAATGTGCTTTGCCATAATCGCCACATATTCCACGATTTCCGAATGCGCACCATATTTTATCTGTATTTTGTGGATTCACGAATGTCAAAGCGTCATTTACGTGGATTGAAATTCATGCTGGAGAGATTTACGTCCGTAGTCCTCTCGAGCACCGATGACAGGATCTCTGTTTTAATCGATCAGCTTTATCGTCAAACACTTTTTTATTGAGCAAAACCATAAGTGGTAAGTCTGATTATATACCCGCATACCTGATACTAGATTAACTTATTGAGAAAGCTTCGAAAGAATGATTGACGACTAATTATCTAGTGGTATTTTCCCCCTATCCTTGGGTGGACTGATTACCGACTGATAGTCGTGAAACGACGAGGATAGGCACCCAGGTAAGCAGTATGAAGGCATTTCAATACTTTTTACGAATACTAATTGATACTGATAGAATGATATTTCCTTACCTAGGTAGGTACCTTGTATATCTACTCAATTTCTAGAAAGAAAAAGAGATTGATGAATTCAGCGAGTTTTTGAGACCCTTTTTTATTTAACCCTCTAGTATAACTAGACCGGATTGAACCCGTTACGTGCTCTATTACTATGAAATAAAGATGAAGTTTGAGCTTTAAGAGCCTGCTTACTGATCTACGGTAGGACTACGGCTGAGCAGGCCGTCTGTAGTTCGTATATTCCATTCCACTAAATCCTCTCGTATAATTGGCTTATCCCAAGCTTCAGGTAAATAGGTAACCAGATAAGATTTCTATTTTTACACTAGGTACAGACAAATGGGTAAGACAATATTGACCTTTTCTTTCAGCTACCTAATTACATTCTAACACGCGATGCTCGGATAAGCTTCCCGCCGGCGTAGCAACGCAACTCCAATGTGCGCGCTTAACACCCATCCCATTCTGCTCCGGAACTCCTGCCTCCGCTTAGAGTTAATAGGCAACTTCGAATCACGGCCAATTCGTCCACGATTGGGCTAGAAAGCGGGCTTTTACGTTGAAAGTAGACCATTGGATGGAGAAGGACGGTACCTGATGCCCCGTCTTCTCCAACTTTTCTTATGCCTTGTTTTGGAAGCATTAAGCTAGCCCTTACGATATTGAGTTGCGAGGATACAATAGGCGCAAAATTCGTCTGCTAGCGAATCCTCGATTCCCAATTCTGAATCACACCATGCTGAGATGAGCTGGAGAAAATTGCTCCACCCTAATGGGGGGTTACATGCCGCCTGCGGAAAGCCACCATAGTCAGAAGTCCTGCATTCTTCAGCTGCGGCGAAGCAACCACTGCCATCTATTATAAATATGGCCCCCATGTACCTGAAAATCGGCCTCTCGATATATAACCGTTCGCGGCTTCACATTATTTTCTTCGGCTCCCTGCTGCTTTGTTTAAGTCTCGGTAAGCTACTCCAAGTCCGCCATAAACGCATAGCTGCCAAGTCCGGGTCCTGTGGTAAGCTAGCTAGCTAAAGAATCACAATCTGGCCGCGAGCAACTTTACAGCCTTGATTTACGATCTGAGCGAAGATGACTTACTTTACCGCAGTAGCATTGGCATGCCTCGCGGTTGGGGCCAATGCGCGAGCGTGCGTGAGAAAAGCACCATGCGCGGCAACGGCTGAATGGACGGAGTGGAAAGATATCAAGCACACGTTCATCTTGTTAGTATCACTAACCAAATTCTCCATGGCGTATGCTAACCAAATTCTAGTGGAGATAGCTATACGGCAACAGGTAATTGAAAGGAAACATTCCCAGAATTGGGGCAGATTTACTTACATGTACCTGTAGGGTTCAACTATACGCAAGCGGCACCTTCGCCAGCGAATCCCCTTGGCAACCCAGCTTACCCGGGGTACACATCATCGAACGGACCCAATTGGGTCGACTTTCTCACGATAAAGCATAATGCGTCCCGTCTGCAGACTTACAATTTCGCCTACGGAGGTGCTACTGTCGACTCCGCTCTCGTCAAGCCATATCAACCCACGGTACTGTCTGTAAAGCAACAAGTAGAAGATCAATTCATTCCGGGCTATACGGGTTCTTCGCCCAAAGCCCCCTCGGCCCCGAAATGGACCGGTAGCGACTCCGTGTTCGCGTTCTGGATCGGCATCAACGACGTTGGCAATTCGTATGGATCCGGAGCGGGATCCTCAGGCCCCCTGTACACCAAGATCTTCGATGTTTACTCTGGACTAGTCGACAAGCTGTACAGCAGTGGCGCGAGGAATTTCGTTTTCATCAATGTACCACCTGTGGATCGCAGCCCGTTGACGGTGGGCCAGGGGAAAAGCTCGTCAGATACCGAGAAACTAGCTATTGCGGATTGGAACAAGCGAGTCTCGGATACGGCTGCTGCGCTCAAGAAGAATCACACCGACGAGGTCAATGTCTGGATCTACGACTCGAATAAGAGTTTCGGGGAAGTAATAGATAAGCCGAGTACGTACGAGCAGACTGCTGGTCTTAAGAATACGACTGCCTATTGCACTGCTTATCAAAAGTGAGTACAACTTTTCCTGGCCGAAGAAAGAATTTGGGCAAGATACTAATTATTGCAGTGGCACGCCGAATGATAATACCCTCACTCCGAGCTGCGGTATTCCCGTAAATCAATACTTTTGGCTCAACAATCTGCACCCAACATATCCTATCCACGATGTAGTCGCTCAAGGGGTCGCTGACGCCCTGAAAGCGGGACCAGGGGTTTGTTAAAAGTTGGATAGGAAAATATCTAAAATTGCAAAAAATCGAGAAGATAGAGATATTGAGAAATACTGCCTGTATATAGGTTTAAAAATATCCATATTTGTATATACCTTGGTACCTAACCTTTTCGCAATTCGATATAAAGGACTCCCTAAGCCCCTAACACCTAGGTACGGCCCCCCTTTCTCTGTGTAACGATCAATATTCTCTTCAAGCTACATCATTCACGACCATGTCCGCGACAATATTTAATGCCTAGTACCTACCCGATCGCATAAGGCCGTGGGAGAAGTTGATAATACCCCGCACTGCCAACTGTCATGCTACCGGTCGGTCTCATGCTATCTGTTAGCGTCGCATGACGGAGCAAAGCCACATTGAACAATCCCACAAATACGAAGTCCAATCTGCAAGTCAATGCGGGTTTCAACAACCCGGAATCTAGATTAGTGAAATAAGACACCTAGCGAAGACTCTTTTGGAAAACAAGAAAGGATGGGGATTGCCGACCTGGAAGAATTACGATCAATCGTCAACTCGACGATCAACGATTCTAATCAACACCTGAAGAAAGACATTAACCAAGCATTACATGAGCACCCAGAGACCGCATATGAAGAAAAGTTCGCGCATGATACAATCACGAAGTTTCTCGAAGACCGAGGATTCGTCGTGAAGCGCAGCACACATGGCTTGGCGACGAGTTTCGAGGCCGAAATCGGCTCCTCTGGACGTCTTGTGGTTATCTGCGCAGAGTACGATGCCCTTCCACAGATCGGACATGCGTGCGGTCATAATCTAATCGCGACGTCGTCTATCGCTACTTTCCTCGGGGCGGCGGCGGCTTTGAAGCAGAGCGGTGCTTTCGGACGACTCCGCTTGCTCGGAACGCCGGCCGAAGAGGGCGGGGGTGGTAAGGCGAAGTTGATTGATGCCGGGGCTTTTGGTGATGTCTCGGCTGCTATTAGTATGTGTTATGGATGATTATTCTCATTTTTTCCCGTCTTAAGAGTCCGAGTTTCCCAGTTGAGTTGCTTGAAGGGATGGAATAACTGGGACGGGCCTAACTCTTCATTCCTGGTTAAGGGGCAAATTGCTAATGATGATTGAAGTGGCTCACCCGATGCCCCAAAACCAACTCTCCGACGAGTCAAACAATTGGTCTGGTCTCGCAGCGATGAAGATGATTGCAAGTCATAAATTTCGGACCGAATTTCGTGGGAAGACCGCGCACGCCGCCAACGAACCTTGGAATGGCGTCAATGCTCTGGACGCTGCTGTCGCAGCATATAGTAGTATAGGACTACTTCGGCAGCAAATCAAACCAGATGAACGAATCCACTCCGTCATCGAGGTCGGAGGCACAGTACCGAACGTCATTCCGGACTACACCCGCATGAACTGGAACGTTCGTAGTCCAACTATCGCCGGGGCTGATAAGTTACTTTCACGCGTCAAGGCAAACATACAAGCAGCTGCGGCGGCGACGGGCTGCGAATTAAACTACATCACGTAGGTGAAATCGAATTCATTTGAGTATCTCATCATTCGTACCAGGTATCTAACATGTATAGTGCGCCGACATACTCCAATATGATAGCGAATAAGTCTCTGTGCAGTATATACGTAGACGAGATGTCGCTCATCGGAGAGAAAGTCCTCTTGTGGCGAGAAAAGCCCATAACCGCGTCGACTGATATGGGAAACGTTTCCCAAACCGTGCCCAGCTTCCACGGAGCATTCGGGATCCCGGCGGCTCCGGATATCGCTCTGCATAACCCCGGGTTTGCCGCAGCGGCTAGCACAGACGAAGCCCATGAGGCATGTATTAAGTGTGCGAAGGGTATGGCGATGCTTGCGATTCGGGTACTTCTCGACGATGAACTTGCTGTTGACGCTAGAGGGGATTTTGAACATAACCAAGGATGGTGAGATTTGGTGTAGGCCGTATTGAGGTAGCCATAAGCTCTGCTCCCTGAAACGCTTTCGGGTGTGCCAGCGAGGTGGAAGTTGGAAAAAGGGTTGGCGTCAATTATGCCGCCCACATCGTTCAAAATCACTTAAGTACAAAATAAACAGAAATATAGTCATTATATGAAGCATACTTCACACCAAAAACTTCACATACATTCACCGAAGACCTTAGGAGATATCTGTCTAATCTCCTTCTATTTCTAGGTACTTATAATCCTAACAGTCCACGATTCACCAACCCACTCATCTCTCAAATCCCATAAACCCCCAACATCCCATCCCCCAAAAACCTGCGCATCGTCTCCCTCTCCAGACAAACACTAACATCCAAATCCCCCGTCCCGCCCACATCCACAACCTGCACCAACCCATCCATCCTCGGCATAACTCCCTGGACATACCTCGCCAACCCCCCCACCGCACAGAAATCAACCTCATAAGCCCGCGCCCGCACCCACGACGTCACAAGCACATGTCTCGACCCCAGAAAAGCCTGCCACAGCCGCTGCGGACTGACCTCGTACGCCGCGTCATGGATATACGCTCCCACCGCATCCGGCGTAAACCGCGCCATCGTCGCCCGTATCGACCCCGCCACGTCCCCGATCGTAGTGCCCGTCGCCTCGGAGCCCGACTTCGCGATGTAGCCCAGCAGGATCGGGGACCCCGCGAAGGTGTCGGGGAGAGGCGGATCGACCCGCCCGCGCACTCCGAGCGTGATGTTCATGTACACGTCATCCGGCGTATTCTCGTGCCGGCGCGCGCGGTTGATGAGGATCCAGAGATGCGCCAACACGGAGTCGAGGCGCGAGATACGCTGTGTTTTCAGGGATTCGGGAAGACTGGCTTCTGCGGCTTTTTTCATGGCCGCGACGGCGGAGGCTGGGAATCGGATTTGCACGTGTTCTACTGGGGCTGCCATGTCCCACGTCTGCCAGGGCGGGAAGGTGGATGGACTTAGTTCTAGCTTAGCTAGTTCTTCCGCGGGTGGTTTTGTGCCGTTTGTGGAAACTTCGGCCCAGGAAGGGTAGCCTGGGGTGTCTTGAGTCCACCAGTTGTACCGGTGCATGGGCAAGGCCCTGGCTTTCTTGACTTTTGCGGGATCGGGGGTTGCTGTTATGTTGCCGTACTGGTCTAGCCGCGAGGGATCTAATAGTGGTACTATCCGCTCTTCGGCGCCGGTCTGGGCTTTTTGGAAGAGAGGCCGTGACTGCGCTGCCCATGCGTGGGTGAATTGCATGAGACACATCGCATCGGAGAGGCAGTGAGTCAGCTTGATGCTCACGGCGTAGCCTCCGCATTTGAATGCTGTCAATTGGATGGCGACGCCCGGCAGACCCTTGAATCGTGTTAGATCGGAGAACGCGAGCTCGGTTTTGGGCTGGAAGTCGTTCTGCGGGAAGTCTGTTGCGTTCCAGATCTGCTTCGTCGTCAACCTCTCCTCCTGACTCGGCACCACGGCGCTAAGCTCCCGGGTGTCCTCAGCGACGACCAACTCAACTCCGGGGTCTTCAGGCGCGCCGTATGTGATAATCGGTCGACCGATGTACCGTGGATTGATGTCATTCTCCACATCATCCTTAGAAGCCCATCGGAGCTGCCCCGAGAAATGTGGGTAATCATCTAAAGTCCTCCCCAGCGCATCCTCTAGGCGTTCAGACACCGTAGGATCGTGCGCATCGATATCCTCGGTCCTATCGTAGAGCCAGATGGCGCTGCATGCTGCGAATCGCGCAACTGATGCATCAAGGGTGGATAGTTTCGTAGTCGTAGGTTGCTGCGGAGCTTTCGTTGGGAAGATCCTCTTTGTGCGCTTTACGCGACATGGTGATTGGGTCATGGCGTTAAACTGAAGTGAAGACGAAAGGTTTCGTTTCACGTCTCCTTCCTTCACACTAAGCCCCTTTCCAGATGTCACTGTTACCTGGGTGGAGACAAGGTGATGTTGCACTGCTACTGGAGGATAACTAGGGTAATGTTCGGTCCTTGTTCATCTGTATTCCATATCATGGGAAGAGATCCTAAAGTGAATGCGAATGATAATATGATTCTTTGATAAGTCTTTGCCTAAGAAATCGAAGAGCTAGGAAACAAAGGATGACTTATATGATACAATGTCTTTATAATTCCGTCGTAAATATTCAGATATACCTTCTAGGCAGGTGGTAAATACTTGAGTAGTATTTTCATGAACAGTTCCGCATGAGTCATTCTGAATCATCCTCTACACAGCCGCCAACTTACTCCTCAACTCATATATGGGTAAAATCTTTAAAATAGCTTACATAGGTAACCACGTAGGTAATGTACGTAGGTGGATAGAGGCGAATGGCGTGAAAGATAATTGGCATAATGAAGATTTATTCGTTGATAAATTACCAAGGCTAGCTTTGCAGCCGATTAATACCAGTTACCTGGTCACAAATTTAGAATGAGGGTCTCGTACCTAATTGCAACTTTAAGGGATATGATGACTAAGCATGAAACGAAACTCGTGATAGTCTCATCTCATAATCAACCAACAACTTCTAGGAGACGTATCCGATATTTAGGTACTTTGGCGACTACTCACATATGAATCGCTCAAATGCATATTCATGACATATGGCTAATGAAATTGAGGCGGTGTTTAGGGAATTTCGAGAGACTGCGGAATACTATAGGGGATAAGCCGATTACGTAAGTCATCAAGTCCTAAGGTATACAAATAGGTATTTGCGAGATAAATAGATCGATATGCCTTTATGATGTTGAACTTGCCATTGCTTGTTCGGAATATTTAAATAGAGGTATCTACCTAGGTACCTAATGGGTAATCGTAGGTAGTATTAGAAAATATTACTTCTGTCATATATCTCAGAGTGTTCTTGTGTGCTCATTTTTCTCCCCAGAGGAATCCATTGATGGTTACACACCTCTCATGAACTCTTATCTCATACAACTTGAGAAACTTACTACTAACGCCTTTCATTTCGTTTTTGAATAAACACGGGAAACTTTTCATAGCAGCGAGTCTGATCTCCCGGGTCCTGGGTTCACGGATGAAGCGGCACAAAATGCGGTTTGTCAATATTGAAATCAAGCACGCTTGCTTCCAGACATCACCGGGGTTGGAAACCAAGGACTTAAAGTACTTAAAAAGCCAGAAGCTTAGGTATGGTAATAATGCAGAAGAGAAGTTGGAGATCTTTCTGAACTAGGTTGGACTTCCGATCACCTTCGGTACGTAGTAGGTAGGTATGGATGTCAACTCTAGAGACAATCTCTTTGTGGGGTAAAAGGGATGAATTATTCGTATCATCTCAAGGGTACCTATTCGGCTTTTTGGTCTTTTTAGTTATGAGGTCATTCGAGAAAACGACAACCAGAAACTACGGAGTGGATGAAGGACGGTGTTGTCCATTGCCTATTGGAGGTCCCTGAGACACGCTGGTGTCTTGGCGGCGACTTTCATTTATCTAGGAGGTAGGAAGTCGTCGGGAGATAGCTCGGTATCCGCCCGATTGCATTAATGGGACGACGGCGAAGAACTACGATAATGGAGGCTGGTCGAGCTAGATATGAAGAATGTGAAGGGCAATGAATAAATAAAAGGCGGTTTTACTGTGGTGAGTCTATCAGCTATGGTGTCTCTTTAGAGTAGGGTTTGCGGGATGCGAACTTCCATGTTTGTGCAATGCACATCTACCACTGGCTTCACCAGCTCAATGCATGGGATCCGCGATGGCCGAGGTGGACCATGTTGCGCAGTGAAGAATCTCAATTAGAAGCATCCATCCGGCCGATCCTCCTCTCGGCAAGGTGCTGAGCCCTCTGAGCCCGCTGAGCCCGCTAAGCCAAGCCCTCCCTCGCGAGCAATCCTCATGATCGCCGAGGCAAAAGGCTTAACTTTCAGCCCTTCCAGTTTAGTTGATCGCCCTCATGCTTTGGGTTGATCAGAAGGTAAATCAATGCAACCTGCGTCCTGGTAATTTGTTTATTTTTTCTTCATTGTAAACGTCGCGGTCGGTGCAATAATCTGATACCTTCGCGTTTTCTTATGAGTCTGAATCATGAATCAACTGCACGTAGAATAAAGACATCTAGTTTCATAAGACGTGCTCGTCAGTAGCAAAGCATGAAAGACGGGGGCTGGGAATGTTGCGAAAACGAAGTCTTGGCTTTCTCAAAAGGTGACTGTAACTCTTCTATTACGATGAGATATCAATATCCATGGGTCCGGCAATGATTGATTAAATCTAGTAGCGGTCACAAAGATAAAATAGGCACTGAAACTGGGGAATACAGGCAATATCAACAACTGCTTACGTTGACAGCTGAATTCGCGACGTTTGTGTTCGATTTAGAACTTACCATCTTCGCGACAACGATGATGGGACGGTGACGAGTATCTTGTTTTTGTTTGTTGCATGCCTATGGATCAGCAGGGGTAGCGCTTCGCAGTGGGGGACAAGGTCGATCGCGGTGGCCATTCAGGCGCTTCGGAGGCAACCGATTGGCCCTGAAAATAGCAGGCTATGTTTGATCGCCTAGGGGGGGTAGTTATGCAAGGACCAGACAGAATAGCGTCAGAATAAACGGGCCAAGTGCGAAGTAGTGTTAATAGTACTGTAATATACTGTGGAACCACCGTATTTTTTAATTTCGTAAGTAGATTTTTATTATAATTTTATAATAATTACGAAAGTTATTATAAATTATATTTTAATTATAATCGTTTAAAAATCGATAATAATAAAACGTATAAAATTAAAATTAAATAAATATATTATTTAATGATTTTTTTTATTATTATAAAATTTTCGAATTTTTTAAATTAATCGTATCGTTATTATAATTAAAAAAAGTTCGAAAATTTATTTTAATATTTTTTTACGTGTTTTTTTTAAAAATATTAATTATTATTTTCGCGAAAACGATTTTTACGATAAATTAAATAATTTAAAAAAACGATTATTTAATATTTTTAACGTTTTTTATTTTATTAATAATTAAGTTTTTTTAATTAATTATTTTAATAATACGTTATTTAAAATTAAAAATAAAATTTATATTAATTTTAATTTTAAACGTATTTATAATAATTTTCGAATATTTTATAATTTACGAAATTATAAAATAAAATTTAAACTTAAAAAAATAAATAACGTTATTAATTATTTTACGAATAAATTTAAAAATAATAAATAAAAAACGCGTTATTAAAATTATAAAAATATCGTTAATAATATAAAATTAAATTAAGTTTTATTCGATAAAATTATTCGCCGTTATTTTATTATTTAAAAGTTTTATTTTTAAATTAAATAATATAAAAAATTATTATTAAAAAATATTATTTAATAACGTATTAAAATTTTTAAATATAAATAATAAATAAAATATTAATAAAATAAATAATAATAACGTAATGTTATTTTTTTTAATAAAATTTATTTTATTTATTTAAATAAAAAGTTTAAAAAAATATTACGTTTATTATTAAAAAAAAACAACGTATTTACGGTTAATTATATAAAAAAAAATTTATTAAAAAAATAACGAAATAAAAAATAAATTCGTTGCCGTAAAATTAACGAAAAAATTTTAATTTATTATATTATTATTATTAAATATAATTACGTTTTATTATTTTATTAATATTATATAAATAATAATAATAAAAAAATATTATTAAAAAAATATATTAAAGTTTTATAATATTTTTTATTTTTATTAAAAAATCGTTTCGAATTTAAAAATAATTTCGTTTTATTAAAAAATAACGATTTAATATACGAAATTTTTAAAAATAATTTTATATATAAATAAAAAAAAAATAATAATATTTAATTAATTTATACGTTTTTTAATAATTTCGAATTAAATTTTATTAAAAATAATATTAAACGTATTAAAAATATTTACGTTATTATATATATAATAACGTAAAATAATTTAAATAATTAATAAAAAAATAATATAATTAATATAAAAAAATTATTAATAAAAATATTAATAATATATTTAAACGTTAATTTAACGTTAAAAAAACGTATAAATAAAAAATAATATATTAAATTTATATTTACGTATTATTTAAAATTAATTTAATTAAAGTTTCGATTTTTTATAATTATTTTAAATTATAATAATTTTTATAATATTATTTTAATATTTTTAATATTATAACGATAATTTTTAATTTCTTAATCGAGTAATTATAAAAATAAATTATTATTATAATGTATTATAATATTATTAATACTACTTCGCATTTAGCCCGTTTATTTTAACGTTATTTTGTTAAAGTGTTAAAGACGCCTAAATGCCAAGCGAAGGCCTAGTCTAGGGCTGGCAGGGGCTGGTTATCAATTCTTTGGATCAGTTGAAGATCAATCCCTTCTCAGCACGGAACATCACGTCAGGGGTAGTTTTGTCTGGGAAGATGAAACCACGATTGTGCCAAAAGGTCGAATCAATGACCTCGTCCAAGCTCCCTCAGACGGTTTGCCCGTTGCCAGGTGGCCCGCGTTTTACCTACTTCCAGTCTGGGCTTCCCGTTTGCTGGATCGAGAAAAGAATCCTCTTCATGTATTCTCAACCTCGTCCGAAATCCTAAAAACACGACGACCTTCGATGTGAGAGTCCCGGCGATAGCATCATTCCTTTCACTATATACCTTTCTTCGGACCTGGTGTTCTCCTCTTTCATATTATCATTTCACGATGGCTGGCCTTCTGAATGATTTGGGCAATACTTTGGGGGGAGTCGGTGCGGGAGTCGGTGGCCTTTTAGGCGGGACTAATAATGCAAACGATGACGAAAACGATGGAACACAAGCAGTGACGTCTGCATCGCAAACTGGAAAGGAGACGAATGCAGGCAATGTCGCGGCATCTTCAACTTCGGTTGCTAAAGCGACAGCGACAGCGGACCCTAACAATTCGAAGGGCAATGGCAATTCGAACGCCGATAATAATTCGGATGATGCACCCTCTACTACTACTGCTGCTGCTGCGCCTGCGACTTCAGCCAAGGCTTCCACGACAACACAGGCGGCGCCGAAGACTACGGCTATTGCACTCAATCCTGCTGTGTCGGATAGTACAACTATCGCAACTCCCGCTTCTTCGCCGGCAACTGCCGTCTCTAAGCCTAGCACGACCCTAGTTGTTAGCAGCGCACCGACAACATCGGCATCAGCAGTAACACCACCTATTGCGGTCCCTACTACCCTTGCGACGTCTATCAAGTCGTCAACTCCTCTTACCGACTCTATCGCTTCAAGTCTGGATATCCCGGAACCCACCAGTGTTCTCAGCACCGAAAGCGCGATCTCTTCCACCGTGGCAGTCGATGCAACGCCACTTTCCCAGGAAGGCGCCGCTGCTACTCAGAGTGCACTCGCCGAAACGAGTGGGAATACCATCACTCAAGCTCAAACATCATCGAATGGCGGCGGAATGATCGGTCCCCTACCAACCGCTGCCGTAGCCGGCATTGCTGGAGGCGGTGGCGGTCTAGTCCTCATCGCTGCCACGATCTTCACCCTGCGAAGGGTATGGCGCAGAAGGCGCAATGGAAACGGAAGCGACGAAGCCCTGGAGCGACTGGACTCCATGTACGAGGCCGGTAAACCCACGCCCAACGAATCAAACGAGAAGCTCGTCCGTTGGAACAAGGGTCTGTCTGAGTATCACAAGCCGAGCGACAGCAGCTACAAGGCATATAGAATGTGATTATAGCATGACGAAAAGAGTGGGATGACGCAAATTGATTGTGGGTTTTTGGAGTCTGGAAATAGAGCTATTCGGCTGTCATCAAAACATTAACTACCATCTAAACAGGTACCTACCGCCTGAAATACCAATCATATCCCCCCCAATATAGTATAAAATAGTCTAGTCGTTACTTTAGTATATAACGTTTTGTATAATACTACCCGGTCTCTAATACATCATGTTTTGTTGGATACCTACCTCTACTACTCGATGTTCCAGTGAAGAGTTTGGTTTGGCGATCTGAGCACTGTTCACCGATTCTTAGCGACGATCACATGCAGGCAGCCGGTGATGCTGCCCTGTAACGATACACTAAAGATGCCTCCAATCGGGCGCCTCCATCGTGTATATAACATCATACTGCAGCACGCTCCCACCCCGCATCCAACGCGTACGCCATCTCCATTACACAAGTCCTACCCAGATCATATCAATCCCAACGTCAACGAAATGACTGAAGCAGTAAGTAGTAACCAAGTTGTCATCTAATCCGGTGATAACTGACGAATCCAGAATCCAGCTTTCGTACTTATATCCGCCCAAAACGTCGCATTTGAGAGGCGAAAGGCTCCTAAGCTCCGAGACGAGTATGACGTGAAAGTGCATATAGAAGTCACCGGAATATGCGGAAGCGACATCCACCTGTGGCAGCATGGACGCATCGGCGACCACGCCGTCACCAATCGCGTAGTGCCTGGCCACGAGAGCGCAGGCAGGGTTATTGAGGTAGGTAAGAAAGTGAAGAACGTCAAAGTTGGAGATCTCGTCGCCGTCGAATTCGGAGGACCGTGTAGAAGGTGAGTTTTGTGAATGCGATATCTCTAAGAGAGATGCAAGTAACTTAACCCATTCGCAAAGATGCGATTACTGCTGGTCTGGAGCTTATAACCTATGCACAAACACATTATCTGCGGAAAAATCTATTTGGGATGGCACTCTTCAGAAATACTACGTCGCCGCTAGTGATTTCTGTTATTCGCTACCGTCCAATATCAGTGCCGAGGATGGCGCCCTTGTCGAGCCCACAGCAGTAGCAGTTCAGATTTGCAAGGTCGCCAACTTGAGAGTTGGGCAGACCGTTCTAGTATTTGGCTGTGGCCCTATTGGTGTATTAAGCCAGGCGGTTGCGAAAGCGCAAGGAGCCAAGAAGGTCATCGGAGTTGACATCTCTGAGTCGCGCGCGGCATTCGCCAAGTCGTTCGGCGCGGATGATGTATTCGTCCCCGAACGTCCATCCGGTCCCGTCGCTAACTCTGTCGACGCGTCCCGAAAGATGGCAGAGCAGATTGTGGATAAATTTGCCCTTGGTGACGGTGCAGACGTTGTCTTGGAGTGCACTGGAGCTGAACCCTGTGTTCAAGCAGGAGTATTCGCAACTCGAAAAGGGGGGACGTATGTGCAGGCGGGATTAGGGAAGGAGGTAAGTCGGATGCTAGTCGGCTCTATAAGGCCTTTTTCCATGCTAACAGAGACTACTTAGAATGTCGTATTCCCAATCTCAACAATTTGCCTAAGAGGCTTAAATGTGAAGGGGTCTATTCTTTATACGACGGGGTGCTATCCCACCGCTATAGACCTCATTGCTTCAGGGAAGATTAATGTGCGTAGTCTGATCACCCATCGATTCAAATTCGAACAGGCTTTAGACGCCTTCGAACTGGTCAGACAGGGCCAGTCAAATACAATGAAGGTGATGATTCAGGGGGTGCCATGAGGTACTACCTTTCTAGGTACGACCTGGCATCCCTTGAATTGAAGGCTGAGAGCGCTTCTATTGTGAGATTTCAAAAGAAAAAAAGCGTTAGGTAACCCGCGCATTAAAATGTTGACGAAGTTATATTCTCCCCTCCCCCGTTTTGCGCTAATCATAAGCTACTACAATGGCAATAGCCCGTGAGGAAATGCTACTAGGTACCTCAGCTACCCGAACAACACGCTAGAATCCCCCCAATTCTCCTCACCCCCCACTAACTCCTCTAGATCACACGCGACAATATTCCCCCTTAACACCTTCCTAAGAACAATGAAGCAATAACCTTTTCCCACGACCCATCCAAAAATCCACTTCAATGAGGAGAAACCCCAAACCAGTCAAACTAGTTCCACTAAGACCACTAAATGGTAACAAGTATCCCGCCGCCTGATTGGAGAGGATCTAAAGATTAGGCATGTGAACAGCTTAGATACTAGTGTCGTACTCGGTCTGATGTATCCCAAATCTCCGCACGAATGCAAACCGAGCGCTTCTATCATGCCAAGACTCCATCTCGTCACCATCCCCCCTTAAGAACCGCCGCAGGCTTCTCTACACACCCACATAAAAATCTCCCTAGGTGTAAACGTCTCTGAACTCTCCTAACAGTTTTCGCTTTTTTTTTTCTTTTTTCCCTTTTTTGAAGGCAAATAGTTGTAGATAGGTACTTAGTAAACACCATCGCAATGGTCCTCGCCCCACACTCCAACCCCGAAGCCCCCGTGCTCGCGCACTTCAGTCTCGCGGGCAAGACCGCCATAGTGACCGGCGGGTGTCGAGGCATCGGGCTCGAAGTCGCGCGGGGGCTCTGCGAAGCCGGCGCCAAAGTCGCAATCACATACTCGAGCACCTCCCCCTCCGAAGCCGACGACATCGCCGCGCAGATCTCCTCCGCGAACGACGGGCGGCAGGTCAAAGCGTACAAGTGCAATGTGCGCTCGATCGCGGACGTCGACGCGGTCGTGGAAAAAGTGGTGCAGGAGCTAGGTGACGGTCGCCTGGATATCATGGTCGCGAACGCGGGGGTCTCGAAACACACGCCTGCGATAGATTACCCCGAGGACCAGTTCCGCGAGATGTTCGACATCAACGTCAACGGCGCTTTTTGGGCCGCGAAGGCCGCGGCGCGTGTGTTCGAGAGGCAGGCGAAGGCTGATGGGGCGCCATTTCGGGGATCCATTATATTTACGGCCTCCGTGTCCGCGACGCTGGTTAATATCCCCCAGAAGCAGGCGGCGTATAACTCGAGTAAAGCGGCGCTGGTGCATCTTAGCAAGTCCTTGGCCGTGGAGTGGGTTGATTTCGCGAGGGTTAATAGTATTTCGCCGGTATGTTGGCTTTAGCCGTGTTTAAATGACGTGGAAGGGATTTTGGTGCTAACTCGGAATTATTATAGGGTTTTATTGAAACAGAAAGTAAGTCTCTAACCTTCACTCGTGGATGAGATGCGATTCTGGCCCTAACAGATTCATAGTGCTCGACATTCATCCCCAGGAGTGGAGAAAAGTCTGGAATGAGATGATTCCCGGCCATAGATTTTGCAAGCCGGCTGAATTAAAGGGGATATACGTTTTCTTAGCTAGCGACGCAAGCAGCTACATGACTGGTGAGTCTCATGCGACTTCTCGATGCGCAAATCTGATAATTCTATTAGGAGCGGACTTGATAATCGATGGAGGATATACCCTACCATAAGGAGGAGGAAGATTTTTAAATTAAACGTGAAGGTGTCTTGGGAGCACTTCGGTGATGATCATGATATTTTCTGGCTCTTCTCTTAATGTAATCGATCCTCACATATTACCAGATTCAATCATCTATTAGACTTCCAATTCAATCATGTCTAGAATTCATGAATTGTGACTCAATAAAACAGCAGTGAGCTTCCGCCAAGGCAATTTAATATTCGACGATGAAATTATGTCTTCACACTCTTAAAGATACCTAATGAGCGATACGTACATTTGTGATACATAAGCCCTGTTTGCGTGCTCGCAGACAGCGGCGTCGCTTTTGCGACAACATTTGTATAGGATAATTGCAGGTATATATGTAGGTAGGTAATGAATGGCCTGTGGAAGTTTTCATTTAGATCTTTCAATGGGTTAGTCATCAATAGACGTGTCAAAGCTACCCCTGAGCCCCTGAATCTCTCGATGAGCCCTAGCCCATCCCTTACCGAATAGTCTACGGGAGATAACGAAAGCCGCTTAGAAATTTTTTAACTAATATAATATATCATGAGTATAAATATTGATATTGACGAAATGAAGAGGAAAAAAGTACTCCTTGAAGAGAATTATTGGCCCATTATGATTAGGTACCTACCTAGGTAGGTATGAAGGTAGGCTAGGAGAATAAAGAGTTAGAAAGGGAACTTTGAAATGAATTTAAATCCTCTGCTATGATTGGTTATATGTTAATATGATTGAGCGACGGGAGATATTACGCCATGATGAATGTGGCTGGAAAGATATGCCCAAACTCAGTAGGTACGTTGTCCACCGCATACAAACATCGCGGTATAACTGGACCATGAGAACTCGAGTGCGACGAGGCGCAATAATACAGGCTTCAATTGGTGCTCTAGGTCTGCTTACACTGACCCCTAGGGTAAGCCGGGTTAGTCGGGGATGCTTTTCTGTGGCTTCAGCATCGGACCTCCGGCCGTTCGTCACAATCCTTCAGCTGTCCTTTTATAATCAATTCGCCCCATCATTTTAAGTTCTACAAGTCTCACAATTATAGAATCGAAGTGTTTTACTGGTCCCTTAATCGCGTATCGAAAATCATCATGGCAGCGCTAAAGAAGGTTTTGGTAATTGGGGTAGGTAGTGGACCGGCGAATTCCATCTTGTGAATGATGTTCGCTAACTCGAGATTGAAAGGCTTCCACTAGTGGAATGGCTAACCTCGGTGCGTCTCTCGTTGAAGAACTTAAGGCAGACGGAACCTTTGAAATCACAGTGCTGTCCCGCAAATCATCACCCACAGCAACAAAGGGGGTCAATCTAGTCAAGGTGGACGATAGCTTTCCACAGGGCGATTTGGAGAAAGTATTCACTGGCCAAGATGCCGTGGTCATGACTACCAGTTTCCAGCTGTTTGGCCAGGAAGACAAGTTCATTGATGCAGCCGTAAAAGCGGGAGTTAAGCGTTTCATCTCTTCCGACTTTACCAGCAACACCACAAACATGGATACACTAGCCATGTTTCCCATGATGGGAGGTAAAGCCAGAGTGAACGGCGAACTCAAGGCTAAGGAGAGTACTGGACTCACTTGGACGGCGATTAGCACTGGGATCTTCTTGGACATGTAAGCGAATAAAACACGTAGCTCTGATGCATGACAATTCTAACCAGATGATAATAGTGGACTTATGACGGGATTCGTAGGCTATGACTTGAAGGGCCATACTGCTACGATCTGGGATGACGGAAACGCCAAGTTCTCCGTTTCTACGAAAGCAAATGTCGCCAAGGCAATCACCAGAGTTCTTAGGAACCCTGAAATCACCGCCAATCAGCATGTCTTCGTATCATCGCTAGAAACGTCGATGAACGAGATTCTATCCGGACTAGAGAAAGGTCAAGGCGTCAAGTATGATATCTCGTATACCAAGTTGGAGGATGAAGTCGCATTCGGCAAATCTATGCTCGCAAAGGGGGACTTTATGAAGGCCCACAAGTTGGTACTGGCTGCGAGTCTTATTCCGGGATACGGAAACAACTTTGCAGAGGAAGAAAAACTCTGGAACGATGTACTAGGAGTACCCCGGGAGAGTATCGATGAGGTGGTTGGAAAGGTTATCAGAGGCTGAGAGATCTCAAAGAGATGGAACCCATCAGGGCTGTAGGGCATAGGATCAAACCTACCTACAGTTACTTCCTTCGAGAAGCTTGTCCGTAGCATCAATGCAGAAATATCCATTGAATGCTAGGATCGTACTCGTGATTAGCAATGCTCAATCAACATACGGCATTTATCTTAGCCCAATTTTTCATTATTAACACCTAGAAGGTAGGTAGTGTTCAATTAACCTCCGATAGCTCAGCTTCAATGAGACTCTCTGATCCCATCTCATAATTGTAAATCCGCGCGATTTTGAAGCCAGCCCGCTCTAGTATGTTTTCCCAATGCTTCTCCGTTCGCTCCCCTATCGCGCCTAGGACGAACACTAGCTGATCCATAGACGTAACAGGCCAAGTAGGATTTCGATCCGGAACGATAATCTCATTAATAAGAAGTCTCGAGTAACCTGGCTTCATCGCCGGTTTTATCTGCTCCAGGATCTTGACGCAGTCATCGTCACCCCAATCGTGCAGCACGGAGTGAAGGTAGTACGCGCGAGCATCCTTTACTGGCTGGGATGTGAAAAAGTCATGTGCGACAGCTTGGAATCCGTTCTCTGAGACCGTCGAGATGACTTCGGGCCGGTCTTGCAGTATGAGTTTACCAGGAAGTGAGGGGTGCTTCTCCTTGAGCTCTCGTAGATCATGTCCTAAGCCCCCACCTACATCAACAAGGATAACACCATCACCACTAGAACCAGCATCAAACCCATCTACCAGACGCTCAGATATCGGGTAGAAACCAGGATCGACCCATGAAGGCTTTCCTGCCCGATATGCCGACATGTAGCTGTTGAACTTTTCCAGATAAGGTGGGTTCTGGTCCAGCCAAGCAAAGAAAGGAAGCTGGGTGTTATGGGCGGCTTGGAATGGGCCGTCAGTCAGCTTCGTTGGGAGTGTATACTTGATGCTCTTGAGGTACTCAGGCAAGCCACGAAACGACGGACCAGCTACATCGTATCTAGAAAGCGGTGTGAGCTTTCCGTGTCTACCGATCGAGAACGGCTAATCGACACTTACGTGTATATGATACCATCCCTGTATTTGGGCTCGGTAAAAGCATTGCTTAAACGTGTCGCGATGTACTTATCAGTGCCACTCTCGGCGACGACGTTCGTAGCAGCAAGGTGCTTCAGAGTTCGCGCTTATATAATCGTGAATACCTCGGAAATATATTTTACATAGAGTGAGTGGTCGTAACGTACCAATTAAAACTTCATCAGCCCCTGATTTTACAGCTAAGTCTTTAGCGGTGATGCCTTGTTCACCACTACCCTTTAAAAGCTCAAAGAGTTTCAGTTCGACGGCGAGTCGGCAATGAGCTGCTTTAGCAGGCTATGGCCGTTTTCTATGATTAGCATTATTCATCAAAGCTGATTGAAACCATCACCCGTACTTACCTCGGCCCAGCCCATCCGCTGAATCGCTTCACTGGGGAGTTCTACGCTCGATACTAGGGCATAGCCGAGATTCAAAAGTTGCTCGCGCGCACCGGGTTTCTTCTCAGAATAAGCGGCACCGGCTGCTTGTAGCTGCGCAAGAATAGCCTCAGGTGTAGAAGTCATCTTGGTCCTTCTGTTGAATTCTCTAAGAAATATTAAATGTCTGAGCAGGATAAGGGGAGGGTACGCATTCTTTCAATGACACCGGCGGTAATCTGATATACTTACCTACCTAACCGTAGAATTTCGACAGTATAGGATCAATCTTGTTTATGGTCATCGTCAATGAGAATTTTTGGGATACAAATGGTTTCTAGAGGAATACTATATAATGGGAGCCACGTGGTGATTTTCAAACTTAGGTAGTCTCCGTGCCTCTGACATGCGTAAATAAGAACGGTTTATTGAATTCATTTGATGGATAATAAATAGTGCTGAAAGTATTGTGGGCCTTCCAGAGTCTATGATTTACATGCTGGCGTATGAATCCTGTCATCACTATGGACAACGTGGTTGAAGATGGGAGCAGAATGATGAGATTTGTAAGCAACCTTCACATTACCTAATCCAAAAATGGTCCGCCCGGACGGCGGGCGGATTATGTAATGATGAAATTGTCAAGTGGGAAAGACGATTAGTTATTATTTATGTAATTAGTCTTCATTACTAATTACTTACTAAGATTGAATCTCACCCCACCCCTAACCCTAGCCCAAAGTCACACTTAACCCTAACCCCAACTTTCTGTACCCACGCCAATAAAGCTTCCGCGTCTTCTCTTTTCTTCAGTCTATGAGTATGATTTGTCTAGAGAACTGCGATATTAAATCGAAGATTGTCATCTCGCGTGGAATGAAGTTATAAAAAATTTGCCTAACACATATATCCCTTACTATGCTTATAGAGGCAACTTACACATGTCATTGTAGGTTTTAGAAGATGATTATGTCATGAAGGGATAGCTCTGATTAGTGTAAAATGCAGTAAATTACCTAAGATCTTTTTTCAGCTCTAAATGCTATCGCGGAACTTCTCCGTGGACGTTGATCATTAGAAGCAAAACTTGAAAGCCTACAAGAACACGCAATGACCGTTCCATTGTCCAGCTGAGTGCTCCTCAAGTGCCTTGGCAAACTGGGGAAGCGGAGACCTCGTAGTCGTCTGAAGACCCTCTGTGGGGGTTCATAGGAAATATAGTCCTCCCCATTTCCGCGAATCAGGTTCTGCGTAATGCCTGATCTCTATTCCAAAAAGGAAACTCAACCTTTACTAGAGCAACTTTACCCCAAAAATGCGCTTTCAATCATGAATGTAGTGCTAGGCGATCTCATAGGCGCTCCAATCGAATAAAATCCTCCCATTCCGACAACATGCTTGGCCATGGCACTGCCATGACTTCAATACAAGACAGAATACTAGATGACATCGAAATACGGGAGGTCCTGCTATAAATAGTGTTATATATCATGAATAAATATCAGTTCCTTTTAACTTAATGACCATCTTTCGTTTGTCATCCCTCAGTTTTGTCGAGCTAGGCCTAGGCGCGATTGGTACAAGATCAAGTTCAAGATTCTGATAGACATAGTATTCCATCATGTTCTTCACTCCAGGGAGGCTCTTCACGGCCTTGCTGGGTGCCACCTCTCCTTTCTTCATCAACCCAGTTACGGCTTTCACCAACTCGATTCGAAGTCCGGGCGGCAGTGACCCACAAATCGTTTACACAGGTGGATATTACTATCTTATGTCCACCACGTGGTCAAACGTGCAGATCGCGCGGGCGACCACGATTGAGGGTCTGAAGACGGCCACGCGGAAGACCGTGTACAGCTCGACCGAAGCAAGCCGCTGTTGTAGTGTCTGGGCCCCCGAGACGCACTACCTCAACGGGTCGTGGTATATCTACTTTACAGCAGGAAAGTCTGAAAATCTTGAAGGGCAGAATTTGCACGCTCTAAAGGGTGAGTCCCGTTGCTTTTGGATAGATCAGATAGCTTGTGAATAAAATTCTAAACATGGCTAACTTGCTGATAGGCGGTGCTACACCCTGGGATGACTTCACATACGTCGCAAAACTCACCACTGAATGGGCCATTGATGGAACAATCGTCAGGTTTAACGGATGGGGAAACTACCTTGCATCCTCGTGCATGCACGGAGTGAAAAACCAGTCGATATGTATGCAGAAGCTAGGAGACGACAACGTCTCTGTTAAAGGAAGCATCGGGGTCATCTCGCAGCCGACGAACTCATGGGAACAGAGTGGCACCCCCGTCAACGAGGGACCAGCAGCGTTGTACCTCAACGGAAAGACATACATCGCCTACTCGGCTAACTACTGCTGGACGCCTGACTACTGCATCGCGACGCTCGAATGGGACGGCAAGACAGACCCGCTGTCTCCTTCAGCCTGGACTAAATCTAATGGGTGTCTGCTCAAGGGCGGTGTCAATGGCCACTACGGCACCGGCCATAACTCTTTCTTCCAGAGCCCCGATGGCTCTCAGACTTGGAATGTCTACCATGCTACCTCGAATAGTGCTGGTAGCTGCAATGATAGCCGCTATACGATGGTTCAGCTTGTAAACACCAACGCGGATGGATCTCTCAACTTTGGGACACCTGTTGCTTTGAGTTATGATTCTGCGGAGCCAGCGAAATAGGGGCAATGGTAGCAAGAAACACTATATCAACTTTTAAGGTGTAAATATTATTAAGTTACACGTTAGAAAATAAAGAATTTCATCAATCAATTTCTCGGTACCTCTTGGGGTTAGGGTTGGTGATAGGGTCCACTCTTACCCTAAACCCTAATCTCTATTAACCCTAACCCAACCCTAACCCAGCTCTTACCCCAAACCCTGGATTAGGTAATCATGCAATTTGACAATATTCCAAACTTACATAGTATGCTCAGTGTTCATATCCAATTCGTTTTTCAATTAAAACATTGCTATCCCTACCTAGGTGGATTAGCTAAAGTTGAAACATCCAAGCCGCCGAGATGTGTTGTCGTTACGTCAATGCGATACCACATTGGTTGCGATGAGCACCGCCTAGACCGTTGACGGCAGTTCCTTAAATGGATGCAACGTGAACACGGGCCGAGGCAACCTTTCAACTGCCAGAATTGCATGGCTGACGAGTCTGTTGTGTTACCCCGTATTTTGTTCTCCTATCATATCCCTAATATCGTCTTGAGTGTGAATCATGGGCAGAATAGAGAATCAAGGGGTCCCCTAGCTCCGTCGACGTCATGCTCTAACACCAGGTGTAGATCAGTTCTGATCCTTGCTGTCTCCGAATATATCTTCCCCACAATCGCCCCTCGCCTCAAACTTCCAACCGCAATTAATCGGCGAATATTATTCAATCAGTAAAATATTTGCATCTATTATCAGAATCACGCAAAGATCGGTGATTTTAACTCTAACCACTATCCATACCTACCTGCCTCTTATTGATACGCCACGCAGTTCAACCTTAGAGAATAAAAGATTCGAAAATCGAGCTAACACCAATCATCATCATGCACGCAAAACTTGCTCTTGCCGTCATCTTCCTGGGCAACGGTCTAGCATCGGCGCAGACATCAAATCCAGGAGGTCCTATCCAATCGTTATCCTCTGCCGCGGACCAGAGCACATCCGGAGTATTATCTATCCAAACGGACACCGTCATTAGTGGTTCCGGTACTACCGTCCCTGTCACTTCCAGTTCCAGGACGGGATCTACCAGTACGGAGACCGCTGCCTCATCTTCAACCTCCTCTGCTCCGTCATCTTCTGTTTCCGGTGCTGGGGCCGCATCGCCACAGGAGACAGGTTACGCTCTCGCAGCTGCCGCGGCAGCGGGTTTCTTTGGAGTCGTCGCGGCACTATGATGGGTTATAAGCTGACAGAAACCAAGATTATCAAGGAAAAAAGATTCAACTTAGCAGAAAATGTCAACGAAAAAAAGACTAAATTATGTACATATGGGTACACATACCTTTGGGCAATTGAAAATACCTCGTTAAAAGGATTCAAACTATGGTTAACAACCTGACATGACGTCCTTGGACCTCTATGAACATCACGCGGAGGCTCAGACCTCTTCGATGCTTGGTCTTCAAGCAAATGGCGCCTCTACCATGTGTAGTATCAATACATGATGTATTGTCCTTAGTTCTCACTCAGCATTTAGAATGGCATGCAGAGTCGTGCAATGGCTGTATTCAGGGGTGTGCCAAGGGGGACGGGAGCTAAGTCCGACCGAGCGCATCCAGCTTGGAAGGCCATAGAGGATTTTTTTTTAAAAAAAAAAGCGAAACACAAACCTCAGAAGCCTATTCTCAGAATCCTTTGCTTAGGTAGGTATACTTGTTACGAAAACTTTTCGAAGAAAGCGCCTTATGGAATTTCGGTAAGCATGTAAAGCTGTAGAGATGCGTTTCAGGGGAGTACATGTGAGACCCCACGGACCATGATTAGGTAGGTATACGACCCGATAATGGGGACTTCCAAGGCTATGTTTTGCTGCGAAAAAACTAAGTCTTTAAGGCTATCAGTCATTAAAGAATTAAATAATGAGCGCGTATGAACAGCAAGGTCTTTACGTGAAAGAAAAAACGCAACTTTGCGCTTACTTAGACCTCTGACTAAGGCAGGTGTTATTCATTGAGATTAACTACCTGCCTGAGCACTATTATAATTATGTCTACTTCGAAGTCACTCTAAAAAATTCCTGATTTCGGTGCCAGTGCCATGTGCTTAAATATCGCGCGATCTGACTACATCCCCCTTTTTAAGTTCGCTTCCGTCACTAAAGTCACTAATCCCAATCAATGCGATGAAAACTCAGAAACTTGGGATAGTTCCGCTTACTCTACCTAGTTAAGTGCTTTCGCGCTGACTTCTTACTCATCATCTTCCCTTAACAAGTATCTACAGTAAATACCTAGGTACCATTCAAAAGTAATCTTATAAGTATGCTTGTGCGGGAGATGAATGTGCGGTTAAGTGTCCGAGATTTGTGGGATTCTAGAGGCAGGTGGTGATGCTGACTCCTTAGTCTATCTTGCACACCCTAGGGTTGACATGATCCAACCGTTCATAATAACACCCAGAGAGACTAATAGGTTTTCTGATGTCGAATCACTTCCTTAGAGTTCACTATGGAACTTCTAAGTGGAATACTAGAATTTCACAGTGCTGAGCCCAGACTTAGAATGGTCTTAGCCCTTACGCGGAGGCATTGTACGTGCCCTATAAGAGTGTTCGGGAATGCATTATATGTTAAGGTACGGCTTTGTTTGTCCGTAACAGCCGTGTTGTTTGATGGTATATATCTTCAGTTACTTAGGACATCGCAATCATCATATCATGTGCCCTAGAGCATCTTTTTAATAAAGATTCCTCTCATACACGTTGTCAATACCTACTACCCGATACAACATGGCACAATTTGAGCCCCCAAACGGAGGTTGGCTAGGATGGAGCCAGGTTGCTGCTTCATTCCTCACTAATTCCTGCACACTTGGACTGAGCAACTCCTTCGGTGTCTTCCAGTCCTATTACGAACATAACACTCTCAGTTCCCACTCATCTTCCGACATCTCGTGGATTGGAACGACGCAAGGCTTCTTGCTGAGCCTCATCGGAATCATCAGTGGACCACTATATGACAGAGGTTATATTAGATATTTGATGTACATAGGATCGCTATTGAACGTCGCCGGACTCCTAGGAACCAGCGCCTCAGAAGAGTACAGCTTGATTTTTCTCTCATATGGCATAGCGTTAGGCCTTGGATGCGGCGCTCTTTACGTACCAGCACAAGCGACGATACAAACATACTTCACGACAAGAGCCTCGCTCGCAAATGGTATCGCGATGGCTGGCTCAAGTTTCGGTGGGATTATATATCCTATTATCTTTCGACAGTTAGAACAGAGCATCGGATTCCCCTGGGCCTGTCGCACATTAGCTCTGATTAATGCAGTTCTTTTGATTATCTCTTGCCTTCTCATGAAACCAAGGGCTTTATCGGATCAAACATCGACCACAGGCTCATTCGACTGGCGGTCGCTATGGAACCGGGACTTATTGTTACTCGGACTGTGTGCTCTCCTACTGAACATGGGAGTGGATGTGCCCTACTATTATATCTCTTCATTTGTTCAAGAGAAGCTTCATGGTTCTGCCGGAGTAGGGGACAGCTTATTGGCCGGCATGAATGCATCCTCTCTAGTTGGTCGACTGGCTCTTGCATGGTTAGCGAGGTATCTGAAACCTATGAACATTTGGCAATCTACTATCTTAGGAGCAGGCATACTCCTATTTTGCTGGTCCTCGGTGGGAGATCTCGGGGGTATGATCGCCTTCGTTATATTGTACGGGTTTCACGTAGGAGGGCTGATCGTTCTGATACCCTCTTGTGTGCGAGCCATCTGTCCAGACCCGGATGTCCTTGGAGCTCGCTTGGGCCTCGTGGAAGCCTTTCAGGGAGTCGGATTTCTTATAGGCCCACCTATCGCTGGCGCAATATTGGGAACTCAATCAGGATACCTTGGTGTGAGCCTATTCTGCGGAATAGTCTACCTGGCACTCTTCATGATAGTGGGATATTTCACATGGCGGCGATTTTTTGGTATGTCAACAGAGGAAACGTCTAGCGATGATGAGGAGTATTCGAGCACCCAACAAGCATCTGCTATGAGGAGACTGTCGTTATGATAGGTTGTCAGTAAAGGTGAAGAGGGGCGAGAAAAGATAATAGGGGATTAGATGTTAACTGCCAGGCAGTTAGGTAGTTAAATAAAAAAATGCCTACTAACAATCAGAAACTGCAAGAAGCTTATTGTTTCTTATCATAAAGAATTGTGTTTCCTGTTGAAAGGTGATTAAACCTGAAAATATTCTTTGTTTACTCTATCAGAATCCCAAAATACCTGATATTACGTAAGCATTGCCCCTTTTTCTAAGAGTTATTCACTGTTTAATTTCTTCATATATGAGATAGCAGGTACCTACCTAATTATCCAATCATTAAGCCTTGTGATTAGATGAGCCAGCTACATGTTAACCCCTTTGACATAATCACGTCTTCGCGACAATTCCTCTATCTGCTTAGTCAGCATCGCGGTTCTCGTTTGTTCGTACCTGATTTCTTCCCCTGGAAGCTAGATAATTTTCTCGTGTAGCAATAATAGTAGCCAGCCTAGAGAATGGAGCATATCCAACCTCGGGGTTCCTACGTCGGATAGTAGGGAAAATGATGTTCCTACACACGTTGCAGCCTTAGTGCTACATATGAGATATAGCGCGAGGTGTAAGGTTATCACATCACAAAACAGCCCGGGAAATCAAGTGCAAGCTACATTCTTAGGTATAATTCGGGGTTGATGAGGTTAAAGCCCTTGGAGGGGGATACCTTGCATTGGTTAAGGAGATCGAACAACCCGAAGCGATCGAAATGGATACGCCCGTTTTTCGAACTAGGGTTAATATCAATGAGCATAATTCGATTGAAACATCGAATCGACACCCGGCTAGATATTTTCGTAGCTCCCATTGTAATTATAAATCATTATACAATATAGTCATGAACTGCCGTCTTGTAAGGGCTGGGACGTTCTCGGCCTACAATTTTCGGCGATACGCCTAACTCCAATCCGGACCTGTCGGGAGCGGCGAAAATAGATATGATCCGATTGTCGTCTTGCATTCGACCGGTACCAAGAAGCCGCTTTGGCTGGTACATATAGGCTCTGGGCACGGGGGTTCAAACCGTATCAAACTAGCTTCGCATCCGTCGCGGGCGCTGTCGGTGTCGGTGTGGATATGGCAGTCGGCAGGTGACAATCACGAGGGTCAGACGCATCCTTCATAATAGCCAAGAAGCTCGAAGAAGCTAAGAAAGAATTTGACTTCCTAGGTATGTCGCTTCAATCTTCCCATAGTACTGAAACTCATAAACGACAGACGATTCCTAAATGTAAGAGTTAACCCTCAGACCAGCAAGATTGGCTGGGTGACCAAAAGTTGCATATGATCTGCAGAGTGTAGTAGTCAACCGCAAACCTTCGGAAAGCGTGCAGGTTGTCGATATACCCCATGGCGAGCCCCTGAAGATGACAACCGCGTCCCGTAACGAATAGGTGAGCCAGCACCTCAGTCAGCGGAGACTTTGTAGGGCCAATCCTCGCCTTCACGAAGTAGAAAACCGCATTATACCGTAATAGGACCGCAGCATGCTAGGCGTTTCTCTACAGATGCAGAAAGCTGCAGGAAGGTTTGGTAAATGGGTAAGTAATGAATAAGAAGTTGATAATCTTCGGAAGTCAAGCGAGTCCGAGCCCCGAATTATCTTTTTAGATCTTACTAAGCAAGTGAGACACCGGTATATGAATAAAACTGGATTTATGAATAAACTGGGGAAGCGGCTATTAGTGGATATTATCGGCACTCAATTGACTCCAATCTCCGCATTTCTCCAAATCTGACCGTCATTGTCCAGCATCTGCATCGGAATTGTTTTGTAAACTTTCTTCTCTCAAAGTCTGTATTCCGCTCCATTATTTACCTCCAGTAGCCGGCCGTTCATTTTCCTCTTTATATTGATCCTCAATTTCCCCTCATCGTTTAAATTAGCTCAAAGATGATGATGTTAACTAATCCATTTCACAACAATACTATTACTGAAAAACCATACAACATTGATCCATCGTGAATACCAGTATACACCAGGTACATATCTAAATTGCTTTGCATCAACTCCTCGCGATGCCTGTCACAACGTTTGAATTCGGCGAGAAATATAAATACCAGAATGGCTTTGGGTCCTACCATGAGTGAGTTGGCATATATCATGAAATACCTAATTATCATCTTACATAAAATGTGGCACGTAGATCCCAAGCGATCGAGGGCGCATTACCAATAGGCCAGAATTCTCCCCAAAAACCGGCGTACGGCTTGTATGCCGAAAAGCTGTCGGGAACTGCATTTACGGCCCCTCGACATGAGAACCAACAAACCTGGCTCTATCGAATACTCCCGTCCTGTGCACATCCCCCCTTCGCTCCCGCAGCCGGCAACTCTTTCAAATCAGACAAGCTCACCGATTCGGCGAAACTTGAATATATCCCAAATCAGCTACGATGGGACCCATTCGATCATGACGACCAAACGGACTTCGTGTCGGGTCTACGTTTGGTTGCCGGGGCCGGCGATGCGACACTAAAACAAGGCATTGGCATGTACATATACGCAGCGGGGAAGTCAATGGATGAGAAGTCTGCTTTCTACTCGGCGGATGGTGACCTCCTAATCGTAGCTCAAGACGGAGTACTAGATATCAGGACCGAGCTGGGTTGGCTTTTAGTCCGACCAATGGAGATATGTGTCATCCCACGGGGAGTCAAGTATCAAGTCCATCTTCCCTCCGGGCCAGTCCGCGGATATGCGCTCGAGCTTTATCAGGGCCATTTCACTCTTCCGGAATTGGGTCCAATTGGGTCCAACTGCCTTGCCAACGCCCGTGATTTCCAAGCTCCCGTCGCCAGCTTCAGCGAGGACTTCGGCGCCACTGCTTCTGAAGGCCCTAGTGCTTACACGATGACGGTCAAGTTCAATAATTCGCTCTTCCAGACCAAACAGGCCCATACGCCATTTGACGTCGTAGCTTGGCATGGAAACTATTACCCATACAAGTACGACCTAGGTCGTTTCAACACTATCGGAAGCATTTCATATGACCATCCTGACCCCTCAATCTTTACTGTGCTCTCAGCCCTTTCGGACCATCCGGGCACCGCCATCGCCGACTTTGTCATTTTCCCGCCACGCTGGCTGGTAGCTGAGAACACATTCAGGCCACCATGGTACCACCGCAACACCATGTCTGAGTTCATGGGTCTCATTTCGGGTGAGTACGATGCGAAGAAGGGAGGTCAGGGCGGTTTCATGCCCGGCGGTGCCAGCTTACACAATGTCATGAGCGGGCACGGCCCGGATGCGAAGAGTTACGAAGGGGCTAGCAATGCCGAGCTTAAACCGGCTTTAGTTGGTAAAGGCAGCTGTGCCTTCATGTTCGAGAGTTGTTTGATGGTGGGCGTAACTGAATGGGGTCTCAAGATGTGCCAGAAGGTACAGGAAGGCTACAACGAAGAAAGCTGGGGTGGTGTTCGGGTCCATTGGAAGAAGCCCGAGGGTGTGAGCGCTAATAGTCATCTGCTAAAGTGAGGCGGGATGCTTAGTAGGTTGAAGCCTTCCAACTTCGAAAATCCTAGTCTGTCAGACTTGTACCATTAATGACGAAATGACCAATTATCATAGGTTAAGCTTAAGGCGGACTATTATGATCTGTCCAGAATGAAATATTTGCTTCGATTCAGCTTGCACACGACTTACGATGAGCCTCACTGCTCAAGTAAAGATTAATAGAAAAGATCAACCAACATTTCAACCACCAACACCACAAACGCAAATGATTATTACAGAATGCTATTTTTTGAAATAAATGCAATATAAATTAAATAGTAGAGTTGGATATATCTAGCTGTACACAAATAGATCGTATGCTCAAGTAGCGCCCAACACCGTATCAACCCCAAATAATTTATGCCGGCTAAGTACTAAGTAGGTTGAAGTCATTCTTGCCTCCCTTCCCTTCTTTGATACCCACTCACCCCATCAACTTCACGATGTACCATCAATCTTCAACTCAGGATACTCCGGCATAGCCATACCAGCCTTATCCTCCGGCATAAGCGCAAAGATCAACTTATCAATCTTAAAAAACGCAATCATCGACATAACAAAATGCAGCACCTTCACTCCCCACTGCGTATCCAGCGTCATAAGCCACGGAACCCCCGGGGCCAGCTTCTGCGCCTCGTCGATATACGGGCGCACATTAACATCGTACGCCTCCAGCGCAATCTTCACATCCCCCTTATGTCTCGCCAACTCCCCCGCCAGCGTCCAAGCCCCGAGCAGCGAAACCGTGGTCCCCATCCCCGTAATCGGAGCCGCGCAGTACGCCGCATCGCCCAGCAGCGCGACCCGTCCCTTCGCCACGTGCGGCGCCTTCACCTGCCCGATCGCGTCCGCGTAGAAATCCGTCGCTTTGCGCATCCCCTCGATGAACCTCTCGCCCTGCCACTCCACGCCCTGGAAGATCTTCGCAAACGTGTCGATCTGCGTCTCCACGCTCTGTCTCTCTATCCCGCGCCGCACTTCCTCTGAGTCCGTCCGCACCATCAGATATACCTGCGTCTCCGGCCGATCCGCCGCCCGGATCGCGATCCCGCGCCCCCCGCCTGGCATGTAGAACTGCGCGTACTGGCCGTCGGAGGGGATCGTTGGGATCGTGTAGTACGCGATGTACAGGTTCAGCGGCTTCAGCATCGCGAGCCCGGCTTCCTCGCCGAAGAGCATCCGGCGTGTTCGCGACCATTGCCCGTCTGCGCCGATGACGAGGTCGTACCGTCTTTCCGTGCCGTCGGAGAATGTCACGTCTACGCCGTCGTCGTCTTGCGCTAGGGTCTTCGGCGTGATCCCGAAACGGTACCGCACCCCGGGCTTGTCCTCCGCTGCGGCGTCGATTTGCTCCGCGGTGGGTTGGGCGTCTGGGATGCCGGTTTTGGGGTCTTTGAGGCTGGCTTCGTAGAGGAGTTGGGCGAGGTCGCCGCGCATGATTTCGAATTCGCTGGTGAAGGATTGCGCGCCGGTGTTAGTGCCGCTGGTGCCGAAGACGCCGTGTCTGCCGCCTTTAGCGTCGACGAAGGTAAAGCCGGCTTCGTGCACGACTTTCTCTCGCACGACGTCCATGAGGCCTAGACGCTTCATGATGGGTACGCCCCAGGCTCGGAGATCGATTTGAAGTCCGTTGTGCCGGATCCCGGGGTAGCGTTCTACTATCGTCACGCTATTTTCCGGGTCGGACCGCCGTAGCATAAGAGCCATGGCGGGGCCGCAAATGCCGGCACCAACGATTAGGACCTTGAGCGGCATCTTAGTGGCACAGGTTCTATATAGGTAGGGATCAGTGACGTTATTGGCCAACACCTAGAATGCTTGTTCTAGTAGGGCTATGAGAGGATCGAGATCGAGATAGGAAGTAGGTAACAAGAATTCGAATGATATCGAGAATTCATGGTGAAAATGTTTCCAAACGGGAAGCAGCAGAAGCTATATAATAAAGAAAATTGATCGTCTGCAGTCTATACGAAACGTACAGCTCGCTGCAACTCCACCATCAATTCAGCTTTGATGCTAGCCCATCTTTACATTCGTCAGGGCTTTTAGTGAGTTAATCCTCCGAGCAGAACTGCTAAATACAGGTGCCTAGTGACGCACGGTTCAAGCTTCCAGAACCTGGCCAGCATCTTGTTCCAAGGTTGAGTCATTCACTCCTTCACCCGAGCTCGGATTGCTGAAGAAACCCGGTTCAGCGTATCCTTGCATGCACGAAAGCTATGGGAGATGTTCTCCAAGCGGAAAGCGGCTCGAGATCATTCGAGACGTACATATCTGCGGAAATTTCGCTGACTCCCCCGAGTCCGATTCTCCGTCATAGGTAATCCGACTACCGCTCTACATCAACGGGGTAGACCTAAGTCGATCTGATAAGATTTTAGCTAATAGACAAGGAGAGGACCTGTCTAGCCTATTTCGGTTCTTGAGTTCGGCATTTATGCATAGGACGCGGGTTTAGGCGGCGGACTTTGGGTCATTTACAATACGATGAAAACATAATTCTATTTAAACGAGTACAATATGTCAACGCTACCAAGTTATTAAATCCCTCAACATGCTTCCTATTTCAGTTTAAAACATATTCTATACGATAAATTATGAGTCATCACCAGTCGTCAAGTTAATGTAGGACCTATCTAGAATCTAGGTTCCAGGTGCCATTAACGGAGCATACCTCCTACCTACTGTAATAGGCACGATAATTTTCAGGGGTAATAAAGGGTCTATTCAAATCGCGGAGCTATCCCGGATGTAACATTATCCTTTTACTGCTAGCTCAGCCCTATAAGGTATGATTAAGCTATGTCCGATTCGGTTCAATTCATAGCATCAATTAGTGATCATCCGACCGGCCGATGCCAAAGGTGATTCGCTGCCGAAAATCTCGGCCTCGGTCCCGGACGGAGGTACCGCGAATGGAGGCCGAGTAGCGCGATGAGAGTGCGGTAGCGTTGCTCTAAGTACATGTAACTGGATGCACTACGATCTCCATACTATTATTTAAGACTACCTACCTACCTACCTACGTATACGTCCGAAAACCGCACATTAGATCTAGATTCCAATTACGTGTTCTGTCCGGAGATTAGGGATGGAGGTCTGAAGTATGGGGTTAAACTAGTGACTATCATATCGCCCAACCTCTCGCGAATTATAGAGGGCGAAGCCCTCTTGAACTAATAATCCTAATCCGGCTCATTCTATGATCAGGACAAACGCCCTCGGAAAGTCAATCGCAATCTCTGCTCGTTAATCTTAAATATTTCGGGAAACCAAGCATCAAGCTCTTTCTCATCGCCGTCTCCCATCATTGTCACGAGCGCGCGGGCACACATCCAACACAAGACCATTCCATGCCCCTGAAAACTAGTCGAAACCCAGAGGTCCTTCTCCCCCGGCATTTCACCAACGAAAGGAAAGCCATCGGGGCTGAACCCCATAATACCGGTCCATGACTTACGAATTCTCCCCTCCGAATTATCAGCGCCCCAGTTATCGCCGAAATACTTGCGTAAGCACTCATCAAGCGACTTCATGATAACCTCATTAAACGCAGTGTCATCCGTCGTCCCATACTCCTCAAGCCCATCCGCAGGAGCCTTAGCCAAAGCCCCACCAATCACGATATCTCCTTCAAACTTCGACCCCTTCGGTCGTGGAATCATGTAATCATAACCGCCTTCGTAGATAAAGCTGTAAGTCCCCGGTAGCCCCTCCTTCGGCATATCCAGTCCGGGCCGCTGCGCCGTCACATGTCCCCGGAGCGGAACAATGACGCCCTGGAACCTCTTCCAGACGCTAGCCGTGTACCCGTTCGTAGCCAGAACCACCTTTCCCGCGGTGATCACTCCCCGGGGCGTTTCAACCTTCCAGCCGCCACCCTCAAGCTTCTCCAGATTAAGCGCGGGAGTGTTCGTGTGCAAATTAAGGCCCTTCGCTAAACACAGCTTCAACACACCAACACCGAACTGATACGCGCTCAAGCTCCCCGCCTCATACGAAACCCCACCACAAACACTCTCATCTCCCCCGCGACCGCAGAAGAATTTCTCCCACACGTCTTCGCGGCTGTGCAGGGTGTACTTCGCCGCATCATCGTCCGGCATCGCATCCTGCATGGCCTTAACAGCTTTCTGATCGAGCTCCCATTGCGCCGCTTCGTAGACGACGTCTACGGTGTCGCACGGGGTGCTGTCGCATTTGATCCCGTGGTCTCGGGCGAATGCGTGGACCGCGCGGATGTTGGCTAGTTCCATGCGGGCGATCTTCGCTGCCATGGCTGTGCCGTGGTCTTTCTGGTGGCCTAGGAAGGAGCGGTAGGATGCCGCTTTGGTGTGTCCGCCTATGATGTACACAGTAAGTCGCAATCAGGTCTGAGGTCTCGGGTAAGGAGGGGTATACCATTTCGTCCGGTGGCGCCTGAGCACGCTTGTCGGGCCTCCAGCATGACGACATCGCGAGCGCCGTTGCTGAGCAGATTGAAAGCTACAGCAGCCCCGGTGATTCCACTCCCGATAATGACAGTGTCAGCCTTATCGGGCAATGAGCTAGTCGAGCGCAAGTCAGCGATCTCATCGGGCTCGAGTTGCCAATAGCTCTGAGTGGGATTGTCCCGAGGCAAAGTGACTGGGATCGCGGCGCGTTGATCCATATTTTGAGCTGATAGATGACTTAATTTACTGTATTGGAGAGAAAGGCGCAAATAGATAAGAGGGCACGAGATCCATGTCGTGACGTCTCTGTGGAACAGCGATCGGTTGCACACAGTAAGTCGTGGCTGTTTTAAAACGCAATCTTCTACAAGAAAAGGTTGGTATCTCTATTCTCTTTCCTTAGCGAGACTAAACCATGAAGTTTTACTTCATATCGAGATATAATCACTCATGTTTGAGCGTGATCGGAGTAGTTGTAGATAAGAGAAGCTCAAGTCGGAGGTCGAACGATTTCACAGTACGAATTGACGTTTGGGGGACTGGGCACAGATCTGTGGCTGTGGTGGCTAGTGGAATAGGGGCTGCGACTTAGGGAAGAAATAGGGGTTAGAGGTTGATATTACATAGCTCACTTTCAATTCAACGACTCAAAATATAGGTAGGTAGGTATCTGGACTCTTATATTCAGAAACCAACTTCGGTACCTAGGCGCGCTCATCCCTACCTCTAGGGGTAAGTAATTGTCGTGAAAGAGCTAGGTACTGGGTCTTTGATTCCATTCCCCAATCCCTCCCGTTGGGGGTTTTTTCTTTCCAGTCTGCCTATTTTCCATGTTTTCATAACCTATCCATATAAGCAGGTAGTATGCGCTTATTTATCCTTATTCAACCGACCGAAACGTTCGTATAAAGAAAGATTTGATGGTGTTCTCATAACTCCCTCCATATAAGTAGACTCGCTTCAAGTTGACGTTTCTTCCATCGTTTGCAGTCCCCCGAAATGATACCATCGCTAACGTTCAGGTGGGAGTCCAAGCTCGCAACTTGGGTACCATAGATATTTTATAAGCATGACATAAGAAACAACCTCGCTTTTCGTGGCGCATTTTAACTTCGAAGTCTAATTCCTTCAGAAGACTCGTCTTCTCTTCTTCGCTAGCGTGGCCTGCCAGTTTCTAGGCGGTGGGGGACCAATTCTCCCTTTCGCGGGTGGTTCCTTCCAAGTCGAAGCGGCGACGAGGTCTTCTAGTGTTTCGGTACGACGAGGGGGTGTCGGGGGTGCTGGAGGCGTCTCGCTTCTGGGGTGTTTCCCAAGACTCGACTCTTGCTTCTTGCAGTGGGTCCCCAGAGCTTTCTCCCTACCCGCCAATTTATTCTTCTCTTTCCCGCGAATCTCCGCGAGCACATCAGATGGGTAATCGATGCCCGGATTGTCGATGTTGAAGCTGCATTTTAGCTTTTGCGAGATGCATTTTGCGCATTTGAGTGTGTTGTAGCTTTTGACGTGGTCGCTTGTTGCAACTCGGCATCCATCGGGGTTCTTGATGCAGTGGGCGCAAGGGACGTGTGCCTTCTGTCCTACGCCATCTTCGAATAATGCCTGTCCTTTCATCTTCTCCTTTGAAGACTTCGTCGAGATTGGCTTTGTGGGTTTGGGGATGGGTTGACGGCGTGACGTAGAGTCGTCATGGGGCTTGCCATGCTCGTGAGGTATGTCAGCGGGCAGTGGTTTAGGAAGTCGATTACGAGTTGCTGACGACCTAAGCTTGGCATTTCCTTCAATGATTACTTTGTTGGAATTGCGTGGGACTGTCATGTCGTCTGGTTGCAGCATGGGGGGATGGATTGGAGGCGACGTAGTTTCTGGGGTTGTCGAGTCTGACTCGTCAGGCCACAAGACGACTTCGAAGTATTTCGAACCGGGTGGGAACGACATCTTGAATTTCAGCTGCAAGTTTGTAATTAGCTTATCCGATGTAGTAAATATAGATGATGAATATTTTCATCTTGCATACCTACCTTGATATTTTTAAGCTACGAAGGCCGGTGTTCGAGAATAAATGGCGCGACTCAAGTGAGAGACGAGTGTGAGGCTTATTTGATAAAATGAAGCAAGTTGGTTTGGTACCTATGCTTAAGGAGTGACTAACAGAACTTGTTAACCGCTACGTAGGTAGGTAGGTAGATGGTTAGGTATAGGTTAGGAGAACGTATGTAGGGCGGCTCAGGAAAAGATATTTTCTAGGTAGAGAGGTTTCTCCAATTCCAAGATCGAATATAAACATGACAACATCGTAAGTAATACAGCCTACATGGTGATAGTTTCTAGTGGCACGCATATTGTATAAATTTATCTATGTGGCTTATATAAGTTTAAAAGACGATGAGGTTCGAAAGTCTAGGGGCAGACGCCTAAATCTAACGATACATGATTGAAAATCTAAAATAACTTTTAAAAATACGCAAGGACATAGGTACTCATCGGACCCAATGAGTTCACGTTCAGTATCGCGTATTTAATATTGCTGATTTAAAATGGTTGCAGTTGTAGTTTTGTTACGTAGTTCACCTTTAAGGGGTAATTTTCATAGTATTTCGTCGCATTTCATGTATTTATACACATAAAATTTAAGCTGCAATACATAAGACCTTTCAAAATGTTCAACCTTATTGCATCTAGTAGAGATCTGTCAAATGGATTGTATTTTAATTAGCGATTTCCCGTTAAAGAAAGGCTAAGTTGTGAAGATACTTCCAACTAAGGTGTGAAGTTTAACACCACTAGTAAGGAACGACGCCAGGAGAATCACCATGGCAACCGAAACCAATAATTCATAGGAGGTAGGTCAATAATTGATGAATAACATCTATTTCTATTGAAAGTATTAATTCTCTACTAAATATTCTCCACTCTACCCCTTTTTCCATCGCGATCCTCAACCTTCTCCCTGGAAGCTTCGTCCTCGGTTGGCATTTCGGTTGTCGCATCCGTTGCCGTTTCTTCAGCACTTGCCTCGACATCGGCTTGCGCGTTAGAAGATCGGGGTAGTTCCTCCGTCTTAGGTTTCCTCATATTCCACCCACCTCGCCAACCCAGCCAACCTTTTTCATGTGGCCCTCTCATCAGAAGAACCAGCAATCCCGCTATTATCTGGGCGATATTGAAGGCTCCAGAGTACGTCCAGCCTCCTTTCGCATACAAGGCATTGCCAACAGCTGTGCCAAAGAGTTGTCCACAGAAGGTATGGACCATATAGACGGAATTGACCGCATTCTGCGCTTTGGTGTCGACATGTGCGATAGCAACACGGTTCGCGACAATGATCGTGTTCATCCCAAGATCTCCAAAGAACGCCCAGATGACAGGACCGGCTAAGGAGAAGGTCCCGACGAATGTGCCTATGCAAATCGCAGCAATAGTTACCAGATGCGCGATAATCAGTGAGCCATGTGGGTGCAGAGGTGCTATTAGAAAACGGGATATGATGGGGTTTAGAAACACCGGCGAGATTCCTATAAGTGCGAAGAGGCCAATGGCTAAGGTAGATAGATGGAAGACGTCGGCAAGCTGAAACGTCAAAGTTGTCCAGAAAGAAGTGAACATGCCCATCGTCAGGAAAGCGATGAGCGAGTTCTGGGTGAGTTCGGGGTTGAGAAAAGGTAGTGTAACGATCTTCAGGAGAATTCTTGGGTATGATGTCCCAGGGCTCAATATGGGATAATCAGGCATTACGAAGAAGAGGAAGATCCAAACAAGAATCTGCAGGCCGAAAGAAACCCAATAGACGTTTCTCCAAGACGTGTATTGGGTAACGATGCCGCTAAGAAGACGAGCGACGAGGACACCAAAAACAAGGCCGGACATGACGATAGAAATCATGGTGGCTCTATGTCGCTTCGGCGCATACTGAACGGCGAGCGGAAACATGAGCTGAGGAGTTACGGTCAAGAGACCGACCAAAAACGAGAGCCCCAGGAAAGCGGAAAAAGACTGGGTTAGAGTGCATCCAAGCCACTATGAGGGGTTAACGGAGTCTCTTCAGTAAAAGGTCTTAGCATACTATTAGGGCTGTCATAAAGATTAGACTGAGGATCATAGGCCGTCGTCGAACAATATCTCCGACCGGAACGATAAGTAGAAGCCCGACAGCATATCCGGCCTGTGTAAGTGTCGGTACTAAAGAGGAACGCTGATCCGATACATTGAAGTCATCCGCAAGGATATTCAAGATGGGATGGCTATAGTACAGGTTCGCAACGCTAAAAGAGGCAGACTGGTCAGAATTAGCGGTAAGTCGCACAGAGTTGTCAGAGTATCCGATATGATATCCTATACATATATGTCATACCAGTCCAAATAAAATGTTCATCGTCCAGCTAAGATCATGGTTCGCTTCCGGGTCCCATTGAACCCATGAGGGCGTCCAAGTGAGTCGCTCCAGTGCACCCATAAACCCTTGGCTGAGACATTTCGGGGAGTTTTGGCGGCTCATCATACTTCGATGGTCCGCTCGTTGCAAGTAGTTGAACGCCTGAGATATAGGATATGATCAATCTATCTGATAAATACGATCGAGGAAGACTGCGTAACATATGCATATGAGAAATGCATAAGTCAATTGGGAGTCACGCCGAAAAAGAGCATGATACTGATGCATGCTGACTGGAAAGCAGCGTTGATCTCCGCTGGTTTCCGCCCCTAACTCCGAACGACAGGGGATTGAAATCATGTTGCATCGCGAACGAATAGCCCTGGTCTATGATGCCGCGTTCGAAAGAGTCTTTGTCTTTTAATTGATGAATAAACACTGAGAACTTTTGAGTTCAACTTAGTTTAATAGATAACATCGAAGTCCATGTAATTGATGTTAAGGTCATCCTGCAATGGATATTAGCGTCGGCTTACAGCATGTCTTACAGCAGTCTTCAGTGGACGTCCTCTCACCATGCCCCAGACTACAGCGGGTAATTGTAGCTAAGGCTTTTGCCGCTACCCGTTCCACAGGGTATTTCGCGTCTTCGGCATATTGAGATCAGCCCGAAGTAAAAATGAAATAAAAATACAAGAGCACCTAGGCAATAATCAGAACGCCTCCCGAAATACAAAATAAGAGATAAATAATCCCAAGAATATTCTCAATTTGCTGTAACTAATAGGTATGCTGACCCGAAGCGAAGATGTGCAATAGCAATAGGTACCTAGTATGTACCTACCGATCTTGTCAAAGCCCTACCTAAACGTCACCTCCAAATCTCACCCTACTGCGCTAATGATTTTTTTGGGGGGGAGGGGGGCGCTGTCCTACGCCTACGTGCTTTTAGAACCTCCAGTAGAAAGATATTCAAAATCGAGCTGATACTTCATCCATAATCCAATCGAGGTTTTTCTAGGTGCACTTAATGTAAATATAAGTCGGTAGACAATCTTGAAAATATATCGCCATAGTCTATTAAGTCCCTAGGGTATCATCCAAAGCTCCCATCCCAATCCCGTCTATTATCACGATATATATCCCAATGCCTTAGCAAACGCAATAAACATTCACACAAACGACCAAGCATCAAACAGCAACAGCATCAACATCATCCTGCTTATTAAGCGCACTCTCTGTCGAGACCTGAGCCTCCGTCACCTTAACTTCATGGCTATGGTCGAGTTCCGAGAGCACGATCCAGGTGAACGGAATGCAGAGGACGGTGATGCCGAAGTTAAGCCCGATACTGACGAAGTGGTTGGCGCTACCTTCAGTTTGCATTCTAAAATCATGTTAGCACAACCCCCCACCCAGAATCGGGAAAACATGGAAGAGTAGGTAACTTACGCCCAAGCAACCGTCTGTCCCAAAGCCTCAACCCCTCTCAAGATACCAGTATGATGAGACAGCGACGACAGATCCGTCGCGTACTGTCCCACAAGCCAATAAAGGAACTGCTGGAACGCCTGTCCCGCGAACGTCCAAAAGAACACAAGCGCATACGCGGAGCCAAACCCGCCCTTAAACCAATCAAAGACAGGAGCTTCAGGGGCGTCGTAGAACCGCTTCTGCAGAACCGAAGCCCAGATCCAGGTCCCGATGAGAATCGTAACGATCGCAGAAAACGCAATGCGGCCCCGCGTTCGGATATATATGCTCTGCCGATCAAGCAGCGCAGCGACCAAGAACGAGCTGAAGATTCCCGCGAAGTTGGTGAAGAAGGACGAAAAGGCGCGCGAGCGAACGGTGAAGTACTTCGTCAACCACGTGCTGACGAAGCCGTTGTAGAAATAACTAATGAAGAACGCCGGAAGCAGCAGCAGCACGCGCCGGGACTTCAGCAGCGAGCCCACGGCGCGGAACTCAGCGCCCCACGTCGGCTCCTTGCGCACGACGACGAGGGTGCCGTCGCGTCGCCACACTTTGCTCGCGGGGCTGAGGCAGAGAGCAATTGGTAGGCCAAGGCACATGATCACGATGAACACAATGTACGTAGCGGAGCCCACTGAACCAGCGCTCGAGCGATTCGCGTTAAGGCCGAGGTTGATAGCGCCTCCGACGATAGGACCGGCCGCCTTCGCAGTTTGCCAGACGGCGAGGTAGAACGCGCGATCGCTGGGGCTCGGGTATCCGATAATGATAGCAGCCTCGGCAGCCCAGAAGAAACCAGCGGAGATACCGCACAGAGCGCTGCCGAACAGCATGAACCAGGTAGTCGCGTTGACGTTGTTGGTGTATAGTCCTGCGCCGTAGAGCGGGTACCCGATCGCGCCGAGGGCGAGACCGTAGCGGAGGCCGATGCGGTTGTTGATTGCGCCGGCGGCCACGCATACGATGGAGAAGAGACCGTAGACGAGAGCGTTGGCTGCTGATACGGCGTAGGGTTCAGCAGCGCCACCGGCTCCGAGACCGCCTAGCGCATCCCACATTCCTGGCGCGGTGAAGGAGACGCCGCATGCGACGGCGATCTGGAAGGGGACGGATCGGAAGATCGAGTGTTTGAGCGGCGTGGAGGTCGCGGGGACAGCGACCTCCTCGGGGGTTTCGGTGTGATCCGAAGTTGAACTCGCCATTTTCTCGAATTTTTGACGATATTCACGTCGCTACTCTGTAATACCACCAAACACTACCTAGTGTGTATATCTAGGTGTGAGTAAAGTCGCTACGAACGCAACAGACACAAAAGAAACGCGAGGTTTTCTTCCGATGTGGCAGAGCGCCACGCCTTATGGGCCTATGAGCACGCATTATATACACGCATGGTTGTCGCGACATCGAACAGACAGAGGTCGAAATTTTCGTGTGGACCCAATTGCGTGATCGCCTGGATGCAGGCTTTTCTCACTAGTAGCGTGACAAGCTGGTAGACGCCGGTATACTGACTAGCCTACGCCATCGGGATGAGCCGAGGATTCACTAACAGTAATTTTCATATTAGCTGCTCATTATTCGAGTCATTTAATCGGAGTGATTGAATTGAATTAGAGTCTCTGAGACTTTTGGGTAGGCATTTTAGATATGAAATTGAAGTCGAAGATAATGAACTAGATAGTGGCAAAAGAGAAAGAACTTAGTTGATTGAGACCTGTTGATAAGCAAATATTGCACAATGCAATCCTGGGATCACTGTAATGATAGAGTTTAAGAGCCGCGTCTAGCCTGCTGGTCGGGAATGATACTACAAGGATTGCCCTGTATGCGGCATAGTTTCGGTGTAATGAGTAAACGAAACTCTTAGTGAAATGGCGCCATTGCAGCGAAGTTATTGAAGGGGAAAGAGCCCCAGCCAACGACGACGAGGGTAGCTGCAACTGCTGGATCCGGGGTATTGGCCGATATGTTACCTAAGAGCTAAGTATCAGGTCGAATTTGGTAAGTCCTGAAACTCTAGATCTCGAAAAGTCGCAATGGTTCAACGGAGAATATATCCAGAACATTACCTAAAATAGTTTAAGATGAGTCTCTTAGAAGACACCGCCCTTCATATCCAAGCGATGGCCAGGTAATATCAAGTAAAAACAATAAGATTCGTAGCAAATGAGACATTGAGCCTCTCCTAACTCCTGACATACGATATCTATTAATCAGTGCAATCTACCGCACGTCGATAGAAAGGTAGCTAAGTACTTAAGTAGCTAGCTAGCAAGAATGAACAAGTCTTCGCGAACCGTCCCTGACTAGAGCTAGAGGGAAAGACTCTTAGCCGGTCTAATAGAATGAGGTACTGCGCCTCGTGCAATCATTTACTCATCCGTCAATCGATGATATCTATTAACATAGGACATCAATATTTGTGCATCTCGACACGTCCCCGTAAGAGTGCTCGCATGCCCGGCTAAGACTCGGTGTTCAACCCATCCTATTTCGCCTCCTGTGTCTGGTCGCCGGCAGGTGGTAGGCCAGCGCTCGCAGCACTCTCGCCCACTTTCAGTTCCTCGTCGGGAACGCCAGCGTTAACACTTCCGGAGATGCTTAAGTTGCTTACACCCCGCTCGATTGCTCTCCGTTCGCTTCTGCGATCCCCGGCTATAGTTGTGCCGCCTCCGATGACACCTCCAACTCTGGCAACGCCGCTGACGCTGACGTTAGCGCTTGCCGCGGTGCTAGTACTCCCGCTCCGGTCTCTTCCAGCGCTAGTGCGACTAGCATCGCTCTGTCGGCGGTCACGTAGAGCTCGTTCCAAATCCTTGATACGTCGCTTCAGTGATTCATTCTCGCGCTTGGCGATGTCTAACTCTTGTCGGTAGTGAGCCGTCTCTTCGTACCGCAGTGTCGCCGGTAAGAGGCCCGGAGAGAGCTCCGATCCAGGAGTAGCCGCGATGCTGGTACTAGAAGATGCCGAGCCGCGAGGGAAGTAACTCGATCCATAATCATAAGGAAAGCCGTGTGGTTGCGTGTAAGAGGAACCGAGACTGGTGCTAATGTGGTATGGATGCGGTGAGTGAGTTCGACTTCCGCTTCTCTGAGAAGCGGTGCTGTTCTGTCGACTCATGCCTGGAGCGCCTCGAGGGTTTCTTGCCGCTTCTAGAACGGACGCAGCGTTTCCAGGGTGAGGAATCGGTATAGGGGCAGGCGTAGAACCTTGCGAAGCGACAATAGACTGATTTAGACTACGTGTGCTAGCGCTCGAGCCTGTTCGGTGGTGTCTACGGTCAGCGCTAGTTGTTGGAAGGGGGAATCCAGGACCGGATAGAAGATGTGTGTCGGTGAAGGACGATGGGTGGGTCTGATCAGCAGAGGTCGATGCGCTCGTTGATGAAGTATTCGAAGCCACTGATGAGTTCTGTGCCGCTCGAAGCATAGTCAAGTCACGCGTTAAGCGGTTTACCTAGACTAGCAATTAGCACCATCACTCCTATCCATAAACACTTCCATGATATCATACCAATAGCTCTTGCTCCTGCTCTAGCTGCGAGTGTAACTCAGCAGCTGTCAAGGGACGTGGATGTCTTAAGGGACCCGGTCCAGCGCCGACGCCGGTGTTGTCTTGTCCTGGGGCAGGGTGCGGAGGCATTGTAGAAACTCCGGATAGCAGTGGTGGTGATGGGAGAGAAGTCAAAGATGTTCGGTTGACAGCGTGCTGATTTGAAGGTAGGATATTCAGAGAGGGCGAGATTGGCGCTTGATGGGGCGAGGCTTGGGACTGGCCATTCTGGTTGGAAGCTTGACGAGAAGCGGCGAGGATATGGGGAGAGGGTGGGACGGAATTGAGGTCAGGCATGTTTATTGAAAAGATCACCCGAGCAAGCTTCAATATTCGAGTGGGTTTGACGACCTTAAGACTCGTTGGGTGTTTGCTTGTTGCTCATCAACCAAGAAAGGCTGATTGAAAGTGAGCTACAATGGGAACATCAGAGCCGAACAAGTAGTTACGTTCGGTAGTGAGATTACATTGCTTTTCCTTCCGAGCAACAACAGAGAATAAATATCAAAGGGTGTTGTTATTTGTTTAGGCAAACGGTAGATTCTGAACGTGGTCGCGTTGAGTGGTCGCCTTTGCGTCCCGCCAAGTCGGAAAGTTGTATGGGTCCACACTCTGCCACCATTTCGGTCAGTGCTTAAATTTAGAGCTCCGCGCCTCATGCTTCATGCGCATGCGGGGTCTGATCAGCCTTATCGATAGACATTTCTTATCAGACACTCAGGCACTGCACAACAGATACATTGATACTTCGCATCTTGTAACCTAAACTCTTTCCGGTCTAAAAGCTCCGGGATATACTTCGTACTTCAATCTATTATCGATAAGAGAACACAATGACGTAGGATAGCTTCTCTATCAAACATCTGAATATGTGAAGATGACGGCATAGATTATTGATCTGATGTCAAGCTACGTTTCAATGTTCGTGGTGCCGCTTGCCTATGAACTATTACCGATCTCTTGCATATCCAAAAAGTTCCGAGAACTGTATTTAAGTCGACTAAGACACTAGGTAGGGGTTAGCTGTCTTTCAACTTTAGACCTCATCCTACAACAACCAAAACTACAAACTATTGCCACCAAAATACCTACCAAATTCCTAAAGTCTTGTCATAACTATACCAATTGATCAAAATGTCGTCTGCATCAAACGAAGGCCGTCAGTCACCTCCCCCTGAGCGTCAGACCGGCCCTCAACTCAAGGACACACCCGGCTCCGGTCAAGGCACTGACGAAGCACCCAATAAGAAGGAATCTCTCCAGGATCAACTCAAGGTCAGCCACAAATCATAAACCCTTAACAATTTATGCTATAACGGTGTAGCTAACACAAGTTGAATTATAGAACTTGACCTCGAATCCTAGAGGACCCCTCGAGGATGCGGTAGAAGAGAAATTCGCCAAATCTGCGAAACCGTCGTAAACAGTTAGAATTTCTGTCTGGGTAGTTAGAAGGGTACTAGAAAAGTAATATGTCATTTCCTAAGGGGGTACAGGGTTAAGTATGATACACTCAGGCATGTGTACAGCTAGATAGCTGATGATTAGACGGATGAATTCAATTTAAATAATTATCACCAAATACCTCTCTATTTATGAGTGATTATCTGCACTTCATATATATTCCAAATAATTGCAATAGTTCTATTGTGTACTATAATCCGTAACATTGCCGACGTGGACATACTTAGCGCCATTTTAAGGCTTGCCACTTCACTAAACATAGGTACGGCATAGACGCCTAAAAATTAGTTGACAATCAGCCCTCGCAGCGGGGAGATTCATCACGAATATTTCATTTCAAAAAGCTGCAATTATTATCAGAGACACAATCGCATTGCATTAGCTTAATAATATAAAGCTACACAGAATCCACTCCCGAGTCATGAAGTCGTAACAGCACTATTATTCCTTTCATTCCCTATGATTTCTCAGTTCCGGGTGCTTTAGCGGGAATAGCCTCAGTAGGGGCTAGTGGGGCAGATTGCGCTGTGCCGGCTTGGGGGCCAGGTGCGGGAACCGAAGCTAACGAAAACTTGTCAGAAAATATTCTCTTATGATATTTGATTTCATCCAAAATGAGCGAATCTCTGCATTTCAGAGACATTATGACGATGATTGTCATTCGCCTAGGCTGCTGGGCTTGATATGTGTTGGTGGGGTAAATTGTACTCACAGGTAGCACCGCCAGTCTCCTTGCCGAAGACTCTTTCCAGGCCAGAGGCTTTGTATGCGCTGCCGCCATGTTCCTCTTTCTTCAGATCAGCCAGACGGCGCGCCTCAGCATGGATATCTTGGACTTGGCGCTGGCCGTCGGTGTAGAACTTGACTAGCTTCTTGCCCGTGGGGGAGCTCGTCGCCTTCTCGAAGTATGAACTAATACCGCTGAAGAGGGTGTTGGCTCGGTTGGTGATGCCGTACGACTGGTCGGTCGCCTTAGCTCGTTCGGTAGCGTGGTACTTCTGGTCGAGGTTCATCAAAGTGTTCATGAAGCGGTTGGTGACGCCGTGCCTGTGATCAAGCTCGATCGCACGCTGGAGAGCAGCGTCGCCAACAACGTATCCGTGAGCAAGGTACTCTGCTAGGATACGGCTTCTAGGCTTCTCTTCTTGGGTGATCTCGTCCGTGTCGCGATCGGCGTTGGTAGTGTGAGGAGTACCGTCGTCAGACTTGCCATCGGCGGGAATTACCGAAATCTGCGATCCTTTGAGCTGCGTGTTATTCAGGAGCTGCGCGGTCTTGGCGGCAGTCTCTTTCTCGAATGTGACGCTAGCATCCTTGGTGTTGCCCTCGCCTGGCGTGATCTTGATTTCAGTAATCTTGCCACTATTGAGAAAAGTTTAGTAAGTATCGTTCTAGATACATGCAATATCGCAAACAATGATATATAGATAACTTACCAGAAGCTGAAAAAGTCTTTGACCTCTTTATCTTCCGCCTCAGCGTTGATGTTCTTTACTAGAACAGTAAGATTTGCAGCCATGATGATTCTAGAAGTAATTGAGGGGTAATCTTGTGCTGGATGTGAATGCAACTAATAAATGTATTATACTCAAGTGTTCATATAACTTCAATGTAGAGAAGATTTAGGTCTAGGATATGTAGAAGTTAGAAATGGTAAAATATGAATTTATTAAAAGAGAAGCTGCCAGGTTTTGGAGGCCTCGTTAACACGCGGCTTCTTATTCTTCAACACCTGATTCCAGCCCCTTGCCCATCACAAGCCTCTAGTGAAGGAGCGAGGGGCAATATACCACGTCATTTGGCCATAGCTCCTCTCGTTTGGAACAGTTTGATGCCGAAGGTGGGGCAAAGATACTTTCACATGTGTAGTGCAGTATTGTTGCATAATCTGGGGTAAATGCAAATAGTTAAACTATTTCAGGTGGTCCATGCGTCTTCGGTACACACTTCGCCATACAGATGTTCATACAAATTAAAGTACTCCCAAAATTAGGTACTTCAGACAGCCCTCATCAAATACGTCATCTCTTTCCAATTGATTATTGAACGTCTAATAAAGGATTTTTATCAGAAAAAAGAAAATATTTTGGGATAATTTGCCAGTTTGAATTGAATAGATCTGGTTGCACTGGTCTAGAATGTTTTGTTCCTGAGAACTGGATGGTCGAATGATATACAGTCAATCAAATGACTCAGTCATCTTCAGACCTCATCGACCTGATCTTCAGGGGCTTAAATCTTTATTTAGCACTACTAACCGCAGAATTTTAGGCGGGCTGGGTGGGACAGGTCATCAAGAATTCTTTCCGATGCTTCAGCTATCCGCTCAGTCAATATGCCAGTATCGTTAATCTACACTAGGTATTGTTTATACTAGGCAGCAGCAGCAAAACTTCGTCATATCCTTCCAAGTCAGAAGCCAGTCTTGACGAAAGCATGATCATGTTGGCAAATGAGTTTCACGGAGATTTGATACCAACAGCGATGCCACGGCATGGTGGGCTGTGCTGACCTGATGATGGGATACGTGACTAAGGTTCGGTAGGTATTTTCTAACCTAGTCCCTTGCATCACTAACACTATTCAAATATTCACAGTGACTATTATCTTTATACTGCCCAAGATCATTAAGAACGAATTTCGCTCCACTCTTCACGCTCTACAAGACAAAATATACAGGGACGGTGTCCACTAATAGCCCCAACTCCGATTGATATCTATATCTGGTTTACTTCGGCGACTTCGTGACATTTATAGAAATGTCCTCTCTTTCTCCATAGCGTTTTCAAAAGAAATGCAGAGCAGATAATTGCACCCAGACCTGCTAGTCCAAGTGCAGTGTAAAGAGCAGCTCTATACCCGATCAACTTATTCTCAAAGGATTTTCCACCTGTATTCGCATAAGACTCCACGGTCCTAGCGATCCCGAGCCCTATTGATATACCGTAGTTCATAACGGTACTAACTAAACTCGCCGCTATCCCCTGGTGTTTTCTTTCAGCTGCATTTGACAAGGCTAGCGCTGTGATAGGAAACCCTATGTCCATCGCCCAGGATACCACCAACACAGAGATGAATAACTGAGACCAGTAACTCTGAACTGCTGGCATAGTCGCAACAAGCGCAGATCCTAATGTGAATCCCAATAGAGAGCCAAATACGATGAGAATTGTTCCCAGCCGCTGGAGAACGAAACCTATCGACAGTGTGGTCAAACAACCAATGATAATACATGGACAAATATACGCAGCAGCCTTCAAATAAGTCAGTCACCTGAGGTTTTCATTTTCGAATATGGACACACATACCAGAAGCGGAGAGGTGCCGCGGATGTTTTCAACGAACTGCCAAGTATAAAAAGCCCAAATTCCGAAGCATGACCAACCACAGGCGCCCGCGATGACGATAAGAGACACACTGGGCGAAAGAGCGTAGAAAGGGATGAGTGGTTTAGGGGCGTAGTAATTCTCAACTAATACGAATAATATAGCAAGCAGGGTCCCGAGAATAAGTGCAACCCAGAGATATGGCTCTTTCCAACCTACAAGAGGAGCTTGATTCCAGGCGAAACTTATCAACACGAGTGCTGATACCCCTGTTATAGCGCCTGGTATATCGAGGTCCGTCACAACAGCTCTTATGCTGCCGGGCATTTCGTTCTTCTGGGTAGATTTAGGGACGGTAAAATATCCAACTCCGGCAATAGCGGATAAGATTCCAGCGAACGTCCAGTATGCTATAGGCCACCAAATCAGCGTAAATAAACTTGCGCTCGCCGACCCGGCTATGATACCCACAGGCCCTATCGTCGCGACAAAAGTGAAGGCCATAGCTTTTTCCTTTCCGGGAGGAAACGAGATCCCTAGAAGGGCAAGTCCAGTAGGGAGAGAAAGAGCAGCTCCTAAGCCGTGGAATACTCGAGACGCGATAAAAAGAGCATAGTTTGAATAGACCGCTGTCCCGGAGATCCCAGACCACATCGAAGACCAAATAAATCCAGCGAGGAATACTCTCTTGTGTCCATATATGTCGCCTAACCTGCCTGCTATCAGGACAAAAGTGCCAATTGCCAGACTATAACCAGTGAGGGCCCATATCATATTTCTGTTGCCGTTTCTACCAAAGCTGGCCCCTATCCGACCGACAATTGCCAGCGTCTGGCCAATGCCTGCTTCTAGAGCTCGTGTTAACGGGTAGCCCAGAAGATGTAGCAGGGCTCATTAGTATCATTTTACCTACGCGCGCATAATTGAGCCAAGCCGATTGTCACGACGAACAGGCATACATGAAATCTCAGCATCTTCTCAACCACATGGACAGGATGTCCCGACGCTGGTGGTGGGGGTTTCATCCCGGGTGGCATCGGCCAAGATATCTCGTCGATAGCATTCAGCTCCGAATTCCTGACGCTTACGTGTTTCCGCTGCTTCTTCGCGGGACGGCAAGCCTGCGGAATTGGCGGCAATGCTTTATCGAGATGTGTTACCGATTGCGGACCCTGCGACAACGGTGAAGCGACTGCGTTAGAGGATCTCGAACTCGTCGGTCGGTCATCCTCGCTGCTAATAGAAAATCTCGACTGGCGCTCTGGCTGGTTAACTGTTGGAGCTTCCTCAGGTGGCGTGTGGATCTCGCTCAGCCGACGGAGCACGATATCATGCGTTTCGTAGCTCCAGAACGAGTTTCTAAAAAGCGAGTCGGTGAACGACATCACGGTATCGGATTACATTTGCCAGGGTGGGATGCAACTGCATACTTCCACCTGCGCGGGAATACGCGACATAACGATATATAATATGTCCGGGCCCTGAGGCTAACCAATTTTCAAACATGTCTGTGCAATAGCTCTGCGGATATCCGCTAGTCGTAGGCGGATTGACCTCATACTGGAACTAGAGGTTAAACGTATTTTCTACGGGCTAGGGAATCTCTTAACTCCAGGTAACTTCTTAACCCGGGACATCACGGTCAATTATTTAAATCATTCCCTGTCGACGTGTTCTAGAGGATTTTGTAAGTGGACCATCAGATTGCCGATCGACGGGAAACTACAGATTTTGGCCGAATCGGTTCCGGCGTATTGATCGATGATCATGAGATCGTCATTTAGAAACTTATCGCAACTCATATTGATCCCAAGGAAATATAGAGAAGTATCAAATAGACAACCAGGCCTTACCTAGTGTCTACTACGAATTAGACTTGTCGGAACTTGAAATGGGAAAGTTTAACCCCCGGACCGGCCAAGGGCGGGTTTTGATTGGTTCTCTAACAGGTCGGTATTCCGAATTTGGTAATTCTCAACAGCTCCTTCCCTGCTCTCACCGTGCTCATCGCCACGGAGATTCCTCATAAGTCGAAATATTGTATACGATGCCGATTTTCTGTAATTTCGCTAAACTCTTCATACATTCACGGGATTTTCACCCCATATGTCTTGTAGGTAAGCATGGGAATAAATCGACGAAGAGCTCGAAAGGCGGACGGACCTAGTATCGAACCTCAGCGGGGGAATAGATCGATGACTGAGCGCTTAGGCTAGACTGGCTGGGAGGAAGTTTAATCCCTTGAAATTACCTAGTAGGTATACTTTATGGCCAAGGATTTAGACCTTAGCGTCTCGGTAGAACGCCACCGACGATGACGGGTTACATCGTAGTTACCCAGACACGCGGACTTATCGGGAATAGATGCCGATTTCGAGTCGTGGAAAAGGCGTGTATGTCACTCATGTTACACAGTCACACGGAGAAGATTGGAGCATGCAGAAACCGTGTCGGCTCCGTCCTGTCATGAGATCTAGCGAGTCTCGCAACATAAAACCGCTTCGAGATATCTTCAAAGTGATGAAGAAACACCACAAACACTACTTCACATGCATGAGATCGCTATATACTACCCACAGAAATTACCTATTTATCGTCATTTCACAGAAGGTAAGCTCGTCCTCAAGAAGGCCTCGGCAACTCCCCTCTATCTTAGATTGAAGTTTATCATCCCGGGCAAGCTTCACGAACAGCATCATATTGACATACTGAAACAACATTAAAGGCTTGAACCATAATGGCAGCACAAGGCGAAACTTACGTCGAGGCTTTCCCGCCAAAGCCCAAGCCTTATATCTCTTACGGATTGACGTTCGAAAAGGCCTGTGCTCACCACGCCGAGAGCACTTTTCATGCTTCACGCATCTACGTTGTCGTGTCCAGGTCAATCAGCAAGACCGAGGCCTTCACGACCCTCCAAAATGCTCTCGGCGACAAGATCGTCGGCGTTCGCTATGGCATCCTCCCGCATACTCCTTGGGAGGACGTGCTAGACCTCGTGAACGACCTAAAGACCAAAAACCCGGATCTTATCGTCACACTCGGAGCGGGATCGATCTCCGACGGCGTCAAACGTACGTGACCCGAAATACGTACCTACCTTACTCAATCACTAACCCACCACAGTCGCCCGCCTCCTCGCCGCCAACGACGTAACCTCCATGTCCGGCGCCGACGCCCTCTACGCCAAATGTCCCGCCGACCTCACGAACCTCAACAACACCTCGCCAGACGTCAAAGCCGCAACCATACCCGTGATCTTCATCCCGACAACGCTGTCAGGCGGGGAATTCACCCCCGCCGGCGCTGCGACAAACATGGAAACCTTCGAGAAACGCAACCTGATGCACGCGTCCATGCTAGCGGACCTCGTGGTCTTCGACCCGGCACTGACGGTCTCCACGCCCGCCCGCTTCTGGCTGTCGACGGGCATGCGTGGCGTGGATCACTGCGTCGAGGGGCTTTACGCTAACCTGCCTAATGCGAGTGTTGAGACGAGCGCGGAGTTAGTGTTAGCGCTGCGCGGGTTGTTGGTTGGGTTGTTGAAGACGAAGATGCGGTGGGATGACCTGGAGGCCCGGCTGCAAAGCCAGCTTGCGGTCCGGACGGCGATAAAGGCCATTCATAACGGGATGGGCGCTAGTCATGGTATTGGACACCAGCTTGGTCCGTTGGGGGTCGGACATGGGGAGACGAGCTGTATTATCCTGCCGGCGGTTATGAAGTATAATTGGGCGCATGGAGACGAGAAGGTGCGTGCTTCGTTGAGGCAGGTTGCGTCGGCGTTTTGGGATGAGCCGGTTGTGGTTGAGGCGCTTGGGTTGAAGGTGGCGGATAGGGAGGCGAGGGATCCGGGGGACTTGGTTGCGGCGTTTGTTAAGGCGCTGGGGTTGCCGAGTAGTATGGGTCAGTTTGGGATTGGGGAGGATAAGTATGAGAGTTTGGCGGAGAACTCGATGAGGGATCCGTGTGTTCATGTTAATTCTGTTAAGCTGGATACGGGCAAGATCGTGGAGATACTCAAGATGGCGGCTTAAGAGGTGTTCATTTGCTATCATGGTTCGGGATTTCATACTGGATCGATGAGGAGCGTGATGAGTTTGGGGAGCTCGACTAGTTTACGCAGAAATGGCTTTTTGTATATCGTTCGTTTAATGTCCAATATTTACCTAGGTAGACATGTCACTAGGAATGATTCTAGTAATATTCGAAGGAATAGTTATTGTAGATGGAATGATTCAATGGGGGGAATGATTCTTAAAATATATCAGGAAAAGTGAGGTTATTCGCATGTATTTTATGGCTTTAGAATGATTCTTAAACATGATCGATTCCCCCGATGTACCCTACCACCAAATTTGTATAGGAAGGTACCCAAGACTAATGGAAATATTCTCGTAAGAAAAATAATTATCTTATAAGAATGACTGTAAAAATACCCGTTTTGCCGTTACTACCTGGTATGTATGGGGTTATCTTTTACAACAAGGAAACGAGAGTGTTTGATACCTACAGACTTGAGACAACAGCAAACTTGAATATTCTGCCACTCAAAGAGACACAATTATGAGACTCTACTAGACACCGAGGCATTTTATTGAGATATTCTATTATATAAAATAAGAAGCATGAAGACCTACGTGGGTAGCATAGACTCCAATGTCATTATCGTGAAACAGGCGCGGGTGAAATTTCAACGTTGAATTATTGAATATGACAGTTGAGCAGCTCGTCTTCTATTCTCCACATACTACGATTGCAGCATCGCTTCTTTCAATGCGAACCTAACTTATAAGATACTTGGTCTTTATCTTGGAATTTTACATTCGATGGCATGTTGCTTTAGATATCGAGTAACCTTAGTGGCTTTGTATGTCAATACTCAATACTCAATACGAAGAAGCGACCCAACGACAGGAATATTGATGTGAAGGACATTCCGATATGAACACCTGGAGATAGAAGCTCGCGTAAACTTCCTGGCCCTATAGCAGATAAACATCACCATCGCTTTCTGAACACTTAACTACGTGCCAAGAAAGGCAAATTAAGGATCGAACCTTTTTAAAAGGGGCATACGAAGAGCAAACCGGGTACGAGAACTACGCTAGCAAATGATTCGTACAACTGTCCGAACTATAGGGTGGTGGTAGCAGAATCGACCAGTAAACAGCCGGAATCCGTCGGGGTCAAGAGCAACATCTGCTGATTTCGACAATAAAACCCATATAATTCTCCATGCGATGCTATCTAGTATACATGGGGAATGAGGGAGCCTATTCCGGTCCTCTCGAAATTCGATAGAGAATTCGATCGCCGTCCTTGTGACGTTTCTAGCCGAAGCCTTCGACAGCAAATTGATCGGCAGCGAAACTGCAACTGGCATAGGGGACCACGTTTAGTCAGGTGCGATACTTAGGAGACGCCTGGGCCATCTAGCACGCCGTTCGCTGCAGGAGCCAATTCCTCCTTCTTACGTGGGAATTACTACTCACCCGATATCACCACTTGGACTAGAGTCGCATTCCGTCTGAGGCCGCCGATAGTATATGGGAGGCGTCAACGAATACGTGTGGACGAGCCTATAGCATCGACGATATCGACGACTCATATTCTATAGGGTTGGGGTAGAAAAGGCTCCTATCATTGACGTTCACGTCGGCAAGTCACTTGATATACGAGGTTCATATACCGGAATAATAATGCACAGCCACCTCCACGAATCTCACACCCGTCCCAAGATATACGGCACAGTATACCGGCACTGTCGGTCTTGTCTCACCTTCCCAGTAGCCCAATCTGATATCGTCATCCTTAGCATACCGAGATGGCTTCGGGCGTGGTTGTAGAAGTGACTCATGTGACTCATAGGACGAGCAAGTCATCGTCGGTGGGTGGTACAAGTCCGGTGACATAGTCTGTATCACGCAAAAAGCTCCAAATGCAAACGCCCGAAGGAAAGATGAGTCGCCGGCGTTCGTGGGGGGTTGGCGACGGTGCGACACCGAAGCCTGTCGACAATAGCCCACAGCCTCGCGGGTATTTAGGTGGCCGGGACGAGGTGCACAATAGGCTGACGCGTGACGCGGCACGGATGTGACGGACGAGGCTACGGGATTCGATAGGTTTAACCTAGGCGCGTAATAGGTAACGCGTCGGTTGGTGTGTGGTAGGTGATATGTGATATGCTGTAATACTCAGAAGCTTACCGAAACGCCAGATCGAATCTCATCTTGTGTGCCGCATTTCGCCCCCACCCACGCCTCCCGAGCGTTGCAGCGGTTGGTCGATGGAGCGGGATGTTGCGAGGCTGCTGCCTATTCAGCGCTATCGTGAACTTTGCCGCGCGAATTTGTATGGCTAAATTCACAACTCATCTTCGGCGAATGCTTTCGCATCACTTACATATTGGTCGTCGTCATCGAAATGATTCCTGTCCTTGCCATCATCTGGGTATCAAGTCGGGTCTAGGATGACCCCCAAGAGAGAGTCAGCAGCATATTGCAGTGGCGATTTTTTGTGTGAGATCCTAGGGCTGTTTACTTGATTCGGTAAACTTGGGAAGCGAAAGGCGTCCGAGCCCCGGATCCGTAAGATATCGAGCGAATCGAAAACGCCCGCGGTGAGTCACCGCCCACAGCGGTGAAACTCGATTGACAAGCAGAACAAGCAAGGAACACGGCTAGCGCCCTCGTGGTATCCAGTCAATATATCCAATGCGTCGTATTATTGATGTCCGCCCAGCGGAGAACAGCCATCGAGGAATAAGTTCTGGAAAGGTAGATGTCGGACTTACGGGACACGGAGGGGACTATGTATGTACTTTCGCAAATAAGTCGAAAAGAGGCGTGTAGTTATCGTCATCAATTACATACCGCGATTGGAAGCTTGTTATCATATTGGATATTCCCGCAAAACCTTGGAAGTATCAGTTTGGAAGGGGTTTCTTTCCGCCGCGGCTTGCTTAATCCCTCCGTACCCGTCGTGGACTTTTGATTCGCCCGCCCCGGCTGTCCTCCCTTCCTAGAGAACCCAACAACCAAGTATGTGTCATCTGCTAACATAGTAGCAGACTCTGTGGTGCCGGCGATGCCGTCTAGGCCCAGAGAGGGACAGTCGATCGGGTTCGTAGAGGTCGGTGATAGGGAGAGTTGGGCGTTTGTCGGGATGAAGAAAATGAGGCAGAGGGGCAGAGGAGCAAAGGAGTCGAAAAGGGTAATGTTCCGGAACAAAGTGGAGTGGCGATATGCCCTGGTTACTCGTGCATATAGCGTAGGGCCAACTTGGCTCCATCGTCACATGCTAGGGTCTAGACTCGATAGAGGTAAGAGAGATAATAGGGCAATATAGGGCAATATACATACAGTACCAAAGGCAGGTATGTAGCGAACACAGCCACAGCAGAAGCGCGCAACGCTCTAGTGCATTCGTCTGGCTCTTAAGGGTGACACGTCAATCGCATCCATACGGCATATCGTACCCAGGCTTCTGGGTCGCGGATTTCTAATTTTCCTACTGGAATGTTGTAGCGTTACGAAGGGACTTCCAGCATGCACCTGTGGCCCTGTGGCCTTGTGGTCTGCTTGACGTACGACTGTGCTGTGCAATATTCAAAGATAGCAGTGAGTATGTACTGTAGGTAGTATGCGATTTCAGGCAGTGCGCAAGCTCGTAGCAAATAAGAGACTCGGACCCGAGTCGCCGTCCCGGTTATTCAGCTACCCGATGTACGACTGCCCGTATGGTCTTCGTAGGATACATAGTAATTGATAATTGTCCTCGCGCTGCGTACACGCGGGATGTAGTTTGATGTTCCCAGACACGCTGCATTGGCTACGGTGAGCGAAGGGAGACGAGGCGGAGGCCGCAGCATACCCAACTCTGGAAAGGCATATTGTCATTTGGCCGATTATAACGGCATTCTTATAATCTCGATGTGCGAGACAATGTCGAATCAAGATCTCGGAGCCCCGCGAGACAATGACGAAAAGGGGGGCCAGGTGAGCGACGACAGGGATAAAATTGTCTGGATTTGAACAACGCAGAGGGATAGACAGCAAGGCTTCTTATCACGACTGTTCTAGTTAGGGAAATTGACAGCCGCCCGTTTTCGTCACATACCAAACACGTGCGCCTAGGGTCCTACTTTGAGTTGGAGCAAGCATCTTTTTTGTACCTTGGTGGTGGTGTCGCAATAGTCCTGATAGGTTCAACCGCCGTACACCCAAGGACCGCCTCGACGCCGTCTCTGGCTTGTATCGCTTCAGGTTTGTATGATAGACTCGAGAGGAAAGAGAGAACAGACCGCGAAGCCATCGACTACGTAATCATGGTCTCGAAGGGCGCCTATACACGTATTCCCCTTTTCGTCTCTTCCGGAGGGGACGAAGAGGGGCAGAGGGGTATTCTCTCCAATGCCAATTCCAAAAAAAAAAAATTTTTCCAATTTGTCCTTTTTTTTTGTGCGCCGTCGCTACGTCACCGAGTCACAGAACCAACACGACTAGGGGCGGTACCTGCAATCTGCATGTAAGGCATGAACAAAAGAAGGTTCCGAATAATGCTGCAAAGCCATGCTGTCTGGCTGTCAAGAGTCGGTGAGTGGTAGAAAACGAGGAGGATCTACTTCGTTATCGTGCCAGAGTCGTCTGGTGAGGTCTCCTGCTAAGTCGACCGTTGTTTTTGTTTTGTTGACAGCTTCGGTGGAGAAAGGACCGCTATTCAACAATGTGGCCAAGATATTGGCTGTTGGGTACGGAATTAGAAAAATAATATCACGATAAAATAAACACTAGGTGGCCTAATCGAGCTTAATCGGAGAGTCGACCTCTCTATGCCCCCTGCTTTCACCAATCGGGACATGCACAGATGCATGAAGTGTGGCCTCAAGCTGGGTCCCATTGACCAAACAATTCGCAGAGCGCCTTCAGCTTACAGATATTGGACATCATTGCAGCCAGCGATTTTGCGCGCAGGGCATCATGACATGAACATACATCACATCCTACTCGTATGAGTCACAATTTATGGTAGCGCG